GCAGAGGGAAGGGTTGGTGTCGCGCGAGCACGACCCTGCGCGGCCGCGCGTGGACGGGCGGAGACCTGGTGACTTGTGCGCGCGAGCTGGAGCCTGGACGCGCTCGGCGATCGGGGTCGATGGCACGGCCCTGGGAACTTGAAGGAGAGGCCGGGGCGCGGAGTCGCGGAGCGCTCGGTCGTCGGGACGTCCGCGGTGTAGCCGAGACCCTCGACGGATGTGGGGGAAGGCACCAGGAGGAGCTAGCGTCCTTCGTCCATCTGAGGGTCTGAAGCTTGTGGGAGCCTCTATTGTGCGTGCCCGATGCAGCGACCGTCGCGCGCGGATCGCAGACGGGTATCAGCATTGAACAAGGAGGGGAGAAAAGCAGGTGGCCCAGACACGGTCAGCAAAAGGATGCTCTGCGCTCGGGGCGGCGTCGTCCCCATTAGACCGGCGTCAATCACTCCAACCCGAAATGAGCGCGCCTGATTGGCGAGCCCAGAGCCGGTATTTGCTTCCCTAAGGGCTTATCCGCCGGATAACTCCCTATCCCGTCAGAGCCAAACACGCTCCTCCTCTCATCCGCGAGGCGTCTGCCGCGCCGTGGCGGCGTACATATACCCCCGCGACTCGTCCCCTCCCCCCGTCCTCCCCGCACACCTCGTGCTCGTCCCTCCCGCCTCCTCTGCGACCCCAGCGGCGCACGCTTCGGCACTCTGCATATAGCACACCTCGCCTCTCGCCTCCTCCACCACACCCCACTCGCCTCAATGACGGAATACGACTACTCTCCGGACGCGGTCGAGCGTTTCCAAGCAAAAATGGCTGGCATCGGCCGCTGGGCAACCGAGCAGAAGTACTACTCCTCATCGTATGCCAACCCATTCCTCCCAAGCGAGGCCTCGTCCTCTTCATCCTCCTCGTCCTCCCAACCTCCCCGCCCGCGGTCCTCCTCCCGCCCCGAACCACACCACCGTCCCCGGGAGCCGCCTACTCGTTCCCGTACCCTGCCCCCCGGAGCCAGTTATGGGCACGGTCAGCGCTCTCGCACTCTCAACTACAGCCCGCAGCCCGACTCATCTGCGCCTTCACGGGGCCACCACCGCTCCGGCTCTACACCCGCAGATCCGCGCCGCGCACACACCCTCCCCACCCCGGTCGTGTACGGGCACCCGCCGTACGGCCCCGGGCCCTCGCCCATGCGCGCCACGCCCGCGCCGAACGTCTACCAAGCGACGAACCCCGCGTACCAGCCGCCGCCGGGCTCGCGGACGATGGACGTCAAGTTCGTCCCCGGCCACCCCATCGTGCTCCCTCCGCCGCGCCGAGGTGAGCAGTACGTCATCATCCCGCCCAAGGGCGGCCGCGTGGACATCGTCACCGACGGCCGGCACGACCGCCACCACGGCGCGAGCGGGAGCGGCGGCGGGCGGAGCAAGGACAGCAGCCCGACGAAGAGGAGCGACCCGTTCTTCAAGCGCTTCATCCCCGGCTGGGGCGGCGACAGCTCGCGCTCGTCGTCGACCCGCCGGCGCTAGTCCTCCCGGTGAGCCGCGGGGCGGTGGACGCGTGTCCGCCGCCAGCCTCCCGAGCCCTGGCGCGCGTCCGTCCTCCGGGACGACGTCCGCGATCCGATCCGCTTCTTCCGACGGACAGCGGGCGCGTCTGCCCCGCGCTGCGACGGCGCCCGCGGCTCGCTGCGCCTCGTGCGCTCCCATGTCTATTTCCTCACCTTATTGGCCCCCGCGCTCGGCCCATGGAATCTAGGAACCTTCGCCGGTCCGTTCGTCTCTTCATCTCCGTCGGACCCCTGCGCTTTGTAGATACACACCCTCTCCTTCCCGCTGGTGCGCTGCGCCAGCTTCCCCAGTATCCGCTCCCGGACTCCGGTTATCGCGGCTACCTCGCCCGAACCCTTCCCGCTCGCTAGCGTAGATAATGATAATGCCTCGCCGTTCACGACCGTCCCACGATACCACCGACACTGTACCCGTCTAGTAGGCTATAGTTGTATCACCACCGCCACGTACTTAGACTCTTTTACATAGACGCAATTTTACGACCCCTTGATGTTTGACGCCCCCATCTTCTCTCTGTCCGAGCTTCACGATGCCGCGAACCTGCGAGACCATCCAGAACACACGGCGACCATCCGTCACCGACGTCCCATCCGCCCATCTGCCGTCCACGCCGCACACATCGCATCCGTCGATATCGGATGGGCGCACCGAGCCTGAAGGCCTGAGGAAGCCAAGCGTGCGCCACCACGAGGGCGGACGTCTGGCCACGCGCGGAGAGAGCACGGCTTCGTCGCCCGCGATCCGTTCATTTCCTCGCCACCCTCGGAGGCTCGGAGGGAGCGAACCCGCGCCTCTCCCTCCGGCAGCCTTTGTCTCGCGCGAAGCGACCCCGCCACCGCGTCCCTCCCACCGCACCCTCGCGCCGAGGGTTCCCCCGCGGGCCTATCGCGTGCGGAGTTCGGAGTCTCTGGCCCTTGGGAGACTGCGTGGCAAGAGAAGACGGGCCTGGCCAGCCCACGGATGCGTGCGTGCGCCCTGGAGAGGAAGCCGCGCGGTGTGACTCGTGAGTCTATACGGAAATCCCTGAGAGTCTGAGTGATCCGCGCGCCCTGGGCCTCGATGTCGATGTCCTTGTCGGTGGGAGCGCACTAGAAGTTTTGCGTCTGCGTTCTGTCTTCGTCGGGGGTGCGTGTCCGCATTGGGGCCGTTCCCATGGCAGGGCCCAGTGTCGCCGGCGCAGCCCGATCGCGCGAAGGCCACCTGAATCCACGACTGAGTGCTGAGTACTGAGTCCGCTTCGGCGGTGCGTGCCAGCGCTGTGTGGGAGTCGCCTGCAGCCGGCCTAGAGCGCCGCGCCGCGCCCGCTGCCCCTGTCCGTCGTTGCCCGCTGCCCCGACGGCGAACTCGTCCGAAGCTGAGTACTGACCTGAGTGAAGCCCGGGCTGTGTGGGTCTGTAGGTCCAGCCCGAGGACGACCTGCGATCGAAGGGAATGAATCTGGATCGTCACCATACTTGCCACGGCCTCTCGTCCGGAGAATGGAGGTGGCACTGCGTCCAGGACTCCATAGCAGCCCGCGACACAATAGCACCCTCATCTCCGTCGCACGCGCCAGCTGCGCGCCGCGCGCCTCGTCCGCTGCAGCCTCCAGCCTCCAGCCTCCAGCCTCCAGCCTCCAGCCTCCAGGGCTCGGCCGTCTCGGCGCGAGCACCCCGCTGGTCGGGGCAGTGACCCCGAGCGGCGAGGCGGATCCAGCGCGCGGCGAGCGGGCAATCTGGCACGGATCAGTGCGCGAGAGCGCGCGCAGCCCGAGCGGCGAGATCGCGCGCGCGATCTCGATCAGCCGGAGCGCAGCGGGGTGAAACTGTGGCTCGGGATCCCGATCAGGCACTTGTCGGGGCGCGGGATCAAAACCGCGATAGCCTCGTGTTCGCGCCTCCCGGCGGTTGTCCGCGGTGAGAACCGGCTGCGGCTCCTGTGAGCTGACTGCGCCGTGGTCTGGCAAAGGGTGGGCAATGGCGGGCCCGTGCTCCGGACGGAGACCGGTCGGGTCTGCCTGCCGAGTCTCGAACATTAACAGCGTGAAGGGACCAGAGAAGAACGAACCCGGAACTTCTTGGCATGGTTGGGAGTTCATGAATTACGGTACCATCGCCATCCTGTGCATGCTCATGAGAGGTCCAGATGGTCTTGATGAACCTTCGGCTCTTCGTGATGCGCAGTGTTGGAGCAGTGGGTCATTTCCCTCAAAAACTTATCCCAATTTCCGCGAGGGAAAATAATACCACCAATTTGCTCGCAGCCGTATGCAGGTGGGCCGCAGTCGGCCGTGTCTCTGATATGCTCCTGCCGTATGCCGAGATGTTCAGCCGAGCTGTGGACCCGGTGCGGCGGAAGTGCTGCAAGCGCAAGAAAGCAAGTCAGGAGGCGGCGCCGCGTGGCAAGGCAATGTGCCATCCGCTCCACGTGCGTCTGCCTAAAGGAGCAAGGCGGGATTTCCCACGGGCGCGTCGTCCTAGGGCGGCTACGCGTCGTCATCCTCTTTTGACTCTTGACCCCATCCTGCGTTGCCCCCCCGCTCCAGGCCCGAGCTCGCCTCAGTGTTCCAGTATATGCGCCCCAATAGTGTTTTAAACACATCTTCAGGTGAGTTTGTTCAGTCTGCCAGTGCTGTCTAAGTTCTGACATTACGCGCAACCCTTCAGGTACAGCCCCGCTAACAGCATGCATGTGCGCCACGAATCGCAGAAGATGGTTCGTTGATGCTGCCGAGCACACATGATACGTGCTGTCATGGGGCTCGTACAAATGTACGTCCTCCTACAATCCCAGGTTAGTAGTCTCGTCTTCACTTCATTTCGACTTCAACGATCTGACCGTATCAGCTCGTGACCAGGAAGTCGTCTCTAAGCAGCTCTGGATAAGTGGCCGAGATCCCCTGTAGCGCATTCTTGCTGCTACTTGCTCGTGGTAAGCTCCTCCGGTCACCGTACGTATTTGGCCGCAGTCTCACTTGCCTTTTACGACGTCGAAGCAATGGAAGAGGCGTGAGGTCTTTCGGACCTCTCATTAAGGCTCTGTGCGCGTGAACGTGCCCCTTCGTGACGCTTTGACTCGCCGTGGGTTGAAACGTCGACGGTTATAGACACCTTCTGGTGAGTTGGTCGCTACATACCGAATCCGGGTATGCACGTACTAACACCGTGCCCTTAGAGACGCCGCCGATTCCTCTGTTCACCACTACTATGGCAAGGCGCACATTCCGACAAGCGGTTCTCTGCAGCCCCGCTCCCAACTTGACTATCTAGTGCACGTCCATTCCGAGCGACATGACGGCATCCACGAGGGCGCTTTCGGTCACTTCGTCTCAAGGTCCGCCAGATATATAGGAACTCTGCCCACCCTCTGCAACATCACATCTCACTGGACCTCCTAATCATCGCCCCTGCTCACGCGATGTCAACGGCGCCCCATCTGGCAGAGGCATGATGTCTCAGACGTCGTCGCTGTCCCACCGTTCGCGAACCTTCCTGCCTCATGTTCGATCTCCTCGACCACAACTGGCGACCTCGTTGTGAGACCTTCACGCAATCAGACGCTCTAACGACACCTTGCTTTATACACCGCTGCTCGCGATCGCCAGCGATACTGTCCCTCCGCCAATCTGCCGTCGTTCACTCTCGCCTCGACCTCCCCCTCGCTCGTTCACCGACGCTTTCATCGGCGCTTTCATCGTCAACGACGGACGGCAGAAGATCGGTCACATCGCACGGGGAGCCTCAGGGCACCAGCATGCTTCGAAGACGCGTTTGCCGATGTGGGTCCACTCGCCTGCCCATCGTCGCTGCACGTGTTGCCGGTCGCCGCGACTCAAATCGGCGTGCCTTGTACTCTGCCGAGTGAATATCAAGTCTCACACCTTCTGCTCAACGGTGAGTCGGTCGTCTCCCCTGCCACTTTGCGTCTATAACATACGAGACTGACCCCTTAAATTGTCTGGACGTCCTCAGGAGCCCGTGCACAAGTGCTTTTCTCATGAAGTGTTAAGATGGAGGAGTGTCGCCGAACATCGAGGGCGTTGCGGAAAAAGACGCTCGGTGTATGCCTCGTGCATGTTTGAGGTGCGCCCACATTCCCTCGAAACTCGACACAATAGTCGCCTCGTTGCAAAAAATGTGTTTGCGCGTAAGGTCTAGAGTGATTGTGCCTCCGTGCGGTCCGCGCCTCGTGGCTCTGAGTAGTTCACCTTTAATCGTCGCTCTCCGATTTCACTCCAGGTTGTCCCTCCCGCCCCCTTCCTTCATGTGAACTCGCTTGCTACCCCCACCCTCGCCCTATCTCCACCACGTCCAGACAACCACGGGTCGGGAGAACAGTGTACGCTCCATTCCGTCCCTTCACTGAATTTTGCCACTTGGGTTGCCGCAAGCGTACAAGAAGCATGACCTTGTCATTCGACGACTTCTTAGAATGGCCTTCACAGTCGTCGACGCCATCGATGACGTCAACGTCGCTGCTATTGGACTCAACGCTTTTCCAAGCTCGTTGACTACGCCCTTGAAGATCCCCGATCGGCACGACTGATCATTGGGTCGACGATCGCGCCGACGGGGGACATGAGGGACACGTCATCGGCTGGTAGACGTTGAAGCGATGAGTAGCACTCCGGTGAGTACGCACCCGTCTGCGCTCGATGACGCCTAACCGAAGAGCGGCAGCCGTATGTTGTAATACGCACGCACCTGTTCTCTTTCGTCGTTCGTCCCCGCGCCGCGGAGCAATCGAGTTGTCATCTGCCCACCCTTCGCCATAACAGGGCCGCTGCAAGCCTTCCCGCGACGTCGACGCGCCCCCCTCCCGGCATCTATCCGATGTATGGAACACGGGGCACGCGTCCGCGGCACACCGTGGGTCGCGTCCCAGAGAAGGAAGGCCTCCCCAGACCCAGCCCCCGCTGCCTGCCTCCCTCCGCCGCCGCCAGTGCCCAGTCCGCCCGCCTCGCCCAAGCGTCCGTACGTCATCTGCCGATCAGAGCACAAGGGCGCGCGTGCACGACGCCCTCATCGATGCACAAGGGCGCGGCGCGGCGCGGCCCCCAAGTCCAAGTCCAAATCCAAATTCGCATCCGAGGTCCAAGTCCCAACCCCGCGCAAGCACACACCCAGGGCCCCTTCCCCTGCGCTCGCACGGGACTGGGCCTTGTATTCCCCCACCCCGCCGGCGCACGCCTGATGGAACGGCGCAGGAAAGCAGACTAAACAGAAAGGCGCGTCGACGCCCCCAGCCCCCACCCTGGCAGCAGCTTCCTCCTGCGCGCCCGCACTGCTGACGTAAATCCCAACCTTAGGACCGTCGACGGCGCAGGCGTGATGCACGCCCGGGCGTGCGGGCCTCCGGAGGGCTTCGCGGCCAATCGCGCGCGGGTACCGCGTGCTCGCGCTCCCAGGGCCCGCCTCACGGGGCCCCTCGGGCGTGAACGTTGGGCCGACGGAGGGGGCACGTGGGCCGGCGTGGGCGGACGGGGCGGGAGGAGAAGGACGAGAAGACCCGCGCGCGAGGGCCCGGACGGGAACAAGGCGGGCTCGGCAGGGAGGTGCGTGCGTGCGTTTATCAGTGCAGAGCTTGAGATCTTGAGGGCTTGCGTCCGTCCTGCGCGCGCGGGGGTTCGAGAGGCTTTTCGATAACGGGGATGCCATTGCTAGTGCAGACGGACATGGGACGAGGCCGAGGCCCGCGCTCCGCGGCGCGGGCGTGGACGATGCGTACTCGACAGGAAGGAGAAGAGACGTGGGTGGACAGATCCAGGGACCGGACACGTACGTGGGGACGCGGGCGACGAAATAACGTAGCGGGGCGAGTGCGCCCGGGCGCGGCGCGGCGGGACGAGGCGCACGCAGCCCGGGCCTGGCTCCCTTACTCGGGAGGGGTGTGTCGTGGGGACGGGCGGGGCGATCCCCCAGGGGCGCGCCCGCCCGCCCCCCGCCACGGCGCGGGTATTGATACAGTGCGGCGACGGGGCGCCGGGAGGATATGATACAGCGGTACAGGGTTCGCGAGGGGGGCGGAGCGGGGAGGACGGTAAGCAAGAAACACGAGGCGGGGCGGGGGAAAGAGGACGACGGGGAGATGGGCCTCACCTGCGGGGGAGTAGGCGCGGCGGCGATAACGGAGGAGAACAGGTGCAACGCAACGAGGAGCGAGGACGGAAGACGAGAGGGAGCGAGATAGCAATAAACAGAAGAAGGAGCGGAGGTGAGTGGCCACCAGAATGCTAAATCCCAAACTGGCCCGCGGACAGGGACGAGATGTAGTCCGCTTGCGCGAACACGTTCTGGCCGTGGTGTTGGTGCTGGTGGTGGCCCTGGTCGGCGTAGAAGGACGAGAAGTCGCCTTTCGGCGGGATGGCCCCGAACGTTTGCGCGGCGGACCCGTACGCGGCGACGAAGTCCGGGGCACAGTACGACCCATACAGCGCCGCGGCGTCCGCGTGTTGGGGTAGGAAGCCGCCGTCCGCGGAGGGATCGAAGACGTCTCCGAGGAAGTCCCCGAGCCCCGGCGCGTGGGCGTCGTGCAGCGCGGGGTACGTCTGTGGGGTGCCCGGCACGCTCGAGAGCGGGGACGAGGACGTCGTCCAGCAGTCCATGAAGGACGTGTCTATGGAAAGGTGCTGGCAGTCGAACTGGGGGACGCATGCGTCGGGCGACTGTTGTTGCTGGGCGTGGGCGTCCGGGGTGTAGGTTTCGAAGACGGGGCTGGCCCGATCGAGCGGATCACAGGCTGAGTAGGAGGGCATTGTGGGGGCCGCGCTGGTGTCCCAAGAGAATGTGCTGAATTCCTGCAGATCGCAGCACCACGGCGTTAGCGGGACCACCAATCCAGGGAAGGTCAAGACTCACAAAGGAGGGATTCGCTGATAACCCGTACGTGGGCGTGACGGGGAAGGGCGACGAAGGTGAGCTGTAGTAGTCGCTCTCGGTATCCGGCTCGGACGGTGGGGGCGAGGACGGCGCGGGGGTGGCGTACGAGTCGAAGGACTCGGTCGACGCGGAGCGCACGATCTCGGGCCGCGAGCTGGAGGAGCGCCCCGAGCTCTTGCGCTTCGCGGGCGACGCGGGCTCGACTTTGAAGAACGGCGCGTCCGAGTTGTGCTCGGTGTCGGGGGCGGGCGCGCTGGACGAGCGTCGGTAGTGGCGCGCGGTGATGGGCGCCTCGAAGCGGGTGACGACCTGGGGGACGTGGTGGCGGTCGAACTCTTGGATGGCGGCGTTGAGCGCGGCGCCCTTCTTGCCCTCGATGAGGAGCTCTGCGATCTTGGCGCAGCGCTTGAGGTCCTTGGGCTCGACCTCTCGCACCTTGCGCTTGGGCTCGGGCGCCTTGCCTTTGGTGTGCAGCGGGCGGAAGGCGTACTGGGGGAACTTGCGGCGGTGCTCCTCGAGGGCGGCCTTGGCCTTGGCGTGCCAGACCTGGCGCTCCTCGTTCGGGAGGTTCTGCCAGGTGAGGCCGATGATCTTGCTGAGCGTGGAGTGGTTCGTCTCGACCTCGGAGGAGACGTGCTGGCTCTTGATGAACGAGGAGCGGAAGAGGATGAACGCGTTCGGGGGGCGGGGGATGTGGTTCTCGGGCTTCTTCTTCGCGTGCGCGGCGCGGCGCTCCTTGGCCCCGCCGTCGGTGGGGTTGGCGGGGAAGAGGAGGGGCTCGGTGACGAACTCGAGCTTCGTCGGCGGGTCGAGGTACGTGCCCGGGGTGAGCGTCTGCGCGAACGCGAAGCCCTGGTCGGGCGTGGCGGCAGCGGCAGCGAGGACTGTGGGTGCGCGCGGGGAGGGGGGATCGCTATCAGCGGGCCGTGCGGGGGCGCGAGAGGACGATCGGCGGGCGTCACCTTTGGGCTGCGCGGCGCGCTTGGAGGGGCGGGCGCGGTCTGCGGGCATCGTGCTGGGCGGGGGTGCGGGACGGTGGGTGCGGGGGCAGGAGGCAGGAGGCAGGGAGGAAGACCGGAAGCAGGAGCGGGCAGACGGGCGTGCGGGCAGAGAGGGGGCGGGCGTGATGGTGGGAGGTGTCGCGGATCGAGCACGGGTGGGGGATTACATACGTCTTATACCGCCGCGCAGGACGAGGGGGCGCACGGGAAACAAGTCCGAATACTCCGGCGTCTGCCCCCGTCGAGACTTGAGCCCGGCCTTCGATAAGCGGTCCGAATCGGGCAGTGCGCGCCCAGAAGCCCGGCACGCTTGCGCTCGGCCTCCTCCCGTCCCTCCGCCTGCCGCCCGTCTCGCTGATTGAAATCTGCAATTACGTCCCGCGCTCGCACGACCCTCCCAGCCCACCCACCGACGGCCCTGTTCGCTGGCCATCGCGCGCCGCGCACCGTCTCTCGCAGAGTGGGCTCGCTGCACGCACCAACAGGCGACGGGCGACGGGCGACGGACGAGGATTACGGGTGGAGGGGAGGAGCTTGATCAAGCAGCTGTTGTTCTGTCGTCTTGCTTCTGAGCCGCCTTCTATTGGCCGGGCGCCCCCCTCTCCGCGCACGCACGCACGTCGCGAGGGCCCCCCCCCGCCGCCGAACGACATTGTACTCTCGCACTCCAGATGAATCCACCCCGTACCTACCAGGTGCGATCGTGCTGCACGGCACGTTTCGCCGTCGATCCCAGATGTGGCGTTAGTGAGCGAGATCGTGCAGCGGTCGGTGGCCTGTGAGACCTCGCTCACCCACCTCCACGCGCGCCTCGGTTATCTCCCTTTCGCAGTCGAGATCACGCCGGAGGCAAAATGGGGGCATTACTTAATTATCGCCCCTCGAATGCCCCGCCGCCCGCCGCCGCCGCCACCGCCGGCCCCCCAGACTCCCCTCAGTGGCGCGCGAGCAGGGGAAGAGGCGTCGTATGATATAGTTGTGGGCGTCGTCTAGAATCCGCCGCGCGAGACGTCAGCGTATGTCACGACCTTACGTCTCCCGCCTTCCTGCCGTACTAATGCGCTCGTATTAAAAAAAAAGTCGACAACCCCCGCATCCGTCCGAACCGGTCCGCACGCTTCCCCGATCCAGAAGCCCGGCGTGATCGCCGGGGGGGCCTTCGCTTCCCCGGCCGGAGTGACCCCGGGTTCCGCCTCCTTGGCGCCTGCCTGTACAGAATGCGTGCGCGCGGATGCTTTTCGGCGATCCCATCGCTGGACGGCCCGGAGGCGCCCGGAAGGCGCCGCGGAGGGACTTACCGCACTACTCGCAGCGTAAACGTAGAATGATGGGTTATAAAGAGACGGAGACGGACGAATTCAAGAGAGGAGCCGTGAAAGCCCACCGGTAAACGGAAGCCTCCGTTTTTCGCTCGATGCGCGCGAGGGACAAGCGAGAGAAGTGGGCTAAACATTCATTTACGCAGGAACAACACTCTGGGAGACACCACCTCGTCCCTTTAGCCAATCTTCAGAATGGAAGGCGTCCCTCGGTGAGCTAGGAGAACGGACGTAAGTGACGGTCCCTCCACATCCACCTCCGAGACCCATCGGCGCGCGTCGAGCTCCTCACGAGCGCAGCGGAACGGCGGCGGGTCTGGCGAGCTGATTGGCGCGACGGTGTGCGCGAGCCTGTGGCCGCTTGGCGCGTCGAAACGGCGCACTCCAGGCAACCACCCACGTTCTGCAGGCACACCCTCCATCAGCGCTGAGCGGACCGCTCCGCGTCCCATCGCGGTGTGGTCTGTGTGTCCACGATCGCCACCGCCGCCGCCACCGCCGTCGCTGAGAGGCCGTCGCCCGGGAGCCCAAGGAAGGTTCGGGCCTGGTGCCGTGGACGGTGGACGAAGACGTCCCTGGGAGAGTGCGCCCACAAAGCCTGAACTTACAACGCTCCGTGACGGACGCGTGATCGCGGCCGTCGCGGCCGCTTGTATACCCGAGAACAAACGGAGAGCGGGGGGATGTTCGGCGGGTGTGTTGTCGGTCGTAGATGCGGTCGCTGGGTCGAGTCGGGAGCCGTGGATATGTGCGGATTGAGGTAGGCTAGAGGTTTTGAAGGTTCACGGTTTACGATTTACGGTTCACGGTTATCGGTGCACGGTGCACGGTTCGCCTGTCCACCGTGCCAGCTTCAAACCTCGGCGGCCGATGACCCACCGTCCGCCGTCCTCGCCCGCACGGATAAACGTTTCTGGCGTGGACGACGACGCACGTCGTCGGTCTCCAGAGCCGTCCAGGCAACGCTTCGCGTTACGCCATCGTCGTCCGCGCGGTTGCCCATCAAGTCGCCGAAGCTTCCCGAGCCGTGCTGTGCTCGACTACGACGTCCGTCGCTGTCGCCGGCGACCTCAGGCCTGTCCGTTACCCTCCAGGCTCCAGGCTCCAGGGCCGGAGGACAAGGCCAGGGAAAGCTTCGGCGGACCTGTGGGCTGTGGCCAAACGCGCGCCACACGGTTCTCCCAGATCCCAGACCCGGTCCCCATTCCGTTCCTGGCGCCGCTGATCTCAGCGGAAGAAGGCCATCGACGGCGACGGCGACGGACCAGGAGGACGCTGGACAGCACTCAGTGGTAACTGCTGGGGAGGGAGGTCCCTGCCGCGCGCGCTTCGGCGTCCAGCTCGTTCGAGCCCGGATCGCCGTCCCCTTCTTCTCCAGAGCCCGGCCAGTGGGCGCGCAGATCGCGGGCTCGCGCGCGCGGCGGGCGCGAGTGCGCCCACGGAGGGCAACGTGCTACGATACGCCATCGTCAACGGGTCGGCGGCGCAAGGACCCTGGGCTCGTCCACCGTCCGCCGCCCGCCGCGCGAGTCCGTGGCGAGCGGATCTCGAAGACGGCGGACGGGCTGCTAGCTCTGGATGGCTGTTGATATTGTACAGTGGCGCTGGCGACGACGACGACAACGAGACGGCGCAGCGACGTCACGACGGCTGGGCGCCGAGGGCGCGGGAGGGCGCGCCGGGCGGGACGGGGCGGGACGGGCTGGAAGGAGGCATCGTTGTCCACGCGGGGGAGCTTCTGGCCGCGGACGGCGTTTGGAGAGGCCCGGAATGGGAGGGCGCCTGGCCTGGAAACCACCACCGGGGAATCGCTCGAGCGTGGCGGGGCTGCGGATGGAGACCTCGAGGCCACGCCCGGCCGTGACACCTCGGGCATAGACATGTGTTCTGGCCAGGTAAATCCGTGGGAATTTGAAGTAAAATGTGTCATTCTGCTAGCATGTCCAATCGCCGTTATATCCGTGTGACAGTTATACTATCTCGGGCATGCCGCATGCATTTCCCGTGCGGAGAAAGGCAACCTTCCCCTTTGCTGCCCGTTCAGGGACATGCCAGGGAAATGCTACCTTTCCCTTGCATTTCAATGGCATTTTTCTCAGCGTTGCACAGCTCACATGCGTATGTCGAGCACTGTGGGGCAGCAGGATGTGCACACCGTCGTTTTTGGTGTGCACCGTTGCTGTGTGCCCGTGTTAGCCTTGGCAACCACCACACCTGAATTTGACATGCAAGGGAAAGGTAGCATTTCCCTGGCATGTCCCTGAACGGGCAGCAAAGGGGAAGGTTGCCTTTCTCCGCACGGGAAATGCATGCGGCATGCCCGAGATAGTATAACTGTCACACGGATATAACGGCGATTGGACATGCTAGCAGAATGACACATTTTACTTCAAATTCCCACGGATTTACCTGGCCAGAACACATGTCTATGCCCGAGGTGTGAGCTGCTCAAGGACGGCCCGCGCGCACGTGTCGCCGACGGTCGGATTGAACGGCAGCTCGGCCGGCCAGATGGAAGACGAGGGGGAATTCGCGACCTTGAGCCGCAGAAGGAGTGGTACGGCGCCTGCGAATTAGAGCTCGTGCTGACCATCCTCGCCAACAGACGGTCTGCGGAAGCACGGCGCGACGGGCAGGCGCTCGTCGCCCGCCCGCCCGGGCACCACACAGTGCGGCCCACCGCATTTGTACCCTAAATGGCAGCACGACGGCGCGAACGGGCCCGCCGCGGCGCGCGCGGACGCAACCACCCGCCCCGACGCGTTCGCGCCCGGCCGAGAGCGCGCACGCGAGTGCCATCTCCGTCGCGCGCCCCGCCGGAGCTGGGAGCCGGGGGGCCTTGAGCCTGGGGCGGCGTGCCGGCATGGGCATTCGTGCGCGGCGCGCTCTTGTTCTTGGGACGCCGTGCGCCATGGGACCGCGGCGCTGGAGCGGGCGCGCGCACGGGGGCGGGCGTGGGTGCATTGCGTGCGCGCAGCTGGGCGTTTGAGCGCCGAGGCGCCGGGCGATTTTTCCGCAGGGAGTGGAGGCCCGAGGGGCTTCGCGGGTTCGCGAGTTCGCTCGCTTGCGGTATCTGTGCGCCGTGCGCGGCGCGTCCGGCCGACGTTGCGTAACGTCCGCGGTTGGCGTTGGGCACCCGCCCGCGCTTCGAGTGCGTAGGCAGCGCGGACGGTGGTCTGCAGAGCGTGCCATTCGGATGGATCGAGCGGCAGCTGGGCGCTCGAGGTCGGTGTGCTATGCATTGACGACTCCGGATAAAAGCGGGAGTACAACGGGCGACGCCGCGCGGAACGTGGCCTGCGCCCTGCACGTGTCCGGAAATGTTGATGCCCGTTAGGTGTCGAGCTGCCTCGAGGCGCGGCGCTGCACACGTACGTCGCCATTGCACGGCGGAGACGGAGACCGTGCACCGACAGGCCGCGTGCGAGCTCCAGAGTCAGGCGCAGTTGAGGAGTTCGAAGCCGGGTTTGCGGCTACGCTAGGAGGCCAAATGAACGGGCGAAGGCCACACCAGTGTACGAGCCTTTGGCATACGAAGTGACGGAGCGACCTAGAGCCTAGGGACGATAAGCACAGCATCATGCATGGGGCCACGGGCGGTGACGCTCACCAGCGAATAGCGGCCAGGCGAGGGCCCCCTCAGATTCAGAGACGCACGGGAGGGGCGTCAGTCCGATCCTTATTGTTTTTCCGACCGCCCAGTGACCTTGAAGTGATGCGACGACCTGCGACCAACAGCAGCAGACGAGGCAGGCATCAGTACTTCCGGCATCGTCCGACATGTCGACAAAACCCATACGTTGAATGGAACCCGATGGCAAGCACTGGGCCGAGCTGGTGAGTCCACCCTCGATCCTAGTGTTGTCGAAATGCAAATGAAGAGCTTCAAGTCACGTAGAAACGTGCGCAACCTTCACCCGGAGAGTACGCGTCCGAGTGAACGAGCTCATTCCGGAAGCGCATCCGAAAGGGATAGACTAGCCTCGCGGCAGGCCAAGGGTCGCAACCATGCGGTGCGAGCGTTGTATTAAATTGGCGACGGCTGCAAGGCCTAAGAATCTGCGACAATCACCTTCTCAGTACTGCCTCGACACGCCACGACTTGAGACTGCGCACCATGGTCGGTCGAATGACAGGTACGAACGGCTGCAACAATGTACCGTGCACCCCAAATGCTAGCGTTGCGGAAATGAACGCCGCCCTCTAGGTGGTGACGAAAAGTCAGCTTTGCGGTGGAAATGAACGGCTGCCGCGCCCGCGGTCTAGACACTGGCCTTGGGGACGCAGTCCTGGCGTCTAGAACAGATTGTCCGTGTGGGTAGCGGTTCCTTGACGGAGCCTTTCTGCCACGTCGGACAGGTGGCCCCGTGCGCCATCATTCGTCTCGGCCGCGGCCTTGAATTTGAAAGCCGTCCGGGCCGGCGTCTCGTCGCCCCTCGTCGCCCCTTCGACCGCGCGCGTCAACGAGCCTTCTCGTCGTCCAGGAGCTGCCGCCAGCGCAGTTTGACAGACAGCGTCTGCTGGACGGGGAGTCCGGGGCCGCAGTGGAGCCGCCCCCGCTCCATCGAGCTTCGAGCGCACGTCGATCTGGCGTTCCCGCCGACACGCCTCGGAGGCCGCGCTGCGACGCCATTCGACACCCCGAGCGGCATCGCCGCTGCGTCCACCACGGCCGCGCTTCGCTACCGCGTAAGCAGCGCGCTCTGCCCCCGCTGCGCCCTTGTGTTGCCGCGCGGGCGCATGCGTCGGCCAGGGTCCTCGGCGCGGGAGATGACTGTGGGAAGATGGCGTACGTGCCCCGCAACGGGGTCCACGCACGGAAGGAGGGGTGGACCAAGGACGGGGGCGATAAGGCGGGCGTGCCGGAGGGGGCGCAATTACGCGGGTGCACGGGAGTGGTTAGTGCTCGGGTGCGATCGAGGGGGCTCGGGCGAGGAGGGCGCAGGTTGGTCTTGATCACCTTGACGCGGTGCGGCAGGGTGGCACCGGGATCCTCCGTGGCGTTCGTGGGTGTCGGTGGCCCGCGTGGGGCGACCCTGCGCGACTACGCACGGGGCATCGCGCGCGCCGGGCGTTGTTCAGGCTTGAGAGGAGGCAACGGCGAACGCGCCTTGTTTGCTGGAAGGCATCGTGCGTTGGACTCTGCTCGAGTCATCACCCGGAAGGACTCTGATGGCTCTTGAGATCAGGGGACGACGCTGCAAGCGCTCTGCGCGCCAGACTTCCGGTCCCCATGTGGTCCACTTTGGGATTTGCCCTATGCTGTTGGACGACGAGGTGGAACTGGGGTGCGCGACCTAACCCCCAAGTGGGGGGCGTAAACGATTGGAAGTTTGGCGAGTCTGATGCAGCGCAGATGCTTCGGCGTTGAGGCACCCGGATGGCGCGATGCGGCGGGGCGGGATCGGATCCACCTGCAGAGCCTGGAAGACGCGCCCGGGCTTGGACAACTGAGCAGCCTTGAGCTCTGTAGGGTGTAGCGTACCACGAACAACGGCGGTGTCCGGCACAACTTCACGTGAGCTGTAGAGATGCTGTGTGATATCATCGACAGGCTGTCCGCCGAGTTGCCCTTTATGTTTCGGGTCCTTCCGGACGCTGGCTGCCGATAGAGACCTACGGAGTACGGTGGCTCCTGACGCGGGTGGAGTGCCACATATCGAGATCTCAGAGCTGGAAGCTGAAAGCGTCTGTCGCTAGAAACGTGCGTGTCGAGATCCGGACAAGGAGGTCCGATAGACCTTGTGCTTCGAAGGAATGACAATAGGCTGCGGAGGATTGTGGGTGTCTTGGTGGGAGTGCCCATATGCGCCCTCTGAGCGAAAGTCGACGGATCCGATTAGTGACATTCAGCGTAGCCTCGGCAGTGTCCTACCTTCGGCATGGCGACACCCCATCACGCACAACCTCAAGGGTAGGCGTTGTGTAAGGCTACAGGGGTATGGTGGCGCATTCATTGAGGTTTCCTAATCGGGCACGCACAGAGCAATTGGTGTTCGGTATGGAGTTGCTGGGTTGATGAGATCGTGAAGAGTTAGGAGCTACCATGTCCCCTGACGAATAGGCCATTGTGTCGAAACTATCAGGTCGAGTGGGCGTGGGTCTATACGGTTCACTGGTCAACAACGAGCAAGTGGCGGAGCGCGCGCATTTAGGCGACAGTTCACCTGCATTTGGAGCGATGAGACCTCAGTTGCATAGAAACAAGGCCTTGGGAACATGCGTCAGAGTTGGGAAGGTGTATGACGCTGAAGGAGTAGACCCTCTGAGAGCTGGTTGTCGCGATCATTGGAGAGGTCGCGGTCTGAATAACGAGGAAGTTCTTCTCCGTGGCTTGCCGCTCTAGAAAGACGACCGGTGTATACGCGCGTCTTAACACTTGCAACAGAAACTTGGGTTATCATAGAAACGAGACCTATGAATGTACAGGTATGGCTCTAAAATCAACGGGGACATGGCGCCCTCTGGTTCAAAATGCACAATGGCGTCGGCTATGGATCGGGGCAAACACATAGAGACAGAAACGCACCCAAAAGGTCATGCTTGTGCTCACTCATACTGGTAGGGGGTAGAGAGCGCGATCACTACGGCGCATTCGCGTTAAAAAGGAAATAGACCACAATAGACGTACCGAGACAACCGCGTCTGCCTCGATCTCCACCAGCATCTCGCAGGAGACAAAACGAGTCCCGACCAGCATCGTCGCGGCCGGCGCCACATCTCCCAAAGCCTCTTTGAAAGCCGTTCCAACCTGGTCTGCATCACCGCTGTTCGTGATAAACATGCGTACGCGGACGACGTTCGTTTTGTCTCCTCCTAAGGCTTTGATGGCTCGAAAAATCTCTTCGAAGATAGTCTGGGCTTGCTTGAAAGCCGAGCTGGGGTGGAGAATCTCGCCGGACTGAGGGTCGATGGAAGTGGTGCCAGATACGAAGATGAACGGTCCTTGTCGGACGGCTCTGGAGTAGCCGAACCGCTTTTCATAAGGGTTTCCTGTGGTATGTTTCTGCATGCTGAGGGCCTCGAGTTAACACCCGGAGAGATTGGGAAAGCAGAAGTGGATTCGCACCCAGGTTGTATACGTATCCATTGTGACTCGATCTTTCCGAGTCAGTCGCCGTCTTGTCGGCGCATGCTTGGCTGCGCTGGGTTTGAAGTGGACTTCAACTCTTGAAGACATTCATGGAGGCAGAAGAAAAGAAACGGGAGTCCGAACGAGGAAGAGATGGTGGGTGCCTCAAGCGAGGGGCATGGTGATCGTCGCGGAGGACGTGTATTGCTTGCTCCAGGCCAACCTCTGGCCGCCCATCTCAGCTGCCTCGCCACTCTCGCCTCCCGGGCCACCGCCTACAACGACAACCACACTCTGGACAAGAATGGCAGCGCTCCCCTTCCCAATTCGCGCGTCCCCAAATGGCCTGCGGTATCGAAGCCAACGCCATCCAGCGCCCGGCCGTGCCCCGCCTCGTGTTCCCTGGAATCGCTCCCTGCGAGCAGCCTGCTCTTGATCCCCGCCCATCTAATCTGCCCTCCTCGTCCGCCTCGTCCCACCCCACCCTAGGACACCTCCCATCCACCCCCACAGGCCACTCCGTGGAATGATGATGAACGGGGCCGGAATGTACGACGGTATGCCGCCACTCGTCCCACAGCCCGACGACAACAACTACCATGCCGGCCACCACCCGTCTTCCTTCGACGCCAGCCACTACTTCCCCATGGCCCCCGCTGGGGGCTACCTAGGTGGCAGCCCGATGCCGTATTACACCAACCCCAACTCGTGGCCCTCACCGGATGCGCAGAATATGGGCTTCCCCCAGCGGCCGGGATGGGCGGGGCACCGGTCTGGGGTACGCCTTCCGTCCCCATGTTCTCTCCGATGGCAGGGGTTGGCTTCGTGCCCATGTACCCCATGGCTGGTGTGGTCGGCTCCGAGGGCTGGCCACGCCCGCTAGCGACACCCGAGCCGCCACCACCAGCGGCGGTCGAGACAAGCCCACCCTGGAAGAACCGTGATGACCGCTCCGCGAACGCGACGAACGCCGCGCCGCCCTGGGCCACCAGGGGCACAGTCCCAACGGCGGCGGGTCCTCGCTCTCCCGCAGCCTGTCGCTCTCGTCCAGCCCAGCGTCGACGCTCGGCGGCGCGTCCCTCCGGCGACAGGTATCCCGACCACATCTCGACGGGCAGGAAGCGGAGGCGCGGAAGCGGGCCCCGCGCGAGTGGCGGACGGACTTCTCGCTCAACTCATCGGGGCTCTTGGGTGGCTGCTGGGCTCGCGCGCGAGATCAAGGTCGTTCGGGGGGATGGAGCCCGGTGCGTCTCGTCTCGTCTCGTCTCGTCCCACTGTCCCCATGCGTCTCCGACGCTGACTCCATGCCCGCTCGCAGTGCCGAAGGTGGAGCTGCACCGGTACCTGCAGTACTCAGCTCGCGGCCGCCGATGCACCTCGACTCCGGTACTCGCCCAACGCGCTCAAGTTCCGCGCGATGGGCGACCGGGTGCTGACGAACTTCGACCTCACCCGGTTCGTGTGCGAGCCGCCGCTGCCGCACATGCGCCTCTTCCACGCGCACTTCCCGTGGTACATCGACGTCGAGGCGCAGAACCCGTCCGGGGTGACGCTCTACGAGCTCTTCTACGCGATCTGCGAGTGCATGGCGCGCCAGATCGAGAACGCGGACTACTACAACGTCGAGATGAACACCGAGTCCCGCGGCCGGGTCTCCGAGTCGTGGGGTGCGCGGTGTCGGACGGAGGAGGAGCGGCAGCAGGGCATCCGGCGCGTCGACTTCCTCATGGGCCGGGTCATCATGGAGGGCATCCAGAAGGCGAAGGACGGCTTGTGGGAGATCAAGACGAAGAAACTCCCGGGGTAGCCAGAGATGATTGCGGACTGTCTTGTTTGCTTCATCGGGACCGTTTGTGCTAGAATGGTGTGTATCTCTGTCGTATTTATCATACCCTTGTGTAGCTGCTCGCGTTGTCTTATTCTGTATGGTTCTTGAAGTATCGCATTGTACCAACGTACTCTTGCATCTGTATTACCTTTACTCGCATGTACAATTCCAATCGCACTCAATCGCAACCCCGTCAACCTCGGACGATTGCCAAACCAACAAACACGCGACAACAAGACAAGACCAAGGATTCCAATCTCAGCACTTCGAACAGGTTATCCACCAGATGTCTGTTCCGCAGAGTCCACAACTTCAAGTATGTAAGGCATCATGCACTGGCAACCGCGGCGACACTGAGCTTGATCACCTCACCCGGACCCCCGGACATCGTCGATGTCTTGTTAGTCCGGAGGTCGTTCACGACCTCTGTGCCATGCGCGAGCACACCTCCGTGCAACAGTGACAACGCTGCCGGGTGGAAGGTGGGTGCCACTTCGTGCTTAACGGACGGACTTCGTCTGAGTTCACGAGGCATGCATATAAAATGCATCGGTATATCACCTGTACACAGCCGATGAATAGTGATGGGAAGCCTACCTTGCAAATCTGCCTCAGCAATCCAATGCCCCCGAGCGAGGTTTGACATTTTGTATTCCCAGTCCTTTACTATCTGTATGGTAGCGCAATGGATGGCGGACATGTCGTGTGACCAAAACTACTCCAATGCCTTCCGAAATCCATCTAGCACCCTCCCTGCTCCCACGAACATCCCTCCGACGAGCTTCCCCATCTTCTTCCCCATCGAATGCCGCGGATGTCCATTGCCCCCGGGCGCCACCCCCGCGCTCAGCCCGTACACCGCGACCGCTACACCGAGCACGATCACCGCACCCGCGACCATCGTGCGCCGCTGGAGCACGATGTCCGTGAGCCGCCGCGGCTTCCGCAGCTTCCGCCGCCTGCGCTCCTTCTCCTTCTCCCTTCCTTCTCCCTCTCCTCCTTGCGCTCATCGAGCACGTCCTCTTCGACGTACGGCAAGACGACGAGCTCCGGGCGCGCGCCCATCGCCTCCGCCTCGTCGTCGTCGGGCAGGTCCGCCGCGCGCTCGGACCACGTCCGCATCGCGCTCTGCGGGCCGAGGATCGTCGGGAGCCGAGTGCAGGCGCGTCGGGGGGAAGCGCGCGTAGAGGGCGTCGGCCTCGGTGAGGAGCGCGGTCAGCGAGACACGTGGGCGGCGCGGGCGCGGGTCGGGCCGTCGTCGTCGGAGACGGTCTTGATGACGGAGGTGTCCTCGGCGTCGGCGTCGGAGAGGGAAGGTGCTCGGGGGATGGGGAGCGTGAGATAAGGGCGGCCTTCTCACCTCCATCGTCCAGGTGGACGGGAGCGAAGATTGGGTCGTCCGGTTGAGGTTCTGCCTTAGGCTGGACGATGCACGCATCGATGATTGTCTCCGCATCAAGTTCGCGATGAGGTTCGCGTTCTGGACCGGTTGTATGCTCCAAATCAACCGGGGCTTCGACCAAAACTGGGGACGATGCTTCTAGCAGCACGACGTCGTCAGGGACCGGGATCGTCGCAGGGCCAGGTTCTTCCCCGGAGAGTCCAGTCTGTTCTGCGACGATGGCACCTTGTTCCTCCGCAAGTTCGGGGGTCGTCGTCTGTGTTGCACCCGAAGATTCGTCGGAAGTGGCGAGCACGTCTATAGGCTGGGAACTCGGAGGAAGATCGTCCGTTCTTCCGAGGCTTCCGCAGATCCTCCCGTCTCGGCCAATGGCAAGCAGTGTCGTCACAGGGAGCTTTTGCCTCTTCTCCCTCGACGGCGTGGATCGATGGGGCTTCGGGGGAGTGCTTCGGGGGAACAGGGTCCTGGTTGGGAAGCTCCGGGGCCTCTTCGCCTTCTTCATAGAGATCCGGAAGAACAGTGAGCAGCGAGTGCATCATCCCCTCTTCGCCCTCGTCTTCAAGAAGCTGCACCTCTTCTCGACGGGTGAGAATGAGCTGCAGTGGGGGTGGCGCTGTCAGACGGGCTGAGATATCGTTTCGGGGTGACGTACTGCGGCAGCCAGGTATACAACCGCTATTGGTGGTCTGGACAGGAGGTAATCGAATATATGCTGGATGAGAGGGAGAGTTGGCACATCATGTGAGAATAATGTTAACAGATTAGATAGGGCATAGTATGGTAATGGTGCAGTCCTGTCGTTTCCGTCAGTTGCTGGAAGCTATCTAGTCGGAAAGGAGACTTACCGTTCCAGAGTCGCAGCGAATTGTGAGTCCGCCAAACGCAACAGGTTCTTCAATATCCTGCGGCGAACGTCAGCCATCGCGTGCTTGTTCAGAGGGATATGGCAAAGAAACGAGACACATGGACGTCATTACTCGAAGTGCGCCCTGGTGAATATACGGGAGTTCCGAAGAGCACACGTCCATCAGGGTGCACAATAGTGCTCAGGCTCATGCTAATGCGGGAGCATGCTCATATCACACGCATATACACCCATCCTCGCCGCATACAGTATACACCATCAAGAATCGTGTGCTGTCCCCATGTGGTGGCTACGACAGGGTCTGCGCAAGGGCGCACAAGATGCTACCCATGTCCATACCCTGAAGTGCATTGACACTCAGACAGCACGGTACAGTGCGTGTACATGCACGAGAAGAGTGTGGTGAAACGCACCGGAGTAGTCCAACAACAGGGTCTAGATTGGGACCCATAGAGTCACGCACCCGGTGCAAGCTCAACTTCTCCACCACAGGAAGGTGCATTTCTTTCGGCAGCGTCAGGAAGACAACCGACACTATGTCGTGGTATCCCTGCGGAGTCGGGTAGGTGAGAGTGCGTTGAAAGCCAAAGAACAGTACGCACTTGGAAATAATGTAGTCGCGGTCGCTTGCGGAAGATGGATACAATAAGTCGGTTAAGGGCATTCTGCCGTCGTTCACGGTCATTGGACTGGTCTAGCACCATCTGGTGAACAAGGGCGCTGAGGACGAGGGACGAATGTATTCACCTACTGGATACAGGACGAAACTGCGGTCCGTGTCGAGCTCGATCTGGTGTTCGTCTGTGTGGGGCGTGCCATCCAACTCGCCCTCAATCTCGGGTATGTCCATACTAACTTCTGACCACGCAGAGGACAAGGACAACTCTCGCCGGTCTTCGTAGTAGTGGTCATTCAGATGGACGAGCTTTGGCCTGAGGTTAAGAATAGTTAGTGGTTGTATGCTTTATGCCATGCGCACATGAACTCACCATATCCTCACGCGTTCTTCGCCGAAGCCGTGAGGTTGAAGGCTCAACGTCCGGTAGACCTGCCACTCGAGTGCGTCGATGGGATGAGACTGAGAGGCGGGAGGAATGTCATCGTTCATTCGGAAAGCTTCCGGTCGATGAAAGGAGGTGTCAAAGGAGAGTGGTGGCTGGTCACAGCAGCGGACAAGGATGAGGACGCAGTGAGTGCGCCGGGTGCGGGGAATGTGGCAGCCCGCGCGTCAGGCCGTCGGGAGTCGACGCCAATAGATGGGCCTCCGCGTGAGATAAGATAACGTCAGAATTTCCGAGTCTCGCTGGTCTCACCGTCAGGCTGCCGAAGGCCAATGACTCCCGCCGTCTCTCACCACCCCCACTCGTCATCCCATCCACCGTCTGAATACCCCCCTCTTTCGCCCTGAGAATGAGCACAACAACTACCGTCCAGCAAGATCAGCAGGAGACGTTGGGCATGGCCGTCCCACCCTTCACCGCCCACGCCATCTCAGTATCCCTTCCCACATGGAGAGACAATGTGGGGTATGAAGAAGGAGAGAAGAGGGTGGTGAACGCCATGGTGAACGGCTATCCGCGGTTCTTCATCCATCTCAGCATCCAAAAAGTGAGTATTATGCGCCTGGCTCTGGACGGGATGTTATTTCGACGGGCATTGCCTTCTCTATCCACATCCCCATACTTCATGCGAGCCACAAACTTTGAAATAGGCGACGCAAGGCCATGCGGTTGCGCAGTCTCATAGAGCGCAGCTCCTTTCGCGCGTTTGCGGCTCCTTGGTCACAGGGCCTGTTCGTTCCGTTAATAGTGAACTGACGCCATCTGCAGTTAGCTGGAATCTGCGAGCAAAAGTTCGGGGTGCAGGAAGAGAAGTGCCTTCTTTGTCCCACTCACCGCACCGCCGAACAGTGCCGCACCTTCATCATCGACCGGACAACAAAAGATGGCTCCCCTGCACCAGTACGGCTGGTCCAATTTGCCATGCTTTCCGACGACGAACAGTCATCAACACCATCCATCGAGCTGCATATCGTCCTCTTCCCCGGAGATTTCTTCCCATACGCGAAACAGTTCTGGCAGCACACTGGTCTCGGCATTTCCTCCCGAGTCGCAGACCGCTGTCTGTCGCTCCTCCATGCAGACTCTTCCTCCCCCAGCTCTCCTGTTCTATCATCACCCACGGTCCGCGCACCAGTCAAGCCGGGGAACAGGCACTACGCTTCCAAAAGCTACGGGAGATCGCCCCCTGCCTCGCCGAGTGTCGCCCAGGCCTCTGTTCTTTCGATTACCGACGCTTCCTCTGAACTGTTCAGCAAAGACCACGACAACTACTTGGAGGAGCGCTATGGCCGCAACATGCCTCTCGAGTCCGCCGCCGCGGCCAAGCGCGCTATGCGTCGACGTATCGCCGGTGTATTGGTGCGCGACGCTCCAAACGACTGGCACACCGCAGGCGGAAACGACGCGGAGCTGGGTCCGAGTACCCGTGGAGTTGAAGGCGTGACGGAGGACGACGTTTTCCTGTACCCTACTGGCATGTCGGCGATCTGGAGTGCCCATCAGCTCGCATTGGCAGTGCGGCCCACGGCAAAGAGCATATGCTTCGGGTACGTGCGGCGATGTTTAACTCGTCTTCATATGCTCATCTCGACACAGCTTCCCGTATACGGACACTCTCAAGATCCTCGAGAAGTGGGGGCCCGGCTGCCACTTCTTTGGGAACGGCCTCGACGAAGACATCGATCCCCTTGAAGCAACGCTGCAGCGTGAGCTTGAGGCAAACCCGTCAAGTCCTCCTGCTCTCGCGCTCTTCACCGAGTTCCCTTCGAATCCGCTCCTGCGCTGTGCGGATCTGGCGCGACTACGCAGACTTGCAGACAAATATGACTTCCTGATCGTCGTGGACGAGACGATCGGAAACTTTGTCAACGTCGAGGTCCTCCCGTACGCCGACATGGTTGTCAGCAGCCTCAGCAAGATCTTCTCCGGGGACGCGAACGTCATGGGCGGCAGGTACGCTGTCCTTCTTTTTGTTACGACTCATCGCTGAACCGCTCCTCAGCTTGGTCCTGAACCCACAAGGACGGCACTACGCCGCGCTGAAGGCGCACATGGACTCCGCCTACGAAGACGCGTACTTCGCCGAGGACGCAATCTACATGGAGCGCAACTCGCGCGACTTCCGCCGGCGCGTCGCCGCGATCGACGCGAACACGCTCGCCGTCTGCGAGTTCCTCCGCGCGCGCTCGCTCGTCGCCCCGGTGCCCCCGCCGAACGCGGCCGTCAAGTTCGTGCACTATCCGAAGTGGGAGTCCGCGGCGAACTACGAGCGGCGGCGGCTCCCCGGCGGCGGCTACGGTGGCCTGTTCTCCCTCACGTTCGCGTCCACCGCGGCATCGCGCGCGTTCTTCGACGCGATGCCGTGCTTGAAGGGCCCGAGCCTGGGCACGAACTTCACGCTCGCGTGCCCGTACACGATCCTCGCGCACTACCTCGAGCTCGACTGGGCCGCGAGCTGGGGCGTCGACGAGGGGCTGGTGCGGGTGAGCGTGGGGCTGGAGGACCGGGGGAGGCTGCTGGAAGGAATGGAGGTAGCGCTGAAGGCGGCAGAAGCGGCGGTCGAGCAGGAGGCGCAATCGTAAAGTGGATGGCTAGACGGCCTGACGGAGAGCAGCAGCCCAACACTGTTGTTGCAAGACGCACACATATACCCCGTTCAACTCGGGGACAAAGGCCGGTCCAACCCGGGATGAAACAGTAGACTACTCCAAACATATTATGTATCATAAGCAAATAAAACTCCATCCAACTGGTATAGGTGAGCGCAACCCCCCTCGCAACCCGGACGATGTCAGGCGGTAGACGCCAATAGATTGGGCTCGGTGCAAGATAAGATAATGTCCCGGCCTGTTGCGCGAACACTTCTCAGCTACACATAACGTACACTAGAATCACTGCTCTGATACCTGCCACCCCACTCTCTTTCTCTTGTCCTAATGGCATCTGACGCCCCTCGGTTTCCTGAACTTGTGTCGCAGATCATTATCGTCTCGACTCTACTCCATCACGCCGTCCTTGTCACCAGCCCCCCCAGGCTCAAAGAGGCTCAAATCTATCTCTCCGACGTATGGAATGCTCTCGCGTTCCTCCTGGGCCTTGGGGGCACCGATGACCGGGCCGCTCACGAGGAGGAGGTGGCTGTCGCAGGAACCGTAGAAGCGGGGGCCATAACTGTGTTTATATCCCGCAACACCGGCTCGCGCGAAGATGGCGCCTCGCCACAAGTGTTCAGTTCTCGTGACCCCGAACGAGGTTGGACCCTTCTAAACCGGTCATACGTTTCGATAAAGAGGTGCGTTTCACTCTCCTCTTCAGACCATTCGCTTAATGCAACAGACAGAGGCGCTTTGAACTTTGAGGCCCACATTCAAGACGTTCTCCATGTCATCCGGTACTTTTCCGCCCCCCCGGAACGTCGCTATGAGGGCTTGGCCATTCGTTGTCTCTTTACGTTCATCGTCGTATTTTCCTACTCCGAGCTCCTTTCTCGCATTGAAGACGGCGACAAGTTGTGGATCCACAAGAGCACGGACGCGGAGAGCCGAGGCGAGGAGTCTACACAGATGGAGTTGGAGAAGAAGGGCAAGCAGCTGGAACGAGGCCAACCGGTTCAAGAGGTCGAGACGAGCAAGAAGGGCACGCCGAAGAAGGGCAAGTCGAAGAAGGGCAAGTCGAAGACGGGCAAGCAGGTTGAACGAGCCCAACCGGTTCAGGAGTGCGAAACGAGAAAGCACGGAACGCAGAGCAGGTCCATACGCAAGGTTGCCCCGGTCGGGCAGGGCAAGCTGGCCGAACAGGCTCAGGGCGAACAGGCTGAGCCGGCTGACCTCAATGCGAACCACCTCACGACCCACATCTACCACGTCCTCCGTTCCACCCCACAAACGCACATCCGACCTCCCGGGAGAAGCGTCTCGTTCCGCAGCTTCATGCGGTCCGACCTGGAGAGAGCGGGTCTCACGCCATCTGACTGCGACCCGTCGGACTCGGAACTCACATACTCTGGTACGAACCAGAACGCGAGCCAGTGGGCGAAGGTGGTGATGGACTCCGTGGGAGACATGAGGGGAACTCTGGACGACCTGCGCAAGGACACTTGGCTCTCTGGCTTCGCCCTGTCGGACAAGTACAACTTTTTGTTCGATGCGACGCACGTCTTGCACGAGATCCTGGCTTGCAGCCACGTCGTCGAGGCCCTCCTTAGTCCCCAAGTTCTGGTCGACCTCCGTACCATGCGCGAGCACGCCTTCTAGCAAGAGCGACAAAAATGCACGGTGGAACGTAAGTGCATATCTTGGAGGTTTCGTGAATGGATTTGTTTGATTTGCGGTCAGAGATCATGAAGGGTCTCACCGAAGACAAAATGAACAGCACGGGAGCCACACCAAACAGTACGTGCCTTCTGCACATTCTGCTTGACCTGTAGTTGACTTACTAAATGACCAGGCGCGGCCGACGCTAGAGCTACTGACGACAAGGGGCGTATGTGCTTTTCATAATTCACGTTCGCTGTCCGAGCTAACGATAGTAAGTTTAGTGCCAGATGCATTTGCCAACCCCGACGAGCCACCGGGGGACCGATTCGTCCGTTATCTTCCTTCCCCTCACCATCTTGGAAATCCTGTCTAGATTTTCCAAACAGAGGCCGCAGACCACGAACGACCCGGTCGAGGTGAACGCGGTCTACGTGAAGGACATCCCTTCGGAGTTCAAGCTGCCCCAGCACCCACACCTTCTCGGCAAACTCGAAGAGTTGTGGAAGAAGGCGTCCGCTACTCGCTCTCGCCTTCTCGGTCATCCTGCGGACCCTCGGGATTTTCTATTTATACTGGAACAGCCGTGGGACGAAGGGTCTATCAAGGCGAAAGTGCATGCAGAGGCCTTGCTTATAACTTCCGCCCTGTTGGTGCACAGGGGGGCCATTGAGGAGCGATGACAGGAAGCTCGTGATCTGATACATTCCGTGTTAACAGTAAGGCTACGACATCGCTCGTCTGTTGCGGTTGTTGACCGGTCTCGTCCATCCAGCACAACGAAATCACGTTCGGTGTCACCAAGAAGAGCTGCTTTTGCTGTTCCCTTCTCGCACAGGTAATCGCTGAAAAGGATTCGTCCTCTCCTTCAGCGGCGTCTGTCAAATTCGTTCTCCCCGGCACGCATTCCACGGTCCTCCCGTGGTACCCTCCATCGGGTCTTCCGGAGGACGTGTTGACGAAGATGGCGAGGCGTCTGATGGATGCACTGAAGGGGTTTTCGGAAGCCGCTGCGCAAGGCAGTGCATCTAATCAATGGACGCCTCTGAAAGCTACCGTTGGCATTGCAAGGGGAAGCTCTGAGGACATCCGAGCCAGGTGGAAGGTCCTCCGTGCCCGCCTCGACACTCCAGCGAGCCCGGAGGAGTCTTGAGAGTTATTATATCGGGTTCTTTGCTTTATGTATAGTAGTAGCACAATGGGATGGCAGCAGCCAACGACAAGTCGTGCGACCAAGATCTCATTAGTCTGTCCAAAACCCTCCCTGCACCCACGAACATCCCTCCGACGGGTTTCCTCATCTTCTTCCCCACCGAGTACCGCGGATGCCCACTGCCCCCTGTGCTCAGCCCGTACACTGCGACCGCAACGCCGGGCACGATCACCTCGTCCGCGATCATCGTGCGCCGCTGGAGCACGATGTCCGTGAGCCGCCGCCTGCACGCCTTGTCCTCCTCCCGCTCGTGCTCGTCGAGCACGTCCTCCTCCTCGACGTACGGCAGGAGAATTCGGAGCTCCACGCGCGCGACCACTGCCTCCGCCTCGTGGTCGTGGTCGTGGTCGGGTAGGCCCGCCGCGGGCTCGGACCACGTCCGCATCGCGTTCTACCGGCCGAGAATCGTCGGGAGCGGGCGCGCGGACGCGCTGCGTGTAGAGTGCATCGGCCCGGCCGAGGAGACCCGCGGTCGGCCAAACGCGCGGGCGGCGGGGGCCGGGCTGGGCCGGGGGAGGGCTCGTCGTCGACAGGGACGGTTTTGATGTCGGGCGTGTCCTCGGCGTCTCGTCGGAAAGGGGGAGGCGCCCGGGTGATGGGTAGCGCGCGGTGTGGACGGGCCTTCTCGTCGCCGTCGTCCAGGTGGACTGGGGCGAGGGCTGGTTCAGGTTCTGCTTTGGGATGGATGATGAACGCATCGACGTCAAGGCCGCGCGTTTAGGTTCGCGTTCTGCGCTGAATGTATAACTGGGAATGATGCTTCTGACGGCACGGTGGTGTGAGGGATCGAGTCTTCGGGACCGTCGCTGCGCCGTGTTGTTGCTCGGGGAGCCGCTGACGAGCTGGAGTTGGTCGGCAAGGAGGAACTCGCCCCAGCCCGTGACTGGTGGAATTCCTGGTGGGCCCGCGTACAAGGGTACACGTTGTTCGTTTTGAAGAAATGTCAAATGTATTCATGCCGATGTTCGACATTCTCGGACCTCGCGCTTCGTTGGAACAATGTGCGACGTGACCCTCATACCTCAAGAAGGTCGAGGCTGCCAACCGTCGGCGACTGCTGGAGCGATATATAATTTCGATTGGCGTAACGAACACTCGATAGGGCTTTGCCATATTAATACAGTTGCTCACCCTCCTCGCGTATCCACACTTGGTATCCGTGCGTAGCCCATTGCGTGTTCGAAGGAAGCACTGAAGAGAGTTGAATCAGTTCCATGCGAGAACAGAGTCACAACTTTCGACGCACCCAAAGTTGCCCGCTAGTCGTCCATCGGAAGACGACGAACGAGGGGCATGTCGCTGATGGCGCGCCAGGACAGCGACTTCCATTTCTCGGGGTTCGTCTTCGCGTCGTGAAAGTACGCGAACGCGAGCGCGGTCTGGCGCGCGCAGACCTTGGCGGAGATGCCGCCGACCCCAGTGCCAAAGCCGGTCATGCCGACCGACCGGATGGGGGCGAGGCTCGCGTCAGCGGCCGCTTGACGGTTGTGCCGGTCAATCTCGACAAGGAGGGACCAGACGCAGTTGTGCACGATCTCCTTGTGCCACGAGACGGAGGCCGGGAGGCGCATCGTCGGACAGAGCGCGACATAGCGGCATCCCACCCGATTCGCAGAGCACGGAGTATCGGCGAGCGGAACGAGGGTGCAAGTTCCTGGGGGTGCGAACCCGACCCAGCGCTCGTAGAGGACGGCCTGCGCGACGCGCGTCAGAGCGGATTGGTCCTCCAGGGGCGCGAGAGTCTCGGTGAGGATTTGGTCGAAGCTGCGGGGGAGTCAAGGCTCAGTGCTAGCCTGGACGGCGCTCGGTCACCTACCCTCCGTCGAACCTGCCAAAAGAGTTGGCCGGCGACACGAGACAGTCGAACGTTGTGGTCATCTCCTTGAAGCTGGCGTGGACGAACGAGGTGTGATCCAGGAGATCAGATGGGACAAGGGCCTGAAAAGAGCCCTTCCACTCATCGACGAGGTCCTCATCGATGGAAAAGAGAGTGAATTCCACGGCTTGCATGGCTCGAGGACAGGTCGCGGTCGGGGGCGGTTGGCGCCAATTCACGAGCAGTGGCGAGCAAGGCCACATTCCCACATTCCCGGCAATCGCCGGACGCACCCTCTTAGATGCCGTCATCCTTTCATTGTTGTCTGCGACCTTCGTTCTACTACAGTGTCCCACGGGTCCTTGAGACGCGAAAAACATTCCGGCCGATATCTCTGCGTTTTCGGGTCGGCTGCCACCACGTTTTGGCATTTACATAGCTCTACATAGTGGCTACCTCGATGAATATTTTAGGGCGGATACGATGTGCGAGAGACGAGTCCAACAGGATATGACATATGGTCCCGAAGTCCGCACCCACCCCTCCTTGAGACGGCCCATTTCGGGAAATAGATCATAGATCTCCCACGGCGCGCGTTGGCGCCTAGTCACTTGATCCACCTGAGTCGCGGTCGTGGTGCTCGATGCCGTCCTCCTCCTCGTCCCCATCACACAGGAGTCCGAGTCTGTGATGTATTTCGCTCATTCAGGGTGAGGTTTCTGTGCAGGACACGGAGAGACCAGTCGACACAGCACAACGCGACACCGTGTGAGAGTGTCACGTGGTAGGTGTATGTCGGCCCAACAGACGCCGTTGACCCCGGAATCCCGGGACATGCCCGGCATCACCAGCCCTGTGGTATAATCGCCTGAAATCTCGCAGAGAGAGGGCTAGAGTTAATGGAAGTCATGCCTCGCATTTCCGGAGCTCAGGATGTTTCCATACTCATGATTATATGCCATTTAAGTTTGCTCACACACTCGGAAATGCGAAAACATATTCTCATGATTTCAACTGGCTCTGGAATCAGCTGGGATCATTACTCTAACTACAAGGTGCATCATTGTGCACTGAAAGACCATTTTTTAAACAATTGTAAGCATGTACAAGAGGAGTCATCGTGGTCTGTCTCAAGGACCCGTGGTGTCTCAAGGACCCGTGGGACACTGTACCTACGTCTTGCTGGAGGTACTTCCTGGCGCCATGCACAAACACGGCTTCGAGACGAAGCGACAGGCGAGCGCTCTTTTTTGTGCTCCTGCGTTGAGGTTGTGTCTGAGGACTAGCGTCAAGGTTTGTGTTGAAGGATTGAACGGTCCGCTGGAGATACCGTACCTACTATGAGGTCGGCGGGGGCTGATCATAAACGAGAGTGAGTTTCCATCTGTGTTTTCTGCAAGTGTTGCAGCTGAGGAACGTAAAAGTATCATGCTCACGGCCTCCGACAAACATCGGCTGCAGCGCAGAACACCGTGGCGGGGCAATAAAGCGTCATCTCAAAACAAACTTGGCTCCCCGACCGCCGCTCGTGCGTCCGGCTGACCGCGCTACTCAGCCGGGCCAACGCCCTCTATGCGTAGCGCGCTCACGCTCGCTCTGCAGACGTGGCGACGACGATGAGGCGGAGGCAACAGTCGCGCGCCCGACTCCAAAGGGCCTCTGTGTGGGGTGATATGTGATTGGCCCGACGAAACGAGTGCCCTCACCTCTTTATTAATCTGTACGAGCAGAACAACACATACCAACCGGGCTCGGGGTCACGAGAACTAAACACATGCGGTGAGGCGCCATCTTCATGCGAGCCGGTGTTGCGGGATATGAACACAGTTATGACCCCCGCTTCCACGGCTCTCGCGACAACCACCTCCTCCTCGTGAGCGGCCCGGTCATCGGTGCCCCCAAGGCCCAGGAGGAACGCGAGAGCATTCCATACGTCGGAGACATAGATTTGAGCCTCTTTGAGCCGGGGGGACCTGGTGGCAAGGACGGCGTGATGCAGCAGAGTCGAGACGATAATGACCCGCGACATAAGTTCAGGAAACGGAGGGGCAGCCGATCCCATCGAGACCAGAGGAGAGCAGTGCTTGCAGTATGAGGAATGGCACGTTATGTCTCGTAAAGAGTCGAGAATGCGTCCGACTCGGAGTCGAGGCAGTGCGTGACGTTATTTTATCTTGCACGGAGACCAATCCATTGGCGTCTATCGCACCGCGTCCTGGCAACATTTATCGTCTGCAGTCACCCCGGCCCCCTCCTCTGAGTCCCTCAATTTGCTCCTCATCCAAACAAGAATTTATCCCGAGGTCCCGCTTCTTCCTCCCGGTCCAACTAGTCGTCGTGATTGAGTGGCAGGTCTACCACATGCTACATAAGTCATCGCACGGCTTTGACGCACATGAGGATATCGTATACTTGTATGTTCGTCACACGAGCTGACCTATACACTGACTTGTTTCTCACAGGTAGAGGCTCGCTTTATGGACAAAGGGGCACAAATATAGGCGGTTCTCGGGACTACTGAGGTACGTTCCGCCGGTCGCTTCTAGCTTTCCCAACCAGGACCCCGTTCCCCCGAAGCACTCCCCCGAAGCCTCGTCGATCCACAGCGTCGAGGGAGAAGAGCCAACAGCGCCCCTTGATGACACTGCCTTGCCATTGGCCGAGACGGGAGGATCTGCGGAAGCCTCGGACAGAGCGGACGATCTTCCTCCGGGTTCCCAGCCTACAGACGTGCTCGTCACTTCCGACGAATCTTCGGGTACAACACATACAACAACCCCCGAACTGGCGGAGGAAGAAGGTGTCATCGTCACAGAACAGACTGGGCTCTTCGGAGAGAGCCCTGGCCCTACGACGATCCCGATCCCTGATGACGTCGTACCGCCAGAAGGATCGTCCTCAGTCTTGGTCGACGCCCCGGTCGAACTGAAGCACGCAACCGGTCCAGACGCGAACCTCAACGCGGAATTGATACGGAGGGAACTGTCTATCGATGCGTGCATCGTCCAGTCTAAGGCCGAACCTCGACCGGACCACCCAATCCTCGCTCCCGTCCACCTGAACTCCGACGGAGGTGAGAAGGCCGCCCTAACCTCACGCTCCCCATCTCTCGTCCACCCCGACACCGAAGGTGAAGACACCTCCGTCGTCAAGACCGTCTCCGACGACGACGAGGCGGAGGCGATGGTCGCGCGCCCGGAGCTCATCGTCCTGCCGTACGTCGAGGTGGAAGCGCTCGACGGGCACGAGCGGAAGGAGAAGGAGAAGGAGAAGGAGAAGGAGAAGGAGAGCAGGCGGTGGTCCACGGACATCATGCTCCAGCGGCGCAGGATGGTCGTGGACGCTGTGTACGGGCTCAGCGCGGGGTGCTGGGGGGCAGCGAGCATGTGCGGTGCTCGGCGAGGAGGAAGATGGGGAAGCTTTGTCGGAGTGATGTTCGTGAATCGTGGGTGGGACGAACTGCGGAATGCATCGGAACCGTCTTGTCGCACGTCGCGGCGCGTGGTGGTGAGATTCGACGACGTACATAGTATACAAAATGGGAAGAACTAGAGACACAGGATTTCGTCTCGAGTATTGCACTGTAGCGGTCGTACACGAACTTAACGGCCGTGTTCAATCTCCGGAGTGCCATTCACTGTTCGATACGTCGTCAGCCAATTTCTCAATACTCTCCAGGCAGCGTCGTCCGCATGCGCGTCATCTGATCCCACTTCATGTCCTCCTCCTCCACGACTCTCTTGTCCTCCGTGAGCGCAAGGATCGTCTTGAGGCCCATGGGCTGACCCTCCTCCGCAGTCACGATGTGCTCGTCGACCGCGTCCAGGAACGCGCGCGCGACCGCCGTCTGCTCCGGTGTCATCCACTCCGTCTTGAGCGCCCAGAACGCGCGGTCCGTCGCGTGCGTCACATAACCTGCCCCCACGCGGCGTCAGCGACGATCCCGAAACGGTCAGAAAAGCCACTCACCGAGCGGGCGGAGCTGCTCTGGCGTCCACCGGATCTCGTAACGCACCACCGGGAACCCGGCCGCGAGCATGTCGCGCGCGAACAGCCGCACCGGGAGGTGCACCTGCCCCTCGCTCAGCACCTCGCCAAACGCCCGCGCGGCCTCTTCCGGGGTCGCGGGCTCGCCCTTCTCTGCGAGGTAGATCTTGAGCATCTTCTTGACGACGTCCGTGTGATAGTACCGCTCGAGGTTGCGCTCGACGTCGGCCAGGGTCGACACTGGGTGGGCGATCGAGTACAGGTACCATTCCTCAGAGAGGTCCCCGATGACGACGCTCCGCACGCCGTGGGCGCGCAGACCGCGCGCGAGTCCCCCGGAGCGCTGCCAGTCCATCGTGTCCTCGGGTCCGAGCCACACGGGCTCCCAGGCCCCGCGGTAGGTGCCGTACTCGGTTCCCACCGCGTCGGTCTCGATGAGGTGGGTGAGCTTGGCGAAGGGGACTGAGGTCGTGTCCCGGAGAGCGTCAAGGGAGGCAGGGGACGTCGGATCGAGGTCGAGCGCCCCGCACAACGCGGCGTACTGGGCACGCAACTCGGATGTGGTCTTCGGAGTCGTTCTACATAGATCGTCAGGGAGGACAGGAAGATCGTCTACAAAACGACATACGCGATTGCGTTCGATTGCAAGATTGCGCGATGGAATGGGGCCGACACGCCTTCTGGAAGACGCGATGTGTGATGCAAGATCTGATGGACGGAGTGTGCTCCTGGGACATGTTCAGTGCGAAGGCGAGCAAGTGACTATATGCGCTCATACCGGCAGACAATCCGGTCAATGTCACATTGTTAGGGTCTCCTACATGAAATCACTGTGAATAGGAAAGCCGGAGATGGTACTCGATACGTACCTCCGAAAGCCTGGATGTTTTTTTGAATCCACTGGAGGCCGAGCCATTGGTCCTTAAAGCCGAAGTTGCCTAGGACCTCGGGCTTGTCGCATGCAAGGAATCCGAAGGCGGAGAGTCTGTACCCAATGTTCACCCAGACTTCGTCGCGTTCCGCAGAGACAGATTGCGCTTGCGCGCTGAGCCCGTGTGGGGAACCGAACTGGAGAAAACTAGTAGCATACGCCGTCAGTCCCCGATTATTAGGACACGCCAAGATGGGTGCTTACCCGCCGTGAATGTATACTTTGACGGGGAAACCCGTCTTCTCAGGGAATGAGGATGGTGCGACGATATTTACGAACAGCCTGCATGTCCAGAGTGAGCGACAAGCGAGCACGAGGCAAGATCGGGACGATCTTACGGATCTTCGCTGGGTTCTCCCAAGCCTACTTTGTCCTCGTAAGGCACACCTGCATGTCGCTTGAAGCTCAGAAGCTTGAAGCTTAACAGGACATGAAGCGCTGCTCACTTGCCGCCTGGCCGTCGTTCTTCGGCTGTGCGCAATCTACGCGATCACCTCTCAGATAAGATGTCAGATGACGCCACAAGTACAAGGTGACCTACGTTTACTCTCAAGGATGTACTCCTTGTTTTCGTACTTGTAGTAGGTTGGCAGCGGAACGGGGTCGGCGAATCTCTTGGGTGGTAGCGCATATGGAACCTCTAGTGGAGCAGATCGCGGGCGTTATCAGGGTCAGATCGACCACGCCCCCTAGGAGAGATAGTGCGCACCAAGAAAGACGGCGGCTCCGTTTGCTGCTCTGCGTCCTCGGATCGTCCCGTGTTGGGTGTTCACACTGATCTTCTCCGATGACTGCGCCAACTCCTCCTGCAAATGTGTGTGCGATGCCATCGCAGAGACTTGAGGGCGTCTTGTTGGGAAGGAGCAACGGATGGCGACGTGAGATAAGGCGTGAGACGAGCCTGTTCCAACACCTGATGGTCATAGGGTATACCCGGTCTTGTGACCTGGTCATCTATATATGCTCTGCTAAATACGGACAGGGTATCAGAGCCCTGTATCATGTTCGGTGGAGATGTCCATACCGTTCGGCGAAAAACGCATATATACACCGGAAAAGCGAACATAAGTGCTTCCACGGGTGCTTCACCCTAGCGATAGAGTGATCGGAGTCCCTCTTTACGAAGACCTACTCAGGTCAGCTCGGAATGAACGAGTGACACTCGCACGCACCCTCTCCCTGATCGCGCTCCGCGGATATATACTCCTGCGCTCGCATCGTGACTCCGCTACCCTTCCCAAACCCCCCTATTACTGCTCAGCAATGACGCGGAAGAGGAACCATCGGTTGATGCGCTGTTTGACCGCGACCGTGGGGATTCGACTTGACGACTTTGAAAGGCCGAAACGTCGAGCGCTGAGCGTGTTAATTTGATTCGTGTCCAGGGTATTAGGAGTGATCACAACGGCCTCTGCGGGTTCTGATCTGCCATGGGAATCGTACCTTTGCTCGTAGCGTCTTCAGCAGGGCCAAACTTGACAACGACCCCGACGGCCAACCTGCGACACACAGAAGGTTCGCGCGTTCTGCGGGAGACGCTTGCGTCAGCCAATGAACGCCATCGAGGGAGCCTAGGCTCGATTGCTAACTGCGCACCTTCGCAGCAACGTGATAAAGGATCCTCTGGACTGGAGAACTACGACCCTTGCGCTCGCTTTGCACCTGGCTTTGTTTGACTCGGTCTCCCCTTCGCTAAGATGCGAAAGCCGATGGTGCGACAAGACGATGGGGGCACTGGTCAAAAACTTGATACCAGCGAGCCTCGGAATCTAGGGAGGGAGCAATCAGTCCACCGTGAAAACCAGCGCTGCAGAGGACTGAATGCCTGGGAGGATTGACACGAAGAGCCAGTAGGAACATTGCCGTACGGGCCCTTCCCGTGAGAGCAGGCTCACCACGAGGTGAGTATATGCTGCTCCGCAGGGTCGTGAGAAGGTTTTTGCAGCCTGCAGGGACGAAGAGCAGGAAGTAACGGGGAAAAGCTCTGCTCCAAGGAACGATCGACAGAGAAGAACGTACCTTCGGACCGCTCTAAACTCATAGTCTAACCCGATCCAACGTCTAGCTATCCCAGCGTGCTCCCAGCTGACTGGATCCTTCTGGGGCTGGCTTGGATACATTGACCTAGAGCGTGCGGCCCTTTGGTCTTGAATATTGTGCATACGCCACCTGGCCCGGGGAACGTTCGATGAGAAGTCGCATGAGGTCTGGTCCTTCGCAGACGGCCCAACAGGCACCTATATGCGGACCGCCAAGGATTAAGCTCGCAGGGCATGGAAAGAGACGCGTGGACGCACTGATTGCGCGGGCTCTGGACGCATTGGCCTTGGGCCTCGACGCCCGGGAAAACGACGGTATCAACTTGAAGGTGTCGGCGAGGCCTGTGATTATGCGGGCGGTGGGAACTCGTGAAAAGCGCAGGAGGAGGGAATGTTTACCCTGCAGCAAAACCATCGGGATCTCGGGTCGGAGAGCGGAGGAAGGCAAGGCGCGAGGCGCGCCAGGGCGGGGGGCAGCACCGCGACAGATCGAGCGCGCTCTCGGCCACGTGGGAGTGATACGAAGCTCGATTTTGGACAATCACATGTCAACGCCCACCTTCATATATGCGCTCCTGGACGCCTTCAGCTTATCACGCTTTCGAACCTTCCTCTCGCTCGACCCCCACCTCGTCGCGTTCTACAGAAATGGCCACGCAAACCCAGGAGGCCCCCGCTCAGACCCCTGAGCTCACCATTTTCACCCGCGTCGGCTCCATCCCCCTCGTCGCCGACTCTCTCAACACCATCAATTCCACCCTCACCAACAGCCCGTACACCCGCTCCCCTTACGCGGCCGTCACGACCATCTCGAAGAACGTCCTCACCTACACCGAGCCCCTTCAAAAGCGCCTTTCCCCCATCCTCACCCGCGCCGACGGGTTTGCCAATAAGGGGCTTGATGTCGTCGAGGCCCGCATCCCCTACCCCTTCCACGCCACCACCGAGGAGGTCATCAAAGATCTCAAGGCGAACAGCGACCACGCCAAGGACGTCGCAACGAAGACCATCGATGAGCGTGTCCGCACGCCCGCGATGAACCTCGCGCAGGGCATCGACCAGGTACGCACCCGCTTCAGCGTGCACATTTATATCGCTAACTTCAACGCATACAGCGCTTCGCGCCTATTGTGGACTACTTCGCCGTTGCCGTGAAGCAACTGCAACCGAACGGCACGGTTGATAAGCCTGCCGAGACGGCTCCGGAGACCAAGTACCAGTACCAGCGCGCCTACCACCTCTCGAAGGAGTTCAGCGACCAGCTCTTGACGTACTCGACGGAGCAGATCAACCAGATCCGCGCCCAGAGCGTCATCCTCCAGCGCGCGCAGGCCACCGCTCAGTCCCTGACTGACGTCGCGTCGTCGAGCTACGTCGCGGCACAAAACCGGGTACAGACGCTCAGCGACAACATGCTCCAGGAGTTGCACAAGGTTCAGGTGAGCATGACCCGTGCCGCGGCCGCGATGCGTTCTCACCCATACATTTAGGCTTCCACGTCGGCGCTTCCCGGAACTCTACAGAGCGCGTTCCAGGACGTCTCGGCCAGCCTCTCGTCGACAATCAACGAGCTCTCCGGGATCCTGACGTCACCCGACCCTCTCCCCGAGAAGGCGAACAAGGTCCGCGAGACGGTGCAGGACCGGGTGCAGCCCATTCTAGACACGGCCACGACGCGCGTTCAGGAGATCCTTGGTGCGTTGAAGGCGCGTGTTTCGGAGGAGAAGAAGGAGGTGTCGAACGGCGCAGCGCAGGCAGCGAACGGCAACGGGCACGCGTAGACGCGTCCTCCGTCTCCCCTTGGCATCCAGGCTAGATTACGATCCCCCTATGACTTGATCCCACGTCGCTTCTTTGTCACGGTTCCCTCAAAATTATAGACAGTCGGATGGTAGCGTAGAGCTTATGTATAAGTAGTCCATGTATTGTCGGCCCCCGAGCCTCGCGTCTGCCTGGCCTTGCGCTGTTTTGTCGTTGAGGACGTGTACGCGGGCCCGGTGGAGCGGGCATGTTAATTGAGCTAGTTGGTACGCGATGATGACCTCATAGTTGGCTCGATCTTATCTTATCTTGCCGGTTCGTTTACGTTGTGGGCAGGATCGTCGCCACCGTTCTGAGCGCGGCCTCGCGCGTCGCCCGCGTCCGTGCTCGCATGTAACCCGCTGCCGCGGACGCCTCTCCCCCAGCCTCCGACGCCCTCCTCTCACGCCCTCTCGGACACCGCGATCTGCACTCGACCCCCAATGTCCCTTCCCCGAAGAAGAGTCTCCGTCTCCAGCACGCGGAGCGACTCTCCGCTCGTGTTCGCCACAGCGCCGAACGCCGACTCCGAGGCCTGGCTCGCGGAGTGGAAAGCCGTGTTGGCCAAAGGTGCGCATATCTCGCTTCATAACCACGTCTTTGTGCTTAGGGGATTGCTGTGGTGCTGCTTGCAGACATTATCGACTCGCCCGTCGTGACTGTCGATGCAGACACCAGCGTGGAAGATGCGTGCGAGGTGCGCTGTTCTCTTCAGCTCATCACCCCCACACTGCCAACGATATTCCGTGCGTAGCTGCTGCTCTCCAAGGATCTGGGATGTCTTGCCGTCAAGATACCACCCAACCGTTCGCCAAAGGCCTCTCCCTTCTACGGCCTCTTCGACGTGCGTCTCCTCCCCCTGCTCATGCTCTCCCCGAGTCCTTCCCGCCGTACCCTATCCATGCGCTGACGCGTATGCCCATCTTATGCATATACCACCGCGATGGGACGCATATAGTTTGCGGACGTCAACGCGTTCCTCACCCTTGCTGCGACCCGACACAAGATATCCGTCGAGGCGTTACGCGAGAAGCCGCGAGTGCAGGAGATCCTAGATGCTGCAGGCACCGGGAAGGTACCCGCCTATCTTGTGTCAAGTGCGTTTCATTTACCGCAATTCTAACCCGGTTCTAACACTGGCATGTCTCGAAGACTTGTCTGAGAAGAATCCACTGGAAGTACTGCCTTCCGATGCGAACTTGGTGGATCTACTGGCCGTCTTCGCACGGGGCGCTCATAGAGGTGCGTCTCGATCTGCTCTGCCGCACTGTGCCGGAGTTCACCGGCACCTTTCGCTTCTCCCGTGCCCGCCCTCTGCAAACATCCCCACTGCTCAGCCATAATCCAAGCGGCACCCGCATCGCCATCCAGCTCCCAACCTTACTCCACCTCCGCATACCTCGGCCTCGTCTCCGACCGCGCCCTCCTCGCCTGGCTCACCTTGCACGCCGAGCGCACCCCTTCTCTCCTGCGCTTCCTCTCGGTGCCGCTCACGTCCCTCGCGCTCCCCTCACTGCACCTATATGCGGCCGTCATCGCGGCCAATGCCAGAGACAGCGTGTTGTCGGCTATGCGGCTCATGTGTGACGAGGGCGTGGGCAGCATCGCGGTCGTCGATGAGGAGAGCGGCGGGCTGCTCAGCGCGGTGAGTGTGACTGACATCGGGAGGGTCATCGTGCCGGCGCAGAGTAATGCCATCCTTGGGACGGCGCTGCGGGAATTGGTGGCCAAGATCAAGGTGAGCCTTTTCTTCGCGGAAATGCGCACATAGTGCTGACGAGGCGCATATAGGAACCGGACGGATCGACAGACGGTGCGGACAAGTTCCCGGTATACAGCGTTACGCCGAACAACACGCTCTTCTATACCATGCAGAAGCTCCTTGCCAGTGAGTAGTCTGCACACGCATATATGTCACCCGTGTGTTCACGTCCCTCCCCGCACAGCGAATGCCCACCGCGTCTTCGTCACCGACTCCGACTCGCCCCCTTCGAGCACCTCCAACTTCACCGCGCCCACGCCCAACAACCTCTGCGGCATAGTGTCTGTCGTCGACGGTGCGTCCTTCTGCTGTCATCTCCCGTCTCACGCCCCTGTTCCTGACCCTCCGACCTCCGCGCAGTGCTCTCCTTGTTCGCGCTCACCGCGAACATCCCCGACGTCGACCCGACGCGCATGCAGCGCCACCGTCGCGCGTCCTCGACCTCGTCCGGAGAGTCCCCGTTCGCGGGGCCTGGAGGCGGTTCTCCAGGCCCGTCCCCGCGGCGGTCGAACTCGCGGTCGAGCTCGAGCGGGCGCACCGCCGGTGCGCGCCACCAGCGGCGCGTCGGCAGCTTCGACGCCGCGGGCGTCCCCGCTGTGCTCAAGTGGGCGGAGCGGGTAACGGAGTGACATGAGGATGGAACAGGATGGATGGTGGACGTATCTACAGTATGTACTATACCGTCGTGTTATGCTGAATTGCTTTGTGAGCTCTCGAGGCTGTGTCCATGTATGACCACTGTTAGCTTTCTAATGTATTGTATGGTTCCCGACGCGCGTCGAGCACACTGGGCTTGTGCAACATGTCTTGTCATTTAGGCCGTGATTAGTACATTGTAGACCAGCTCGTGAAAAGTCGTGATACAGGCGTGTTACATCGCAACGCGAAAACATAAGGATCGTGAGGATCGAAGACGGCACCGCGGTGACCGCAGCGAAAAAGTGCGCGGCGCTCCGCTGACGATGGGAGTGCACACACAACACCCCAAAGTCAGCGCCGCACAGGCATTCGTGCGATCGAGGCGCGGCCCCCCGCACCAAGCCCCACCGGCTACTACAGCTGGCACAAGGACAGCTGCAGCACGCACTCGTCCGACGGGTCCGAGATCTGCAGCAGGCTGTTGAACGTGTGCGGCTCCGGGACGCAGTCGACGCGGCGCATCTCCTCCCAAGAGTGCCCCGAGCCCGCGCGGCGGCGCATCCGCATCGTCACCTCCCCGCGCTGCACGAGCCGGCGCTCGACGCCGTCGTACCGCTCGGCCTCGGTGAGGCGCACGTTCAGGTACCGGTAGAGCTGCTCGAAGACGTCCTTGAGCAGGACCGCGCCGCCCGCGCCGGTGCCGGTCACGACGCACGGCGGCCACGCGGCCGCGCCCGTCCGCCAGTACGCGTGGAGCATCGGGAGCTCGACGCGCACGCGCGGCACGGCGGGCGTCGTCGCGGGCTCGTGGAAGTGCTCCTGAGCGAAGAAGTGCATGCCGTGCGCCGGCTCCGGCGGGAAGCGGATGTCCCAGAGCGTCCGGGAGGCGTAGTCCCACGAGGCCGGGTCCGCCGGGAGGAGGTAGCGGTGGAGCACGTACCTGGCCCCGCGCCGGGACGGCGGCGGCGAGGGTGGTGCGGAGGGGGCGCGCGTCCACGGGGTGTGGCCCGCGCCCCCGGAGATCTGGGGGTACATTTGGAGGGGGAATCCGGGTGCCACCGGTGCCGGTTGCTGGGCTGGGTAGTGTACGGGCATTGGGAAAGCCACGGGTGCTTGCCCCTGGACGACATAGAGCGGTGCCGAAATGGCAGCCAGCCCGGGGTACATGTGCGCTGGAGCTTGTGGGTGGAGGTTTGCCGTCGGCCAGGACGGTGGCACGGGGGCATACGCGGGTGTGTAGACGCCATGTTGGGCGCTGGTGTTGCGAGAAATTGGTTCAGGAATGTGGGCCGGAGGGATGACTGGGACATCGATGACCGGGTCATCGTCTCGGAGGTTGCCCCTAGTCGGCGTGTAAAACGGGCTGCGGTGATCCTTGCACAGAATGATAAGACTTGTGCGTGGACGATCATGCAGCGTAGACACTCACCTGCAGACCATATTTCGGATTCAGCTCCAGATGCATCTGCGATGCGAATGTCAGGACCTGATGCATATTGTGACTAAGAGGTCATCTTACTCGGAGATTCCGTCGCCGCTGCATCTGCCGCTCCTCCTCTTCCTGTTCAGCGCGTCGTTTTTCTTCTTCAGTCTGGGAAGGTGGTTTCGCTCGTCGACGGCGTTCTTTCTCTCGCTCGCGCTCCTCTTCCTCCCGTCGCTCTTCCTCCCGTCGTTGCTCTTCTCGTTGGCGCCGCTGTTCTTCACGCTTTGCCTCGGCATCCCGCTGTGCCGCCGCTTCCTCCACGGCACGACGTTCCTTTTCTTCCCGCCGGATGCGACGTCTTTCCCGCGCCCGGTCTTCCTCTGCCCGGTGAAACTCTTCCTCGCGAAGGGGCGCCTCTTCTTCCTCGCGACGCGACCTTTCTTCCTCGCGACGCGACCTCTCTTCCTCGCGCCGACGCGTCTCCTCCTCGCGACGCGCTTCTCTCCTCTCCCGCCTTTCTCCTCGGCTCCTGTCACGTTGTATAGGCGGAGGAGGTGGCGCCGTCGGCCCGCTGTTCCTCGAGAACGTGGTGGCTGACCTGGTGAACGAGCTGGCAGAGGACAGCTCTCCCTGCGGTGGTGCGTGTCAGTCCTCCCGCGTGCCATCGGCTGCATCTATAGCCATGCCCGTGGCGCACCTGTCCGTAGAGCAGACGGTTTGTCCAGTTCGTGTGATCGTGGTGGGTCGCGCCTCTGATCCGGTCCTGCGGGCCGTTTCTCGACCTTGAAGTCTCGGTGGCGGCGGCCTTGGGTGCCTCGATGGCGGATGCCTGAGGCGCACGAGGGGGCGAAGGAGCCGGCTCTTGCGTCTTAGCGCTGAGATCTCGAGAGCTAGTCGAAAGTGCTTGAGGGGCGGCCCCCTTCGTTACCCGAACCTCGGCGAGACGTGTTGGGGCTCCGTCGTAAACAACCGAGACCTGTCGAGTACGTGGTGAGTGGACTGAAGGGTCGTTACACGGATTCTCGTCGCCAAAGAACAGTAGGATGCAGATAGGAAACATGGCAGACGAAAAACAAGAGAGTGGCGAGGGAGCGCCGTCTTACCTTCAGGTTGAATGGGCGCTTAACACGGTTTCTCTGGTCCTCGGGTGGCGGCGGTGTGTCCTCACGACGGCTCTAAACGGCATATTACTCATGAGACAGGAAATACGAATCGAGACGGGGAACACTCGCCACGCTTCGCGCCGACGGATCCGTGCGGGACCGCATCTCAGGCGTTGCGCTCACGGGCTCTCGGCGCGTACTGTGGACTGTAGGCGCGACGATGGTCAGCATCGGTCCACAACGAAACGGGAAGAGCGGCCCACACGTACGCTCACTGCGGTTCCGAATGTATCCCGCCGCGATCTGGCATTCGGGCCTGTGCACCGAGTCGACGACGCACCATGGGCAGCGCGTTGCCCGCCACTTGGAACTGGACGGCTGCGCCGAAGCCTGCGCCGGGTTCTGCGCGACGAGATCTCTCGTTACGGGGCATTGCGGCTTGTGATACACGGCTATCTCGCACGAGCCGCAGATCCCGCACGCGAGCTCTTCGCCGGGTGTCGTCGCGGTCGGAGGCTGCGGGGCGTCTCGGTGGCGAGCGCGGCGCGACGGCCCGGTGTCCGGCTGAGGGGACGGCGCGCCAGTGTGCGACGGAGGGGGTGTTGGTGGGGGCACGGGGTGAGGCACAGGTGCAGATGTGGGCGCGGGCGCGGGCGGATGGGGTGCAGTAGCTGGCGCGCGCGAGGGTGGCGGAACGTGCGAAGGAACGCGAGGGCGGGGAGACGGGGGGCGACGAGGTGGCGGGGGCCGGGACGGCGAAGGGGGACGTTTGAGTTCCTTGCTCAGTACCAGTGGCTTCTCTGGGGGAATCAAATTTTTTTCAGGTGGAAGGCCGGACAACACTGAGGAGCGCAGCTTGTAAGGGGGTGGAGGTTCTATCCCCGGAGATCCTACAGAGTCGCTAGGGGGTCTGAACCTGTGATGAATGAGTGTTACGCCTGGGGAGAGAGATGCAGGCCACCTACTGATTGACTGCGCGGAGAGGGCGGGGCGGAGGGCGTCTCCTCGGCCTCGCCTCAGGCGGAGGCGCCGTAGGTTCGTGCCCTGCACGAGGCGGCTCCGGTGGTGCCGCTGAGGGAGGCAGAGGGTTGGTAGGGGCAGAGGGAGGCGGTTTCTTTCTGAGAGGAGGCTTTGGTAGAGGATTGCCGTGGGGGAGGCGGACGCTGATGGGCGGCGAAAGGATGTATGGATCGGGCACCACCCGGGGAGGAGACTGTATGCCCTTCAAGACTTTCTCCTCTTCGCTGGACATGAACCGGCGGCGGGTACGACAGAAAAGCGCGCGCCCCAACCCTTCAGACACAGAGCGCAACATGCTCTTGGAGCGCACAGGCGGGGAATAACTGGGTGCGAGATTGATTGGCTCAGCCTATTGTGTGTGCGATGTTGACTACTCACTGATCAGGCGGGCCACCGAGACACTTGTACCCATCGTCGTCGTCGTCGTCGTCGTCGTCGGGCGAGTCGCTGCGACGAAGTTCTGGAGAAACGTTTGTGTAAAACAACGTCTGATGAGAAGGCGGAGAGTGACAACATACCCACACGTCGCTCGACGGCTTCCCTGGGGGGTGCTGCCCACATGTCTGACCCGTCCTGTCGACTGTGTGACGTCGGACCAGAGCAGACAGCGGAGGAATGGTGAGCAGACGCGAGAGAGGAGAGACGGAGGAGAGGCACCTGGTCGGATCGCGATGATACGTGCGTGCCCCCACGGGGATCGGATGGTGTGATGCATGGGGAACGCGTGTCGGATGCTCGGCCGCGTGTTGGGAAGGTTGCCTCGGACGCGGCCCGGAATCGGACTCGGAGGAGAGGGCATCGTCCCGCTCTAGGGCCGCAAACGCTGTCTGTTTGGCGTTCCGCCTTCTGGGAGCGCGGCCTCGGGTTCTGTCGTGTATGCAGCCAGAGTGAGCATGTGACATGATGCGCTTGATATGCACGATGAGAAGATAGGTACGTGACAACGTACCCGAAATGAAGGTGATCTGGATCTTGGCGTTGAGTATCAGGTTTGTTTTTGTGAGCTGTGTCGCCATGTGGGAGCCCCATGCTGTAGCTGGGCAATGGGCTCGGACACTGGTGGCTGGTGGCAGGGCAAACATTTTGTACGGTGATCGAGGCCTCGCGGTGAGCTTCGAGAAGATCACTAGCACGAAAAAAACAAAGGACTCCAGAAGAGAGAACAATAACACCAATCAGCGGAGGTCTTAGCGAGACACAAGACGTAGAAGTTCGGGTTCAAGAACAAATGAGCGCCAGCGGTCGCCAGGAGAAAAGTGGGTACGTAAGCAAAATTATAACATGGCGCCTATCATTACGCAAAGATCATCTACAGGCTAACACTAGTAGGCAGGTAGGTGAGTATCTCCATGAGATTAGGATGAACAGTGCAAAGTACTGCTCGGATGGATCATGAATGTCGTGAACACGAACGCAGAAGTTGCAGGAGGTGACAACTGGGAAGATGATGCGGGCATTCCTCCACCAGGTGGAATGTTGCTATTCCCATCCCATGCTCGTAAATTGTCCCGGAGGTAGGTCCGGCATGAGGCCAAGGTTGAGCCAGGGGGTTACGACGTTGCGCTCGCAGGTGTGCATGACCCACATTCCCCAAAAGGTGTGCCTCTCACCCAGGCAGTCGACGCGACGCATGCCTCCGCTGACCTCCACCTGTGTGATACCAGGGCTTTGGTCGCAGCGCTGATAGAAAGCTTTCTCAGCAGCTGCCCAAGCTTCTGGCACAGAGGACCTGAAGTCCAACATCTCTTCGTGCCTGACTTGTTGATGGAAGAAGTCGTAGATGGCGTCGAGGACATCGCCCATGGTCACCGCCTCCGCGGACGCGGGCTTCTCGACCAGGATGTCGCCCCAGCGGTTGCTGAAGGCGCTCACGATCGTCGCGTTGTACGAGATCTTGACCCACGACAGCCCGGGGACCGTCGCGGGCTGTTTCCGGTACTTCGAGCAAAGCCGCTTGGTCTGCGCGTAATGATTCCTCCGTTGAGCGAGGCGAGAGGGTAGGCGGATGTCCCACTGGAGCCAAGGTAGGTTACCGTTGGCTTCGTTGGGAGTGAGAAACATGTGGAGTGCTGGGCCTTGGCTTGACCACGGTGACACGGGAATATGGAGGACTGGAAACCATCCGTTGCGATCGCTCGGGGAGGGCACGAGGCGGTTGTCCTTCGTAACCCAAGACTCGAGTAACACCATATACGTTACGCCATGGTGAATCATGGTCAGCGGAAAATGTCCCGCGGTAGGATGCCACGGCGTGGGTGCCCAATCCTCGTCAGGGCATGGGAGACCACATCGCGGGAATAGTCGACCCCCCAAGAAACGCGTGGCCACGACCACGTCTAACCAGCTCACGTACACTGGCCCAACGTCCCAGCTGGGTACTTGAGGTGACGAGCCCCAGCTCGGAAAGAGTGCGTGAGGAGTGCTGGGCGGAAACGTCTGAGGTAGTGGCCAAGGCGCAGGGGGTAGTGTCGTCGGTTGCGGCTGTCCTTGCCATCCCTGATGAGGGGGAAAGGGGGGCTCCGGAGGTGGACCAGACGGCTGCCTGGTATCGTTGCGGGCGTTTGCCGGCTCTGGGATAACAGGGATTGAAAATACTGGCGCTGTCATACCCGGCTCCCTCGCCGTGGCAGCAGCCGAAGGAGGGAGTGGGGAACGACGGGGCGCTCGTCCTGTACACTGAATGTTAGATGGAGATGATAGCGGACTGGGGATCGAGAACGTACGTCTCTTCCACCGGGTTGTGGGACAGTGGCGTTTGCAGCTACAGCGGGCCCATGCTGCCTCGCCTCGCCTCGCGAACTCTTCTCGTGGCGGCGAGACCTGCGTCGCTGTACGCAAGATGAATTAAATTGTGGTTTCATGACGGCGCATATCGCATACCTCATATCACTTGGGGGCAACGACAAATTGGGCATATGTATGTGTATGACTTCTACACGAGACCCTTGAGCTGCGGGAAACAATCAGCATCATAACTCCCCCAATCCGACTGAGACACTCACACCACAAGAGTGACGCGAATGGCGCGAGGCATTGGTGTGCCGATGCGGCGTTGAGAGTTCAGGGCAAAAAGGGTAGTGTCGCACTAGCGCATTACATCCCTTGCACCGCGTATAGGTGAGATCCGGGGAAGGCGTTCGAGGACCATCACTGCTCGACTCTCGAGGGCCTGTTGAGCTGGAGCCGGATTCGGACGTCGAGGACCCGGGGGGCGAAAGGGGTGGGGTGGGCGGTGTCCTATCCTGGTACTGCACCGGAGGCGAACCGGCTCGTTGTGATGCTCTAGGTGGATGACCGTGGGGTGCAGGGGTCGGCTGGCGGGGTAAAGGGCGGCTTGCAGATGCAGGGGTCGGATGGTGTCGCCGGTTGCGGCGGCGTCGAGCATGCGCGGTTTCTCGCCTGTTTGACTCATCGTCGGAACTGCACATATGGTCAATGAGTGCTACTTCCTCCCAACAGCGCGGGACAAACTAACTTTTCCGCAGCGGGAGAGTTGTCGTGCGTGACAGGCGAGACCCTCGTCGAGGGTTCTATTTCGATGTTCCAGGCCGGCGGTGAAGGTCCAGAGCCGGGCTGCCAGGTTCCTGGGACGCGCCGCGAGGGCCCAGGAACGGGACCAGCAGCAGCGTAGCCATGCGTGCGGCGAGTATAAACCCCAGCAGGACTGTGTTGCGCTGCGTAAGCAGAAGTAGAAAGTAGTCCGTGGATAAACGTACCCTTGTGGGTGGTCCCGGACAGGATCTATGATGAACATGCGTTCAACAGGATTGAGGTGGACATCGCGAGGAGCGCCGGGATAACGGTTGTAGTCGTAATGAGGCCCATAGTTAGGCATGCCAAACGGGTGAGAATCCATTAGTGCGAGATTAATCGCTCAGGTAGGAGACGAGGAGACGAAACGGGGATGATGATGATAATGATGGTGGAGAGCGGTGGCGTCTTTTGTACTGGTACGACCCTATTCGTAGTTTCGGTGGTGTTCTTAGAGCCCGACGAGAGCCAAATTCCCTGCACCCAGATTCAGGCATCTTGAGGTGCGGCCTTAGCAGATGAACAACAACACCTGGAAGGAGTGGCCGTGGCGAGGGGAAAGACAACAGATGGGCGCCAGTGGAAGCGGCAACATGGCGCCCACAATGGTTACGTGAATGCAACGGATGTCGTCGAAGTTTGAGTGAACAAAGAATGCTAGGTACAGTGCAATAGCCGTGGTTCTCTGTTAAGATGGTCTATTATCAGCTTCTGGAGGTGGCAGAAGAGCGATGTACCCACGGCGAACAAGCGTCACGCGGGGATGGGTGTCCAACTTCTGGGGCGCTTTTACCCATGTACAAGAGCGTGTTCTGCCATCTCTCTCGTGAGCCCCCGGAAGTTGGGATATCCAGAAAGAAAGAAAAAACTTGCATTTGAAGCGTAGGTAAGTCAGGTACATGTCCGATCCGGGCTTCCTCCTACGATGGACGTGCTGATTTCCGCAAAAGCCGATGTGGTACCGTAAGAAGTTTCTCAGAGCGCTGAGTCGACGGTATGAGCAAACCGTTCATGCACAGCACTAGAGCCCTCCTATCAGAAGCAGACGGTGACAATTCTTCAGGTGGTGCTGAAATGACCTGGACAATGCCCTGGGTTTCGACGCTGTGGATCTCGATTGTGCCGTTGGTGAGTAGGGTGGTGATGTACGGGTAATCGAGGGCTACCAATTCCACGTCAGCACGGGGTACAGCAGCTTCTACAAGACCAAGTTCGAATATACGCACTGATAGAGACAGGATGGCTTGGCCATTCCAATGTCCCGCGAACAGGATCTCCATCGCCAGTGATGAATACGCCGAGGGTACTGGCGCCGGTCCAAGAGAGGATGAGAAATTCGTTCTCGCTTATGACGGTGATCGATGGTTTCATGACAACAGAAGGGTCTGGAGCCTGCGAAATTGGGAGGAGAGGAAGTTGTGAGGCCTGTTGAAGGTCGACCATGTTGTAATTTTCTCGGTCGGCGACACATAAGTATTTGCCTGTTCTTCGCGCGTGAACCCCGCCTGACGGAAATGGGATTTCCTAAAATCGGAGGAAATCAATGAAGGTAATTGCTGGGATTGAAACTGCTAGGGTTTACCTTCTGAAAGAAGAGACGTTCTCGAAGGCTGTAAAGGGAGATATTACCACGCTTCACGACGCAGAACTCGATCGGCTCGACGGGAAGGGGGATTTCGTTGGCGAACTGTGGTGGCCGTTTGAGATGCTGCTCATCAACTGCAAAAGCGATGACGTTGCGGACGGGCTTGATGGCAGTGTGGGGGACCATGTCGAGGGATGGAAGGGTATAGAAGTGTATTTGGCGGTCTTGCGCAGTTCTCAGTGAAAATTCTTCAAACCAGGTGAAGATCAAAATACCTGTCAAAACCAATGCCCTTGAAATGCTAGGCGCGAGCACGATGTCGTCAATCGGCTTGTCGTTAAGCACCGTCTGTCGAGACAATAGCGTGTATGAGTCTGGCTGATGCATTCGTAAGCACCACTTCGTCGCCATACGATCGAATTCATACCGCTCCTGCATTTGCTTGTAACGCAAATCTCAGTAGTTCGCCATTAGAACTTCCGACGTAAATCTCTGAACCTGAGAGGGCACGTCAAACACACTGAATGTACCCGAAGGCACCGTCTTACCAATCGCCTGAACGCATCGGATAACAACAGGACGTCCTGAATCTCCTGGAATGTCCGTCAGTGTTGTAGGAAATCTTGTCCCGGAAACCCACACTTACGCACTAGACTGTCAACGACTGCAGAAAGCAATGGTTGCAGCTGGTAGGGAGGAACGTCGATAGGATTTTGGGGGGCCAAAGTCATCGTGCTGGGGAGACACTTATGGCTTCACCTTAGTGTTCTCGAAGCCAGTTCTCTCGAGTTGGAGGCGGAAGTAGACACGTGTAGTGGTGGAAAGCAGTTGGAATAAGGGCGTCTGTGCCTTGCATTATGGCGCGCCTCCGATCAAGCGCGTATTGACACTCCTCCTCATCCTCCTCCACCCAGCTTCCCAGCCCCTCCTTCCGTGCAGTGCTCATGCACAGATAATGGCGACCCCCCAGTACCCAAGCTATCCGCGGGCGAATGTGCTCGTTCTTGGATCAAATGCCGTCCAAGCCCTCCTTCCTTCTACACTCATCTCGCAAGCGGACGCTCTCCTACTCGCTCACCGCCTCGAAGATGTTGCGGACCTCGCCGAGCAGCAGCGCAAGAAGCTTCAGAGTCTGCTGAATGCTGAGCTGCACGACGTAAGCAGCCCGCGCCTCCATTCTGCGTCTGCTGACATCGCTTTCAGGTAGATGAGCTTCGCTATGTCAATCAGAGACTCGGCCTCCAATACTTCATCGAGACCTTGTTTGATGACGCCGGGAAACGAATATACGAAGGCGAGCTCGACCCGCGGGTGCTTGTCAACTACTACCCCGAGCTCCGAGGCAACCTCTTCTCTAAGGACGATACCGTCGACGTCATGGGCGGCATCGCAGAGCACCTACCCACAGAGGACTCGGTCGACGACATCAGTGAGTCCGTCAGTTCCACCCGTTCCTCCTACGATAGCTTTGTATCATACGATTCGTGGTTCTTGCAAGTTTCGCCGACCCTCCCCGTATCCACAAGACTCTACGGAGCAGAGGCACTTGCCGGCGTCCAGCGCATGTTCCCCGCGAGAGCCCGACTCCGTGGCCCCCGTCAACCGCCTTTAGACAAGCACTGGCATGACAAGCCCGGTTCCGTGCCTCGCGTTGAACGAACGCTGTAACAGCCATCGTCGCGTCGAGGGGCGGAAGCCCTCGCGCACGATGGCGGCGCCGGCAAGCCTTTCTCTCTTCTGCGGTGCTACACCATTCCACCCCCTATTGACTTTCTTTCTGTCCCGCGCTACCGCCCCACCCCCACCCCCACGCCCCCGCCTCGCTCCCTGCTGCTTCCAACTACCCCACCCTGTGCCGTTCCCGTCTCTCGTCGGGACTGATGTAGTTGCTCAAAACCTAGTCGCGAACTACTCCCCGCACCTCGCGCCGAACACGCGCGAGGCCCCACCGACTGTTGAGCTCCGCAACATCCTCGGCATGGCCGCACGCGACATGCTTGAGTCGTACCTGCGCAAGTGGCGGAGGAAGCTCGTGGTAGACATCGACGTGCGACACGCGGAGGAGCTGCGCAGGGTGCGTGTCATGCGTCCCTTCTCGACCCCGCTAACGCGTGGCTGTATAGGTGGTGGACACTGTTCTAGCGAAGCTACACGTTGCCACAGGGAAACTGCCGGACTTGACGGCGCTCATCGACCAGCCGAACTCCATATCGCTGCCAGAACTCGAACCGGAGCTTATCAAGTCGCGACACATTGGCGCGCTGTGCAAGCTATACGAGCGGACTGGCGATATGGAGAAGTTGCTGCAGACGTGGTCAAGATTGGCGGATGGCGAGCTTCTGGACCCCAGCGTCGAAGACCCGCTCTCACGAATATTTGACCTCTTGGCGGAGAGGAAAGACAAGGCACTCATCCAGCAATGGACCCCATGGCTCGTGAAGAAGGACTCGGATCGGGCTTTGAAGGTATGTTTTCTCTGGTCGTATGCGCCTACTTCTGACTGAGGTCGTACAGCTTGTCACTGCGTCTATGCCGACCAAGCGGAAAACCGACGACGATAGGCAACTATTGCAACAACTGCGTGATGCTAATCCGGCGGCAGGCGCGCAGTTGCTCGAGCATCTGGTGGTGCAACGACGAAGCACGGTACGCGACCTTGCACCGGAACCCGTGGCTACGCTCAACGACTTCTCAGGACGCGGACTTACACTCTGAGCTCGCGGCTATTTATGCTGACCAGCTAATGTCGTTCTTGGAGGACGAGTCGATATCCAAGTTGTGGCGTGCAAAGGGTGCGGAGCATATATAATGATCCTGATGCCAATACTGACGATTTCGCAGTGTCTTCATACTCATCGAGCCGAAGCGATACTCCCTTCATCGGCTACTTTGTTTCCACCACACCCGATTCAGAGTCGAAACGCGCCCGGATAAAGACCGCACTGTTTCTGCAAGGTTCATCACATTATAACCCGCAAGAGATTCGAGATCGAATATCGGGCCGCGCGAAGATCCTGCAGTTGGAGATGTCCATCTTGGAGGGCAAGGCGCGTCACGTCTCCTACACTCTTTTCATGTCGTCTCATGACCCCCTATCCAGCTTGGGAACCATCGCGTAGCACTTTCAACTCTCGTGCACGACCTCAATGATTCGACCTCTGCGGAAGCGTATTGCACGTTGGGTGGAGAAGTCGTATCGGCGAAGACTGCGCTGCAGATTGGCGAGCGCATGGACCTTCAGCCGTGGGCCGCGCTCGTCACGCCGCTGGCAGCGCCCGGCAAGCAGCAAACAACTGGTCGCAAACAGAAGACGGTCAGTGACGACGTCAAGAAGGATCTCGTGATGGTTCTGCTCGAGGTCTACATGAGCGGCGGGTGAGCAGTTCGACAGGAGTGTCTATGGGCGTCGTCCTCATGCACATATAGCGAGGCAACTGCGGACCGCACCGCGCAGCTGCTTAACTCGCAAGCAATGAACCTTGACGTGCTTGACGTACGTGCTTACGTGCTTCTCGTGGCTTCTCCCTGACCCTCTTCTTGCACAGGTGACTGCGAGGATTCCACCCGAATGGCCATTGCGGTCCTCTCGACCTTCGTCACGCGCTCCCTTCGGCATACCCTCCACGCCCGGCACGAAGGTCAAATTGTGAAGGCGATAAACGGTGGGCAGAACCTTGCCGTCGCGGAGCGAACATGGGCCATCATCCGCGAGCAGGGGGCGATGGTCGAGGAGGCTGCCGACGATGACGACGATGACGGGGAGAAGCTCGGCCTGGAGCTTGGGGAGCCAGTGGAAGGCGAGCCAGCATCGTTCAACGAGAAGGCGGTGCTGCACCAAGTGCACTTTGCGGACGATGTGGAGGATCTCGGGGAGAGCACAGGAGAGAGCGATGACGAGGGGGGACCGTGGACTCGGAGGAGAAGGACATGCGGACACCGACACATACGCACGAGGGTTACGATGTAGTGACATGAGGCGTGGGGTTGTGCATCTACACCGTTATTACACGGATCACTTACTTGAGACTATGGAAGCCAAACTGAAGCTAAGCTGCAAACAATATTGGTTTGCGCATGGCGCACGTGACCGAGTCGCGCGTGCCAAAGAGTACCATCGCTGGCGCAGCGTGGCTGACCCAGGCTGACCTCACTTGTGCACTCCACACTCCCCCTTCTCTCAACACCCACCCCGTCGCTCGTTACCCTTGTACACTACGACCTCCTAGCAAACATTAACTTCAGCCTCGCTCCCTTTCCCTTCACTGCTTCGCCATGGGGCTACTGAGTCGATGGTTTAAAAAGGTAAACCGCCTCCCCTCCCGTCCCCCGCCCCCCGTATCATGCTGAACGCACCCGCAGAGCCCACCCGAAGACTACGAGGAGGCCCTCGCCGAGCTCGCCAAAGACATTAGCAAACGCCAGACGCGGTTGTCCGAGATCCGGCTGCGTGAGCGGCGCGCCACCCTGTTGGTGTCCGTGTATGCCCTGCTCGGATGGATCGCCTACACGAGTCTGTGGTACATGGACTTCCTCCCGAACTTTACCTCGCAGGGCCGCCGGAGCAGCGCGGAGAAGACGGCCAAGGCGGCGCCGGTGTTCATTGGACCCATCATGTACGTTTTTGTCTTTCGTCTTTCATTGTGGCGGTTGGTTTGGTCCTGTGCCCCGGGGAGGGGATTGTGCGCTTCGATGGAGGAGGACTTCCTGTATCCAGAGCGTTGAGGCTGTTTGGCGGAACAAGGCGGGTATGCTGCTGCTGCTGCTAGCATTTCAACCGTTCATATCCATGCGGCTCGAAGTCGGCCGATATACTCTTCCTGTTTTTGGAAGACGCTAATTGTGCTCGTGATTCGTGCAGCATCCTGTTTGTACGGAGGATTGTGCAAATCTGGTATACCCGAATTGGTGATGCCGAGGGTACGTCCAGGACCCACCGTTTCCCCGCTTTCGAGCTCATGATTATCCCTTGCGATCACAGAGAAGATCCTTGTCAGGCGGCGCACGCAACAGCGGGAGAAGATCGAGGAGGTTAAGAAGAAGACGAACTACTACTCCATGCGCAACCTCATTGAGCGGTATGACGAAGGCGAAAGCCCTCGCCCTCGTGGTCCACCCGGCCAGCCGCCCATGGTGGTCAAGAGCCCAGTGGTGGTCCCAATGCAACCCCAAACCCCGCAACGGAACCTGCAGGTGGACCCAAAGACACCTGCCACCGGCTCGTTGACACCGAGTCTGCAGCAACAGCTCTCCCGTAGGTCCTGTGCCGCACCCCTTGTTAATTTGTAACTCAAGTGCGTTCCCAATGCAGCCTCGCCGCAACGCCCCCTGCCACCACCGAGGAAGCAGTGGTACGACCGCGTCGCGGACATGATTCTGGGCGACGAAGATGCGTCCGGACCTGGCGCAGCAACGCGCTATGCCCTCATTTGCCAAAAGTGTTTCGCGCACAACGGACTGGTCAAGGAGAGCATGTGGGAGGATGCACGTACGTTGGATCCCCATCCTTGCTACCCCACCCATCGGATCCTCATTGTTGTTCGACGCTACAGAATATGTGTGCCCCAAGTGCGGCTCCTTCAACCCCTCCGCCCGCGCTCTCCGTGATATGCGGGAAGGGAAGACGCGCGCGCTCCCGCACCACCCGGTGCCGGGGTTGGTTCAAGCAACATCGCCCCACCAGTGCAAGCAATGCCGCGCAAGAGCTTTAGTCCACCGCGGCCCGCGCCTGACCAGGACGAAGGCACGAGCATGGATGTCGACTCGTGATTGACGGTCTTCCGATCGGCCCGACGATGTCGAGGCAGTGGTGTCGGGTCCGGATCCGTATATGGACACCTCTTCTCTCTCCTTCAGGCATCTACGTTCTCGGTCGAATTGTTTTGTATATGCATACGCGCACGCAACATCAGCAAGTAATGGTGTTTTTGTCTTTGTGTTGGACCGAGATACGCAAAAGTCGTGCGACGTGCAATGGCTCACAGCAAGCAGAGCATGAAGCACTGTTGTTCACGACGTCGGCATACGCTCGGTGACTGTCTTCTGGCGTATTGCGTTGCGTGATGATAGTGAGTCGTGACTACTGGTGACCAGTGACTCATGACGGTACCCATTTGATGGAAAACCTGTTGGATGTTCACCATTTCTACCAGTATAAAGGTGTGTTTGCCGAGCCCACGTATGTCGAGTCCGTCTCACTTGTCCTGCGTTCAACGTCTCCATCGTCTGACGGCCGTATGCTGACACAACGTACTAATACATCGCACGGCGCCGGAGGTAACGGCGACGTGACGATCACGCATACGTGACTGGGACTCCGGGGACAGGACGAACAGTTCTCCACGACCACATCACTTGATATCCATGCCACTCGAACCCCCGTCTGAGTTCACTTCCCCTCACACCGTGCGATGTCAAATCGCCTTTCTCACCACCTTTCTCAACTTCGCCCGCCCACCAACGACAAGTCATACAACAGGAAGTACGGCAGGAAAGCCGGCGTATGGCATGCACCTCCTTCATCCTGGCCACCGGAGATGGGAGAAACGATCGGGTGGGAACCGAGGTCGTTGCTGTGACTGGCCGTACAACTCGTCAAGAGATCAGTGCGCTTCTCTACCGTAACGTCTCCCAGCACGCAGATGCTTCCCGCACTTCTCTCGGTCCATTTTCGTCACCCTTTGAGGGCCGTTCGCGTGACGGCCTTGAATTATGCGTCGGATTATGAGCGGAACACAAAAGTACGTCCGTGTTTTGTATGTCACCACATTTCGACGACAACGGGATGAACGCTGTTCTCAGGGATTTCGCTGTCAAGTTCGAGCACACGTACAGGACGTTGTGAACGTGGCCGAGTTCTTCGTCAAGATCTCTCCCGATGCTGTTAAGCCAATATACCGCACGTATCTCTTGGCCTTCATCGCCCATCGCTGTTGCGTCAAGCTAGCCTTCCGTATCGAAACCGGCGAGCGGATGTGGCGCCTCGGACAGCATCCCACAGCTTTCATCCACAGCAAGCTCACCGATCCCGACACTAAGATGCACATCCCGCCTGGCACGGTGGTTCCCATGCCGCGCACCATGCAACCAGATCTCCATAACGGGGGCCTCTTCATGGATCCCTCTCATCCATCGGTCACGAGAGGCTACGACTCCTACCTGGTCACAAGAGAGAACGCTCCCAAGTGGGCCAAGCTACTTTGGCAGTCCGTCGACGCCATGGACGGCGTTCTGAAGAAAGTCAAGGAGGGAAACGCCACGCCACAGCTGTTTTTGGATTTCGATTGTGCAATTTCGCTGCTGAAATTTCTCGTGAGGAGTGGTGTCCTCAAGCATATCGTCGCAGGCGGCATCAAGGATGACTTGAACAAGGCGCGCAGCGTGAAGCGTTCTGACCTGGAGAGTACGTGCGTCGCGATTTCGTTTTGTTCGTGCTAAGTAATCTACTCCCTTTCAGCCATCATCCGCGAGAGTCGCAAAAGTGACAATCGGACATCTGGACAGGGTGTGTTCTCGTTCCATTGATTACTCGATGTATTCCTCATGACCCTTTCAGGCGACGATGCTCTTGCCTCAGGAGCCGAGCCGTCCCGGCTCGAGGAGGACGAGTCGTTCCTCGAATGGGATGAATATGGTGAGACCGTCCGCCAAATCGCACACTGACCGTCAACCTGTTCAGCTGCAGAGGTATCACTCGATGGCGGAGAGAAGGACGACGACCTCGTCCGATACCTCAAGACCCTCTACATCCCCGACGACATCGCAGACGTGTTCATGAAGTTGTCGTCGCCGACCGACCCTCCGCACGTGACGGTTGTACTCGTGGACGCGCTCGCGCCGTTGGATGATCGAGCGTGCGTGAAGGCGGACGACGGGCCCCCCACGGCGTTGGATGACGCATCGGGATCGGGGCCCTTCATTGACGGTCTTCGGAGGACATCGAAGCCGTCTTGAAGAAGAAATTTTCGAACTCGAACCGCACAAGATCCAGGAAGCTTTTGACAAGGCAGCCGAAGACGTCGAGAAGGCAAGTGTACATGCCGAGTCCGCGCTCATGGCGCATGCACTGTTCGTGCACAAGAACATGAGTTCCGTAACACCGTCGAAGGAACAGTCAACAGAGGCGTCGAATCTTGTGACGGAAATTCTCCAGGTGCGACTCGTTCACGCGTCCGTTGGTGGTCGATTCCGGACATTGACCCTCTTGCACTAGGACGACGAGATCGCCATAGGCGTCAGCAAGAGGAGCTGCTTCTGTTGCGACCTCCTCGCCAAACTCATCGCGGAGCGTGAATCCGCGGACCTCCAGTTCGTCCTCCCGGGCACGCATTCGACTATCTACCCTTGGTACCCTCCACCCGGGCTTCCGATCGACATGCTGCAGACTATCAAGGACCGCTTGATTGAGTCGATGAAGAAGGTGCTGGAAACTGCCATCGACATCGAAGCCAGCTCGACTCAAACGACACCGTTGCATTCTAACGTTTTATTGCCCGGGCGGCCTATGGTGATGGAAGATTATCTGTCTGAGATCAGCAGTTAGTCATTCGTTGGTACGATGACGAGACAATTGAGGTGTTTTGAGTTTTTACAGCAGATTAGGTGGTGCTACCAGTCACCTCGCAGGCGCCTAGCGCGTCCACCATGTACTTGTAGTCCCCGCTGTGTCGGCGACGTCCGCGGAGCTTCTATACAACAAAAACCCTCTTTTATATCGTCCGGCACTCTTCTGGCACACCCGTCGAGGCACACCCTATCATCGGCACATCGTGCGCTCTCACTCCCACCAACACCGACCACCGACCACGGAGACAAGATGGGCACACGCCTTCCCCCACGTCCACGGGCTGTCGCTGTCATGAGCCGTCACTCCATCGGGACTGGAAGCCTCACAATAGCTGCTGTGTAACCGCGAAGGTGTTCGACCAAAGTACCAGACATTTCACACCATCGTCCACGGATGTGTACCGGCAGAGCAGATACGTCCGAACGCGCTCGAGGCTCTGCTGCAGCTTCCGCCTGGTCGTATTGGGAGGGCGATGAGGAAGGTGGACCGCCGTGAAGAGATTCGCGGTGCGGGCGGGGATGCTAGGTGAACGGTCGGTCAGGATTCCGGATACGCTCCTTTCGGCAAGTTCGTTTCTCGCAGCCGGCACTGCCCGCCCGCCTACGCATACCCAAAGCCCTGCCACAGTGCCTATCGCGCGCCCTGCGTTCCGGCGAAGACGCGCGGGACTTTGCCGAACTTGAAGTCGCCAGGGGCGGGGTACTTGAATTCAACACCTGCTTGAATGCCCGCCGCTTTGCCCTTGGAAGGTGCAAGCTGGGTGGTGTTGGAGGTGTCACCGTGCCTGCAATTGCCAGGTGTACTAAGACGACGTGGCAAAGCGAGAGAGTGAACTTGGCAGTGAAAATAGCCAGATCAACAGATATAAGCCTCGTGAGAGCCACCGTTCCCTATCTGGACGCCCTTCCGAGGACAATCGCGACTCGGGCTCCGGGAGGCTGTGTCATACCTAGGTGTATGTGGATTTCCAGGGGAGAAAGCGCTTGGTCCCTGTAGTGCCTCGTCCGACAAGCGCGATGAACGACACAGGCTTCCACGATTCATCGCCGGCAGGGTCAGTTGACGGTCGAAGCGCGCGTCGAGGCGATGACGTTGACATGCACGAACCTATATAGACAGATTCGCCGCGCACAGACACTCTCAACACACCCACTCACACACCCCTATAGCCTCATCCCACATACCAGCGTCCCTCGATACCTTAGTCCTCCCTTCCTTATCGCTCGACTTTCTTCCCCTCGTCTCCCACTTTACCCCCTAACAACACCATGTCCAGTGTTGGTGATGCTACCACCATCGTGGAAGGCCCTGCCTCCCGCTCCCCTCACAGCCACCCCCGCAACGGCAAGGCCAAGGGCGCCGACGAATTCCTCAAGGTCCCCCAGGCGAGCCACCTCCCGTCGGTGAACTTCGCGACCAACGTGGACTACATGGAAGAGGAGCGGCCCTTTTTCGTCAAGATCGGCAAGGACGGCCTCATCGGCGCGCTCCAGAAGCTCGACCGCCAGCTGCGCAACGTGAGTGCCTTCCCACCCGCGCGCAGCCTCTTGTCACTGACCCCGCCTCGTGTGCACACAGGAGAGCCGCGTGCACGTTCTGTCGAGGAAGGTGCGCGTTCGAGCACCGTGCCGTGCGCGCTGTTGCGTTGAGCTGACGGTTTCGTGATGGGCAGCGGCCGACGGACTGGATCGGGAAGGAAGTGACCCCTGGCCAGATCGGCCTCATCAACCACGGTGGCTTGCCCAAGGTCATCACGCAGGCGGGGCGCTACCCCGGCTTCCCCCTCCGAAACTGGTGGGCTCGCTCATGGTGCGGGACGTGTGGATGTACGTCCTTGCATGCCACATGCTCTTCTCACATTCGATACTAACATTTTTGTTACCAATAGCTTCGGACTCGGTTATCGAGTTCAACGGTCTCACCGTCGTCCAAGTGTCCCAGAACCAGGCCGCCGTCGTCTCTGACCCGCAGAACCATGTGTTCGTGATTAAGAACTCCGGGTTCGTCGCGTACGCGATCGAGGGCACGTACAACGTGCTCTCCATCGTCGACCAGACGCACCTGCCGACGATGATCAAGGACCCGATCACGAAGGTCGTGCTTGGATGGAGCCACGAAGTAAGGATGAAGAGCAAGACCGGCAAGGGCAGGACGGACGAATATGTCGTTGCGCTCTTGTACGTGCGATTTCGACTACTGTTTGACAACCCGCCGCTGATCGTGCCGCTGCAGCTTGAACATCCCCGCGAACAACTGCGCGATCTTGCAGCAGGGTGACGACCTCGAGCTTTTGTCGGCAGGGCAGCACTTCATCACGTCGCCGAACGTGACCCTCCGCGGCCTCTTCACCCTAGGAGAGAACCAGATCGAGATGCCCACGAAAGACATGTGCGTCTGCCACGCAGTGAATGGGGCTCGTAGCGTTCTCGTGCTCATCCCACATGCAGCTTCACTCGCGATCAAGTGCCCGTCAGCTTGACCATCTACCTCAAGTGGTAAGAGACGCTGTTTGAAATGTTCTTGTTTCCTCTCTGAAACGATACCAGGCAACTGACCGAGCCGCTCAAGCTCACCACGCACGGCTACAACACCCCCTACGACGCCCTCCGGGACAAGACGCAGTCGATCCTGACCCAGATCGTCGCACACCTCGACTACAGCTCGATGGTCAAGCAGCGCTCGCTCGGCCCGGACAACTTGGACGACGGCAGCGACGCGTCCTCGGCGTTCCTCGACGCGCTCCGCACGCGCGCGATGGACGACCTGCACATGGCCGCGCTCGAGTACGGGATCGTCATGAAGGACCTCGGTGCGCCCCCCCCCCCTGCTCCCCTGCCGCGGCCACCCGATGCTGATCCCCCGCGCACGCCCGCAGCGGTGATCGACCGGCAGTTCAAGGGCGACATCGCCCAGACGATGGACAAGCTCACGACGCGCGCGCTGCAGGCGCAGGTCGAGGCCGCGGTGCGTCCCCGCGCTCGCTCGTGCCCGGCGAGCGTCCGAGTGCTGACCGGGGGGCCTAACAGAACGTCGACCGCGAGAACAGCAACAAGATCAAGCAGGAGGAGGGCGCGCTCGCCGTCGCGCGCATCAAGGCGCAGTCGCAGAACGTACGTCCCCGTCCCCGTCCCCGTCCCTCCCCCCCGCTGCCCCCCAACACTGACGCCCCGCCCGCCCGCAGACGTCGGCGGACGCGCAGGCGTACTCGGTCGTCGCCGCCGCCGAGGCCGCGGCGAAGCGCACGCAGATCGAGGCCGAGGCGCAGGCGAAGGCGACGCGGCTCGCGGCGGAGGCGGAGGCGGAGGCGGTGCGCATGCGCGCGGCGGCGGACGCGGCGATCGCGGACGCGTACGCGCGCGAGATGCAGGTGCGCCGGACGGAGGTCGCGCGCGTCGCCGCGTTCGGGAACCGCGCCGTCTTCGTCCCCACGGACGGGCTGCAGGGCGTCGGGGGCGCGCTCGTCACGGGCATGGCGGCGGGGATGGGCGCGGCGGAGGGGAGGAGGTGAGCTGGGAGCGGTCGGGGGTATTTGTCTGGCCTGGGTCGTTGGTGTGGCGATGGTGAAGCGGTGCCGGCTAGGCCCTAGGTGCTCGGCCGGGGAGTGTTTGAAGTTGTCGCCTGCGTTGTTGACTGAACTCTACTATACCTTGTGGGTGGACATGATATTCAGATTGCATGCTCCTACTTGGGTCCGAAAGCTCGGTCTCGTGCACAAGGCTCTCGGAAGGCGGTGGTGCAAGGACGTTTGAACAGACGCTACGTCCATGGGGAACCACCCAGTCGAACAAGCGAGGAGAAGGCCGAACCGCATCTTGAAGGATTGGCGGTGCTTCGAAGCGGTGGTCGCTTCGCTGACGATAGTGCCGCGGTGCGAAGCGTGGTGTGAAGGTCGGTATTAGGTTCATGAAGATGTCTACGGAAGTGTACGTACCACTTCACAATCCGGTGTTTTACTTGCCGGCGTTGTGATCCTCCTACAAAGTGTACAGCTTGCCGAAGAGACGCTCTTGCTACGCACAATGCTGATATCATTCCGGCTGCTGTGAACCAGGCACTTAAGTGGCACATGCGGTGGCGAACTCACAAGCTTGCATCCATACAACTCTCCCCCGTCGGTGACTGGCCAGCATCCATCCTTCATGCCCAACAACAACAGTGTCGATCCCGAAAAAATCTGCGTTGAAGTCCCGTGGAAGAATACCTCGGTAAGAACCTGCCCATCTAGAGTGCGCGCACTCGGTTCGTTCTAACCACTCACCTGCACAGAGCTACGCCGCAAAGCCGAGGCTTACATGGCCCTTGTCTCGTCAACTCCTAGGCGCGGGGAGGGCCAGCCGCCTGGTCCTCCCAAAATATCGGTGAGTCTCGTGTCTTCCCGTGCCTATCCATAAGTAACTCATCCGACCACCCTTTCTACCACCTCCTCAGTGCGAGGGCTGTCACCTCAGCCATAAGAAGTGCGACGGAAGGCGTCCCTGCATGCGCTGCGCTCACATGAACCCCCCGGCGGTATGTTTCGACCATGTACGCCGTGATGCCCACAAGGGGATATCGCAGCCTTGGAGCATGGGGAGCAGCATGGGCAACTGCAGCAGTGGGACGTCGTAGTCGCTGGTGGACAGGTTAACAGTCGGTGTGTGCCGAATGGACGCATCGTCGTTGAGAGCTCGGGGGCTGATCGGCTTTTTCCAACAGGCGGGATGGGAGGCTTCTCGGTGGATAAGTTGCGGTAAGATTCCTGTTACCTGAACGGACAAGTGCTGGACGTCGGACACTGCCAGTTGTGAAAGTATAATTGTTACCATCACACTCAGCGTCCAGCGTGCGGCCTGCCAAATTCTATCAGCACACTATACATCGCAAGAGGTAACGTACCGTGCTTCACTGCGACTCGCTAGATGGACGACCTTGTTCGCGGATCGTAGCGCGCCTTCACGTGATCGCGTTGAGCTCGGCGAACGGCCCGGGAGTGCAACTTTGAGTTTGCCGGGAACCATCGGCCTAGGGACCGGATGCCGTCAGCGGGAGGAACGCCAGCGCCGCGTGCGGTCACTCGTTCGTCCTAGCGCGAGACCGGCGCGTCTGGGCTGGCCTGCGACATCTGAGCCCAAGACACAACGCTCCTTCAACATTTTCAACGTCGCAAGATGACTGTGCCGAAAGCAGACGGGCGTTCTCGCATGAACCGCACACCCGAAGAAGCATCGACGATCCATCCGAGGTCGAACGCGGATCCCAACGTGAGCGAGCAGCGCGATCGACGAGCGACGAGCACCGAGCTCGCCTGTTTCGCTGTTTCTCCGACCTTTTTACGGGCGGAGACACGACACGGGGGGCATCTCGATGCCCATTCTGGCGAGGGCGGCGGGCGGCGCCGGAGGGCGGGTGGTGGATGCGGAAAGCGACGGGCGATGGCTCCGATGGGACACCGCGAGCACCGTGGACGGAGGAACCGGTCGGGAGAAGGGGCGAGTTTGCCCCAAGAGGAGATGCGGAGAACGAGCGCAGGTCAAGCGTACGTAACGGATCGCGCATGTCCTGGACTTCTCTCCGGAATTTGTAGTGGTCGCTATCATGGCGCCATGACTAGAGCCTGAAGAGCGGGGCTCTATATGGCAGTTAATATCTCGGCGTTGAGAGGGCGCGGGAAACGGGACCGTCTACTTTTTGGAGATGCGCCTGACGGCCATGCGTAAAGCTCTGACGCAGCGCATGTCGTCAAACATGGACCATGACGTCTGAACTGCGCAAACAGCTCCTTGGGAGACTCTTGCAAGAGGATTCGACGAGACTCGTCACTGAGCGGATAGTCTCCTGAGGGTCGAGAATATCGATGGTGGAGGAACGTGCGGAACGCGGGCGCGGCGGTGAGTACTAGGCCGCGGTCTAGACAGGAGCACATATTACCATTTCAGGGAGGTGACGCGAATCACGTGATGTATTTACGCGCCCGGATTGGGCAGAGAGCGCAAGAGATGCGGCGCGCGATACCACTCCCTCTGCGATACTTAAGCTTCTCTCCGCGACCCCAGTGCCTTGCCATCCCCCCATCCTCCCCCCAATCCGCCATGGACTCCTTTGCCGAACCGCGTAGGCTTGCCGACGGCGCCATCTCTCTCATCGACGTCCGCACCCAGGTCACGCAGCTCGAGAACGACCTCCGCTCAAAAGACGTCCCGCTTTCCGGACGCATCATCCAGGTCTGCCACTACCTCCCCGTCATCGCCTCCTTTGCCCGCCGCCCCACGCCCTCCGACATCCCAAGCCCTCCAGCGACACCCCCTGCGCATGCGTCCGACATCCCCCCTTCCCCCACCGCCGAGCAAGCGCCCGCCGTTGAGCAACCGGTCGAGCCCTCCTCCCGCTGGGCCTTCCGCTCTCGCTATGGCCACTCGGCCATGGTGAGCGGCATCGACTCGCTTTCCGAGACTCACGACCAAGTCTTCGTCGGCTGGACTGGCGACATCGAATGTGCGACGCCCTCCTCCGCCGACGGCGAGTCGTCGGACGCTCCGACGAACAAGATTCCGGCCTCGTCGGTCTCTGAAGAAGACCGAGCAGAGTTTGACAACGCCCTCCGTCAATACGCCTCGCGCGACGAGAACAAGAGCACCAAGGAGATGCAGCACGTGCCCGTCTGGCTCGACGATAAGGACGCGCACGGCCACTACGACGGCTACTGCAAGCAAAGTGAGTCAATCCGCTCCTTGTCCACTCCTCCGTCCTGTATGCGCCGCATATACCCCGATTCCGTCGCGCCTTGACTTCTGCCGTAACGCCTGGAGCACGATGGCGCGCTTGCATCGGCGCGCTCCTGAGTGGGGTCTCTGCGTCCCGCTTTCACTCCGCCCCCGTTCCGTTCCTTTTGCTTTTTCGCACTCGCGCCGCATGACCCCCGCTGGCGGAGAGGCACGGGCACGGGCACGGATCTTCGTCTCGCACGCGACGTTTTCTCAGCGAGCAACGAGGGTCCGTGTCTGCCTTATCCAAGCGTTGTCGCAAGGGCGCGCACCCTATCTAGCCCGCGGTGTCCATCTCTCTGTCATCTACGACATGAGGCGGGGCGCGTATCCCCCAGCCCGCGCTGAATCTTCGGTCCGGGTTCCACCCGTTCCGAAGTCTGGGTAACCTCGCGGACCGCCGGAGATCCCGCTCGCCGGATTAGACATGCCGTTACCTTCCGTCGGTACCTTTCCACTCAATTCGCCCCGTCTCCTTCGTTCCGGAGCGGTCCTGCTTCCTTTGCAGCAGTGATCCATACGGGTGTCCTGCGGTGATTCCTCGTCGCCAGCGGAACCGAAGGCAGACTCACCTACGTTTTGCGTCTCCCACTCGACTGCGGTGTCCAGCATTTTTTATGTTGTGTAACTATATCCATCACATGTGCTAATGCACGTCCCATGTAGCATTGTGGCCGCTCTTCCACTACCTCCTTTGGCAAGACGTTGCGACCGAGTACGCATCGGCTGACTCGCACTGGGCGCCTTACTCCGCCGTCAACGCCGTGTTTGCCCGTCGCGTAGCCGAGATCTACCAGCCCGGCGACTTGATCTGGATTCACGACTATCACCTGCTCCTCGTCCCGTCGCTCATCCGCCAAACCCTCCCGGATGCCTCTGTCGGTCTTTTTGTTCACACGCCCTTCCCGAGCTCCGAGGTCTTCCGTTGCCTCCCTCGCCGCAATGAGATCCTCGACGGAATGCTCGGTGCCAACCTCATCTGCTTCCAGACTTACTCCTACTCGCGTCACTTCACTTCGTCGTGCATCCGTGTCTGCGGATACGAGGTCACTTCAAGAGGAGGAATCGACGTCCAAGGTCACGTTGCCGCAATCAGCTACTCCCCTGTGGGCGTCGACGCAGACCGCGTCGCGAAGGATATGTACGTCCATGTTATGTGTCATTTTGTCTCTGTCTGACGGTGTATACTAGCCTCCGCCCGGGGATCCAGCCTAAACTTGAGGCTCTCCGTACCCTTTATGAGGGCAAGAAGATCATCGTCGGTCGTGACAAGCTCGACGTCGTCAAGGGCGTCGTTCAGAAGCTTCGTGCCTTCGAGAAGCTGCTCCAAGACTATCCGCAGTGGATCGGGAACGTCGTCCTCATCCAGGTCACCTCACCCGCGCTCTCGGATTCTCCCAAACTCGAGCGCCAGGTGTCCGAGCTGGTCGCGCACATCAACGGAGAGTACGGTTCGCTCGACTTCATTCCCGTCCATCACTAGTATGTACTTCGTCGCCTTCGCTGTCCGATCATCTATTGACGCACGTATAGCCACCAGACCATTAAGAAGGACGAGTTCTACGCTCTGCTCTCGGTAGCAGACCTGGGCGTCATCACCCCCCTCCGTGACGGCATGAACACTACGTCCATGGAGTTCGTCATCTCGCAGGAGCGCACGAAGAAGAGCCCACTCGTCCTCTCCGAGTTCATGGGTATCTCGAGCAACATGACGGATGCGATGCAGATCAACCCGTGGAACTTGAGCGAGGTCGCCGCGGCCATGCACCGTGGACTGTCGATGTCCGAAGAGGAGAAGCTCAGCCGGCACCAGAGCCTGTACAAGATCGTCACCACGCACACCTCGCACACCTGGGCGGCGATGCTCGCGAAGAAGCTCTGGAGCGCCTAGGCTCGTCGAACATGGCCCGTCAGACGCCGTTCATGCCCAAGGCCCACCTCGAGTCGCGCTACATGCAGGCCAAGAAGCGCCTCTTCCTCTTCGACTACGACGGCACGCTCACCCCGATCGTCAAGGTGCCGAGCGCGGCGGTTCCGTCGAAGGACACGCTACTCGCGCTCGAGACGCTCACCGCCGACCCCGCAACGTCGTGTACATCATCTCCGGCCGCGACGGCGCGTTCCTCGAGCAGCACCTCGGGCACATCCGAGGGCTCGGAATGTCAGCGGAACACGGCGGCTTCATCCGGGAGCCCGGGCAGGCGACGTGGAGCAACTTTACGGAGAGCCTCGACATGAGCTGGATGGCCGACGTGCTCGAGATCTTCAAGTACTACACGGAGCGCACGACCGGGTCGGCGATCGAGGTCAAGAAGAGCGCTATCACGTGGCATTACCGCTCGGCGGATCCTGAGTGGGGTCTGTTCCAGTGCCACCAGTGTCAGGACCTGCTGGAGAATAACCTGGCCCGCAAGCGTCCCATCGAAGGTGCGTTTCTCGCCTTGCTGTCGTTTCGGTGAATGTCGCTGACGCGCCTACAGTGCTCGTCGGGAAGAAGAACCTCGAGGTGCGCCCTCTCGCGATCAACAAGGGGGAGATCGTGAAGCGGATCTTGTACTCGCACCCCGACGCGGAGTTCATCTTCTGCGCCGGCGACGACAAGACGGACGAGGACATGTTCCGCTCGCTGCTCCTGTTCCCCGCGGCCCACAGACGCCCGCGAACACGCGCGTGACGCTCGAGCCCCCGCTGTCGGTGACGCTGCTCGCGAAGGACAAGGAGGCGTTCACGCCGGTCGAGCTCGCGATCGAGCGCGACGCGATCTTCACCACCGCCGTCGGACACTCTTCCAAGCGCACGCTCGCGGTTTGGCACGTCACCACGCCGGAGGAGGTCGTCGAGCACATGCTCCACCTCGTGCGCGACGTGATCCCCGAGGACGCGCGCCCGGCGCTCGCGGACGCGCCGGAGCCCGAGCCGTCGAGCAGCCACCTGTGAGCGCGCGGCGGAAGGACGCCGCCGCCGTTGTATTGTACCATAGCATCTCGGGGCTGGAGGCGAGGCCGGACCGCGTAGAGGTGTAGAGGTGTACTCGTAGTTACTAGCCTTATACCGGGGCGCGCTTCATCGATCGTCTCCTTTTCCTGCGCCGCCTACCGGCGCGGGGTGTACCATTAGACACGGATTTGTAGGTAGCTAGACGGTCGTTGTCCGCAGACGATGAATAGAATTGTATACTGAGCGGCGGTTGGACACGTACGGACGAGCAAGATGCGTACACGGTCGAGGCTCTCAGGCAACACGTCCTCTTTGATGTCGAAAATCAGTCGTATTCGATCTCTTGTTCGAGAAACGTCCTTCGTCACATAATGGAAGAAGCAATGCAAGACCCTCACTCGCGCCCAGCTCGAGGAGGAGGCGGGTCAAACATCCGGAGTCCGGACCACGTCGCCGTCTGCCGTGACATATTGCACTGTCCCACCGGCCTTCGTGGATCCGGGTGGACGGAGGGTGGATGTAGGCGGAGAATTCGGTGGTTAGACCACGCGAAACTTGAAATACGTGCCCCGGACGCCTACGCTTTCAGGCTGGTGGTACTCCCACCTGATCTTCTGTAAAACCTCAAAACACCCCAATTGTCTCGTCATCGTACCAACAAATGACTAGCTGAGGTCAGACAGATAGTCTTCCAACGTCGGCTCCAATTCGGACGCTTCAACGGCAGAATGCAACGGTGTCGTTGGGTCGAGCTGGCTTCGACGTCGATGGCAGTCTCCAGCACCTTTTCCATCGACTTGAGCAAGCGGACCTTGATAGCCTGCAGGATGTCGATCGGCAGCCCGGGCGGAGGGTACCAAGGGTATATAGTTGAATGCGTGCCCGGAAGGACAAACTTGAGGTTCGAGGATTCACGCCCCGCAATGAGTTCAGCGAGGAGGTCGCAGCAGAAGCAGCTCCTCTTGCTGACACCTATGGCGATCTCGTCGTCCTGGCGCAAGAGGGTCAATGTCCGGAATGGACCACCAACGGACGCGTGAACGAGTCGCACCTGGAGAATTTCCGTCACAAGATTCGACGCCTCTGTCGACTGTCCCTCCGACGGCGTTACGGAACTCGTGTTCTCATGCATGGACAGTGCATGCGCCATGAGCGCAGACTCGGCATGTACACTTGCCTTCTTGACGCCTTCAACTGCTTTGTTTAAAGCTTCCTGGATTCTGTTAGACTCAACTTTGAAATTCTTCTTCTTCAAGACGGCTTCGATGTCCTTCCGAAGACTGTCAATGAAGGCATCGTCCAACTCATGGAGGGCCCGTCGTCCGCAGGTACAGCCTTCACGCGCGCTCGGTCATCCAACGGCGCGAGGGCGTCCACAAGTACAGCCGTCACGTGTGGAGGGTCGGTCGGTGACGACAACTTCATGAACACGTCTGCAATGTCGTCGGGGATGTAGAGAGTCTTGAGGTATCGGACGAGATCGTCGTCCTTCTCCCCGTCATCGAGTGATACCTCTGCGGCTGAGCGGGTTGACGGTCAGCGTGGGATTTGGCGGACGGTCTCACCATATTCATCCCATTCGAGGAACGACTCGTCTTCCTTGAGCCGTGACGGCTCGACTCCTGAGGCAAGAGCATCGTCGTCTGGGACGGTCATAAGGAATTCGTCGAGTAAATCAATGGAACGAGAACACACCCTGTCCGGATGTCCGATTGTCACCTTTGCGACCTCGCGGATGATGGCTGAAAAGGGAGTAGATAAGTGCGGCTGTACAAAGGAACGAAACGGCAACGCACGTACTCTCCAGGTCAGAACCTTCACGCCAGTGCGCGCCTTTTCCAAGTCATCCTTGGTGCTGCCTGCGACGATATGCTTGAGGACACCACTCCTCACGAGAAACTTCAGCCGCCGCATGATTTTTGCATATCGAGAAACAGTTTGGTGTGGCGTTTGCTTCTTGACTTCCTTCAGAACGCTGTCCATGGTGTCGACGGACTGCTGAAGTAGCTTGGCCCAGCTTGAAGCGTTCTCCCTTGTGACCGGGTACAAGTCGTAGCCTCCGCGACGGCTGCGTGAGAGGGAACCATTCTACCTTTGCGAGTGCCTGCTGCAAAGTGCGTGGCATGGGAACCACCGTGCCAGGCGGGATGTGCAACTCAGTGTCGGGATCGGTAAGCTTACTGAGGATGGAAGCTGTCGGATGCTGTCGGAGGTGCCACATACGCTCGCCGGTTTCGATGCGGGAGGCTAGCTTGACGCAGCAGCGGTGGGCAATGAAGGCCAAGAGATACGTGCGGTATATTGGCTTAACAGCATCGGGAGAGAGCTTGACGAAGAACTCGGCCACGTTCACAACGTCCTGGATGTGGTCCTCGAACTTGACAGCGAAATCCCTGAGAACACGTTCAGCCCGATGTCGTCGAAATGCGGGGAATAAAAAACACGGACGTACTTTTGCGTTCCGCTCATAATCCGACGCATGACTTCAAGGCCGTCACGCGAACGGCGAGAAGAAAACGGACTGAGAGAGGTACGAGAGGCGTCTGGGTGCTGGGGGACATTGCGGTAGAGAAGCGCACTGATCTCTTCACGGGTTCTACGGCCAGTCACAGCAACGACCTTGGCCCCCACCCGATCGGTTTTCTCATGTCCGGTGGCCAGAATGAAGGAGGCACCATGCCATCCGCCGGCTTTCCTGCCAAACTTCTTGTTGTATGGCTTGTCGTTGGTGGGGCGGGCGAAGTTAAGGAAGGTGGTGATGAAGGCGATTTGAGATCGAAGGGTGTGAGGAGAGGGGAACTCGGACGGGGGTTCGGGTGGCATGGATATCAAGTGATGTGTTCGCGGACAACTGTTCGTCCTATGAGCGTTGAAACGACGAGCTCTCCCAGTCCTCGTCCGACGCAACAGTCAGGTATGTATGCGTGACCGTCACGCCGCCGTTACCTCCGGCGCTGTGCGGCCTACTACATAGGAGGTGTCTACCTTGTCCACCTATCCCGATGCCACGCACAGTCTCCGTTCACATCCTCCTTTACAACGGTTACGCTTTGAGCCTCCTCACCGCATGCGACACCCTCTTGCAAGACGATGAGAAGGAGCGCCTCCACGTTCTTTTTGATGAAGCCCCGGAAGCAGCTCAACTCCAGCTGGAGCAATGTCCATACAACCTCCAAGTCTCGGAGGACCATCTCGTGGTGGATATTTTCGAGGTGAGTTGCATCAGATGGCCTCCCGTAGACCCAGATCAACCCTTCTCTCCCACAGACGGTGAAGCCGCTCGTCGCCAATCCAGAGATGACCATCGTGAGCCAATGTAAGGAACTGTGCCAAACCCTCACTGTTGAACGATTGAAGGCCGAGGCACGCTCTCTCTATCCTGCCCAGCGGTCCGCAAGAATCAAAGCTCCGAACAATCTCATAGGTATCGTCAGTACGTGTATACTCTGCTCTCGAACGCACACCCCACCATGATGTACGGTACCAGATGTTGTATGCCCCCTTTCCTGGTGGCTTCGGTCAATCCACATGCGCTTCAGGCACTTCTTCCACCCCCACCACGGCGAAGTGTTCCTCGAGTACACCAAACGCTTGACCAGTGGCTCCCCAGATGAAGTTGTGTTCAGAGCCAACATCATCTCTGCGAAATCTCCAGAGCCCGTCGGCGATGTCGTGGTCAAGTTCGCGCCGGCCTACGGCATCGAAGGCCATAAGCTGCTCGCCGAGCGCGGGCTGGCGCCCGAGGTGTGGTACGGAGAGTGGGAGCCAGTCCTTGGCAACTTCGTTGTCGTCATGGACTTCGTCCCGGGAAACCCGTGCGTCGAGGAGCTCATGTCTAAACAAGCGGCGTCCGTGCACGACGCGGTGGCCCTCCTGCACGAGCACGATCTCGTGTTTGGCGACTTGCGGCCTGGCAACCTCATTGCCGTCGCGGGTGAGGACCGCGTCGTGCTCATCGAATTTGATTGGTGTGGCAAGGTCGGCGAGGCGCGCTACCCCCGCGACATCAACTTCAACGACAGGATCCCGTGGGACCACGGCGTCATCGGCGGGGGTCTCATAGCGAAGCAGCATGATATGCATCTTCTTGCGACCCTGCCGCCCAGGCGCAATGCGCCTACAGCAGGATATACGGCTCGGCCGATGTGAGTACTGCCCGCACTGGCTCTCGGCCACGCTCGGATGCCCCGTCCTGACGTCTCTGCCGTTCTGCAGGCCGGGCCGTTCCGAGCCCGCAGTCCCTGTCCTGCTCTGCTCGTTTGGCAGGCGGGCCCGTGCTTCCAGATCCTCGGGGCCGCTCTCGCCGACACGATCATCGTGGAGCCACTGATGCATCCCATCACGCTCCTTGCGTGCCACTCGGCCAGAGGGGAGTCCGCGCCGGACGGCAAACACGACCTCGCCACGGAGGGCGTCTATGGCACCGTCCTCCGCGTGTTCCGCGCGCTGGACAAGACCGTCGAACGCCTCAACGAGCACTACCAGAACATGGAAGCCGACGTGCTGCAAGAGGAGGCCGTCGCGCAAATCCCGGGCCGGGGGTCTCGAGAAGGATCCCGCACGGCTCCGCCCACGAACAAGTCCGGTCGCCATAGTCCTCGCCCCAGCTCTCGCTCGGACGCCAGCCTGCTGCCGGCGCCGGGCAGCCGCCTCGTGACGTCCTTCGTCCACCCCCATCTGACCACGGTCACCCACGACGGCCAGACGGTCCGGCTCGAGTACACGGAGCGCCTCGCCTACGGCTTCCCAGGCACGGCGGTCTTCAAGGCGAAAGCGAGCGCGCTCACCGCGAACGACGTCGTCGTCAAGTTCGCCCACGAGTACTGCAAGGCCGCGCACGAGGCGCTGCACGCGGGCGGGCATGCGCCCCGGCTGTGGCACTGTCGGTGGGAGGAGGGGGTGCAGATGATCGTCGTCGTCATGGACTTCGTCCCGGGAAAACCGATCCAAGGCGACCTCACGTCCAGGCAGGTCGCCTCCTTGACCGACGCAGTCGCGCTGTTGCACGAGCGCGACTTCGTGTTTGGCGACCTGCGCCGCGGCAACGTGATCGCCCGGGACGATGGGGAAGTCGTGCTCGTCGATTTTGACTGGTGCGGCAAGTGCGGGGACGCGAAGTATCCCCTCGACGTCAACTTGGACCCTCGCATCCCTTGGGCCTTGGCACACAGGGGTGCGGGCAGGCGCCTTGATAGAGAAAGACCACGATTTGTACTTGCTCCAGCGACTACATGAAGAGGTCGAGGTTCTTACTAGCACAAGGCAGCCTGCGTAACGGTCGCAGGGTGAGCACCAAAGTCTATACGCAGCTTTGAAATCCGTATACTAGTCCAACTATTGTGGCACGAGTACTTTTTTGGCCACCAAATGTTACTGTTCGCAGCAATCATATGACATATACGGTACGATACTGACACGACGGAGGAATCAGAAGGGAGATACAGTTACATGTGCGACGCACAATCACGCATAGTCCTAAGGGTAGGACGGGCGGAAGGGTGGAAGCGGAACAGGAGGTCGGGCGTTCACATGGCAACGTCGGTCTGTATGGGCATAGCCTGCCCGCCTTTCGCGGCGCTGGGCGTGAACGTGTGCCAGCGGTCGTTGAAGCGGACGTCTTCATAGATGATATGAGCGACTGCGACGCGAACGATAGGAATGCATGCACTCACCTAACGGCCGTCCACCGTACATGTACTGCTGGAATTTTGCTGCCGGGGAACACGTCAGAGCGCCCTGGATATGACGGGACACGAAAGAGGGACGAACCAATGGCGGTCTCCGCCTCGGGGATCTGGGCGAACTGGACGACGCCGCAGCCCTTCGAGCGGGCACCCTCAAACAGGATTTCGGCGAGTTCGACCGTGCCTGTTGTCTCGAAGAGCTCGACAAGGTCTTCGTTCGCGGTAGACCATGGGAGCTGCATATAAACGTCAGCGCGAGACCGGGGAAGGGGCTGACAGGGAACCCACGTTGCGGACCATGATCTGCTGGCTAGGCTCAGCGTCAAAGCCACCGTACGCTGCGCCACCACCGCCGTAGGCCGCGTCACCGAATCCGCCGCCTATGCCACGCATGTCGCCCTGGTCGGGGCCGGAGTAGTCGGCGTAGATGTCCTGACTAGAGAAGTCGCGCCCGCCGCCAGCCCCACCGGCGTACGCCCCGCCGCGGAAACCCCCTCGGAGACTCCCGCGGAAGCCACCACGCCCGCCGCCACGGACACCGCCGCGAAGGGCGCCACGGTACGAACCGGGGCCGGTGAGACCAGCGTAGCGGTCCTCGCGGACCTCGAGCGCGCGGCCATACCAGTCGAAGCCATTGTACATGCCTGTAGGAAGGACACTCATCAACAGGGGTTCGAGCTTGGAAACCGATGTACGCACTGATGGCCTGCTGAGCATCCTTGGAGGTCTCAAAAATGACGGTACCTGAACCCTTAGGCCGTCCGTCCATCCCGATATTGATGTCGGCGCGGATGATGTTGCCTGCAGACCGGAAGAGGTCCTTGAGGTCCTGCCAGCCCGCTTGATAGGGCAGCTACAAAACCAATACATGAGGTGGCGCATACAGGAGAGCATCAATGGTAACTCACGTTGCCAACGTAGAGCTGGTTGCCCGGGTTTGCGGACTGGTTGAAGTAGTTGTGGGACGGCGGGCGAGGGGGAGGGGCCGCGTTGAGCCCTTGACCGGCCATTGCCATGCCGATTTTACCGGGGACAGGCGTGGCTCCGAAACGCGATTCATGCTCGCGATCCTGACGGAGGTTGAGTAACTGAGATTATGTTGTATGGTACCAACGCTTACCTCACGAATGAATACGGGTCGACCAAGAAGCAATTGCTCCGACAGTTCCCGGATGGAGCGCTGTGCGTCCTCGGAAGAGGCAAACTCCACAATGCTAAAAAGAAAGCTTCATCAGTCATTTAGATGCGCACATAGAGTCGAGCAGACGTACCCGCAACCCTTAGATACCCCAGTCGGAGTCACGAGGACTTCGGCGAAAAGCACTTCCCCAGCTAACCAAACCCAAAAAGAAAGCTCCCATCAATAACCATCCTTGAGCTTGCAACTCCGTCAGCAAATCGAGAAACTCGGCGAACTCCTCGGGAGACGTCGGCGATGGTGATGGCGTTGAGGGACCCCTCTCCAAACTCCATGGTGGCCTTTTCTCTCCATGACCCGGCCCTTCTCGCCTCTGGCTCACAGCTCACCGCAGCTCCGCGCCGGCCTCCCGCGTATCCCAGACCCCCGACCTCGACCAAAATCTCGACCCTCTGCAACTCGGTCCTCTGCCTCAGCCAATTCTCCCATGCCCAGGCCTTTACCAGATCCGACGCCTCCCAGGACAACCTGAACGCGAACGCGGCGACGGCGGTGAAGGCTTCCCCAGCGACCCTCTCGCCCTCCCTCGCCTCTGCCTCTCCCATGAAACGCAACAAACAACCAAGAACCCCTAACCCACCTCCCCGCATAAACTCCATGAGGTCTCGGTACCTGACGTCGTAGCTGAGGTTGCCGACGTAGACGCGGTTCTCGCGCTTGCTCTGCTTCGCGAACTCAGCCGCCTCCTCGTGAGGCGCGTTCATCGGCCCACCGAGCGAGCGAGCGAACGCCTCTGAGGCTCCACCGCGACCACCACGGCTGCGCGAGCGACTGCGGCTACCTGACCGGCGCGAGCGCGAGCGCCGGGCCCGCCGCCGGGGCGAGCCCGAACGGCGACGGGAGCGAGAACGCGAACGCGGGGTGCGGCTAGGCGAGCGACGGGTGCGGCGCTAGAAGGATGTATCGTCAGCGAGGGATGGGGGTGACTGTGGACGTTACGCGAGAGCGTGGAGGGGCACTCACATCGCCGTTGCGCCTGTCGTCAGGCTCCCAGTGGTCGCTTCTTCGTCCGCCGCGTCCTGGAGAGCAGACATGAAAGTCAGCAGCTGCGATAGAAACGACGCCAGAAGAAGAGAAATCTAGGGACAACGGAAAAGTCGGGTGTTTTAAGGAGGCACATGTACGCAGTGTAAGTGGCAGCAACAACAAGATGCATGCCACGCTGTATCCAACACCTCGCGATACGCGCATATATCCCATGCAGACCCTGCAATCACAGAAACTCCAGAATGCTCACCAGAGTCGCGACGGTCGCGGTCCCTCTCGCGGTCGCGATCCCGGTCCTTGTCGCGGTCACGGCGGTCGCGGTCTCGGTCGCGGTCTTCCCTCTCGCGCTCCCTCTCACGTTCCTTCCTTTCTTCGGCTTCGTCTTTCACCTTGACGTCCACGTCCATGGCGGCGGGAAAGGGGGGTGGAAAGGGGGGAAGGAGGGCGTGAGGGCGTGAAACAAGCAGCTACGCGACAAATTCTCGCCTCTGCCCCTCGGCCCCGGCGCTTCCACGTCATCGGGGTTTTAAATCCGACGTCTTGTCTTCTTTTCTTGGCTAGTATGACGCTCTATGTGCAAGTACTGCCTTGCAGACCGGGTTGAAGGCGTACAGCGGTGCGGCATACAGGGTAAACTCAGTGTTTAATTAACGATTAGGCGAATCATGACAGTAATCGGCATGCATAACGGTACAGAGGGAGGCGTATGTGATACAATGGTGGTGATGTCCGCAGGTATGTGAGCAAGAAAGCGAGCGATAGCAATCATACAAGGGGTCCGCGAGATGAGAGAAGCCGCGACCGCACGAAGGGACAGACTGAACGTCACACTCGATACACCGCGTCCGAGTCCCTCGTCTCCTCCGAGACCATCGACAGCGCGGGCGACATCACGAGGATCGACGTGAACATCCCTGACGACTGCGTGAGCCCCGACGACTGCGTCTTCGAGCTTTGCGCAGACCGCGGCGCCGTCGGGCGGTATATCCTGCTGAGCGCGCGCAGCGGGCCTCTCCGCGCCGTTGGCGGCGACTTGGGCGGCACTGCAAGTGACAGACGACACGCATGAAGTCAGGCATGGACATCGGACGCGCGTCGTGGGACGAGAGGAACGCGACGTACCGTCCGGCAAGATCTCGATAGGCTTCTCGGGGCTTGGCCGCCTGTGGCGGACTCGCTGCCCTTTACGCCGGCGCCCCACCACTGGTAGAGATGAAGAGGAAGATGAGGATCGCGCTTGCGATGGCGATACCTGCGATGGCGCCTGGGGACATTTTTGTGCCCCTCGAGGTTACGGAAGAGTCGGCGACCTGGGGGCTTGCGCTCTTCGAGGGCGATGGTGAGGAGGAGCTCGAGACCGGCGACGTGCCGGGACTCGGGTCGCCCGTGCTGGTGTACTGCAGATAATCGAAGCTGAACGTCCCATTCACGACTTCGAATGAGAGGGTGTGCGTGCCGGCTGGGAAGTTGGTGGAGAAGAACGGGAAGTCGTAAAGCGGCGAAGGGGATGTTGCGGGACTGGAGATTTGAGACGCGTTACTGTCAATGGAGAAGGATACAGTAACGGGATCGTTGTCGAGGACACCGTAGACCGCAATGAACGTCCCTGAGGGATGAGAGATCTCAGCATGTGGGTCTTGTATTCCACAGACCCCAAAAGATGATGGTGGGAGAGGGAATCCTGGAAAGCGTGGAGGGTACAGAAAGTCGACGCACCGGCGAACGAGAAGGTGACCGCCGAGCCCTCGGTTGTCGATGTGTGCAGCGTCAGAGGCTTAGCACCATTCTCATCCGTGTGTGGATTCCACCCATCACTGTAGTGGAGACTGGAGTCCTCATCGTCCACGGTGAGAAGTTGCGTCGCGCGTCGTGTTATCATGATTAATCTATCAAAAGGCGATTTAAAGTCAGTGCTCGTGCCTGGACGCTCCGCGAGCCATATACACGCACCAAACTACCGGCACTCACCGAAAGTCCAAACCAGGCGGCGCGTCTTCACAAAAGATAGAACAAGAGGTTCATAGCCACGCTCTGCGTAGTGGAAGAAAAGGGGTGATCCAGGGAGGGCGGTCCCATTGTGGGGGGATGGAGATAAGTATCACCGGGTTCGTGAGTGACGCTCTGCCCGTATTTGTTATAAACTCCCATCGCCACAACGCTCAAGAATCTCGCTCGAGCGTCCCCGCAACCAGTGAAGTCTGCAGGGCGTCCCGGGCGCCCACCTCCTGATCAGTGAAATCAGGAAGTGGACGGCGGGCCGCTCGAGAGATGACCTCCGGCGGCTTGTCGAGCATAACGACTCTCCGCATGGGAGCGAGGAAACTTCGACAGCGCTGATGCGGATGTAGCGTGCTACCGGGTTGAGGCGTTGAGGGAGCGGGAAGGGCCACGCACGACGCGCGTGCGAGGGTGGGATTGGCTCTTGCAAGGGGCCGAGACGTCGACGCGTCGCAGGATGCAGGCTCGGACAGATCGCGTCAGTCATCGCCTCACCGCGCACTAATCACGGATCGCCACGAGGTGCTGTGCGTTTGCTCCAGATGGTGAGTGAAGAGGCCGGCCACGCGCAGACCACCAGGACGTTTCATGATGAGATGATGGCATCTTCGTATCGCCATCTTTGAAGCAGGGAACTGTGGGTCCACATAGATCTGTCGCTCGGGCGGACTTGTGGTCGGAAACCGGATCGGTTTCTTGGAGGCCACCGGAAAGCATCACATCTTCATGCATGCCCTTTCCACACTGCGATTTTCGTTCAGCCGCGGCCGCTGACCATGCAAGGCAGATGGCAGGATGTGAGTGGGAACCGCCGCGATTTCAATTATGGGCCAGAATTAAATATCAAGCATCAGTCACTCACCATTCACCAGCAATTGGTCCTACTGATGGCCATAGTCAGCAACCGATTAACTGCACAAAGCAGGCACGGAGACACGCCCGGGAGTCGTCGTAACGACCGGACACCTCATTCGAATTTCATGTCACTCGGAGCTCGATCGCGTGGCGAGCGCTGCGCCCGGAGACAGCGCCACAGGTCAAGAAGCCAATCTGTGAAAAAGGAATATCGTGTTTATCAGCAATACTGGGCGCGGCGATCTCATTGGGCGCAATACTCAGGACTAAGCGGTTACTGGATGGGTGCAAGTTGAGCGCACGTCTTAAGCCCTTCGATCAAAGCTAATTAACTATCTAGTATCGGTGAAGCCCTCATAGATAACAACTGAGAGCACCGTCAGTGAACGAACAACTCCATGGAGAGGAGACAGCAACGCACTTGAGCTACTGGTGCTACCGCTGCTTAGGATTGTGACACTTGATCCTACCATTTCCGTGAACTGAGCAAGCTCGAGCCGACGGGATCGGCAACACACGTAAAGATAGTGATACAGAATCATATCTCCTGTAGTGCGCAAGAACGCCATGAAACATCATAAATACAAAACATGGTCCAGGGCCTCCGTGTCCTTTTAATTCGTCTGCGCGCCCACAGCCTGACGAAAGAATGCAACACATCAGCAAGCTGCTCCAGAACAGGAGCCCACAGGTGGCAAGACGTACCAAACGCTTGAGGTGCTCCATGAAGACTTGCAAGCTGACGTCGTCCGTGAAGATGGCCTGGCCAGCGCTGGCGCCCGCCGCCGAGCCGTACATGCTCGCAGACATGTGCGTCGTCGACGGGTTCAGCTTCGAAAGCAGGAAACGGGCTTGACTGCCGCCCTGGTCGCAGACGATGTAGCGCGGGATCGGGAAGCGGTCGGCGAGGAGATCCTGTGCGTCCGCGACGGGCGACTCGAGCAGCTCCTTGAAGTTCTCGTACCCCTCCTGTTCCTGGTAACCGGCCTTGCGCCACTGTGCGATCGTCTCGCCGTGGAAGATAAGGATGTGGAAGAAGGTGTCGAGGAGGAGGATAACGTCAGGCTTGATGGAAACGCTGTCGAGCAGCACTGGTTGTGGAGGGACGTCGAAGGTGTAGGACATGAGGGTGGGCTGGATCATGATGAGGGAGTTGTTCACATCCTCCTCGTTGAGCACGTGCCTGCAGTGATCATGGGCATACATACTCAGTGGTGATATCATGATAAAACTCACCGATAGAAGGCGGTCTCGTCCGGACTGTTGTTGAACACTTGCAGGAACTGACTTCTCCGAAGGTGGAACATGAACTGCGGGTAGATGCTGAAGTTGTCCGATAGCCTGAAGCTAGTTGGGTCCTCCTTCCTGTAATCCGCGAACTTCTGACATAACCGGATGAGCATGCGGTCCAACCACCGAAGCACGTCGGGCGAGTCGTCGATCTCCGCCTTGAACACGGCGATACGCGCCATGAGCACTGCTGCGGCCTCCTGGTCGAATGAGGTAGCGATGCTGGGCGAACCCGCCTCCGCGAAGTTACGTGCGATAGTCGTGACGCGTAGACGGTTTTTGCCGCTTGCATGCTGGTAGTGCGTGACAAATTGGATGAGACCACGCGAGCCGGGTTGCAAAGGCTGTCCAGCAGGAGTGACAACCTCGAAGTACACCGCGGCGGCTGTGCGGGGAGCGATCGAGTTGACTTTCCACGCAGAGGTTTGGCCGATACCGATCTCAGTCTCGCCGACGCATGGTGACTTCTTCGCCGCGGAGATGCCGTGACCGATCATCCCGGACACCTTGAGCTCCTTCGTCGTCTATACGGAGGTCAGAACAAACGCAAAAGAAGCTTGATGGAGATACATACCTGAACGTCGAAGGTCGCGTTGAAGCCCATCTCCAGGAAACCAGAACCGTCCTTGTTGAACATGCGGAGGAAGCTTTGCTTGAAGATTGAAGTCGCGAAGGAATCGGAAAGCACGATCACGCCATTGGTCGAGTTAGGCATGGACTTCATCTCCAATAGGCCCACTTGATCCAAGCATCCCGCGAAGAGATCGATCACATGGCCGTTGTTCGAGGCTCGCTTGGCGAGACCTTCATAGAACTATGAAAGAGTTAGAAACAACGTCCAGGATACATTACGAAGTCACCCACCTTCGTCGCGCGTTTGAAATGCTTCGCGCTGTCACGGTCGATATCATGGTGTGAACGGATGGGCTCCTTAAGCTCGTTGCTGACAACCATACCCGGACCCTCAGTGGCAGGTCCTCCAGAGAAGAGCATGATGTGTGCACCGGTGTTGGGGAAGGTCGACTTCGCGCAATGAGGATACGTTTGCAGCCGCTGAATGATGCACTCACCTCGAGGAGGCCAACAGCCACGCTAACTGCAACACCCGTGCATCGCAGAGGGCGCTTGTCATTTGCAACCGGCCATGGGTCCCGCGCGAGGGCCTCGAGGATACCGGTGAGTTGGAATTCACACTGCTGGGCCGGCATGAGGAAGCGGGCAGCGCCAAACGATTGTGGGGGCATCGGCTGGCCGGGCGTGGAGCCGCGCGGTTTTGAGAGGTGAGGCCGAGCATGTCCTGAATCTGCTTGGGCGAGTACTCCTTGCCTCCGCGGAAGACATAAGACTTGCTGCACTCAGCGTAGCCAAGCTCGTGAATTTGGGTCTGGTCGCGCAGAGGTGGGTACACAGGGAAACAAAGCAAGATTGAAGACTCACCATAGTACCGAACGTGATCAGACCCACGAGCGCATACGGGGGATGAGACTCAAGCTGACGACCAGCGCATCCCTGAGAGCCTTCAGATCTTCTTCCTCCAGGCAAGTGTCGACGACTAATAGGAAGATGGGAGGGACGGCCGCACCGCGCGACAGCGTGTATTCGATAGTGGTGAACTTGGGGAGGAGCTCCGACGGAAGATTGGTGTTGGAGATATCCTTGTAATGAGGTGGGAAGGCGTTGCGCTGAAGGCAGAACGGGCATATCCAAAGCTTCTGGCGGATGTCGATTTGGCTGGAAAACGAGATCTCAGCCCTCGCCATTCCAATTTACAGACTACGGTAACACAGAGCGCGTTCAAGAGCCCTTCTGCAGGACACGAGTGCCAGGCGCACGTTCTGATCCTTCGCTGCCCCGAACACCCGCCCACATAGATGATATCACGGAACGCACCAGTAAGGATTCAATACGGCCCGACAGGGAGGCTTGCATGTCACAGGCTCATAAAGGATTTCGGGAAGGTCGTCTCGTTGCTTGAGGGGAGTGTAGAGGGCGGAGATGGGGACAACTGTGCGCGTGGCCTCTATTCTCGAGGACGGCCATACGTTCCACGACAGACGACGCCTATATGCGCTGCTTTAGCACTGTATAGTGTTTGAATATGACGGTAGCACTCACCATCGCGCTCCTCAACGTCCTCGAAGTTCATGGGGAGTATAAGATAGTGGTGAAGGAACGTGTTAAGATGTCCGAGGCGCTGCCAATGCGGACGTGTCGCGTGTCGGGCATCTCGCTAAGCGGAGCGTCAAACATCCACGATCTCCGTACTCGGAGTTGAATATTTCAAATCGCCGCTCGTACACTGCTTCACAAAGTTCACAATGCAAGCGTTTCAAAATCGGCCCAGCTGTTTACACCTTACCGTATACCCCGTGCACGGCCAGTGAGGCAAGTCGAGACTGTCCAGTGAATGCGAAAGCTCATGGTCTCTAATTAGGGACTAGGCATGGGCATTCTACGGCTCTCTCTCCCCTTCGACGTCCTCCACGAGATATTTGGCCGCATACAGAATTTGGAAGAATCCCGATCTGCCGACCTGGTGGCCTCCTCACTGGTCTCAAAGCTCTGGCGCGACGCGGTGTTCCCTCATTTGTTTTCTCACATTGCTATAATCCGAAATTGCGGGTCATTCCTCGACGTTGAGCGTTTCCTGGATGAACATCCCCGCATTGTCAAGTGTGCGAAAATGTTGACGGTGTCCTCTCGTCATTCGCCAAAAGAAACTCCGCAACAAGCCGCCCAGCACCTGAAAGCAGATCCAAATATTATCCTAGAGCGAGTCATTCGACATCTACCGAACATCATCTCCCTCAAGATGATAAACGTCACACTTTTTCGCGACAGATGCCCAGATCCGAGCCTCCATCCCTCCGATCCTCACTAATACAAACACCCTGGGCCAGGCTCAATGAAGTTGCGGAACGTTCTCCTCGACGATTGTGACTTATCCGTCGCGGCCGACATCGTTCTTTCCTTGCTTTCCCATACACTGAAATCGACACCTTCTGTGTGACCAGGTCAACACTCCCCTCCTTACTTCCGCGTGCCCCTCCACAAGCCCCCAGGCTACTCCGCATATCATCAGTACAGCTGGATGTCTCCGACTGGGTCATACTCCACGCCTCCACACGATGTTATACGACCAATTCATCACTTACCTCGAGCCTGGCTGCCTCCATACCTCAAAGTGACCTGTTTCGTTTGGGACTGGTCGAAAAGCTAGGCACCCTCATCTTCGTCCATCGCCACTCCCTCCGCCACCTGCGAATCACCCTCACCACGGGTACGTCCGATACTCGAATCGCTGCACACACCCGTGCGCTGACGCGTCCTTCGCTTTCCGCAGGTGGCGGCCGGCACGCGAGCGCAGGCTGGAGTGCACTCCACCTCTCCGCATGCGCTGCGCTGACAACGCTCGGCTTCACGCTCGAGCTTGGACGCCCGCCGCGCAGGACCATAGAGGACCTCGTATGGCGGCACGGGATGAGCCGCGCGTGCGCTGCGCTGCTGCGCGCACTACCGCCCGAGAGTGCGCTCCGCACCGTACGCGTGCTCGTCGCGTGCCACGCTGTCCTGCGTTCAATGACGAAGACGGACGTATCCGTGATAACGGGGGCAGATCACCTTCTCGAAGCAGCGTGGCGCACGAGGATTTGAGAGTCGTTGATGGGGCGGTATTTGGGGAGGACGGCGAGTGCAGGTTCCGGGAGCTGGAGGTGGTCGAGATCGCGTTTCTGGGCTGCAAGGACATGAAGGGTATGGAGGAGGCAGCCGAGGCACTGTTTCCGAAGCTGCACAGAGCGGGGCTGTTAAGGATTCTACCACAACCATGGAATGACTATTGAAAGTAGATACACATGGACATATTACATCTGGAGTCGTATCACCACATAGTACACATGTGTCCTATATTTGAGTTGCTTAGACGATGCGTGAATGCTTCTGAGAATAACATGGCGCTATGATCTCTACGATCCAGTTCTTTCAGAGTCAACAGCCAGCCGCTATCACCTTCTGTCCCGCTCTTTGTCGTGCAGAGCGCACAACCGCTGGCTCCATAACACAACGGGTATTTCCTTACGCGAACGGGGTGAGTTTTCGATGAACATATTCACGGCTTGACCATGGTCGAAGGCTCGGTTAAACAAGCAGAATTTGGAGGTACCTCCTGATCTAACAAGCGGATTTATCAGACAAGAAGATGCTCAGGGTAAAAAGTGCTTGCTTGGACGTCTGAAACTACCATCAAGGTCGCTACGTACTGTAGCCTGTAGCCAGGTACTGCAGCCACTTGAGTTGTGATCTTGCGGTACGGGGAGAGTCGGGACAGTGCATGTGTCAGGCATGAATAACAGTGCCGGATCAGACGGCGCTCTGTATGAAGCGACTCCGTATGTATCAAAGAAGTGGAGGCAAAGGCTGCGAATGCGTTCGGCAGCGCGCAGCCGAGACGACTTCAAGTTGCGCGGCCCTGAAGCTGAAGCGCTGAAGGCCTGAAGCCGCTGCACCGAGGCGCGAGGTAGCGATTGCGTAATGGCGGCACGGCAGGAACCCTGACAGTGACAGTCACTTCTGCCGAGAGCCCGTCTCTTCTCCTCCCTCTTATACCCTGCTGCTTGTCCTCCCTCATGCAACACCCCACGTACTTGTGGCAAACACACCCATTCACCATGGACTTCATGTTCCCACCTGCGCTCGGTCGACGCTCCGCCGCCCCCAAGGTTACCCTCGCGTCTCGAAGCCATGTCGAGAACATGGACGCGGGCCTGACTGCCGTCGCTGGTTTGTTTTCCCTCTTCTTCCTCCTTCCACACTGCTCTCACACCGGCACGACAGGCGCGAACACCGTCATAGACCAGATCCGCTCCCGGCGCTCCGGCGTTACCAAGCTCATCCTCGGCCACAACGACTGGGAGACTCCGGCTGTGAGGAGCTCTTCAAATGGCTCTCATCCGACGACGGTCGGAGGCATAAGATATCCCAAATCAGCCTCAACTCCAATAACATCGGCAATCGAGGCCTACTGGCCATTAGCCGATATTTGAGGGATAATGGTGCACTCAAGGAGCTCTTTCTCCAAAATGTGAGTGTGCATTGGGAGCGAGCTTCATATATGCATTAAGTGCGGGCTTTTTTTCGAGAACCATACCAGCCATCGTAGCGCACCTTGCGCTCAGGCGTTTTATCCCATAAGGTGTACAACAAAACCCGTCATCCTTCCCGTGTAGCCCTCTTCTCATTTGGAAGCGTTTGCTGATCCATACCGCTTACAGAACGCTTCGTAGGAGACGTTGACGTTGCCATTGTCTTCGCTCTCGCCATCAATGCGTCGCGGCTTGAAACCTCACCCTCACCACCAACCAGCAGTTAACGGATACCTTCGTTGCCCACTTCTTCCCCCTTCTCAACGCCCCTCACATCCGGGAAATCCATCTTTCGGTCACCGGGCTCACCCAAGCTTCCGCACCCCATATCATCGAGTATATCACATCAACCCGGTGTCAACTTCATACTCTCAAGCTCAATGGCAACCGACTTCGCATCCGCGCGGTCCGATCCATCATACGGGCTCTTAAACACGGAAACTATACCCTCCTCCGGCTAGAGATGGCCGCGAACGGTCTCACCGACATTGACAACAGCGACACGCCCCCAAGTGAGGACGACGGAGGCGCCAAGGGGAGCGTAGTCAGCTGGCAGGAATGTGAGAACGAGCTCAAACGTCTCATGGCGCGTAATTCCACCCTCAAGCATCACGTCGAGAAGGACGCCCTGTCCCTCCTTCGCCATGCCCGACCGCTTCTCGTCCGCCCCAAGAGTCGCTCGATGAAGGATTCCCTCACCCCCTGCTCCGATTCCTGTGCGTGCGCACAGAACGCCGACGTGCTCTTCTCCTCCATCGGGCAGCCCTACACCCTGTCCGCCTCACCCGAAGCACCACCACTTTCATCATTCCCCTTCACGCGACTCCCCACGGAGCTGCAGCTGCACGCCTTTCCTTCCTCGCCCCCGTCCTATCCGCGAAGCAACGCCTCCGCATCTTCCAATTCGCGTCCTCGCCCGCCACGCTCCCTACCCTCCTCCCTGCCTCTCCAGTGGCGGATGCATCCCCGACCCCGCAAGCCCGCAATTCGGTGGGCTCGGTGACAAACCCGTGTCGTCGCCCTCTGGGCTTCCCGGCTTGGATATGGATACCGGACCCCTCGCGATCGGGCAGGTGGCGGGGTTGTGCTGAGGAAACGCGCGGGTGGGGGCTCGGTGTCGGGGTGTGCGAGCGGGCGGTGCATGGGCGCGGGGAATAGCGTGCTCTGTCGGCGCGAGGGCGAGCGGACGGCGTGGCTCGCGCAGGTGGGCTGTACTGCATTTGAGCTCGACGACGGGTATGATGGTGAGTCGTTGGTGCCCCATGACTAGCTCTGAGCAGAACAGATGGATGGGGTGGTGCTTCATGGACCTGAGTTGTGTAGGATAAGGGATCCCTATGCCTGTATCTGCTAGACGCTATCGTGCAACTGTAATCTATATTCCTGACCCATGATCACGCTCTCAGATGATGTTCTGCTGCATCCGGATCACGAAGGCGACACCTCAAATGCCCTTCTTCAATAGACGCTAGCTGGTGACCTCTTCTCGCTCCTTGTTGTCCACTAGCAGCCGCTGACAAACATATATTCGTATTCACAGATGCCCTCTGGCGTGTACACAACCCTTTGGGTCCATCTTATCTCCAACACTCTCCTTCGAATGCTCTCTTGTCCCCGTCATTCCTCCATCGCACGAGCGATGCGGCAAGAGTAATGCATACAGAGTTCCAACTGGTTCTACTACATGCTATGAAATGTGCACAACTTGAACAAACAATTGTTGTACTTCAGAAGGTGAGTGGCCGTCCTGGGACCCAAGCATGGCGTATGTAGTCAGATGGACGGAGCCTCGCGCAGCGGCGGTGCGCGAAGTCACGCAGTATCGCTCCGCCGCAGCACGAAGGTGTCGTGCCTTGCATCTGCGCCGCGAAGTCGCCGCTCCCCCATCCGATACTGTCTCGTCGCACATGGGCCCTGGGCTCAGGACTGAAGCGGTGGACCGTGGTGCGCCGAACGCGCCGACAGGCGGCGCGTGCGGCGAATCGTGGAGGGCAAGGCTGTACTTAGGCGAGGGAATGTTAGGAAACCGAGGACGGTAATGAACCTTGTCGACGTTGGAGAGCTTCTTCGGCATACAGCACGCGTGGGCGGCGACGGGAGGCGCTGATCATGTCCAGCTGCAAGCATCCGATGGAGTCTTTCCTGGGCTCGGCAGAAAGTTCATACATAGCTCAGAGGACAGTATGTTGTCGGCTTGGGCTAAGGGAACGGATAGAAGACTGACAGTCTTTTTCGCAGTCACTGCGGAGGTGCGCGGGGCTGGCCTATTTGTGTTCTGTACGCTTTATCGCCGAGTCATGGTATGTGGTCTTCGGCTTCCTTCGTTGATCTCCACTCCTCCTCCGCCTGCTCTTGCCAGACCTCAAGGCCTCAACTTATGTCCATCCTTCTTCCCCCACCCAGCAGGCGGCGCCCACGACGCCGACAGCGTGCGCGGAAGTCCACCCGGACGTCAACACCCCCGGAGATCAGAATATCGGGGCTGCGGTGGTGCATCACGGCCTGTCTCGGTGAGTACTCTCTGCGCATTTTTGCGCTCCCCGCGCTCCCACCCCCTCCTTGGGCTATGACCGCAGCACCGAACCCGCCCCTGCAATGACCAATCCCAATGGACGTGCTCATGGCATTGTGCGCTCATTGCCGCGGTGTCACACGTCCCCGCCCACCTTGACCTCCACCCGCCGCGACGCCTTGCAAATGACATTCGAACCCTCTCTTCACTTTCCTCACCTGCTATCGACTTGCCGTCACCACGATGACACCGAACGCACGGCGTTTGCGCCAAACGCCCACGACTTGCTCCTGCCCACCGCCTCCGCCTCCTTCTGCACTCACCCCGCCGACCGCCCTCTCGTTACCACGAGTAGGCAGGAAACTCCTCTCAGAACTTTTCTCTCGGGCTGCAGTGAGGTACCGCGGCCCCGCTTTCGCTCGGTGAGTGTGCCCCAACCCGTCTCCTGCGCTCTCTTCCTCTTCAGGCTCCGGTTGCCTCATCGTCCCCGTCCCCGCCCTGCAATTAGGACATCCTAACGAACATTCTCGGGGCGTTCATTTGGTCCTACAGGGGCGCGGCATGCTATAGTTGTCATGCCGGCTCGTCATCCACTCGTCCCGACGTCTGGCGTAGGGGTCTTTTCCTCACCTTCTTTGCACTCTCCGTCACGCACCCCGACTTGGCTGGGCGCCGGCCGAACGACCTTCGCTCCGTCCGCCCATGGGCGCCAACGCCCTCCAACGTGCTCCCCTCCGAGGATCTTGGGGTCGCTGTGAGTTTCGGCGATCCCGTCCCAGCGTGGCTAGTACGTCCTGTCCCCAGCCCTCTCGTGATCTTCATCTCCAGATCCTGCTCTCGCGCACGTCGCGAGCACGTCCCAATGGGCGTGCCCCGCGCGCACCGCGGCGTCCCCTCCGCCCCGCCGCCCGTCTTGTCCCCACTCTCCACCTCCGCCTCGCCCTCCTCCACCCTCCACCCCCGCCTCGCCTTCGACGCCTGCCCTCAACCTTGACCTCCGTCCAGTTCTCCCACCCCGCTGGCCGATTTCCAGAAACCAAAAAGTGCTCTCATTATGGGGCCGGAGCCACCGCGACCCCACTCTTGCTTGAAGCTAGCACCATCTTGTAGTTGTGTACTAAGGAATATATTTTCATCACTAATCATACATTGTGCATCTATCTGTCATACAAGTAAGCGTGGTAAGAAACAATGGGGGGCGAGCAGAACTTGGCGGACAGTGTGCCCGCTGTTGGAGACGATGAGCACCGGCCGTATCCGACCATCTCTGTCCTTCCGACTCTGTCGCATGCGTGATGGCAAGCGGGCGCCCCGGCGGGGCGCCGTTGGCGTAGACGGCCCAGCAGGAGCCGGTGGGAGTGACGCGGTTTATGATATCCGCACCTCCCGCGCACCACTAGATCGAACCGGCGTTCGGGATCTGCACGGTCCTGGTACATCCCAGGGTCTGAGCTCAGCCCAAATATTCCCAGCCGTCGCGGGGTGAAGGTGGGGGTCGAGTTAGGGTCCCAGGCAGGGCATCTAGATGACGGAGCCCGGAACTCGACTCCATAGCACTGCTATCGGGGTCCGGAGGCCTTTGGGGCTCTCCTCCTCCTTCGGGGATCATCGATCAACGTTAACAAGTACTAGCAACGCGTCAACGTTTCAACGTTGCGCGTCTGTCGCGGGGTCCGGATCCGACTCACGCGCGGCGACCTCGCGAAGTTGCTGGACGCCTGTAGGCTGTCATCCGTATACGGTTGAGAAAGGCAGCTAGTGTTAGAAGTCGGACGGCTCGGACGAGGAAGAAGATGCAATCGATACGACGCGGTTGGTCCCTATGGGCACCGGGAGGCGAGTACAGACGGACGCGGGGGAGAACGAGGTGGTGGTGAAGGGCAAACGCGTGAGGCGAGTGCGGGACGAGGGACGGCGGCTATCTACGCGATGACTAAGCGCTGGTACCGTACGACCGAGCTTGCTATGCCATATGCGGGCAGATTCCAACAGCTAGACTGAGACCAAGAAGCGCGACATTAGTATGGCGTGTTTGCACGAACTGGGGGGCGGCAGTATTTGAGACGTGGATCTGGGATGCCGGGGCAGTTCGGGCAGAGTTTGATCACAGCACGTCTGCCGAGGGCCCGGCAGCTGCCTGCAATCCTGCGCAAACAGACACGGCTGTGTCACCCGAACGTTACTAGGGTCGTGATAGAGTATGGACCTAGCTGTAAGGAGAAATCGGCGCCGGGGCTTTCCCTCTCAGGCTCTCTCCTAGACGCTAAGATCGCTTGTATAACAATGACGTCCCTCAACCAAGCTGCATGGTCACGCACCCTCCCCATCTCGCTACTCACCACGTTCACACCAGCATGAAGCACCTCAATCATCAGTCATATCCTTCCCGATTGTGCGCCATCCGTGGTTTCGGACACAACCCCGAGTCTGTACATCTCTGCTTGGTGCGCCGCTTTCCTCTTCGTCGCTCTCTCCATGGCCATCTCCTGACTGGATGCACACATATTCAGACCAGGTTTTGACGAATCTGAATAGTCTGTCTCGTGTTACATAAGTCCAAGCTAGGTGACCTGTCATGATCTCCGGCGTCCCCTCACATCTCATATTGTCTCTCCAGCTGCTGTCCAGGCCGCCCTTGATTTGGATTATGGTGACCAGCAAGTCCAACAACCCTGCCCTTGCCCCACCGTCATTCGCCACCTGCCCCACCCTTGCGCAGCCGAGCCATCGCCGCTCGACTGCGGCGAAGGTAGCGGTACTGTATTTCCTCGATTTAGTTTGCGCATGGACATCACTGATTAATTTATGCGACAGTGCACGAATTGCCGGGCGGTTTCTAAGAAGTGCGGCGATGCTCGACCTTGTGCGCGCTGCGAGCGGGCTGGTCTCGCGGACAGCTGTGTTGACGCGCCGGTGCGCCCGCCGTCGTACTGCTGCTCGCGTGCCGCCCCCCAAGGCCGAGGGGAGGGTGGCATTCAACACATACCTCACAGCGAGCCGGGACCCAGTACATCTGCCACCTGTTTTTACGGGGGCGGCTTGGAGGGGGTTGACGGCGCCCAGATGGTCGCTCAAGACGTTTATAAGAATGGTATGTTCTCCCGTACTAGTACGGCTCAAATGGGCTCTCCGTATCATGACTGATCAAGTACTGGTGGGGTTCTCTTCCACAGCCGACGACAAGGAGGCCCAGATATATTCTTCAAGTCTCTGCCACCAGGGGGTGTGGTTTCCCCCTGCCATCCCATCGGATTGTACGCCTTCCTCCGCCGACCAGGGAAATTATCCGTCGAGCCCAGCTGGCCTTCTCCCTGTCACCGGCTCGTCGTATTCTTCGTCGACCCTCCACCTGAGCTTTATGCCACTCCATGATATTCGGTAACTACCAGGGCTCTTCGCGCAGCACGCTGAGCCATACTCCGGTACCAGCCTTCCGTACGGCTGCTAATGAGTGAGTTGCATCGAATACAGGTACAGGACGTCTGAGATACTAATGAGGTTTCAAATTAAATTTGAAGTGTATGAATTCAGATTCTACGTAGTCGTGCATACTGAGGAGAAGAAAGGTCACTCAAAGGGTCGTTGAAGGAGTTCAATTGGTTGCATATGTATTACTGGTAGACTGTTATGCTTCGCAGTGACGTTATTCATCGGCCGTATATGTAGACATCTACGACGCCATACACGCTTGTGCTCGAGGGCAACTTGGCAGTGTGAACGATGTGACAAATGACCGCTGACGTCACCCGCGCTGCCCGGAAGGGGACGGCCCGACTGCCGATGAGTCGCAGCTTTTCGGTGGCGGGCCTGTGGGCGTCAAAAGCCCACCTTGCTGGTGCCGTACCACCACCTCCCCGTCCGCTCCCACCAGCGCCACGGTCGTCCTCGTGCTCCGTTTACCTTCTTTTGCGACCTGCTCGGCCAGATGGCTCAAGGTATTTCCAAGGATGAGCAGGAGACGCTCCGGCTGCTGGTGCAGCATGTCTCCCGAGCGTTCTACGAAGCCAAGTACACGGTCATTATGGACCAGCTGATTCGCCATCCAGTGTAAGTCCCTTTGTACCGCGCTCGCGCATATCGGAGGCGGCGGTGATTGGAGTTCGCGGTGTGGGGATTGGGAAAGGCAAGGGATGGAGCGGGGGGCCAGCGTCGTAGCCTGCTTTGCTTACACACCCCAGCCTGAAGGACGATGACCTGGCGGGGCGGATGGGGCTGCAGCTCAAGGAGCTCAACAAAATCATGGCGACTTTGGAGACGCATAATTTGGTCCGAATGTACGTCTCACCCCCACTTCGCGCATGTATTAGGCTTAGTCGTCCGCTCGCACACCTCTTTCTCCCCGCTCCCGTCCCTGTATGCGTCCAAAATGCTTCCAATGCATCCCTTCCTTGCCCCACTCCCTTCGAACCACATGACTCCACTTCCTCCCCTGCACTGTGCCACTCGCAGATACCGGCAAAACGAGCTGAAGGAGGGCGCCCAGCGCTCCGTCGGCCGGCAGTACTTCTACATCGACTACCAGTCCTTCTGCAACGTCGTCAAGTGGCGCATGGCCGAGATGCGCCGCGTGATCGACAAGGGTCTCCGGAACGAGCTCGACACCAAGGGCTACGTCTGCCCGCAGTGCAAGAAGGCGTACCAGGCCCTCGAGGCCGACCGGCTCGTCAACTTCGAGACCGGGCTCTTCCACTGCGACGTCTGCGGCGCGGAGCTCGTCGACAACGAGAACGCGGAGAACGTCGTCGGCAGCCAGGACCGCATGCAGCGCTTCAATCGGCAGATGCGCTTCATCCTCGACGGCCTGCGGAAGACGGAGGACATGGTGTTGCCCAAGTGAGTTTTTTTTCCTTCTTCCCGTCCTCGTCCCTCTCTGCGCCTCGACCCCCCACATCCGTGCCCGGTGCTCACCGCAACGCCCGGGGTAGCTTCGACGTCGCGCACTGGATCCGACAACACCTCGAGGCCGAGCGCGCAAAGGCCGCCGCGCGCGACGGCGGCCTCAAGATCGCGGGCGGCTCCGGCGACGGGCGCGCGGGGGACACGATCGGCGTCGTGCTCTCGGTCGACAAGGACGAGGAGACGGCGCGGGCGGAGCGCGACCGCGAGGCGGAGGCGAAGCGCCAGCAGAACGCGCTCCCGCTCTGGCACCTGCAGAGCACGATCTCGGGGGACCTCACCGCGCTCGGCATCAAGGAGAGCGCGCGGGCGGAGGCCGCGGCGGTCGCGGACGGGAACCGGCTCCCGAGCTCGAACGACGCGATCCTGAAGGGGCTCGGGACGGCGAACGGGGGTGCGGCGGCGGTGGCGGCGGCGGCGGCGGCGAATGGCGCGGGGGGCATGGCGGTGGTGAATGGCGGAGAGGACGCGAAGCTGGGGGTCGGGCAGACGGCCGAGGCGGAGTGTGAGTGCTTGGTTCGCCTGCGCGCTCGGCTCTGGCGAGGCTGACGATTGCATTCCTATAGACTACGAGCGGTACTACGCCACGCTTGCGGCGTCGGCGGCACCCTCGGGGATGCCGACACCACGACTCAGCGATTTTGGGGAGGACGAAGAAGACGTGAAGCCAGACCTGGAGTATCTCGACTCGCTGAACGAATACCGGAAGCGGTCACGGTCCCGCGAGGACGTCGGCGACGAGGACCGCGGGACGACGCCAAAGTTGCCGCGCACAGAGGGGAGCATGTCCCCGCCTGCGCTGGACGCGCCCCCAGCAGGCGGGGCGGACGACCCGATCGTCTACGGTGCGTTACTTTTGCCCTTTGTCCGTACGGTGTGGGTAGTGCTGACGGTGGGACTCGTGCAGTGAACGGGGGGCCGGTTCCGTTCTCGCTTGTGACGGAGGAGCACCAAGAGGCGATGAGCCCGGAGGAGTACGCAGCGTACTACGAGGTTATGACCGCGCGGCTGTGATCCGCGCGGGAGGATCGTTGATTAACCCGCTCGGCGCGGCGCGGCTGTTTGGGGTTTTATGCTATGTATTTCTAGACCGGTACTGTATACCCCCGCCGCGCGGTGCACGCCCACGGACGGTATGTAATTGTTGTGGTGCTTTACTTTCTCGGGATGCGCTGCTCTCTCGTGCGGTCAATCGTGGTGCGTATCTGGAGTACGTGGAGGCTTATTTATACAGTCGATTGACCCCGCAGCAAAAGAAGGTTCACAACCCGCTGATCTCATCCGTCAACTTCTTCCTAGATATGTCAGAACCTTGGTGATATGGACCGGTAAGTGAACACGTCCTCGAGGCGAATGGAAGCGTACAACTCACATCAGAGTCTACCCTAGAGGCAGTACACACGCGCCGTTCATCGGTAGCCGTACTGTGTGCCAGTGCAGGCGTACGGGCCGCTGTCCGGAACGAAAGAACCGTGTGGTTGGCCGCTCATTGCAGGCTGGAAGCGAAAATCCAGCGGCGGCTCGGCGGGAGGGCAAAAAGAGCCAGCGGCGGGGTCGAGAGTCCTCGACGGGTAGGTTCCTTGGGCGGAGAGGAGAGGCGAGCCGTCCCACGGAACAGCAGGCGTTGAAGCCCACATACCAAAGGGGTGGCGGTAGTACGTTGAACTTGGATCCATCCGCGCCTCCTTATCGTCGGCTGTGCAGCGTGCCCACGCCGGTCCGTGATTAGTCATATGAAGATCCCCTTCAGGCGGGCACGAGGTATGGCGTTCGTGGGCGCCCCGCGTGGGCAGCTGACCGCGGTCATTGATCAAGCCGTCGAAGATGCTCCCACTGGATACCGCGGCCGGGGGTGTAGTTGGGTGATGAGCGGGCGTGTGGTCGCTGACCTGACCCGCCCCCGCCGCCTTGCGGGGTGCGGCGCGAGTGCGGCGGCCCCGGACGGCCGCGTCGATGCAGCTGTCCGCGTGCCCGGCGCGTTCACAGCGCGCGCACGGGCGGACGTCGCTGCACTTCTTGGCCACCGCGCGGCAGTTCGTGCACTGTGTGTGTCACGGAAACTCGGGTTGAACGTCGTCCTCGGCGAGCGCAAGAGAACGAGGATATCGCACCGCTACTTTGGCCGCAGTCGAGCGGCGACGGCTCGAGTCGTTCGAGGGGGGATGGTGCTGGGAGACTGGGGCGGGGGAGGAGAGGTGCTGGACGTGTTGGATGTCGGCTACCACTTCCACTTCTAGAGCGGCCTGGACAGTCGCTGAGGACCCCCAATATGAGAAGGCTGGGATAGTAGGGACGGACGCAGAGAGTGCCAACTGCAGGGACTCACCTAGTCTGGACCTGTGTAGCACAACACAGACGTACTCCGACTCCCCCGGCTTGTGGTCAGTGCCTGTGTGAACATTGCGGCGTCGTCAGCCTTCAAGGGACAGTGATGAGGATATCTGGCGTACCGGTGTGCCGCAACATTTGCGGGAGCTGACCGCCTGAGAAGTGTACGATTGGGAAGGATGTGACGTTGCTGCTAACTGGAACGACGAATGCATGCTAGTACGGTGAAGAGGATGAAGGGGGTTGGCATTGACTCGGTCCAGGCGACGGGTTATAAGCGTGTTCACAGCGCCTGTGAGAGAAGCTTCTTTGCCTGGCCACGTGTGTTGTGACATGGTTAGTTCGGTAGGTACGTACGCAACATCAAAAGCCCACGATGAGAGTATTGCATCCGAAACACGTACCCCATCTCCTACTACATTTTCACAAGATCATCGCGAAAGTGTCGTCCAACCACTGTCATGCCCCTTTATCGAGTCGGGGATGCACAAAATCGTTGCAACACCGTTCGCCTCGGAGGCTTGGGTGAAGCGCAAGGAGGCGAATCGTGAGACACGGGAGCTCGCCTGTCACATCTCTCTAATTTTTACCTCCCCAGCGATCGATGTAGCCCGTCCGCGTCCTACTCATCGGTGTAGCCGCTCTCACCGCACCAACAGCCACTGGCTTTCGACGTGCTCAACGCCTGCTCTCCGATGGCGAGCTGGGCCTGCATGAGCTTGTCAAGGTGGAGGAAACCGAGGATGGGCACTGACCTCGCTTTCAGACCCACATATTGTCAAAGCAAGTCCGGATGATGCCCAGCCTGAGCAGGTGTGGGCGTTGGTGAATGCATGACGTGCGCAGAGTCAGCAGCGGCCCAAGCACCGTGGCATCAAGCGCGCACGCCCCCGCAAACGGGTTGGGGAACAGCGACGAAAGGGCGGATCGGGAGGAAGTCATTTTGCGGATATGCGTGATTGCTCCAACTTCGTGCTTGCGCCCCGATTGGCAAGCGGAAAACGTCAATACGGATCTGTGTATGTGATACCACCAAGCTTCCACCGTGACCGAAGAGCTGGGCTACTTTGGAGGCCAGGAACAGGAAAAGGCGTGCGACCAGCGTTTAAATTCATCGTGCCATTCAAGTTGAGGCATGGTATGCGATACACAGCAGGCTGCAGAGACAGTGAACGTAGGGTCTTCCTGCGTCTACGCGCGCGCGCTCGCCGCCTTCGCAGCCGCAACCCTCTTGACAGCCACGTGCTTGAACACCTTCGTCATCGCCTCCTGAAAAAACATCAGCACGGCGCTCACCGGCGCACAGCGGCCACGCTCACCTCGTCCCACAACTTCGCGACGCTCTCGCGCCTCAAGTTGTCCTCCAAGTACCGCGCAATCAGTGGCGCCTCCAGCGCCCGCGCGACCTTCCCCGCCTCCGCGGCGTCCATCGTCTCCGCCTCCGCCCTGAACCCCGCGCGGAGGAACAGCAGCACCGGGACGACTGCCGCGTCCGCGACGCTCCACGCCTCGCCCGCGCCCGCGACCCACCCGCCGTCGGGGGGCAACGTCCCCTCGAGCGCCCCGAGCGCGGCGACGAGCGGCGCCGCGGGCTCCCCGACGATCGCGAACGTGAAGAGCAGGCAGAGCAGGTCCGCAAGGTGCGCGGCGATCGCGGTGGGACGGAGGCCCGCGGCGGGGAAGAGGTCGTCCGCGAGGAAGGCGAGGAAGAGCGCGGAGTCGGTGACTGCGAGCGCGGAGGGGGAGGGCGCTTCGTCTTCGCGCAGCGGGGGCCGCCGTAGATGAGGTGCGGGACCTGCGGTGCGTGCCGGAACCGGCGGGTTGGCGGATTCGGGAGGGGCTGTGATGAGAAGAGTGGGGAGACGCACGAGGCCGGCGGGGTTCACTTTCTCCATGTACCAGTCGGGCTTGCTGTATGGGATGTTGAGCTCGATGACGTCGTAGGAAACAACCAGTTCAGCCAAGACGAACTTGACTCGCAGAGTCAAAGGAGACGTCTGTGAACATGAACAAATCAGAATTGGCCCGAGCGCATCGAGTCGGCTATATATGAGAGACGAGTACAGTGTAATGCGCTTGCTTCCTTCAGCCATGGCGACTTTGCAGTGTCAAATAGAGCGGTGTGGCTTCTTCAGCTGTCGAGCCTCGCCGGGTGCTCATGCCCTTCTAGCGAGACGGCTTGAGTGTGTCGCAAACGATTACACACATAGATAAGCGGTGGCCGTGGATCTGTCAAGGAGAGTCATACCAGTGCGCCTACCGATACGATGTCGTGTATGCAGCCTCGCCTACTACGGCGACGCGTCAGTCTTTCGCCGAGGGCTAGCCGCTAGAGGAGTTCATCATTGCTTACCGCACATGAGTAAGTAGGATGACCGTGCGGGTGACATGATCTGGCGGGCGCGAGCACGCTCATGGAGTGGTCCAGTAAACGACTCACCCGTAGAGTGGATGGTGGAAGGAGAAGAATTGCGACTACAATGGTCGAGGGAATTGGTAATTATAAAGCTGACCACTGCTGTCTCAGCGTGCCGGCGCCGAGAAGGCCCGGCCGGTCCCGGGCGCCTATGCGCCTTCTTTCATCCCTACATCCAGCTTGTCCGACCCGCCTTACCATCCATTCTTCACCTCGACCTCGCCGTGGACTTTCAACGGAAATGAGACATAGCCAACTCTATTTTCAGGTTGGGCGCGAAGATTCGATACAGAATTCTGTGGTCCTTGGAACGAAGGAGGTATGTTCCCCACGACTCGACAGCACTCAACTCCCTCGACTCTCTTGAGTGGTGCTTTAGCATTGCCGGCTACCTCTCAAGAAGGACTTCCTGGGAGATTTTGAGTCATAACATGAGGCTACGTTCCACGACCTCTGCACGCTCGGCAGCGTATTCAGGTCCTCATCCCGCGAACCTCGGCTCTTGAAGCGTCTCGAGGTCAGTGCTTCCCACTCTCTCCCGCCCCGTACTTCCCCAGGTCGTTCTCCCAAGAACGGCCCGAAAACGACATCCGCGAGCGAGAACGGGCCTGCCGCGAACTCGGACGGGGGCGGCCGTCAATCAACGTATCAACGTCCCCCGGCAAGACGAAGAGGATGCCGAGGAACACGCGTCAAGTCCGCGCCACTCCTGGTCGACGAGAACGAGGCGCCGCGAGCAGGTCTGTGGGCACAAGAGTCACGGAGGGCCCCTGGTCGGAGGGAACGGGCGGGCCGCCATCGTGGCTCTTACATGAGGTTTGCTCGTCTTGCCATTCCTTCTTGATCTTGCCCCAAAGTTGATCCCCGCAGGTACCGACATGTCGTCTGTGGCCCGCAATGAAGATCAGATTTGCCGCATCCAGAGTCACATCGAACTCATGGCCTTCTCATCAATAGCTGACGTCGACTGCCATTGCGCAGACTGTCTTTTTGGTTTTTGTTTTACATAGGCAGCAATTGCATACATCGTGGCAAACGAAACAGGCATCACTATAACTTTATCTTGCGTTCATCCCGCCCACCATTCCTCGCCCCCCCGATGTCCTACTGCTCTCTTCCGGCTCCACACCTCAATGCACCATCCGCGGAAAGTTGAGCGTGACCAAGCAGTCAAAACCGACACTAACACGGCCACGATACCCGTTCTTGCACCTGTCAAGGCGAGCAGTGTCAGTGCTCCTGTCATGGGTGACTACTGTCCATGTGCGGTCTCGCGCTCACTGGCCGCCCTGGTCCTCGCAGAACCTCCACCGGCCCTCTCTTTCATCCGTCCTTGCATCCGTCCCTCGCCCGAGTCGCCTTGTCCTCGACGCCCTTTCTCTCGTGGGCTGCCTCCTGCCGCGGTGCCCTCCACATCTGGTGCCACCGCGTCCTCGGCCGGTTCTTCACCTGCCATGGTCCGTCGCACTCGTCGACGACCACGCACTCATCCCCTCCGGCCCGTGCGCCTACGTGCGCCACCGGGTACTCCATCGTCGCGCCCACGCGAGCCCGCGCTCGCTCTTCGCCGCGTCCGAGGAGCACGGTGTCCATGCTGGCAATCGCGACGATGCGCTGCGGAGGACGAGGTGCCGAGGAGGGGGTTCCAGACGCGAATGGGATTGGTGGGCGGAGCGGACGCCGTGGTCCGTGTTCCGGATCCTGTACGAAGCTTTAAGGACATGTTCGAGCCTGGTCACATTGTCTTGCGAAAGTCAAGAGAGAATGGAAATACAATTGGGGTCTAGACTCTACTTATGCTTACAGTAGTAGGCGGGCGTCAACAGAGAAACGGGAGACGGGTACTCACAGTCGGAGAGGATTTGTCGTGAGGGTTTGGTTAGCAGTTGGAAAATGCCAAGTGGTTTGCCCTGGCCCGGGAGGTAACGGCGGCGTGACTGTCACGCATACCTGACTGCTCGGACGGGAGTTGTCCGCAACCACATCACTCAATATCCATGCCGCCCGAACCCCCGTCTGAGTCAACTTCTCCTCAATCCCTGCGATCTCAAATCGCCTTCATCACCACCTTTCTCAACTTGGCCCGTCCCGCCGACGGCAAGTCATACTACAACAAGAAGTATGACAGGAAAGCGGGCGCATGGCATGTCGCCTCCTTCATCCTGGCCACCGGAGATGGGAAAACCGATCGGGTGGGATCCAAGGTCGTTGCTGTGACTGACCGTAGAAGTCGTGAAGAGATCAATGTGCTTCTCTCTCGTAACGTCTCCCAGAACGCCGACGCCTCCCGTACCTCTCCCAGCCCGTTTTCTCGTCCCTTTGAGGGCCATTCGGACGACGGCTATGGAATCTTGTATAACATCACACATGGGAAGAAGAAGTACGTCCGTGTTTTGTACATCCCGCATTTGATGCTACGGGCTGACCACTGTTCAGGGATTTTGCTGTCAAGTTCGAGGACCACATACAGGACGTTGTGAACGTGGCCCAGTACTTCTTCAAGCTCTCTCCCGCCGAAGTTCGGAGAGGACATCGCTCATTTCTCTTGGCGTTCATTGCCCTTCGCTGCTGCGTCAAGCTAGCCTTTCGTATCAGGACCGGCAAGCTTATGTGGCACTTCGAACCCAAGCAACACCCCACTGCTTTCATCCACAGCAAGCTTGCCGATCCCGACACTAAGTTGCATATCTCGCTGGCACGGTGGTTGCCATGCCGTTCACCTTCCAACCAGACCTCGAAGCCGTGGGCCTCTTCTTGACCCTCTCGCGCAGCCCTCGAGGAAGGCTACAACTTCTATCCGGTCACAAGAGAGAACGCTTCAGAGTGGGCTCAGCTACTTCAGCAGTCCGTCGACACCATGGACAGCGTCCTGAAGAAAATCAAGGAGGGAGACGCCACAACACAGCTGTTCTTGGATTTCGAGAATGCAGTTTCGCTGCTGAAGTTTCTCGTGAGGAGTGGTGTCCTCAAACATATCGTCGCGGGCGACATCAAGGGTGACTTGGATAAGGCGCGCAGAGTAAAGTGTTCTGACCTAGAGAGTACGTGCGTTGTGGTTTCGTTTCGTTGTACAACCGCACTAATCTGTCCCTTGCCAGCCATCATCCGCGAGAGTAACAAGAAACGAGCGAGCGCCGATCAGACATTCGGACAGGGTGTGTTCTCCGAGTTCCGGTGGGCTACTAGACGTATTCCTTACGACCCTCTCAGACGACGATGCGCCTGCCCAGGAGTCGAGCCGTCCCTCGAGAAGGATGAATCGTTCCTCGAAGCGGATGAATATGGTGAGACCTTCCGCCAAATCGCACACTGACCGTCAATCTGCTCAGCTGCAGAGGTATCGCTCGATGACAGGGAGAAGGACGATGATCTCGTCCACACCTCAAGACCCTCTACATCCCCGGCGACATCGCGGACGTTTTCATGAAGTTGCCGTCACCGACCGACCCTCCGCACGTGACGGCTGTCTTGTGGACGCCCTCGCGCCGTTGGATGACCGAGCGCGCGTGAAGGCTGTACCTACGGACGAGGGCCCTCCATGGCGTTGGATGGTGCCTTCATTGACAGTCTTCGGAAGGACATCGAAGCCGTCTTGAAGAGGAAGAAATTCAAATTGGAGTCTGAAAAGATCCAGGAAGCTTTAAACAAAGCAGTCGAAGGCTTCGAGAAGGCAAGTGTACATGCCGAGTCTGCGCTGATGGCGCATGCGCTGTCCGTGCACGAGAACACGGGTTCGGTGGCACCCTCCAAGGAACAGTCGACAGAGGCGTGAATTTTGTGACGGAAATTCTCCAGGTGCGACTCGTTCGCGCGCACGCTGGTGGTCGATTCGGGACATTGACCCGCTTGCACCAGGACGAGGGGATCGCCATAGGCGTCAGCAAGAGGAGCTGCTTCTGCTGCGACCTCCTCGCCGAACTCATCGCGGATCGTGAGTCAACGGACCTCCAGTTTGTCCTTCCGGGCACGCATTCGACTATCCACCCCTGGTACCCTCCGTCCGGACTGCCGATCGACATCCTGCAGACTATCAAGGTCCGCTTGCTCAAGTCGATGAGGACGGTGCTGGAGACTGCCATCGACATCGAAGCCAGCGCGGCCCAAACGACACCATTGCATTCTACCGTTGACCTGCCCCAATGGCAAGCGACGATGGCAGATGCTATGAGCTATCCCGACCCCTCGGCTAGATAGTCATTTGTAGTCATAACAAGACAATGCGAGTGATCCAAGCCGGTAGCGCAGACGGCGCGACACCGCACCGCAGCTCGCCATGATACTATCGCCGACCACCCGTGCGTCGTAGCAGGTCCGTCTCTTCGGCTGGGAGGAAGAGCTGGCATCGACTCGCCGCGCACACCGTCTCGTCTCGTCTCCTTCAAGACCAGGACCTCCTGCTCGGCCGATCCGAACGCCCGGACCCCGACGAAGCACGAGCCGGGCTGGCCAGCTTCCTGAGAGGCTGCTCCCTCGACGCGAACGTCGACCCCCACCCCCGTGCTCCCGGCGCGCATCCGCGAGCCCCTCCTACCCGACTCGCGGGTGCGCGCCGGACGCTCGCGGACGCCGCGGTGCTGGCGGAGGTGCGCCCCGTGGAGCTCGCCAAGGATATGAGCTTCTCTGTACCGGGGGCCACTGCAGCCGAGGACAGTGGGTCCGCGCTGAGTCCGAGGTTGGTCGCGGTCTCGCAGCCCGGCGCCGGCCACCTTGGACGTAGAGCGGCAGGGGAGGTGTGAGCGCGTTCGTGCATCTCGACCGTCACCTCGGAGAAGAAGCACGATGGGATCACAACCACCAGTGTCTTTCCTCAGCGTGATTGTGGACCGCCGAAGCCAGTCCGTTGTTCTGTCGAAGAAATCCATCAGTGCCGCCCGACGAGCTTGAGGAATAACGAACGCATACCTACAGGACTCAAATTGCCGATCTATCCGTGAGCACACACACACGCACACGCACAAGTCTAAAACCGCATATATGCACATGAGATTACAACAGGCGACATATCACACATCAAGAAGCCACAAAGCTAGGTACGGGACGGACGCGAGGGTAGTAAATACGGGCAGCGGGCAAACACAACACACACGAGCAGCATCATCCCCGTCCAACCCCCGACGTGCGAGTATGGTGCGGGAAACGCGGGCGTGACGGAGCGAGAAGCGCCAGACGCAGGAGCGGGAAAGGGGAAAGCGATGACAAAGTGAAGTATTGTACACACATACACAACACGGCCCTGAACGCAAAAAAGCAGCAGCATATATCCAGAAGGGGGAGTACGTAGGGAAGTGAGGATTGAGGGGAGCGCGGTGGGATCTGGGAAGGGTCCGGGGAAAGAATCGACGACACAGGCACGGGACGTTACGCGAGTCCGTAGCTTTTTGGCCAGCAATGGCATCCTGTCGTTCTACAATGCCGAGAGGTCACCCGTGGTGCGGCCCCAGACGCCCACTGCACCGGGGGAACGGTGGTGGAAGAGCGGCGGGGGCGGAGCACCGACGGGTGTGCCGCAAGAGTAGTGCAGGTGTGATCAGAGACATCATTGGTGGCCAAGATGCGTAACAGACATGTAAGGCGGCGGGGTGCCGGGACGTGAAGCATGGAGACACGGGACACAGATAGGACGATTTTGACGTAGGGAGGGACGCGCAAGGCGGGCGCGCTTGAAAGAGATCTGATGGAGAGCGAGAGCGACGTGAGGAATTCTTGATGGAGACGACGTGGACGGCGAGGTGGACGACGACCACACGGGGCTGGCGCCGAAGTGGGAGGGGGCGGAGGCGCGTCGACGGTCGGGCCAATAAACCTCAAGCTCACATGGCAGCCATGAGAGGGCGCGGTTCCGGCCCGTTGAACGCGGGCCCGGGCGTGATAGTTTCCGCGCTAGCGAATGTCGGAGGGGGAGGGGGCGCCGAGCTCGTGGCCGTCTGCATCTGCACCTGGGCCCGCACCTCGGGGGCCTTGTCGCTCGCGTTGGCGTCCGCGGTCGCAGGAGCGCCAGGCGGGGGCAGAGGTGCTTCTTCGCCTGGAGGGGGTGGGGCATCCTTGGTCTTCTTCGCCGTCCTGCTTGCGGCGTCCTCGCCAGCGCCGCTCTTGCCCCTTGCGCGCTTTTGCTCTTTCCGCCTTCCACGGCGGATGCGGAGTCTGGCTTGGAGGTAGATGCAGGGGTAGAGACGCTAGGCGAGGCGGCCATGGGGCGGGGACCAGGGGAGGGTAGCCCATAGGTGGGGCGCCAGGGTACGCGCCATACGGGTGAGGGTACATGGCATGGTATGGCGAGTAGAATGGATGGGGCATCGCGGGCGGCGCGCCGTTGGGCGCGCCCTCAGCGTGGGGTTGGCCGTCGGCGGGGGCCGGAACGTAGCTCATTGGAGGGTAGACGTACGGGAAGGGGTAGCCCTCCGAGGCATGGGATAGCCGGATGGAGGCGGAGGTACGGGGGCTGGGCCTCGGCGGGCTCGCCGTTGGTGAAGCCTTCGACAACGTCAATGCACGTCATATGGGGAAGGTTAACCGGGGTTACAGACCTGGGGACCCGTCACCGCTAGATGCTCTGTTCTTGCGCTTGTAAGGGCCGCGCTTGATACCCTTCTTGCGCTCCTTGCGAGTTCCGTCCACGCAAGTCTCCGCAAGCCCATACTTGACGCATCGCTCGCACGGCCGAGCCTCGTCACAGCGCTTGCACGCGCCCGCACAATTAGTGCACTGGGAAAACAAAAGAAGGACGATCAGCTCGAGGTACGAGGTGGGCGATAGAAGCACGAGAAGGACACGCGGAGTGCCATGCACACCACCGGGATATGCTCGTAGTGACAGAGGGACCGGAAAAGATAGTGGGGATCGTGCCTGTGCTGTCATGGGGTCTCCAAGAGGAAGCTAAAGCCCCTCATATGCGCCCAACATGCGAATGCCGTCCCTGTATGCGGTATCTCCGAGCCGTACGGCTCTCACCAGCCTCGACCCTTGCTCAGGGTCAATGAGGCGGAGACGGTCCGAGGGCGCTGCTCGCGGGCTTTGGCCGAAAGCCCGGTCGCGCATGTGCCGAGAGGTCCACGATAGCCCTCGCGGTCACATCCAACTGGCTCCGGGATTTGGAGAGGCGATCGCGCACGCGAGAAACACCGGTGCTACGCGCGGTGGGGGCGCGGATATGGGGTTTGGTGACACAGGGAGAATTACTCACCGCCATTTTCACTTGTTTGCGCTTCGACTTCGGAGGAGGCTGCTGGGGTGGCAGACTGGCAGCGAACGGATAGCCTGATCTCAGCGGAGATGCGACGCGGGAATCATGGTCAGGAACGCATGTTCGCGTTGGGGGAAGACAGGGTGCGTACCTGGGGCGGGTTGGGGCATGGGATATGCATAGACCATTCCGGGAGGCGGAGGCGGCATTGCCATGAAGTACGGGGCCATGGGCGGGGGAGCGCCGCCATTGGGAGGATTGGGGTCGTGGTGAGCGGGATCTGGAGGAACGGGGTAGGCGTAGAAAGATGGATACGACCCAGGAGGCGGGTAATGGCCGGCGTACGACGGGGGATAGTGGGCGACTAGGGGAGGCGGTTGTGGCGCTTCTTGGGGGCTCGATGAGGCCGAGGACGATGCCTTGGACTGGTCGGCCGACATGCTATGTTATTGGGTTAGGTGAAGGGATGATGGGGAGGGGTGATGTTGTAGCGATGAGGAGGCTCTGGGCGGCGACGGATGAGCTGGCAGGAGCGAAGACGGCAGTCAGTCATGGTTGGGCACAGAAGGAGGCGAGGGCGATGAACTGGACGGTGTGGAGAGGACGAGCAGCGAGGACGGGTGGGACGGGCCTGGGCGGAGCAGCCGGGGAGGAGGCAGCGTATCTCACTCCGACTCAAATCGCCCCTTCCGAATCGTCGCCGCCAGAACACCCCGCCGTCCGCATCTTGTCCCATACGTCCACTCTGTGCCCAAATGCGCCCTGGCTCGCGATGGAGAACACAGTCGCCCCGCGCTGCCGTCCAGAGGTATAAAGAGGGGAGCACTCACCTGCAGGTCGTTGGCACGGACGTCGGGGTGAGGAGGGATGTCAGGGGAGTTCGAAGGGAGCGCACGTGGGAGTTTACAAAGCGAACGCCGCTCGCCCGGCCGGCGCCTGTGATTTGTCGCCCTTTCTAGCGCTCCGCCGTCAGACACATCCAGTGTATCCGGCCTGTCTCTCCTCTTCCCCGGTCAGATCGAAGGTAAACCGGCCCTCGCGTAGCAGCACAGACACACTCACCGGTACTACAGATGCCCGCGCAGATCCCAGAGTCCAGACGGCGGCCCAGTCGTGTCGAGTCGGAGCCCAGAGAGCGCAGCCCAGAGCTGCAGTCGGAGTTCCGAGCCAAGGGCAAACCGTCCGCGCTCTCCCCGCGCTGCACATCCCTCTTCTGCAGCTCCGCTCGAAACTGCCGGCTTGCAAGCTTCCATATCTCTCGCAGGCTGTCAGATCCATCGCCCACCGTGGGCAACGCCCATCCATCGGGGCTACGGCCTGCCTGGTCGCAATGCCCCTCATGCCGATCTCCCTTCTCACGCACCCGTCGAGGCCCGCCTGGTGCTGCAGCCCAATTAATTTCCTCCAAGCCCGAGGACGACAGCGCATCGAGGCGCGCCCTGAGTCCCCTTGGAGATGACTGCGTTGTCGTGTGTCCCACGAGTTCACGGCCGGGAAGCCCCCTCCCGGCGGCACGCTTCTCGTTTTGCGCCGGAAAAACTGCGCGCTTCCGCGCATCCCCCGCGCACGCACGGGACATTAGCTAACTTCCAACCCTCCAGGATGTATACACATGATGTCATGTGTCGATGACGCAAATCCTCTATCGTCCAACACGGGGTGAGCACTGGTGAGCACCGTTCACTTCCTATCTCTGTCGGGCGAACCGCTCATTCTATTGACGTACAGACTCTGCCAGATCCATGCATCTGTCGACGTGACACGCCGTCGTTCACTCGAGCGGTGCGGCTGCAAATGGATTCCCTTCCTGTCCCGCTCGGACTTGGGCTGTACCGGCATCCGGCAACTGTACTAGTGCCCGGTGGATAGAAGCAAATACTCCGTTGACTCTCCCACGTCGCTTTCTCCGCAGCAATCACCTCTTCAGCCTTGCGCATCAACTGCCCCTTCCGTGCATCTGCCATAGCGCAACGCTGGCATGAAATACATCATCTGCACCCGTTCTTCTCCCAACATAGCGCTGCGCTTCATCTCCCGCGACGCGACGTTCCGTGCGGGTGACGGACTTCTGCTAACCATCCTCCTCCCCCGAATCCACTCCTGAACAGGAACAGGAAGCGTCACTGCAAAACGCGATTCGCGGTCAGCAAAGGCGGAACTCCGGAAGCGCGGGACAGCAGCGCATACCCGGCTCCTCGCTCGGATCGCTCCGGCACACCATCATCACCCACGGCTCCCCCGCAGCCACCATCCGCCGCACCCGCCCCTCGCTCAGCCGGAACACCACCTGGTCGTCGACCTGCACGTAGTCCTGCGCGGTGAGCACGAAGAGCGCCCCGGGCGCCGGCGCGCCCGCCCCGCCCTCGAACACGCGCCGGAGGAACCGGGGGCGCCGACCGCGTCCCCCCTGACGACGTCCGTGCGGAAGAAGACGAGCTGCGCGCACTGGTGGTCCCCGCTGAGCAACGCGCGGTGCCTTGGTGGAGGCGGAAGGCCAGCTCGGGGTCGACGGTGGGCCAGACTTCCCACGCGACGATGTCGGCGGCGTCGGGCGGTCGGGTTTCGCCCGGGAAGAGGATCGGGAAGGGGATAGAGGAGCGCGCGGTCGCGAGCACCGATTCGAGCTCGACGAGCCACGGGTCGGTGCGCACGCGCCTCAGGGGCACGCGCCGGAGCCGCTCGGAGACGGGGATGGGGAGCTCGCCGTCGTAGTGGGTGATGTCGGTGACCATCGAGCCGCTGAGTATGTGCGAGAAGAAGTCGGAGAGCCAGTGCGCGGGGTATCCGACGCGGTGGAGGTGCACGAGGAGGTCGACGAAGGCGACTAGGCTGTGCGGATAGTAGACCAGGTACGGGGGAGGTTTCGAGAGACCCGGGAGCAGTGTGCAGAAGAGGACACGGGTGAGCCAGGTAGTGAGTTCGGTGCGTGTAGCCAGCTCGGACATCGGCCGCGGGATGGGCTTCGGCGCGTATGTCTGAACTCCCAACGGATTTAACTCGAGCACCTCGCACGCTAAGTAGCGAGGGACCTCGTCCGGCAGGAGAAGGGTGTATCTAGGAGCAGTACCGTTGTCAATCGCGCGGTGTACTCAAGTGGAAAGGCAGACACATACGTATGTAAGAGCTCTGCGCCGTCGGACCACAGTCCTCGGTTCAGCAAGCAATTGCAGGAGGCCCCCGCTTGCGGGATGTCTTGGAGATTCGGGGTGACAAACATGATCGTGTTCAGCGGTCCATGCGTATAATCTCTGAAGCAATATCAGTGGAAATCAAGCTTTGGGAAAGAGTAGTTCTCACTGCACGTTGCTTAACCACATTCTGCTGTACCGTTTGGGGAAATGTTCAGGTCGCGGGGGAGCGCGCCAGCCTGCATCTTGAACATCTCCTCAGAAAGGTCGCCTAAGACGATCTCAAGTGTGATCTTTGAAGACAGAGTACGCAAAGCATCTGCCACCTGCCCGAATAACAAGGCGCATGCTCCTGTGACGAGGTTCAGTTGTCCATCCTCGACACTGAAGCGCCGTTGGCCTGTGTATTGACTACTGCAAATGAAGTCCTTGAGCTGTTCGATGTGGTTGAACATGTCCTGTTCGACTTCAGGATAATCGCAATGGCCGCTCCTGGAGTACTTCAAATCCTGTAGGAGGGATAATAGACTGAGCACATGATTGAAGTCGAACAAAGGCATGCACCCTCATACCATCATCGTCATGTTTGGCTTCCACTCCGTTTGAATGTGAGTCACAATCTGAGTGCAATGTCGGAGAATGATTCAACGATATTAAAAATAATCACACCTCGGCCCTGATGGAAGAAGACATGGAGCGGCTACCACCAGGCTGGGAAACCTCCCTTAATCCTTCCTCAAAGCCAGGGTGCCGCCCGAGCAACTCTTGCGGCGGTATGTACACCTTCGCCTCGGCGTACCATGCCATACATAGCAGTACATGATATGCATAAAACCCTGTTAGAGTGCCCCGGGTTTATGCATGCAGTATATTATGCATGAACAAATATATGCATATAATCCCTTCATGCATACATTTATTCTGGAGTTAATGCCTGACAGCAAAACAGCACAGCTAGGGAATTGAACCCAGGACCTCACCAAAGCCAAATGTTGTGACCTCATTGACCACTACACCAAACTGCCATGTCTTGCCTCTCACACTCATATATTATATCCACTCTTTTCTACCACACACAATCATAGGTGGCCTACCTCGCTAGTTCAACAGTGCCTCTATGCATACAACCTGTCTATGCATACATCCTGTTTATGCATTAACCTGTTTATGCATAAAACAGGTTTATGCATAAGATTGGTTTATGCATAAGATGTGTTTATGCATACAATGTGCTTATGCATAAAATGGGTTTATGCATACAATGAATTTATGCATATGATGAGTGTTGCGGTCGCACAGGCGAGGTCAAGTGGGTGTGGATGAGGGTAGGTGCATGCACGCGGGAGAGGGGTCAATTAGGCAGGTACAGATGTTGTAGATGGGTAAGGATGGTAGTGTAGAGCTGCGAGTGTCCTCGTTGGCTTGCAGAGCGGGAGAGGAGAAAGAGTGGTGTTGGAGTGTGTCGTCTTGAGTTGTGTGGTTGCCGAAAGTAGAGTGGTAGTGACAAGCGTGAAGTGAGAAATAAGAAGTGAGACAAAGCGTTGTCGTGAGTGGGCGGCTATCGGCTAAGTCGTTGGGTGGCAGCGAACGGGCGGGCAACAGGCGGACGGGCGGACGGGCGGACAGGCGGACAGGCGGACGGGCGAATGGCGAATGGGCGAACGGGCGAGCGATGAGTGAGAGTCGGGGGGAGGAAACTGGATTCAATGGCCCGCAGGCATGTACATATATAAGAGGACCAGTGGGGCTCCTCGTCACAGAGAATGCGAATAGGGGGCGAGAGAAGCTAGGACTAGACGTTCGAGAAAGAGTCCGTGGCCAAAGCCCCGTCTGCGTACCCTCCTTGCCTGTCTCTCCACCAATGGTTCCAGCATTGTTTGATGCGTGTTGAGGGATATCTCGGGCGGAGCCAGAGTGGTGCGGCGCGACTATTTACAGAGCACAGGCTGCCCCCGTTCAGCCACGGTCGCTCGCACTCGCTCCGGCCCGGCCCTACCATCCCAACAGTGTTCGAATGGGCTTGCCGCAGCTTCGAGATGGCGTGTCAGGTACGACAGACGCTACAGTAGATACAAGGCATGTGAGTCTGAGGCCGTACGAGTGAACAGGTGAGGATAGAAAGGTATATGACGTATGGATGTATGGTGACTTGAGTGCAGATTGCCGCGCTTCATGTGCGAGTTGTATGTGAGATGGTCTGTGAACGGTTAGGACAACGGGAAACCCGACATGTGGGGGGAACGAAAGATCTCGACCCCGAGATCCGGAAGCGCAGAAGGGACCAAGTTGAACCAACTACACCCAGGGCACGCACCCCGCCTGCACCCGCAACAGCTCGTCAATATTCGTCAACATGGTGATGGCCGAGAGCGTGCCGGGGTCGAGAACATTGAAGGAATAGTCGAGCATGGAGCCAGCGCTGGGCGTTGGGCTTGGGTACATGGCACCAGCGAGGTTTGGGAGCATACAGATGCAGCATGCACCAAGGGTGATGGGGTTGTCGAGGTTGTGAGGACACATGTTGAGCACGATGTGGTGGATGTTGATGTCAGGATACGGCAGGTGCACGAGTGGGACGGTTGCGAGGCGAAGCGGGTCGTAGTCGGCGTTGCAGCGCCCGGGTGTTGCCCATTGAAGAGCCACGTGGCGCAAACGTGGCAGAGGCGCAAGGGTAGATTGGTAGCCGGACCTAAAGAAGAACAACTTCAAGCAGGACACGGGTGCGGACGCGCACATCAGTGGCCCATAGAGCTCGCGCAGGCGGTAGGATCCGCTCAGGAGATGCTCCTCAACGACATATGGTCCAGCCCAGCGCAGAGCGGATTTCACCGCGACTTGTGTATTGAGCGACGACTCATGCAGAAGGACCCACTCACCTGGTTGGAAGCCGTTGGCGCGGATATGTGTAGCGTGCTTCTCGTTCCATGCGTCAACAGTGGCACGTCGCGTGCGGGTCAGAGTGTCGACAGCATTCCCAATCGCAGACTCATTCCGAGACAGTTGGAGGAGACGCGTCGCGAGTAGGGTGGTGTGATCAGTAGCCGACACCCAGTCCAAGACTTCCCAAGCACGGTCAGCAAGGTCGAATGGGAAGAGGCACTCTTGCCCGTAGACGAGGTAGTAGGGGGTGTAGCCTGTAGCACTGGAGACGGTGGCACGGACGGCGAGAAGGGCGGCGTGGAGGAAAGATTTCTAGTGCTTGGTGTTGGTGTACGACAGCTCGCAGGCATGAAAGATCGCCTTCTTGAGGGTCCCTCCAGATCATTCGGCGATGACGACAACATTATACTTGTCTAGGAGCAGCGCCGTAGCACCCTTGAACTCCGCGCCACCATCACAGACGACTGTGATGGCGCTACCGAATCGCGTGATGACGTGCTCATAGAGAAAGTGGGCCCATGCTTTTGCGGAGTTGGTCTTGGAAGCAACAGCTTCTTCCCATTTGCTCGTAGCGTCAACAGCATGGAAGAGGTATCGGTGAGAACCTGGCATGAAGATAGTGTCAATGTGGAAACGGCGAAGGGCGCACGGAGAGATGGTGACAGTGTTCAAGGGAGCGTGTGGCCTGTGTACAGAGCGGTATTGACAGGTGTTGCAAGAGCGCACGAACCAGATGACATTGTCGTACATCTTCGGCCAGTAGTAACGGTCTTGAAGTGCACGGAGTGCGGGCAGCGCCCCGCGGTGACCACAGTCATTGTGGGCAGAGGCGATGCGACGGATACGATTAGCCGGGTCTGTGAGGACCAGGACCGCAGTCTTGTCAGGTCGTAAGTGGTAGATGTGGGAGTTGGAGACCACAAAGCGCGCGCCCATCCTAGTGACAGTGCGAAGCAGCGTAGGGTCTTGCGGTGGAACGCCGGACATCCGGAAGCGCATGAATGCCTCCCAAGGGGGCTCGTCTGGGACGCAGTGGTCCACGCGAGGCTCAGCAGCAGGGCGGAGAGGTTCGATTGGATAGACCCCAACCACAGGCGACGCGTCGCGGCCAAGCCTGGGACCAAGGTACATGTTCCACGACTGGGATGACATAATTGGAGAAGTACTCACGACTGAACGTACCACGCTTGGCATCCATGAAGGCCAATGCCGTGTGCCGTATGGAGATGACATGGACAAGGAGGTCGAGTTCGCGGTTGTTGAGGAAGCCTTCAGGGACCTTCTCTAGGATGAGGTTGAGGCGGTCATCCATCAGTTGGTCGCATGGTGTGAAGTCGGATCTAGGTGCCGGTTCCTAGGGCAGCGGGGGCAGATCGATGTCAGGGAGAGGCTTGAAAACTTGCAAGGACATGTCGGGCATTGAGGCTGGAACTGGGTGGACCTTACGGGAGACTGGCTTGTAGTGTTGGCCAGGGAAGACGAAAGTTTCGAGGGCTGTGTGAGAAAGAGTGTGGTGTACATATGGTGAGCAGAGTGGAGTGGAAGGAACAGGCGAAGCGAACTCGGCCTGGCGCAGCAGGACCCAGGTAGTCAAAGGAACTGGGAGGAGCGAACGAGCGAGCATACTCGACTTCACTGGCGTCGTGAGTGTAGTCGGGATGCCCTAGGCGGACATTCAGGGTGTGCCCAAAACAGGGAGGAGGATGCGGACGGGCGCAATGCTTGTCTACATCCTCTGTCAAAAACCTGGCGTGTTGACCTCCGATGCAACCGAGAACGTTAGCACGAGGCGATCCACATTGTGTGGATGATCCTCATCGCACAGCGTAATTGTCATCGCCACACCTCTTACCGGATTACTGGACAGGTACACCGTCAGCGTCATCTTGCCTGAACGCGTGTGCTTGATCGTACCTGCAAAGTAAGATAGCCATGGTTGGCCCAGAATGCCATCGTACGGTGAGCGGTTAGTGGGGCTGACGAAGAAATGATGGTCGAAGTTATGCCCCACCTGTGGTTACCACTTTGTTAACAATATTCCCCAGGTTTGTTAAAAGCCCCGCCAGACGTTACAACGCATGCCCAGGCTTGTTAACAACCCCGTAAGCCACTAATAGCACTATTTACGTAGTGCTACGCAGCATTCAGGTGGATATATTGGGCTGGAATGAGTGGTCAATAGGTGGCTATGGATGGCTGTATATAGAGAAATGCATTTGGGTGGTTACGGGCTGCCCAAATAGGGGGAAATAGCTGGTATTTGCCCATAAATGGCCAGCTTGGGGTGCAGCACTGGGTGGGAAAACCATCAGGCACTAGTCATAAATCAACAGGGGTATCAAACAGCTTTCCAAAGAACCTAAGATTATGTTGATCAGAGCAGTATTGATGGAGATATGGGTGTACCCCCATTTTGGCCGATGGGGGCCACGGCTAGAATCAGAAATTGTGGATGGAATATCCTGGTTCTTGTTGCATTTCGTGTGGATTGCCGTCTACTGAGTGGGATTGAAATCCGATAGGAGAAACACCTACTTGTTACAGAATAGATTGCTGATTATGCTTCAGCCACAGCACTTTTGATGCCTCAATAGCTACCCCCCATACTCTCCGATAAGCATTCGACTTTTTGCATTCTCTTCTGCTAGCATATGGAAAAGGGCTCCAGATGTTATTTTGATCTGAAGATCCCTCAGACTGTCCCTGCGCAGCAGTGTACATTGACACTCTACCACTTCACCCTTCCATACCCACTTCATATATTCATCTGGTTCTTTTTGCACTATTTGAGCATTCACCCCATCTCCAGGATGTTGCACTCAAAAGTGTTATCAGTGCTTCTTTGGCCCTTATCAATTCTTATCTCTCTGGAACATACTACCCCGATCTGCTCGCAAATCATGTTTCGATAATCATGCACTAGACAGATCTGGAAAAGGCCAAGGTGCACCTATCCAACGCAACAAGAATCATGAAAATTGGTGGAGAACTGTCGTACCTGACACGCCATCTCGAAGCTGCGGCAAGCCCATTCGAACACTGTTGGGATGGTAGGGCCGGGCCGGAGCGAGTGCGAGCGACCGTGGCTGAACGGGGGCAGCCTGTGCTCTGTAAATAGTCGCGCCGCACCACTCTGGCTCCGCCCGAGATATCCCTCAACACGCATCAAACAATGCTGGAACCATTGGTGGAGAGACAGGCAAGGAGGGTACGCAGACGGGGCTTTGGCCACGGACTCTTTCTCGAACGTCTAGTCCTAGCTTCTCTCGCCCCCTATTCGCATTCTCTGTGACGAGGAGCCCCACTGGTCCTCTTATATATGTACATGCCTGCGGGCCATTGAATCCAGTTTCCTCCCCCCGACTCTCACTCATCGCTCGCCCGTTCGCCCATTCGCCCATTCGCCCGTCCGCCTGTCCGCCTGTCCGCCCGTCCGCCCGTCCGCCTGTTGCCCGCCCGTTCGCTGCCACCCAACGACTTAGCCGATAGCCGCCCACTCACGACAACGCTTTGTCTCACTTCTTATTTCTCACTTCACGCTTGTCACTACCACTCTACTTTCGGCAACCACACAACTCAAGACGACACACTCCAACACCACTCTTTCTCCTCTCCCGCTCTGCAAGCCAACGAGGACACTCGCAGCTCTACACTACCATCCTTACCCATCTACAACATCTGTACCTGCCTAATTGACCCCTCTCCCGCGTGCATGCACCTACCCTCATCCACACCCACTTGACCTCGCCTGTGCGACCGCAACACTCATCATATGCATAAATTCATTGTATGCATAAACCCATTTTATGCATAAGCACATTGTATGCATAAACACATCTTATGCATAAACCAATCTTATGCATAAACCTGTTTTATGCATAAACAGGTTAATGCATAAACAGGATGTATGCATAGACAGGTTGTATGCATAGAGGCACTGTTGAACTAGCGAGGTAGGCCACCTATGATTGTGTGTGGTAGAAAAGAGTGGATATAATATATGAGTGTGAGAGGCAAGACATGGCAGTTTGGTGTAGTGGTCAATGAGGTCACAACATTTGGCTTTGGTGAGGTCCTGGGTTCAATTCCCTAGCTGTGCTGTTTTGCTGTCAGGCATTAACTCCAGAATAAATGTATGCATGAAGGGATTATATGCATATATTTGTTCATGCATAATATACTGCATGCATAAACCTGGGGCACTCTCACAGGGATTTATGCATAACCTGTACTGAGGCGGCTCTACCATGCATGTTCGAGTGGAACAAGTTCCGGCGTCCTCTCCTTAAGTGCTTTGTCCACCATTTTATCGACCACGTTGTTCCATAACACGCGTGCGTGTGCGATTGGTTGTCCCGAACTCCCGAATGGCGTGGCCATGAGCTCTTCATCCGAGATGGCCAGATAGTGCTGCTTCAGGCGCTCGCGTCGTGTCGATATCTTCTCCTGCGTGTCGTTCGCGTCGTCTGCATGCGTTGCTAGAGATCCGACTTGTTGAAACAAGCGTCCTTGCAGAGTCATATGCGCATGTCTATCGAGGAGCTCCTTTGTCGACTTCTGTTCGTTTATCCAAAACTTAAGAACCTGTAACACCGCACCGATCGCTTCAGGTGCGACATGGAGCCACGTAGGGAGATCCGGGGGCGTGGCGGAAAGGCGCTTCTCCAAGTCCTTCCAGAGGACTTGCATTCTGTATGAAAGCGTGAGTGGCAAATACCTGCACTCGAACGGTACTACTAGCGTACCTGTCATAGCAGTATGACGGCATAACCACACCACAAAACGTGTACATCAGCGTCGCGTTTATCTCCGCACGTGCAGTTGCGCTCATGCTTCGGGTAAGTTGGTCTATGAGAAGAAGAATGGAGATATCGCGAGCCAACATGCCGCCGTGAATGTCGAGAAGAGTAAAGTGGGCGTGGAACTTCTTCCGCTTCTTCTTGTCAAGCTCTCTATACGCAACGTGCAGACCGCAAAGGGTGCTGAGGACGTGTCGACCTATACGAGGACACGTGTTTATAAGCTCGGAGCGTAACCGTTCGGACAGTGCAGAGACTGACCGTCTCCAACGCCCCCGAAAAGGAACGCAATTTCAGACAGCTGCCCGAGAGACAGTTGATCCAATTTGAATGGAGATTGAGGCGCAAAAGGGCCCCAGCCATCAACGAGGTCAATGAGGGCGTCATGGCCGATCTAAGAGACTCGGTTTCAATTTTTGTTGCTCGCATTACGTGGCCAAATGACGACACACCGGGTAAAATCCACTTTGTATCGTTCTGATTCATTTGAATGTGGTCAGCCCCTACAATGTGAACTCAGTTAACGAAGTATGGATCGCCTACAGTGCTTTACGGAACATAGGCCAACGTGTCAGTGCAGACCGAGATGACTTGTCCATGCGCAAAGTCGCCGTCCTCGTCTCGTCCCACTGGTCCCACGCGCGCACCATCTCCTCGTTGGAAGATACATCAGAGGCGTTACGGACTTGAACAATGTCGTCGCTGAGCTCTTGCAGCGTTTCCTGCGGGAGGGTTCCGGGGCCCACATAGCAGGATAACGCCCTGGCAAGTCGGCAAGAGAGTCTCGCGCAGAAAGTAGGAGTTGTTCCAGAACGTTTCCCAGCAGGCCCCAAGCATGTAGTATGGCTTCGACACAAGCCTTGTATTCGCCCATTTCAAACAACGCCGCGCTGCGATTAGAGGGATAGACAGGATCATCCGGATCTGCCCTCGAGGCCTCGAAAGCCACGTTTCAGCGGGCGTGAAGTGACAACCATAAGCAGCACAAGCATGCGTACCTGATCGTTGATGTGCATCCACCGCCGCTGGTACGTGCACGCGTCCGTCAGACGCCCGCGCGAGCCCCGCGCCCTCGCGCACTGTACATCCTCGTCCCGCGCATCCTCGTCCCTCATCCCTACGGTACGCCACACCGACCCTCGCGATCGCTCCGCTTCATAGTTAGCTACACACCCACACACGTTTCTTCCCCTTTTCGTCCCCCCGTATCCCTCATTACACGGCCGCCATGGTCAGCCACACTCGTTACCCCGTTCCGCCACTTGTTTCCCTTATTTCCGGACATCTTCAGCTGCTCGCCATGACACTCAGACTCGTAGATATGTTTGGGTGTTCGTTTCGGTCGTAGTCACGCTCTCGCGCAGGCCGCATTCGCATGTATTTAGACTCGACTCGCGCTGCATGTTATCCAGTTCATTTTCCCTCGCATCTACGTGCGTGTGCTGTGTGCTCACCCCTCACCTTCGTATCTATTCGACCTCGCCTCTACCGTATCGTCTTCGTCGCCTATCGCCCTTCGCCGTCGCCCATCGCCCGTCGCCCATCGCCTATCGTCTATCGCCGTCGTAGCGCCCGTGCGCGCCCTCTCGTCTCGCGTCTATCCGTCTCTCCGCTCGTCTTCCTCTCCTCTCCTCCGCGTTCGCGCACTCCGTCCCCTTCCTCCTCCGCGACACCCTCGGACGTCCTGTCCCACGGTGCTCGTCCCCTCTACCGACTTCCCGTGCTTCACGCCTACGCGGACTCGACCTCAGCCCTCTCCCCTTGTTGACTCTTACCGGAGTTAGCATCACATCATCTGGAGCCCACCGCGAGGGTTGGATTTAAAGTCCTTTCAGTAGGCCTCTGAGCCGGCAAGTACCTTCTTCTACACACCCCCCTCTCTTGCATTACGCCCTCAAACGGCGGTCCATACTCTCCACCACGGATCGCGAACCTTTCCGCCTTCGGCTCGTCGACTGGAACAACCCCCGAAACCTGCGCCGATCCGAGTCTACCGGATCATCCCCGACGTCTTCCCGCTTCGAGTCTCCAGACCCATCACCGCAACTATCCCCACTTCTATCACCTGTCTACCGATCTGTTACCCCCAACGCGCCCCCACCTTCAGAAGCATCTAGCTTTGCAAACCGCGACGAAGAACTCCTAGACCTCTTCCGCCTCGCCTTCTACCTTCCGCCTCCGTCCCCCGAGATCCCAACTGCTCCGACACCGCCACCCCCGCCTCCGCTAGTCCTTCCACGTCCTTTCATCATGGCTTATCGCATGCCCGCCCGCGGAGCCGCCGGAGCCCCATCATTTGATCCAGAGGGTGATCCGCGCACCATCCTTGGGTTCTTCGACGACCTGGAGTTCTGCCTCGACGAAGCTCGTGTCACGGACGACGAGTTACGGAAGAAACACGCGGTCCGATATGCCCCCGACTCGGAGAAGACCATATGGCGCTCTTTCCCCGAGTACACCGACGTGGCCCAGACATTCAACGAGTTCAAACAGGCAGTAACTAAAGAATACGTCGGCGAAAACGGGATCGGACTATTCAGTCGACGCGACCTGGAGATCCACGTCGACGCAGCCGCGAACAAAGCCATGGATGCCATCAGCACGTTCAACGCGTTCAGCCGTCGCTTCCGTGACATTGCGGACTTCCTCGTCGTGGGCAAGCAGCTCCAGGAACACGAACGCGACCGAATCTTCCTTCTCGGATTGCCTCCCGCCCTGCGCGCCACTGTCCTCGAACGTCTCCGCGTCGTCAAGCCTACCGTCCTCTACCCCCGAGATCCCTACTCCATTAGTGACATCACGGAAGCCACGCACCACGCTATAGAGGCGACCCTCGTCGGCACCATCACGGGCAGTTCACAGGCGCACGTGCAAACCGCCACCGTCATACCAGCCATCAAATCCGAGTTCACGATGGCGATGGAAACGTTGACTACTACGCTTGTAGCCGCGCTCAGCCGTACCACTCGCGACTTGCCACCACACATAGTCCCAGCCCCTGCTCAGCCTCGCGCCGCCGGTCCACGCACCTGCATCTACTGTGGCGACCCATCCCACCCCATCCGCTTGTGTCCGCTCGTCACCACAGATGCAACCGCCGGGTTGGTACGCCGCAATGAGGAGGGCAGCGTGGTCCTTCCATCCGGGTCATTCGTCCCGAATGCGTTCACGGGCAACACCCTTCGCGACCGCGTCAAGGCGTACCACCAAGCCTATCCGGACGCGCGCGCACCCGGGACAGCGCAACAGCTTCTTTTCGAGCCACGCGCCCTCACAGCCTCTGTTGTATCTACACCACCTGCTGCCTATTACGCCAACTTCTACGAGCTTGACCTGGAACAACAGATTCAGAGTCGCAAGCAGGAGCTGTATGCGCTCGAACGACAGCGAGCGGCAAGACAGAAAACCGCTGGGGCAGCCAACGCCGCGGAAGCTCGTGAGGAGCGCGCTCGCCGCCGTGCGGTCCGCTTTGACTCGCCTTCGCCTGAACCGAGCCCCGCAGTCCCACGTGCGACCATCGAAGAGGTACCGGACATGGACGCGCCGCCCCACGCACCAGTGGCCCCGAGCACCGAAGCAAGCAGAGCGGCCACTCCTGCAAGCACACGCGAGCCTGAGGTGGTCGGCAAGGCACTGGTTCCACGCATGGAGCACCCATATTCCATCGCGCGCGATGCTACTTACCAGCCACCGACCCAGCGCAACTTCGCGACGCCGCAGAAGCACGCACAGCCCGTCAGTAAGAAGCCCGACCCCGCTTATCGCGCACGCCCTCCCGTCTACAGCGCTCAGCACGTCGCCAACGTCTTCAAGCGATGCCTCGACCAACCGGTGATGGTCACGCGCGAAGAGCTCTTGTCTATGTCCCCGGAGTTCTGCGCCGCTACGCGCGAGCTCTGCACCGTGCGCCGTGCGCCCATCGAAGCCGTCCTCACTTCTGAGACTATAGATGACGTCTCGCCGACTGTGGTCGACACTGGCGATGTGCTGCTGGCATCCACCTGTGACCCGCTAGCTCACGCCGTGCCTAGGGCGTTCTCACAGCTCGCTCCGGAGGAAGATCCCCCCAGCGGCGCCCTCGTCATCCCGGACCCGGTGGAGATGTACCTCAAATCGCTCCCACCTGGCGAAGAACCAGAGCCTATTCGCGTCGCGCTCGAGTCGGCCTCGATCCGCGCCATCACGGGCACCTTCCTCAACAAGGTCGACATCTCGTGCATCCACGACAGCGGCTCCAGCATCGTCTCCATGTCGGAGGGAGTCTGTCACCACCTCGGCCTCGCATACGACCCCCGCGTCATCCTGCATATGCAGAGCGCAAACGGAGCTACCGACGCGTCACTCGGACTCGCTCGCAACGTTGCGGTACGCTTTGGTTCAATCACGGTCTACTTGCAGTTCCACATCATCCGTTCTCCCGCCTACGACGTCCTGCTCGGACGCCCTTTCGAGCTCCTTACCTCCAGCACCACACGCTCGAACACCGACGGTACCCAGACCATCACGCTCCGCGACCCGAACTCCGACCTCGTGTGTACAGTGCCTACTGCTCCGCGCTCGCCTCCATCGTTTCTCTCGCGCTCTCCGACCTCGGCTCCCGTCCTCACACATGTCTCTCGCAACTCCCCCTCTGCCCCCGACATCCCCGACTCCGAGCCCGACTTACTCAACGACTCCGGCACCGACGTCTTTGCTTTCCTAGTCACGCAAGGACCAGTCGAGAAGACGGCTTACCGGGAGATGCGCTCGCGATACCCCAACCCCAACATGGTCCTCTCGTGCAACCGCGGTGGTGCGTGCCCCGTTGCTGGACTCGTCTTCAACCGCCCTATCGCCGCCTTCCGATTCCTGCCTTGCATTGCCCGCGCCTCTGTCTCCACTCCGAGTCCGTGCCCCGACAACTCCGCCCTCGACGTCCGAGTCGCAACTGCACGCCTCCGCGAGATCAACACAGCCTCGAACTCACTCGGCGAGGACGACACCAGAAAAGACGACGAACTGGCGTCCGGAGACGTGATTGACGAGCTATTTGACGGAGATGAGATTGACGAGCTATTTGACGGAGATGAGATTAGGGAGGATTAGCAGGCACGGCCTGGTCAGGAGGGAGTTTGCCTCGGTACGCCCTCATCCCGGCACCGTCCTCTCGCGCTCTTCTCCCCGCGTACAAGACGCTCTCCCGTCCCGGACTTCATGCCCCGCAACCTCCAAATTTTTTCCGCTCCCATCGTGCCGTCGCAGTTTGCATCCGACGTTACATGTCCATTCATTCCCCACATCCGTTCACCCCGCCCTCTTCCTTTCATCGCCGCCGCGCCTCAGTCCTGCTGTCGCCTGACCCCTGGAGGGTTCAGATTTCAGTAGGGAGGGGGTGATGTGCATCCACCGCCGCTGGTACGTGCACGCGTCCGTCAGACGCCCGCGCGAGCCCCGCGCCCTCGCGCACTGTACATCCTCGTCCCGCGCATCCTCGTCCCTCATCCCTACGGTACGCCACACCGACCCTCGCGATCGCTCCGCTTCATAGTTAGCTACACACCCACACACGTTTCTTCCCCTTTTCGTCCCCCCGTATCCCTCATTACACGGCCGCCATGGTCAGCCACACTCGTTACCCCGTTCCGCCACTTGTTTCCCTTATTTCCGGACATCTTCAGCTGCTCGCCATGACACTCAGACTCGTAGATATGTTTGGGTGTTCGTTTCGGTCGTAGTCACGCTCTCGCGCAGGCCGCATTCGCATGTATTTAGACTCGACTCGCGCTGCATGTTATCCAGTTCATTTTCCCTCGCATCTACGTGCGTGTGCTGTGTGCTCACCCCTCACCTTCGTATCTATTCGACCTCGCCTCTACCGTATCGTCTTCGTCGCCTATCGCCCTTCGCCGTCGCCCATCGCCCGTCGCCCATCGCCTATCGTCTATCGCCGTCGTAGCGCCCGTGCGCGCCCTCTCGTCTCGCGTCTATCCGTCTCTCCGCTCGTCTTCCTCTCCTCTCCTCCGCGTTCGCGCACTCCGTCCCCTTCCTCCTCCGCGACACCCTCGGACGTCCTGTCCCACGGTGCTCGTCCCCTCTACCGACTTCCCGTGCTTCACGCCTACGCGGACTCGACCTCAGCCCTCTCCCCTTGTTGACTCTTACCGGAGTTAGCATCACATCATCGTACAGCTCGGACGCCCTGTGGCCACGCAACATGATTGGATCAATGGGTGACGCGCAAGGGTCAGGTGGAATAAACGTACTGTGCGAAGTTAGAAGCTTTGAAGGCTATGTTGCCCAGCTCCTTGAGCAATGCTGCATTACCATCCATCTTGTAGGGTTAGAGCCTAGGATGCAATGCCAGTATAGAGGGCCGCCCTGGCGAAAACTTAAACGCGTTCTTGGCGAGAGCTGAAACCAAGCGGCGCCTGATCTGACAAGCGTAAATAAAAGCGTAGAAAGAAGGGCGAAAGATTTGGATGTGTTTTCACTCACCAGCAGTAGTGCTCGACGCCGGGGTAAACCAAGTTGATGACCGGAGAGAGCAGCAGAGTCACGGTCTCCAGAGAGGAAGCGTCGACTAGGGGCCCAGGCACGGCTTGAGTCCGGCCAAAAGTTACGCCCAGGACCCGGGACCCCGAAAAGTGCGCCACCGCAGCGCCGTGCCGTTGAGATTGACAGTGGACACGGCTAAAGATTCTGAGCGATGTGTCAAGCTAACAGAAAGCGCACATACTTCGACGAGCGGATGCTGGCGACGCTCGGGGCGTCCCCGATGTGTGGAGCCAGCGAGTGGAAATTTAGTAGGGCCACGCCTCGCTGCCGAAGCGATAATGGTCGAGATCAAGGCTCAGGCGAACCTGCAGCTGCAAGTGGTGAAGCGGTGAAGTTCGGCGAGTTCAACTTCAAGTCGAAACCCAGGGATACGGTGTGCGTACGTAAGCGGTTCTCATGGGTGCGGCTGGCATCTTCCGGGCATACGTTGGTCAAGCTCAAGTTCACGCTGAGGGATTGATCATCTAACTTCCACTAGTGGGTATCATCTGCGCTCCTTCACGACGGCGATCCGCGGTCAGCGAAGGCTCGACGACGCCGCCGCGAAACATACCCGACTCTCCGGCACACCAATATTGCCATGATCATCCACGGCTCCTTCGCCGCCTTCATCCACCGGACGCGATCCCCGCTCATCCCAATGCGCACTGCGCGCTCGCCGACCTGCACATACTCCTGCGCGGTGAGCACGAAGGTCTTCCCGTCCCGGCCGGCCCCTCGAAGACGTGGTGGAGGAAGCCGGGTCGCGTGACCGCGTCCACGCGGAAGGAGACGAGCTGCGCGACTGATCAGTCGGAGACTCGGCGGGCGCGCCGAGCCGGAATAATTTCTGCTGATCCGGAAGACCATGTTCTTGAAGTCGCCTATGACGGAAGCCTGAGCTGGCCTCCCACACGATGACGGCGGCGGCAGCACCAGAAGTGAGCGTCGTGGCTGGAAGAAGGGGATCGGCGAGCGGGCGGTTGCGAGTGCACGGACTAGACCCCCATTGTGTGATATGTTGGGGACTCGGGGCTACATGCGTGAGAGCATTCAGTGGGCCATGAGTACGATCGCTCGAGCGGACCAAATCCAGTAACATTGACGCTTTCTGGAGAAGGTAATCCTCACGAAACATTGCTTACCCACGCTCCGGCATACAACACGGGGGGCGAGCTCGCCCGCATCTTCGGCATCTCCTCCAAAGACAACCTCGAGCGTGATCTTCGGAGGAAGGGGCCCAAATCAATGCCTCCGCTACCTCCCCGGAAAACGAGGTCCGCACCGCGATGTCCGTCGCCCATCCTCAGTCGTGGTGGGGATTCGCTTCTTTCCTATACCGCTTAGATGGTCATTGAACGAATTCCAGAGTTCAAGACATCCAGGACCGGAAGAGGTGTTCCGCCCCCCCCCCCCCCCCCGACACCTCGGATGTCCCTGATTCTGAGCACGCCACGTGGAGGCGGCTTTCCAAAATGCCTCACCGCCAGTCTCTGCCGAGTTCGCCGCTGCGCACTCCACGTGCGCTCGAGCCGCCGCTGTGCCAATTAATAATGAATACACAGCATCGTCGAAGCGGCCATTCAGTACTTGGCTTGAAATGAGACTTCGTACCACCCCTCGAGGCCTCAAGCATACGGGGACTTGCGCAGGTCACCCCACCCTCTCTACTACTCGGCGCACTCGACCCAGTCCTGAACAGGGACCGGAAGCGTCACTGGACGAGCGCAAAACAATAAGTCATTCCCTCAAGCCCCTCCCGCGCACGACGCGCACGACTCACCCTGCAGCCCCTCCTCGCCCCGGACGAGCACCGCGCACCACTTCTCCCCGGGCGCGCCCCGCATCCCCGCCACGCGCCCGCGGCTCATCCGGAACCGGACCCGCTTGGCGAAGTGCACGCGCTCGAGCGCGGTGAGCACGAGGAGCGCGCCGGGCGCGGGCGCGCCCGCGGCGCCCTCGAACACGCGGCGCATCGCGCCGGGCTCGACGAGCGCGCGGAGCCGGACGGCGTCGGCGCGGTACACGAGCAGGCGGGCGCACGGCTGGAAGGGCGAGTGCGGGCCGCGGTCCGCGAACGGGTCGTTGGTGACGAATTTGCGGAGGGCGGGCGTCGCCTGCACGGGGGCCTCCCAGAGCGCGATGTCCTCGGGGTCGCGCGGGCACGCGAAGTGAGGCGGGAGCGTGGAAAGGATCGGGAAGGGGAGAGCGTGTTGCGCGATCGCGATGATCGTCTCGAACTCGATGAGCCATGGGTCGGTGCGCACTCTCCGGGGATTGACGCGTTGGTGCCGTGCTGTGACGGGGATGGGATAGGCGGAGTCGTAGGGCACGATGTTGGTGGTCATTGATCCGCTGAGCACGCGTGAAATGAAGTCCGAGAGCCAGTGCGCGGGGTACCCGACTCGTTGAAGATGTGCAAGGAGACCAAAGAACGCGACGATGTTGTGCGGGAGGCGAACGTTCCGGGTCCTCGGCAGCTCTTGGGTGTGGCCAGGGATCAATGTGTGGAACAGTACGCGGGTGAGCCAAACGTTGATGTTATCGCGTGAGGCGAGGGCGGAGAGAGGGAGCGGGAGCTGCCTGTAACCGAGAACGCATTGATCCAAGATGAACTCTGCATCCATCATCCTACAGCCGAGGTAGCGAGGCATCTCTTCTGGAAATAAGTGTGTGTAGCTAGGGGAAGAATCAGTCTAAGGCCCTTAGGAAGGGGTAGGATGCAGTACACACGTGTGGAAGAACTCTTCGTTGCTCGACCAAACGCTTGTGTTCAACAGGCAGTTGCTAGCCAGCGAGGCTTGAGGGTCGTTTTGAAGGCTCGGCGTCGCATAGACAATCATGTTCAAGGGCCCATGCGTGTAATCCCTTCATTACATGTCAATCGACAGAGTCGAGCCTGAATAAACACCGCGGGGAACTCACGGCACGTTGCTCATCCACATCCTGGTGAATTGACTCGGGAATGATCCGGGTCGCTTAAGGGCGCCGACGCGCATCTGCGAGAGCGTTTCGGGAAGCCCGCCATGCACGAACTCCAGAGTGAGTCGCGATTGAAGTGCCTTGATGGCTGCCGCCGTTTCACTGAAGAACGCGCTGCATATATGAAACGTCCTCGTGCCGTCGTCGAAGCAGGGCATGGGTGTGGTCCTCCTGTTGGCGGCTTTTTGCTCATGACAGAACTCCTCGAGCACTTCTGGGGCTGAAAAGATATCCTCTTGTCGACCAGGGTATCCGTTGCCGAAGGGGTAAAGTTCCGGATCGCCGAACTTCGTGTCCTATCATGTGCATGTATAGTCAGAAGACGTGCGAATGAACAGGAAGAGGCACTCAAGCAAATAACGTCATGTTTGGCTGCCACTCCGACGCGATATTAGCAACGATCTAAAAGCATGTGGTGAGTTGCACGTTTTCTTGTGGAGTTAAGGGCATGTGCTACTCACCTTCTTCTTAGTAGCCGAAGAGAGCACACGCTTCTCGTCGAACTCCTTCCATGCGTCCGCGAGCACCGGAGTGCGATCGAAGAGTTCCAGCGGCGGAACGAACGACTTCGCGACGCTGTACCATCTCAACTCGAGCGTGTGGATCTCGTCCATCCGATGCTTGAGCTGCTCGTCGACGATCTGCTCGAGGTTCGCCTTCACCCACTGTCGCACGCGCGACTTCGGAACGTTCGAAGGCACAAATTCCATCGAGACGAGTTCGGAGTCCGGGAAGGCGAGTATGTTCCGCCTGAAGTCGTCTCGTTCACGCTTGAAACAGCTTTTGACGCGTACTTGCCAGTCTTCGGCTTCTCCCGGGAAGCCGTCGGTAGGCTCGCGTCCCGAGTTCCCGACGTGATCATGAATGGAGAGCAGGTGGGCCGTCGACCTTTTCGTGTTGATCCAGAAGTCGAGAGTACGCAAAACGGGAGGGATAGAGTCGGGCAACACCTGGAATATTGGGGGCAAATCGGGAGGGCTGGCAGAAAGTCGCCTCCGTAAATCGCGGAAAACCGCGTGCAGCCTATATCGAGCTATGAGTTCACGGACGACAAAGCTACAAGCGCTTGGAATACCTGTCGTGACAGTAGGGGGGCATGATGACGCCAGCGAAGGTGTACATGAGTGTCGCATTGATCTCGGCTCGCTCTGTCTTGTCGGACGTGTCGTTCAGCTGCAGGAGTAGCATGAGGACGGAAAGATTTCGCGCGAGAGGGACCTCGTGGATGTCCAGCAGCGTCAGGTGAGCGCGGAACTTGGCTTGACGGGCTTTCGAGATGCTTCGGTATGTAGCGTGCAGCCCACTCAGCGTACCATAGACGTGACGACCTGCACAGTAAGACCATAAGCCGAGCCGGGGCTAGTCGAAGAGAAAATGAGCTGACCGTCTCCGACGCCGCCATATAAGAAGGCCAAACGGTCTTCCTTTAGGTAGTCTATGTTGAGAGGACGTGGAGGACCAATGCGATCGGCACCCCAGCCTTGCATGAGGTCATACACGTGGTCGTGACCGAACTAATACGAATGCGGGGTCAGCAGGCAGAATACATGTCAACATGTAGAACATACGTCGTACAATTCCTGAGTCGGGTCACTGTCGGGAAATGGTGAACAGAGAAATATATAGACGCATATATCGACTTCAACATACATTGGTTTGGAAAGGATGGGCAATCGTGACAGAGCACGAGCCCCAGCCACTGCCTTCTCATCATAGTCGTCGAGGTGTGCGCTTAGGCTCGCCCACTCTTCCCAGACACGAGGGTGTTCAACACTGGTCGAAGCGTCGCTCGTACTCGTTCCAGCAGAAGCGGCAGATTCGATATGAGCAGCTTGCTCTTTGATCGCCCCGACAGCGGCGTTGTCGATCGTACCGCACTTGAATCCATGTGCCAGTGCCTTTGCCAGCCGCGTCGACAACCTGGCGATGACCTCTTGTTTCGTTCCCGGTCGGTCCTTCAAAACGTTCCAGGCGCGCAGGATTGCGTCAACAGCGCCAGAATAGTTGCCTTCTTCATACAATGAGGCGCTGAGGTTTGACGGATAGACGGGATCGTGGCGATCTGCACTTTCGGCCTGCATAATGTTTTAGCGCGATGATTGGGTGAGTGGGACAAGGGGAAGGCCAAGTTGACTAGAGGCCAACCAAAAATCATCCGGAAATAACAAACAAACTCGCCTTGGAGTAAAATTCCGAAGCTCTGATGCAGACGTTAGCTCGCGGGCCTTCAGTACAGTAAGAAAAAACACCCGCGCGTACTTGGCGAAGTTTCCGGCTTTAAAGTGCGTGTTGCCTTTTTCTTTGAGCGCGAGCGCCATTTTGCGCAAAATACACGGTATAAAAGCCTGGAGGCGGTTCCAAGGGAACGAGGCAGGCGTTCGGCCTATCGATGAATGGCAGAGGGGAGCAGCATCGGTCGCGCGTTGACGCTGGAGTCGCGTCGCGACTTGGTCGCAACGGCGGACGCGAAGTGAATTAGCCACGTGGGCGGTCTAGTTCATTCAGGGCCGGTTGCACAAACAGACGTTCGGCGCCTCTTCAGCATCATGCATATTTTGATCTCCTTGCAGCTGTGTACAATTGTGCCACACTGGCAACATACAATAATTTAAAGGATGACGAGGCTGGCGACTTGCTAGTAACAGCCTTCAAAGCTTCAAGTCCAGGTCGCTCCAATTCCTCCTCTGTCTCCGTCTACTGAACGCCGCTTATCGCGGCTGCGAGCAACATCCGTAACCAAGTGATATATAGTCTTGCTAGAGTAGCCTTTCAACACAAGTACGCAAACATGGTCGACCTGACATTGGTCCAGCCTCCGATTAAGCAACAGGCTATCATACAAATACACTAACTCGCACGGGAGAGCGGGGTGGGTTATCGTATCGTGGCACAAACGTCGCAACCAGCGTCCTCAGATCACAGAGCCTCAAGCTTCAATCTTCAAGCTCCTCAAGCCGACACCCCGACCACGACCGGCGCGTGCGCGCGCCAGCTGTCCGCCCCGTGCGCCGCGGGCGCGAACCCCCACCCCGCGCGGCGGCGCTGCTCCGCGGTGGTGACGACCGCGGGCGCGACGGGCGCCCGTACGTTCTTGCGGCCCGCGCGGCGGCGGCGCGGGGCGTCCGCGGGTTTCCTCTGCTGAGGAAGAGGCTGCGGCGCGACGGTGGCGGTGGTGACGACTGGCTGGGGTGCCAGAGCCTGAGTCGGCGCGGACGACGACGACGACGACGACGCGACGGATTCGGCGGTGGAAGGCGAGGGCGAGGGCGCGCGCTCGGAATGGGCGCGGGCGCTGCGTGAAGAGCGGGACCGAGAGGCGGAGGGACGGGTCATGAAGGGCAGGAGGGCCGCGACTTGGGCGTGCTGCTCGGGCGAGAGGCGCGCGGAGGGCATGAGGGCGAGGAGCGCGGCGGGCGAGTAGGAGCCAGCAGGTATCGGGGAGGGTGCGGGTATATGCGCGGCGCGAGCACGCAGCGAGGAATCTGCAGAGGGTGCCGTTAGGATCGCGGATGGGCGGTGGTTACGCGAGCACGGGGACTTACAGTGAGCGGGCGCGGGAGAGACGGAGCGCAGGCGGCGCTGCTTGGGCGAGCGCGCGGGGGAGGAGGAACCGTGGTCGAGGAGCGGCGAGGTGGAGGACGCGGACGCGCCGCGCCGGTGAACGGGAATGTACACGCCCGTCGCCTTGGGAGAGGTGGTTTGCGGCCCCTCGGCAGAGCGGAGGGCGGCGAAGTGGTTGTTGGAGACGAGGAGGCTCGACATGGCGATCACTGGATGGGCTGCGCGGGTGTGCTTCGGTGGGGTGCTCGACGATGGCGGGATGGGGAGCCCAGCTGCGCGGGGGTTGTGTTATATAACTGCGCGCCCTCGGACGTGTAAGCTCGGCGGATGCGCGACGTGGCCGGCGCCCGCAGCGGGAGCGGTGTCGAGGACACGGACGGACACGGCTCGTTTGCGCTCGTGTGTCGGCGAACGAGGGCGAACGTTCGAGAACGCCTCGCCCGATCCAGCCGGTGCACGTCAGCGGCGGTGCTCGGAAATGCCGCGGCGCTTACTCATCCGACTTGTCCGGATATTCTCCCGGACCCCTGCCGGGTAGACGCGGGACATGCCCGGGTGATGTAGGGGCCAGGCATCCGGCCAGATGAAGGCGATGACGGTCAGCGGCGATTATCAATGCATCGGCCTACGCATTTCGCGATGTCAGACTCGCACAGTGAGCACCCGATTTTGAGTTTGGGTGCGATGATAACGTCTTTGCAAGCCAAGCAAGGCTGAGTGAGCTCGGTGGCCACCGAGTTGAAAACGAGACTTGTGTGTGGTAATCTAACAGAACATGCTCTACACGCCAGCCGTTCCATACAACGTCTATGAGATACTCAAAGTGGATCAGATCACGAGTCCATCCTAGGTCAAGCAACACCCAACACTACAACTTAGACAAGACCAGCCCAATCACAACGAACGCGATCGTCGACGGCGGCGTCACCACGCAGTACGACCAGAAGATCGTCCGGCTGATGAGCCGCTCGAACGCGTCGCCCGACGCCGCCTGCGTGATCTGCGCAAGCGTCAGCGCCGGCGGCGACGCGATCAGCAGCACGTTCGACACCACGAAAACCGGGCTACGAGCGCGGAGGGAGAAGTCAGCAACGCGCGCTAACACCGCAAACACGATGGAAAAGGACGTACTCGTCGAACACCCGCTGCAGGTCGAACTTCGTGCACACCACCATGAGCGGGAGGAGCACGAGCGGGGTGATGATCATCCGCGACAGGATCGCGACCCACACCGTGCGCGTCTCGCCCGGGCGCGCCGCGCCGCTCGACGCAGACGGCGCACCGAGCGCGCCCTGCTCGCGATGCACGCTCTTCATCGAGAACATGTCCCGCACGCTGTCGAACAGCACGCTCGCCCTCGACGCGCTCCGCAGGCCTGCGCTCCGCTCTCGCGCGCGGCGGCCCCGCCGTTCGACCGCCACGGGATCCGGCGGGGAGTAGAAGTACGCGCCGAGGACCACGAGCGTGACGGGGATCGAGCAGTTGCCGAGGCTTGCGATCGCGCCCTTGACCGGGGGAAGGTGGATGTCCAGCGCGTGCTGCAGCGGCTGGACGCACGCGACGACGAGCGACGCCAGCGCGGCCCAGAGGGGGACGGTCATGAACTGGTGGAACGTGTGCCACATGCGTGCGGCTCGGCGGAATGCACGCCGGCGCAGCGAGTGCCAGCGCGTGCTTGTTGGTGCGGTGCGTTGGCGGTGGACTGGGGGGAGACCGTCTTCGTCATCTTCGTCTTCATCGCCTTGTGCGCTTTCTGCGCCGACGTCAAGGCCCGGATGGAGGAGATCGTCTGTTGAGGCGCCGACCAGCGCAGACGTTGAAGAGGAAGCCGATGCAGCGGGAGGGAGAGGTGACGCGAGGCGAGTGGGGGTGTTGGGGAAGGAGTAGAAGACCTTGTTCCCGTCAAGCTGTTCGACCGAGAGGCCAGGATTGGAGGGGCAGTGTCCAATAGTATGTGAACCATCCGAGGCAATGGAGTCGATGCGCGGAATGCTCTCTTGAACAATTGGTGGTGCCGACGACTCTGGCGTCTGTTCAGTTGAGGGCGCGTCATCAGACCCTTCCGGATCTGCTTGCGAGAGGAGTCGGACGCCATAACTCCACCGCAGCTGCGTACCGTGAGCACGATCCCGGGCGTCAGGTAGCGTGGTACTCACCACCATCCCCATCGTCGAGTACAAGACCAAGTAGGTGAGTGCACGACCGACCATTGAGTTCTTGTTATCCCCTTTGTCCCACTTCAGTCCCGGAACGGTGACGACCAAACTCTGCATGAGCGCGATCGGCAACGAGTTGGAGTTCATGAACATTGACGCGGCCATAGCGAATGACCTGCACGCGCGTTCAGCATGACCAACGGTAGTCACATGACCAGCACTCACCTTTGCGACTTCTTCAACCTCATGACAGTGCCGAGCACGTACGCCGCCGCCATTGACACCACCGTGGTCAGTACAAACACGATAGGGATAACCCATAGCTCCCTCAGTTTAGCTGCAACGCATCTCAGGACGGGCTTGCTGGACCCCACGCGAGGAATAACACACGTACCTGGTGACAAGAAGAACGCGACCTTGGAGAAGAGGAGCGACGGCGTGAATAGTGACACATTCAGGCGATTGAGTTTCTGCAGGGAAGTGACGTCAGGATGAGCGTGAAATAAGGTACGCGCATGCATATTTTCATGGGGCCGTTGGGCCGGTCATTGCCAAGACATCGGTCGACGTTGTGGAGACGCAGTCCTCTCGCGTGCTCGCGGAAGTACATGCCTTCCTCGCCGTAGCCCCCGCAGCGACCGCGTCCCCGATTGTGCGCGCCAGTCCTGCCCGTTACCGCGCCCGCTACACCGCGTCCTCCCGCTCCCCAGACCAGAGCGCGCCCCCGCCACGACCCTTTCTCCCGCGCACGAGTGGGAACAAACAAACATACCTTCTGGGTTGCCTTGTCCAGAATGCCCTTACGGGCGAGGATGTACCCTGAAATACATACGATGAAGACCTCAAGAATAGACTAGAAAGCGTTGCGGGTGTGAGCGAGGTCGCGCATGTGGGAGGCAAAAGCACATGTGGCACCCACCGAGAAGACAGTCTTGAGGAGCGGGACGTAGGTGCCCGTTGAGGCCATGCAACGCGGTGGCAAGTGCAGAAACGAGAGAGTGGTGGTGGTATCACGAAACGGGCTGTGTCGCGGAGGTAGAGGGGATGGTGGGGGTGAGTGGAAAAGAGCTCGGCGCAGACGCGTGGGGGACGTGTGCCATGGACATAATGACCAGGTCGGCGGAGTGGCGGAGGCGAGGCTGCCCAGATCTGGTCTTGGCGGTTGCCCAGATCCGATCAATTATGCGGCGATAAGATGGCGCGTTCAGGGGGGCGCACGTTTCTCTTTCATGTTGATTTCGTCGCTCGCCGTTACATAGTCGCCGTTGAAACTGCTCGAATCTCCGCGAGGACGCCGTGCACGAGAACTGAGGGGCTCGTCCTGGCTCGTCCCGCCAAGCGCGCACTGCCATCCGGCCGCAGTCGTTCCGCCCGACTTTCTGACAGCTCGAGCCATCGGTAAGTTATCTTGAACGTCGAGCAACACCGCATCTGTCTTCAATATGCTCGACGCCCCTATGTAAGCACTTGCAACCGCCGCTGAGCGCTGCCAGGTGCCAGCTTGGCCAACGCGCTATCGTCATGTGGATCGGCAGTGCGATGTGCGTGTGATTGGCGAAATATGACGTCAGATATGCGCATGCTGTGTCGGTGCGCATATGTCGCGACTTTTTTGTGTCGCCGCAGATATCGGCATGAAGATCGTGGGCGACACGCAGAGGCCAAGGTGCAGTCGGCGCTAGGGACATTCGTCGTCCTGGAGTGCAGGTACTGCCAAACTCTCGAGCATTCAAATGATATTCAACCTGAACAACTTACCCATCACTGGTAGATTTTCCGCACAGTCGATCGAGACGCACATGCGGTTCAGGCTGAGCAAGAAGCGAGTGGAGGGGATGCACAAGGAGAAGTGGAACATGCTGGCGTACCGCCACGACACTGGGCAGCAAGGTGAGTTGACGGCGTCAGGTCCTGCGCTGACATGGCGCCCCCGTGAGTCGGCGTCCCGATACCTCAGAGTGGTCGTTGTGCAACGAAACTGCCTCCCAACACGTTTAAGTATGCCGAAGTGCGTTTGTATGTGACACAACATGAGACCTGTGTGCGGGCTCTGCGTTATCAACCACTAGAGTCGCGTGCCTAATTGGCTTCATCTCGTCTTCTTCTAGCATTCCCACCAGCCGCTTGAAGGACAATTGCCACAAGGCTTTGTAAATTAGGCTAGCTAGTAGTCTATAAGTATAGTAACTCGCGTGCGCGATCGGCAGGGATGATCTCGAGCGAGGACAGCCGGCGTCGGAGCGTCGCGGTCTGGCCGTCCGGTGGTAAATCAGGGACTGTTCCGGGGGCTTTGGTAGCAATACTCTAGCACGAGAGTGCGTTGATGGAGCAAGCGTATAGTCCACATACCCAGAGGAGGGAGAACGAAGCTCTAGCTGAGGGCTTCAAGTGGCCCAACTTGTTGCTGACGGTCATCAACAAGTTGAATTGGCGCCAGAGAGCGAATTTGGAAAGCGATCAGCAGCTCCGGCTGTTCCCGAGCGAGCCCAGCGAAGCAGGCACACCCTCCTCCTCCTCACCATCCTCTATGCTCCGACTACTGGCGGTACGCTACTGTTTCTGGTTATCTGCACTCCCACTCACCCGGATTATCAGAGTAGGAGAGCTGCACTTCTTGCCACAGCGGCGGTCGGCGTGCATGAGGCACATGACAAGGTGTGTTTGTATCCCCCTGCTCAGGTCATACGTCGTGTTCACGTTTCGCCCGGCCTCACAGCTGCCCATCTATCCTGTTCCGGAGCCCGATGTCCTCCTCTTAGAGACACCCTCGGAGCTTGAAAAGCATATCGGCGTCGCCCGCCGCACACTCACCGGGACATACGAAGACGCACATGGACGGGTACAAGCCCTCGTCTCGCGGTGGATAGGTGTCGAGCAGGCGGTCGAAAGTACGCACCCTCTCCCTCCAACTCCCGTTCATCGTGTCCTCAAACCCTTCCCCTCCCTTCCTCCCCCCTCCCGAAAGCCCGGGTGAAGGCCCTGGTCGCCCCCGACGAGCCCCTCACACCCGGCATCCTCTACGTTGGCGTCGCGACCCTGACCGGCTCCGTGCTCGCCCGGAACCGCCTCCTCTGGCGGCTGACGCTGCCCCCCGCGCTCCTCGTGCTCTCCCTGCAGCACTTCCTGCCCAAGACGGCCGCGAACGTCTCCGCGTACCTCGGCGAGCTCGAGGACGCCCACCTGCCCGCGCTGGCGCAGAAGCACGCGGTCGCGAACGCGCACAGCGCGATGGCGTGGGAGCAGGCCAAGGACGCGGTGCGCGGCGGCCAGGAGTCGGTCACCGCGGCGCTCACGCGGGCGGCGGGGGGCGTGGAGGAGGCGACGGGCTTGAAGCTGCGCGAGGTGTTGGGGTGGCGGGAGCGCGCGGCGAAGGAAGTGCGGGTGGCGGCGGAGAAGGAGGCCGACGTGGTGAAGGTAGTGGTCGAGACGAAGGTGGAGGAGGTCAAGGAGGCGGTGGAGAAAAAGGTGGAGGAGGTGAAGCGGTTGGTATAGAGTATGTGGCGATTTATTTTTTCGTTCCGCATCCCACATCATCGCCAGTGTCCCCTGTTCCTCGCTAGTAGTCGGAGGGTGGCATGCACATGCATGACGTCTGCAAGTAGACCTCTGTTTTAGCGTCAGTACTGCTTGTGTCGAAGCCTGTGTTCGGAGAACACTTCACTATCATTTGGGGAGGATGGTAAGCTACGCGACCTCTCTTGATTTTCTCAGTTCTTTTAGAACCTTTACTTCATTCACTCAACGCTCTTTGAGTGCGGAGCTACTGTCTACATCCATAAGTCCGACTCCCTGAGGGGTAACTGAAGCTTCAGTAAATGCTCACGTAATCGAAAGGCACAGTCGGCGGCAGGCACCGGAGCTCGGCCTGTTCATGGCAATATCGGTCTCGCACTTGACTCTCAACCTCTTCTCCCATTCCTAGACACCTCCAGGTGTCAGGATTTCTTCCCGATATCAGTCTCTTGTCTCTGGAGCATGCGAGCCACTGGTCTAGTTATTTGTCATGCCAACGAGGAAGGGTCCGCACTAGTAGGAAATACACAACACTGGACTCCTTGGTTTCGATGCAAGTCACATCAGGTCAAGTGGGACCGTTCGAGAACGGCACCTACATGTTGGTACGTCCACCATGCACCGTCCATGCGGAGAATGAGGGAGTCGTTTTTTCGGTGACGTTCTCGGAGGGGCTCTCGGCATGCGGATTCTTCGCTATCCGCGACGAGTCCGCATCGACTTGCTGTATCTCGCCGGCTGCGGTAGCCTGTGATCATCTCCGAGCGGAACAACCCGTGGACTCCATCGGGCGTGTGGCCTTGCGAGTCTAGCGTGGTGGGGGGCTGGTGGGACGACAATAGTCGCGGGCCGAGGCTTCTTGAGGGTCGAATATTCATCGCGCCTAGAATGCAACTCAGGCGGTGGAGGTCTCCCATTTCTTGGGGTGCAAAAGGTCGAGTGGGCTGTTAGTCGCGTGTTCTACGCTTTCGACTGGCTCAGACCCTGAGATTGGAGAGTGCGTGGGATTGAGCCGTAACGTGCGTGCATCAGGCCCGGTCTCGGTGAGCCTTTGAGAGCTAACAGCAGGGAGGGTCTTCTCCACGCCCATGCGGGCCATGAGCAGCGCGCACGCCGAGCTGGCCCGAATGCGCTTCGGCGGGCTGTACCTAGAGCCGACTTATCTCATCCCCACCGTCTTTTGTGTCTTCCTGTCTCGCTTGTGCATAAACCGACCCTCTTCGGCCGGGCCGGGTCAACAATGTGCTGGCGCACCCTCACCAGTAGTTTGGGGGTGCTCACAGCTCATCATCGCATTCGGCGTTCATAACGCCTTGTCGGAACTGGGTCCGGGGCGAACCACGGCGACGTTCGCCACAGCCAAGGCCACGCGGTGACTCGGATGAGGTAGAAATAGTAGGCCGGTAAGCAGACGCCCTCTATCCCCATCTTTCTCCATCCTCACCTTGCCGTGTTGTCGTTCCTAGACTACCAACAGCACTACATCAGGGAGCCAACATCTCGTCCCTTGCAATCGACCTCGCAGCCTCGAAGAGGACCATCTCACGGCGGGGGTCTGCCGTGAGTCAATATCATCAGCACCTCGCGATCTCGCTAACAGGCTCTCAGTGCACAACTGCCGCGAAGCAAGCAAAAATGTGATCGCGGACGCCATGCGGTCGATGCAGCAAGAATGGTCTCGCGCACTCGTGCGCCTACGTGGCGCGGAAGTCTCCAGGAGACATCACGTCATAAAAGTTGCATAGACAACGTCAACTTGCACTGTGCCAGCTGCGGGAGTATGTCGCACCTTACCAGCCTACTTCTTTTCATGGCATGCGTGACTGACGATGTCCTGTAGGCAACAATATCATGTGCACATCCCGCTCGTCTTGGGTCCCGAAGGACCTGTGCAAGCAAGCTCTCCGTCGCTGTCCCCACCGGGCGCCATGGTACCTCTATTTCGAACCCTTCGTTTACTCCCAATTGAAGGCTCGATCCCACACAGTATCCCCCCACCAACGAACCTTTTGCCTCCTGGGAGAAGGCTCCGGAGAAGCGTCCATCACGCCCAATTACGTGCCATTTCCGCCCCCTCCCGCCGCTGGGAGGAGAGTATGCTTTGCGCACATCACAAGCACAATGCCTCCTTATGGACCCACGAACATCGCCCTGACACCTACTACAATTTTCCTGCCCCTGAGAGATCCTTTCCTCTGATGGGTCTGGCTTGCGAGCTCGTCCGGAGTCCGATTTAGCTTCCACCCTTCATGGTGACGCTTCTCACCGCTGAGTAAAGCTTCTGGGTCCCTTTTGATTGTTGACGAGTATCTATTGCGTGTATATGCCCTTGACAGACATACATTCAGTATCTATGGTATAACGTCCTGCCTATGTATTATTTTATTACGCCTCGTCACTGTTGCTATATAACCGTCTTTGTATTTGCAAGTATCTAAATATATGCATCTATTTAAAATGTTTAATTCACTCCACGGGCCTGTGGGAGTATCTCCGCTGCGCCTCGATCAGAGCGCATAGACGCCCGTGCTGAATCTGCAAAGCGGTTGTTTGGATCAAAGGCTGCAGCATAACAGAGACCCCGGTCACCCCATGCGCTTCTCTGGCCACCTCCTGAACTCAAAGCTCTCACTTCCCAGTCTGCTTTCAATCTTCCAACACGTCGGCTTCCCGCTCCACCCCGTCCGTCCCGCACGACGAACGCACAACGTCTGAATGCAAAGACCTGGACCAATATATCCAGGTCCTCTAGCGCCTGCCTCCTCCCTTTCGCTCGCCCGACCCCTGGGAAACCTCCTGCCTTGCCCTCGCCGACACTCCCTCATCTCACTGCCTTGAAGATGGAAGCTGCCCGACCCACCAAGTATGGAGCGTGCGTTTAGAGTCCAGCCTGATCAGTCCATGGGCCTCGGCAGTCCGTATTGTAGGTGCGTGATCAGGTGTCGCGGGAGAAGAATCAGGGGCGTCGGCGCGCGAAGAAGTACCGCGTCGGCTCTGCGCGGTATATACTTACTACAGGACGGGAAACCCTGCTTCGCACCATTGCGAATCGAGTGATGCGCAGCGCGTGGGTTGCATGGACAGTGCGGACATATGCTCTGGCAGAGAAGGTGCGCCGCAGTGCGCCACACGCGGCGACCGGGGCGGTGCAGGGCAGCATGTGGTGGAGGCCTATCGGATTGTTGTTCGGTCTCGTTCCGTGTGGGTGCGGTACAGAGCGAGGTCATGGCCTCTGGTAGCGCGACAATGGCGTGGCGCCTGTGGAAGGCGAGGCGCCCGTGGACTTGAGGCGAGGCGTCTGTGGAAAGGGAGTATCATGGAAGGCCAAGCGTCTGCCTCGGCGCTGGCCTAGATCTGGCAGGCGGATAAGTAAGGTCGCCCTGACTTTGGAGTGGAGCTGCCCATCGACGCTCGCGGAGACGATCTCCTAGTGGCTCACTTGCGTCAACCTCATGAACTCATCCCTCACACTTGCTCCCCGTACGTCGCTGATCAACTCCCGAAAAGTAACCACACGCTCATATTTCCTTCGGTTCTGCCGGCCGATCATACAGATGGTTTTCAGGGTGTTGGGTCCAATGTTGGGTCCAACGCTGTTTACCGCCCGAAAGGCCCAGTGCGTGCGTCATCTGGCGTCTACCAAGAGAACAGCTTTTTGCTCACCGTCGGCATTTCCCCACCAGTGTACCAACTGTCGCATCTCAAAACGAAAGTGCGACCATGGCACTCCTTGCCTCCATTGCGTCAAAGGGAACCGTGCAGAGTCGTGCTTCTACCCCCCGCCTGGTGTCAAGGCTATGAAATGCGAAAGCTGCAATGGTGAGCATCTTGGCCGCTTTTACCAGATCTGGGTTGACTGAAAAGGTTTCCCGCTAGGTCACGGGTCCATATGGCCGCAATGGGCGCAAGAGGTGTCCTCTGGACTTATTCCGGTGCAACAAATGGCGCACCCATCCTATGCCGGTCAAACCGACGGAGCGACGATACATCTTGGGGAATCCACTCATGAGCCGACCACTAGCTTTGTGAACAGTCCAGGCTGGAGTCAGACGTACACGGCCCCCTCGCAGATCTACGGCAACCAACAGTGGGTCTCCCAGGGATCCTCCGTGGACTCTGACGGTTACGCGGGCTATGGAGTATACGGCACTCAGGCTACCGGGGCTGGGTATATCGCCGAGTACCTCGGCGGGAACGCGATCGCCTCGACTGGATACTACACAGGTCAGGATGGAATAGAGGAGTCGAACCGCGACATCACGTCATGGGTGCTCGCGCCTGGCCAATCGTCACAGTGGGACGTGTACCAGCTTGACCCGTGCAAGAACGGTCAGGGAATGTAGCCCACGTGAGTTCCCAGCCCACGCGACAGAACGGAGGACTCATGTGCTTTCAGATACTCGACGTGCTGTTCGACGATCTCGCATTGCGCCTCGCGATACACTTCGAGAATACCGGCTTGTTTACTGCATATCCAACTGTGCATCTGTCTGGCTAGTTCCGTTTTGTTCTGTTGAACCTTCGTCACAAATAACCTTCTCGTTCCGCTGGATTTTAGTACTTGTATTACGTATACATTTCTCACCAATTGCGCTCACCCTTTCCATGTCTGTAGAGGACTATCCTTGAATGTATACTAATCAAATGTGTCCTTGAGGCTTGAAGGAATGATGGTTGAAGGTTGCTGCATTCCATAGCTCAACTTGCATTCGCTGTGCGTGAGGGCTCCTTCCCCTCAACCGCTCTGTGCAGCGGCGAAGTAAGTGAGACCAAGACAGTCCATTGGAAAGTCGGGATGGCAGAAAGGCTTTGAGCAGTGCGATGAACATGCGGAGACGGTGGAGGCGCTTGCTGGACTCTAGGCCGCCGCCCACCACGTGCAATTTGCCAGCGCGTTCTGGACGCGTCGGCGCGCGCGCGTTGTTTCCAGCTCACGCCTCTCCTCTTCCCTCCATCCCCCCTCCACCTCCGCTGTCTCTCTCCTCTCCCTCTCACTGCCATGTCTGCCTTCCGCGCCATCCGCCAGGTCTCTTCCCTCTCTGCCCGCACACTTGCGACGCGCGCAGCCCCGCGCACACTCGCCCGTGCCGCACTCGAGGCTGGCCGACTCGCGCCCGTCGCCGCGTCTGCCTCGCGGGCGTTCTCCGTCTCCGCGCGCCGGCTCGGTGAAGGCTCTAGTACGTGCATCTCGAGGCCCCTGTTGCCCTGCTGCGTTGCTAACGGTTGCCAACAGCGGACGTCGCGCTCACTCAACGTCTGGCTGAGGAGCTCAAGTACGAGAAGGAGGGAATCGCGGGTGAGCCCGACTTCCTCAAGGCGTTCAAGGAGCAGGGTATCTGGAAGGTGAGGGCTTCATGTGCTCCTATACCTCGGAGGTGTGCTGACGCAGACGTGTCAGATCGAGGACACTCCTGGCATGGACGAGGTCATTTTGACTCGCAAGTTCGGCAACGAGGAGTGCGTAGTTTCCCTCGCGCGCCGTGAGCATGTGCTGATGCTTTGATGTCAGCATCCGCTTGGTGTTCTCCGTCTCGGACGTCCAGTCTGCGGAGCAGGACTTCGAGGAGGGCGAGAGCCCCGCTGAGGAGTCTGAGGAGTCGGAATCCAGCATGGAGTCGTCCCCAATGCGCGTCTCGTTCTTGTTCACCAAGGTTGATTTCTCCCAAGCCTTGATCCCGTTGAGCTGTTTTTCACCCTCCTCGCACAGTCGAACACGCCTGGCTCGGTCTCCTTCGACGGCATGTGCCAGGACGGCGCGTTCACCATCGACAACGTCACCTACTATACTGACGCCAAGATGGCTACGGATCTCACTGCCGAGGCCGACTGGAAGCGCAGGGGGTACTACATTGGTCCTACGGTGAGTATCATGTTCCCTCCCCAGCTATCAAGCGGAGTGGACGCCGATGACGTCATTTTCCTTTTTTCTCGGCACTCGGAAAATGATATTGAACACTGACATGGCTTTTGCTGCAGTTCGAGACCCTTGACGCGACCCTCCAGGAGGAGTTCGATCACTTCTTGGAGGAGCGCGGCATCAACTCCGCTCTCGCCTACTTCATTCCCGAATACGCTGAGCACAAGGAGCAGAAGGTTCGTGGATATATGCGCCTTCCGCCCCTGTTGAATGCTTACCTTGTTGTGTGCGTGCAGGAGTACGTCAGCTGGCTCACCAGCATCAAGAGCTTCGTCGAGGCTTAAGGATGGTATGGAGAGTCTCGGTTTCGTCGCCACGTTTGCACATCTATTGTACACTTGCTCTGATGCTTCATGACCGCCTCCGGGTGCCCAAAAGTCGCAGCTCATAATGTTACTCACGTATCTACTCATGCTATAATACACCCACCTCCGCATTTATGCGTCACGTCTTCTTGTCCGCGAAGTCCAAACATCTCGAAGATCCCACAGAAGGTAACAGAGCATGTTCTAACTAATGTACATGAATCTACAGTACGATCCGAAGCAAAAAAAGCCGTCAAGTAGCGTCAAACTCATGATGTCCGCTTCTCCCCCACCGTCTCCAAGACCCTCCGCGGAGTCGCAGTCTCCATCCCGGCCTCGACCACCCCAAGCTCCATGTCCAATGCACCGGGGCGCACATCCTCATCCCCCTCGTCCTCCTCCCAGCGATGGGGACGACGTCCGCCTCCAGCCCCACTCGCAACGGGTCGCGCGCGACGAGCTCGGCCTCCCTCTCCCTCCCCTCCTCCCCTTCCGACACCCGCTCCTTCTCCCCCCCGGAGACGCTCCGCGCCGCCGGGCTCGCGGCGGGGACCTCCCACGGCCGCGCGCTCCCCGCCTCCGCGTCGCCGTCGGCGGGGCTGCGCGGGCTCGCGACGCTCGTCGCCGTCGCCGTCCGTCGACGGCCCCAGTCGCTCTCGTCCCCGCCCCCATCCGCGAAACGGAGGGGCGCGCCCATGTTGCCGACGACGGCGCCGGGGCCGGGGACGAAGCGCATCGCGGCCCAGGTCGCGCTCGAGGACGTGAGGGGGGCGGAGGCGGAGGCGGAGCGGTCCGAGGGGCCGGCGTCGGCGAGGTAGACACCGCGGAGGTTGAGCATGAAGCGGTAGAGGGAGAGGGCGGTGAAGACCTGCTCGAAGAAGGGCCAGACGTCGAAGAGGACGAAGGTCTGTGGGAGGGGGTGCGCGGTGAGTGCGTGCCACGGGGCGGGAGATGCGAGACGGGGGAGGAGGGGGACGAGACGAGACGTACGGAGCCGACGGAGAGGGAGATGATGCTGAAGATCTGGACGGCGAGGATGACAACGAAGTAGAGCGTCCCTGCGGATGTCGGTCAGTCCGGCCGTGTCGGAGAGCGGCGCGCGGACGGGAGGGGACGGGACGTACCGTCGCGGAGGAGGAGCGTCACGTAGGGCGCGCGGAGGCCGAGGCGGCGCGAGTCGCGCTTGATCCCGAACGTCTTGTACCAGGTGAGCGCGATGACGGTGATGTCGATCGCGATGCCCACCGCGCGGGAGACGTAGTTCACTGCGTGCTGCGGCGTGAGGAATCTGACTGCGTTAACGGCGGGGGATGGGGGCGTACGTCGGTAGTACGCATCCGAGTCGAGGTGGTACGCGGCACCGCACCCATAGAGCGGCGCGCCGAACGCTATGGGCGTGTAGTGGACTTGAGAGTACTGCGGGCGTTGTCAGTGGTTCGGGAGGTCATGGAAGTAATGGACACCCACGATGCTGATGATAGGTCTGATTGGAGTGAGGAGGGCCAGGAAGTATAAGGGTATCGAGTTGTCAAGCCAGATACCCCGGACGCGCAGCAAGGCGAACACTAATCAGCAGAGTGAGTGAATCCCATGAGGACGCCTGGCATGATTAGCCTGCAGTACGCACGTCCGAAAGATAGATAGCTTATGTTTGTCATGGTGTCATCAAGGCGTAAGACTGGGACGCATCTGGAAGGGAAGAAGAGGACTAATTCAATTGGGGGAGCCTGTCTGAGGAGAGCTAGACGCACGGCTAAGTCATCATACAAGAGGAAACTGGCGTCAGCACGCCGGCGTGGTTGATAAGCCCGCAAGTGCTCACTCACCTTGTCCTCCACGGTGGGCAGGAGCACGCTGACCAACAAGACGATCCTCTCGAGGACCGCGGCGTAGCGGGTGATGAAGAAGATAATGGTGGCGCCCGTGAAGCGTCGCCGCCATATCCTCTCGATCTCCTCGGGGAGCGTGAAGAAGTAGTCTGCGATGATGAGGGCTGTAACCGGGGAGGTTAACGAGCGAGGGACAGCGGTCGCAGGTGGCGATACACACCTGAGGAAGCGATGATGCAGTAGTTCTCCACCAGTCTGTACGGTGATCAAGCAAGTATGCCAGATGATTATCAGCAGCCGAGCCGGCACTCTGTATTCAGGGCACAGAGCACTCACAAGCGGTCGTAAGCCTCGAGGATGAGCTGCTGGAGGTCCACGTCTGAATCGCTGGACATCGCGCGCGTGGGGGAGCGAGGGAAGGGGAAGATCCCAAGGTCCCCCGCGGCCTGTTAAGCAAAATGAGTGCGGTGGCGGGGGCAGTTAACGCTTTCAGCAGCGCGAGTCCGCGCCTCCGGAGTCCGCGGACAGCGCAAGCGGGGGGACCGACAAGTCGGTCGAATCAAAGTTCTGAGCACGCCAGCGTCGGAGCTACCGTGGCCCGCGTGCAGGGGAGGGCGCGGCAGGCATGCACTGCACTGCAGAACTTCGACTGCCAACTGCCACCAGGCGGGGGCTTGTGCCTGGCGCGCGACAGTGATTGGAAATGACGTTCGTGGCGACTTTTCGCTGGAGGGTCGGCGGTCGGGCATCGTGGGCGCATGTAGACCGCAGCACCGTGTCGACCTCAACCTGCTCCAGTAACATAGGCGAAGAATGCGGTGATGATGATGAGATGACTGTGACGGTGCCAAGAAGCGTCGCGTGGCTGAAGCACGAGGTTGAATAACGGGAAACTGAATTCTGGAAGCAGCTGGAGAGTCGAGGCAATCTGGACATATGAGGAAGACGGATGACTGCAGATCGACGCGCCAAGACGTGCTTGTCGCCCGGGACTTGGCCTACGTAACGTCAGCCTGATCCTGTGATCCTGTTCACACACTTCCTCCGATCTCAACGGCGAGGAAAGGCGCTGCAGGGCACTGCCAGACAGGACAGAGGCTTCCTGAAAGGGTCCGAAATGAGCAGAGCTGTGCGCAAATCTCGTTCGGTGCACAGATCACGACTTACGATCAACAACTTTCGCAGCTTGCATGGGGGCATCATGACTCATATTCCAAACACTGTCTCGACGATTGTTGATCGCGCTTGAGCAACGCCAGCACCATCACCTCGGGACGTATAAAGACAGATCTTGTCAACAAAGGCGGCGGTCGCGGGGTGGTGGACGGGAAAGCCGCCGCGGGCGCTCAACATGACGCGTCCGGCTCGGCGCTTCAATTGCAAGGTTCGCAACATGCCACGGAAACATCTACGTTTGTCTATTTCAAGACATACATGCACTACATCGCAGATCACAACAACTACATCTCCATCTACAGTGCCTGCTATATCCCGGCCATCTTCCTCAGCACCGCAAACTCGTCCTTGCCCGTCGCCTTGCAGAGCGCGTAGAACTTGGACTGGGGGTTCGACAGCAGCGCCCCGGGCGTGTCGTACTCCGCGATGCGCCCCTGGTCGAGCAGCATGACCTACGCTCCGCGAAAGGAGGCGTCAGCGCGAGAGAAGCAGTGAGCTGCGAGATCACGTACCCGGTCGTAGTCGATGACCGTGCGGAGACGGTGCGCGATCGTGAGGATCGTGCTCGACGCGAACTCGCTAGAGGTAGAGAGCGATAATAAGTAGATAGCATCGACGATGCCTTTCGAGTATACTCACTGTCGAATGGTCTTGCTGATGAGCTCGTCGGTGGCGTAGTCGACGCTGGCAGTTGCCTATGAAACCGACATCAGCTCTGGTCCACAACAGCTCACAGGGGTGCTCACCTCGTCCATGAGAAGCACCTTTGACCTCTTCAGGATCGCACGGGCCATGCAAAGCAGCTGTTTCTCTCTGTGAGGCACGTGAAATCGTAAGTGGACAGCTGGACGTGATGCAACTCGCAGCTACTCACCCCGTCGAGAAGTTTTCACCGCCCTCGGACACAGGCGAGTCGAGGTTGCGGAACACGTTCACGTTCACGCTCTCCTCAACCTCCGTCATCTCTTCGCCCGAAGGAATGAGGTGTACCCGACGCAGTGCCTCGTACTGTAACCAAGGTTGGCTAGGGTGCTCGAGTAATGTGAACGATCTTCTCTTACAATCTCGACATCCTGGTATTCGTTGAACACGTCCAGCGTCGTCCGCAAGGTGCCACTCAGGATGATCGGATCCTCTGCGGGATACAGTGAGCCACACGCGAAAGACTGGCCGCAGGAATCACGTACGAGGAATGATGGTGAGGTTGCTCCTCAGGTCGGTCAGCCCGATCTTGGAGATGTCAACGCCGTCGATGAGGATGCGACCCTCCGTGGGCTCGACAAAGCGGAAGAACGAGAGCGCGAGCGTGCTCTTGCCCGATCCCGTGCGGCCCAAAACGCCGACCTTCTCTCCGGGGCGTACGTCGAACGTGAGCTGGTGGAGGACATTGGGGAGCTCGGGCTGCAAGACGACGAATCATTCGTCACGGACGCTAAGGGACACCGGACGAGGGAAGAACACGTACGGCGTATCTGATGACGAGGTTTTCGCACTTGACCTCACCGTGCTCGGGCCAGGAGGCCGCCGGGCGCGGCTCGATGAACTCCGGGGGCTCACGCGGAAGCTCAGAGAACTCTTTGATGCGCTCGACGGCGACCATGGACTGCTCCAGGCCGACAAAGCGACGAACCTGCAGTGAAGACAATAGGTCAGCTATCGAATGTTGTGTTTCACATCTAGCTGCTGACCAGGAAAAGAAGCTGTAAAGCCCCAGAGATCAGTCAAGGGAAAGTGCAAGAACAAGTCAGGTAAGCTCACGTCGCCGAGCAGAGAAGACGCGAAGGCAAGAGCAAAGCCGGCGAGCGAAGCGTCGATCCCGGGTGTTAGGACACAAACGAACGCTGTCGTTCCGATGACAGCACTGGAAAGGAGATTGAAGCGGGCCGAGAGCCAGCGGTTGACTAAGGAAAGGATGAGGAATGTCCATTTTGTAGGAAAGCGCGCAACTTACTACTCCACATCCAGTAGTATGGGTTCGCATTCTGCAAATATGAATCCTTGTTAGCGGACAGTAACCCACTTCGGATATTGGCTTACAGTGTCTGCAAAGCGAAGCATATCACGCAGGAACTTCGACGAGGCACCGAAAGCGCGCAAAACGGCGACGCCTGCGATCGTCTCTCCGTAGATGGAGTAGAGCGGCGAACGCGTCACCGAGTCTTGATTCGATCAGCACAATACCTATCACGACCTTCATTCTAACTCACCCAAGCGACGCATGTCTCGCGAGGTTTGCCCATAGACCTTGCCAACTGTGCCAGGGAGTGAGTATAGGGATGAAAGAAGACGGGCGGGTGAAACCTACCATTGTAGTACAGGAAGCCGAACACGAGGGCAGCAAAAACAAACACAGGCCCGCCAACGACAGTGATCGTGACGAACGTTGTGGTAACGGACAGACAGTACATCAAGCTGCGACCGAAGTGATCCGGGAGATTGCTGTCGACGCCTATTTGCGATGAGCACGGCACACGGATCAAGAGATGGGGTCTCTGCGTACCCTCAAGTCCTTTCCGAAGCGATTGAGGAGTCGACCGCGAGAGATGGTGTCATGGAACCGGATGTTGGCGAACAGCACACCCTCGAGCAGGTCTGTTAGGAAGTGTGAGCCGAGCCCCGTACCGCAGGAACAAAGGATGACATTCACTCTTATACAGGACGCCTGAGGCATGGATACCGCCATGGTCTGTCGCGATGATTCGGTCAAAGTCTCCCATTATGCTGGCAAACCACTCACAAAGGAAGAACCACCGCAGAGTGGTGAGAACAAGACCGATGAGAGCGATCTACAAGAAGAGTTCATATGTGACGTCTTGAGAAGGGAGAAGAGACCCACAATCGCGTAGACGGTGATGTAGAAGATTGGGGAACGGGGTTCCTGATCGCTCATATAAGCTCCCGACCACGTCCTATCAGAACATGTTAGCTCGCCCTGATCAGCGAATAGCCAGTATACTCACCTCAGCCAACCGTTCTCAAAGACGGGGCTCAAAGTTCCTAGGACCAACGAGAGCCCAAAGAGGGCCCAGAAGCCATAGCTACCGCAACCAGCGATATATGTCTTCCAGACATCCCGCCCAATCCGTCCCATCGCGCGCTTCTCTTCTTCGATGAGCCTGCGTGGCGCCTTCTTCTTCTTCTCGGTTTTCGCCTCGGTCTCGCCCGTAGCGGTCGTAGGGGCAATAGTTGAGCTTGTTTCGGACGCGCTCCCACCTGGGCTCGCCTCGTCAATGATTTCTTCAACATTAACAATAGTTGCTTCGTCCTTCTCGTCAGTGGGGTCGGCCGCGCCGGTTTGCACGAGCGTTTTAAGAACACCTGACTGCTGGAAGCCATCGTAGTCGCCCGAGTACTGGACGCGGCCATTGTCGAGGGAGACGATGTACTTGGCGCCGGCGGCGCACAGCTGAACATGATGCGAGACGAGAATGAGAGTGCGGCCCTTCATGAGATCGCCACGGAGGCACTCGTTGTACAGGTGGCGCGCGGTGTGAGCGTCGACGGCAGAGAGCACGTCGTCCAACAGCAGGACGGATGCTCTCGAGTATACCGCACGCGCGAGTGAGACTGGCGAAAGGAAGATCAGCATGACCAACGCGCATACAAGCAGGCAAAACGTACCTCGCGCCTTTTGTCCTCCGGAGAGGTTGACCTACATGTGCGTCAGCGATTGGATTCCGAAGAGACGTCATGTCAACTTACACCGCGTTCACCGATCTCGGACTGGTCACCATCTTCGAGAATTTCGAAGTCGCTCAAAAGGGCGCAAGCCTATACCAAACGTCAGCACTATACTGTGATGGAGCACATAGATCTTGTACCTCGAGAGTTTGTTGGTATCGTTTCTCCACATACGGGAGATTAAACAAGATGTTGTCTGGACGACGCAAACTTGTGTGAGTGGCTACCTCACAACGAACCAATGCTCGCTTACCTCTAATGGAAGCGTTGCGTAACCAAGCCGTCTGTGGCACGTATGCACAGACACCAGGCACAACCCACTCCTCCTCGGGCACCTCGACACCAGCAAACGACGCAATAATGTCCGGCGGAGACCGTGGACACACCACCTGTCCGGCAAGGATATCCGTCTCCCGAGCAGCGCAAGCAACAAGAGGGATTTGCCGCTGCCAAGCTTGCCGCAGACCAGCGAGAGCTCGCCGATGGGGAAGTCGAGGGTAAGGTCCATAAGCATAAACTTGTGCCTCGGGGTGCTGGCGGTTGACGGAGTCTGGCTGTGCGAGCGGACGACGAACGAGCGCGGTCTTCCGGCCAACTAACTGTCGCCGACTGGAGGGCGATTGGATGGTGCTGACCGTCAAGAGGAGCAACAGGAGCGACTTCCGCTCCGCCAAGGTACTTCTCAATCCGGCGGAGGGAGACGGTCGACTGTAACATGTTGATGAAAGTTTCCGGGAGGGCGTTAAGGGCAAACTTCATCTCGTTGAACACTGCGGGTGGCGCTTAAGTCAGCGAATGGGTACAACAATGAGACTAGAGGGACAAACCGCTGATGGAAGTGAAGGCGATAGACGGAGTGAGGGCCTCCCCGCGGACGACGGAGAAGTGCCAGAAGGAGACGAGGGTGACCAGGATGGGGGATGCACTGAAGATGGCCTGCCACAAGACCTCAATCGTAAAGTTAAGTTTTTGATACTTGAGTTCCTTCTGCCGGATCTTCATGATGCGGGCTTCGAAGCTGCGCTCCCACGCCATGAATTTGAGCATGCGAATACCGCCGAGCACCTGTAGCAAGGTATCAGTTTATGTGCGTCGTGACCGAGTCTTCCGGCAAGGCGCACCTCGTTCATAAGTGACACGCGCTCGTCACGAGCCTTCATGAGGTTGTCTTGGGCTCCGACGACAACCTTGCCCGCAAAATGGCTCAGAGGGAGGAAAAGGCATGTCACCGCCAGACCAAAGAAGCACGAGACGCCAAGCAGGTCGTACAGGAAGATCGTGCCAATGATGATCTCGATCGGGGCGTCAACAAGGGTGAAGAGGTGCCAAGAGAACTCGGACACGCGGTCCACGTCGGTGGTCATAAGCGTCATGATCTGCGCCTTGCTGGAGAAGTCGTCTTCGTCGTCCTTGTCTTTGTCCTTCTTGCCCTTGTCTGCGTCGTCGGTAGGCTTGTTTTCGGCGGCGGCCGAGGACGCAATGTCTTTCCTCACAAGTGTCTTTTGGAAAAGGATCGAGTTAAGTTGTATGCGCATCCGCACTTGCAGGGTGGTCGTGGAGACAGACCACAGCTGGCCCGTAGCTGCGCGACATCAGTGAACGGCTCACTGAAGGAGACCAGCCAAGACGTACTCGTGAGCATGATGGCGTTGGTCAAGAACAGTCCAACACAGTACACGAAGCCCCAAGCCCTGTTTTCCCGCTCCGGGTCGACCTCGAGGTAGTACACGACGCGCTTCAGGAAGAATGCCGGGGTGTAGAACAAGATCGCGGCGAGCGCAGCGAGGAAAATGATCAGCGACAGCGCCTTCCTGTTCAGGAGGACCAGGCGGTACCCCAGGTCGATGCCGGAACCGGGAGCAGGTCGCCACGACCCAACGCGCAGCCGCCAACGGCGCATCGCGTCGCGCATGCTGGCATAAATGGTGGTGGCACGCATATCCGCGGCTACGATTGGCAGGTCGCCAATCTCGAGGCTTTCTGCGATGTTGCCCAGCATGACAACTTTGGTGGTGTACGAGAAGAGGAGGATATCCCATACGGAGGCGCCTATCAAAGAAGGGTCAACATATCGTCCCAACTTGGTGCGTAGCTGGTATGCGTCTGTGGCTTTCCCGCATGCGCTTCCCTGGTGACTAGCACAGCAAGTACGCAGTGCATTCGCGGGAAGTGCAGGCGGAACAACAAGTCTCGTGCCAAGAAATTCAACTCACCAGTGATGCCGCATACGTTATCCTCGTACTTGGACGTGATTTGCATGAGAACCTTGTCCGAGTATATCGCGTCCGATGGGAAATGCAGAGGAGGTCCACGCGGGGTTGTCACAACGAGCACCAAGCACACCGCGTAGATTACGAACACAGCGTACCACAGTCCGAGTGGGAGTCCAGTTTCGTGCATCCACGCCGAGGTCGAGGGGAGGGGGGTCGAAGGGAGGATGGCGGTGACACCGGGGGGTATGGTCGCAAAGAAGGTGAGTATGGATAAGTGCACTGTTGACCGTGCGTGTTCGCCGTAAGTCTGGTTGATGGAGAGGCCGGCGAGGGAGAGCGCGTACAGCGCGAACGCAGTCTGGAGCGCGTACACCAAGATGCTCGCGCGGTCGCTCTCCGCGATCGACCAGCCGAGGCATACAGTTTGGACGACGAGGGTGATACCCAAAAGACACGCGACGAAGAGCTTGCGCAAGCGCATCTACCCGTGGGGTCAGGACGCGGATGGGGTGCAGGAGAAGAGTCGGGCGCACCTTGGTCCAGAATTCAGCCTCCCTCAGTGGGGTCCCATCCACCGTGTCCTCAGGACGCGTTACATCGAATGGGTCGCGCAGAAGCGCCTCTTCGCCCTCGAGAAACGTTGGGAGGGCATCCTGGCGCGACTTGCGTGCGCCGACTGTGAAAACCGCAAGACTTGCAACGGCTACGGCGACCTGGACGACCGCGACTTGAAGCTGATACTCCGGCATCGTGAACTTCGGCACGGAGTTGCAAGTTGGGGCGACAAATGCGTCCCACGGTGGGTATATGCGCGCTGACAGTGACTCGTGAGGATGGACGGGGCCGAGGACGCTGAGCGCTGAGGATAAGACGGCCGCTAGCGCTAGTAAGCTCTATTAATAATCCAATCAACTCGGGTGAAACCCCGATAACAAACGAGCGCTTTATTTACACACGCGGTGCGTTAGTTACGTAACTCCGCTTCAACCGGCTCGAGGTCCGGTCCGACTCGGAAGCATCTCTCTCTGTCTCCTGCTTCGACCTCCTGCTTTCTTCTGAAAGTTCGCTCCTCTCCACAACTCAGGGTTTGAATAGTGGGCCATTATAAATGCCATAACACCAATTGAAGGTAGTTCATGTCATACAGCAAGCAGTCACGATATACTTACGAAACACCGTTGTCACTACAGCTCACATATCCCTCAACGCAAAATGCCTACGCGATACTTATGACCACTCAGATGGCTCTCAGTCTCAGGGCTAATGGTTCGTATGAATACTTATTGCAATACATGAAGTCACCCATGGCCTCAGGGGAGCTTACTCACAGTCCCATGAGTCACCAACGTCGAACTGCGTACGCGCAGTCACTGTCATGAACTTTCCGGATGGCATCCCGGTCGTGGACATCATCATAAATAATCGGGGTATGTTATCCCTTGCGTAGTTAGGGCTTGGTTTTGCTTACTTGAAGTCCAAATCTCGAAGGCAGGCCGATCCGAGTGCTCGGGACGGTGCCACTACCAGCCTCCGTGAACCAGGTAAGCAGAGCTATCGCTTCGTTGGGTGCGGTGGATACAGACGGGAAAAACCCGCCGTGCGCGTACTGTACCAGCTCGATTTTGCACATGTACTCAATCTCGTAACGGGCGGCCCACCAAGGCCGCGCACACGTTCCATCAACGGAGCGCGCTCGCCGCCATGATTGGGTACAGATGCGTCCACAGAGCGTCTTGGGCATCGCCTGTTATGAAACTGCGAGCGTGCTGCGCACCTGCTACGCGCGCGCACATAAATTGGAATATTGCATCCGGCGACTCATAATCGACCCTCTCTGGTGGCCGCAACGTTTCGACCACCTCCCCTCCTCGATCCAGAGCACCCCTTGACCTCTCCTTGGCCTCTTCATCCATCCCTTCCCGCACCGGCCAAAATCTTGCACCATGCTCATCCTCTCCAGCTGGAGTCCTTCCCCGACATGGAGAGCCCACGTCAAGCCCACACATTGGAGTTGGACGATCCGAGCCATCATTCTATCCGCCGCCATGAACATCTTCGTCCTCGTCTGGACTCTAACACACCCGCCCTCGCCACATCGTGCATTTTCCCACTTTGACCCCGAGTGAGTGTATCTCGACCCTACCGCCACGAGCCTCTATCGCTCACAATTTCACCCCTCGCACCGCCATTTGCGCCTCCGAAACACACAACCTGGACACAGCCACCGATTCGGTCTCCCCTCCGACGCACCGACAATAACACCCGGCAGCCGCGCAGAGGGGGCTGCGGGCGGCGAGAACGTAATCGCGACGACGTTCTACACCGACGGCTTCGCATCCGCGGTCGCTGCGCTTGGCGGCTCGCTTGCGCGCGTGAACACGACTGCGCGGCTCGTAATGCTCTACATCCCAGAGCAGGTCTCGCACGGGGGCTGTGTCTCGCGTCCGCGACGGGCTTCAAGCCGCTGCCGGTCGAGCGCGTCGCACCGCCCGACGCACGGGACGTGTACTACCACTTCGTCGACCAGTACACCAAGCTGCGCCTGTGGGAGCTCGACGCGCGCCTCGGCGCCCGCGCCGTCGTCTACCTCGACGCGGACACGCTCGCGTTCCGCAACTTCGACGAGCTCTTCGCGCTCCCGTTCGAGCTCGCGGCGACCCCGGACGTCTTCACCACCGCCGCCGGCTTCTCGCTCCGCTTCAACGCCGGCGTGCTCTTCCTCCGGCCGTCGTCGGAGCGCTTCCGGCAGTTCATGCGCCTCGCCGCCGTCACGGACTACCCCCGGCACGAGGCGGAGCAGGGCCTGCTCAACGCGCTCTACGAGGAGAGCGTCGCGCGGCTGCCGTACGCGTACAATGCGAACCTCGCGATCAAGGCGCGCGCGCCGGCGATGTGGGCGGGCATGCGCGACGAGGTCCGCGTCGTACACTACACGCTCGTCAAGCCGTTCACCGTCGACAACAAGCGGTACTCGCTCGTCCCGATGGCCCAGCTCGAGGCGAACGCGCGCCGGCGCGGACGGGAGGATTCGGCGGGGTGCTCGAGCGCGAGATGGGCGAGTGGGCGGACAGCTGGGCGGAGACGTATCGCGCGTACGGGCACAAGCTGGATGCGTGCATGCACTTGTCGGACATTCCGGCGATCACAGTGCGCCGTTACCTGGGGCGAGGCATCCGTGAGGCGGACGTTTACAGCATGCTGGCTTCATGAGACTTTTGGTATATTATTATTGTCCCTTTGGATAGGTTTGCGTCTTGTATCATCAACCATACTGTACGACTGTCAAACATTACATAGACAACACGATCCATCACACACATCCAAAATTCATGTTCCGGCGAGCATGGTTCCCGCCTAATATCCTCTGGGGCACAGGACACCCATCTGAGTGGATAGTGCCTTTTCTGTACCACAATACTTATATCAGAGTTCCGAAGACCCTCCCGGAGCCCCGTAAGGTTATGTCCTCTGCGCGGCCGAGACGTCCAGTACGTTCTACATCGGCCTCGTCCACCTACTACTCTGTTAGCAAGCGGCCGGTTAGGGTTCGAAGCTCGCATGACAAGGGAGCGTCGGAATAGTCTCCGAGTCGACGCTCGCTCTTTCGGCGGAGCGAATCGATCGAAGGGCCGAGACGGAAAACCAGGCAGCTATGTCTCACGGGCGCGCCCGCCCGCGACAAATAAACCACATACTCGAACCACACTTGCCGAGCGTGCAGTGCAGCTTCGAGATAAGGACGGTGGGCTTCATAATAGACGATCCTCACGTGGAAGTAGTAGTGGTCACGTGGCGTATATACATCCCGAAAGCCTTCAGTTACAACTTGCCGGGTCCCCAGCATAGCATCGGGCTACTGGATGTGATGCATGACGACGCCAGCCCTGCGCACAGGGCTGGGAACAAGGAAGAAGCTCGGGCCCCGAAGCACCTCAGTTCTCCACGGGCATGACGACCAACCGATGCGCGCGGGAGCATGGCCGCCGAATGACAGCGTGCGAGCCGTCGTGCGCGCAGGGCGAGCAAAGCTGATGTCGTTCGTGGATCAGGCGCCCTACGGCGCGCGAGAGAAATACAGAGGTAGGTAACAGTATGCCGTGTGAAGGCGACAGAGCAATGCTCAAAGTATCCTGGGGCCCCAGTCCAATGAGTCCGGGCGAGAGCTGGGCGAGACAAGAATACAGCGGGCGGGGGACGCGCATGGCAGGACAACAGGCAGAGTTCGGGAGGCGGGGTATGAATGGACCTGGGGGAAAGTGGTATGCGGTGTGTATTCGGTACGTCAGCAGGTGAACGAAAGGGCGGTGCAGGAGATAAAGGAAATAAGACGCTTTCATCGACGGAGGATCGACGAGGAGCGCGACGCGTGGCTTGTCGACTGGAGCCCCGACCGGACTGCGGGCGGAGATGGCGCGACGGGGGTCGCGAGGGCCCTGCGTGTGATGCTTGGCTCTCCGGATCCGCAAAGAGACCGACACGCCGCCCATCGACATGACACGGCGCGCTCCTCTGACGAGTCGTCCGGGTCTGGGAACACGCTGCTCGTTTCGGTGGGGTTGTCGCGCATGATCGACTCCGTCGAGGTGAACATCGTTGTGCCGCTCCCTGGCGAAGGGTCGTGAAGATGAAACGCAAGATACGGCTCGACGTGGTACTTACTACTGCGGCTCCCGCGCACCCAGCTGGAGACTGGGCTTGCCATGATCTGGAGTCTCCGTAGGCGCTCTTTCCGCTGCCGCTTCCGTCGAAGAAGCCACCAGACGAGAACACCGAGCGCGACGAGGAGCGCGACGCCCCCGAGGACGGCACCGATGATAACCCCATCTATAGGAGCCAGACCCGCGGTTTTGTTGCTGCTCGCCGCGGTTGGTTTGTGGGGGCAGTCCAACAGATCCTTCGGCAGTAGTGGATGTAGTCTGAGGCGGCGGCGGAGACGATCCTTGCTGGCAAACGATCGCGTAATCGATGATGTATGGTGCTTTAGCGGAGGCGGACGTGACGTCGATTGTCAAGTGATGGAGATTAGGGGTGAGACCTGGTGATGACTGGAAGAAAGGCTGGTTCGGCGTGCATGTCTGTGCGCTCGGCAATTGAGGTCCACTGGCGAATATGCCGTCGACGGAGTAGTTCGCCGCAGGAATCGTTGGCCCCGGAAGGCTGCCAACCAGCGTGATCGATGTCCCTGCACACGGGACGTTCAGACAGAAAGTTGAGACGTGATAACTTGGTGAGGCTTACCGTTGAAAGAAATAGACACACTCGCCCCGCTTCTCATGGTCGAATGCGTCGTCAGAAAGAGCCCGTTGGGGTCCTTCGACGTCAGCATCCAGTTGCCTGTGTACTGGAAAGAGGGATCGTTCTCGTTGATGAACATGCAACCAGAAGACAGTGGAACGATGTGACCGTCTGCCCCGCAGATGCTTTCGTCGTCATCGTCACTGCTGTCGCTACTATCGCTGCTGTCGCCGTTATTGCCATTGCCATTGTTGTTGTTACTGCCGTTACTCCCCGGTTTCCCGTTGCTGTGACCGTCGCTGCCATTATTGCTGTTCTGACGGGGGACACGGAATCAGCCTATGACGTATGCCATGATCGAGGGGCGGACTCACCTTGCCATTGTCCCCACCAGGAATACCGCCGCCCCCGTTGAACTGTGTGCCTTTGTTTCCGTTAAAGTGGAACGGCGTAAATGTATTAGATGCCTCCACGCTCGACGTGGGGGCCGTGGTGGAATCTTGTGGGCATGAGGCCACGCTCGCATACACGAAAGGATTGAATCACGCACCCCGACGCCAAACGCCCTTCCTCCGCTTCTGAACCCTCCTGAGGACGTCCAGATGGCCAGCCATCGGAGACGCGAAAGTCCTACGGCCAGGGTGCCACTTTGCCACGTGCTGCGAGGCGCGGGCTAAGACTCGTGCGTCGCGAGAGAAGACGCAACGCACCTAGAAAAGTTGCGCGCGAATAATGGGGACGCGCAGCGCCGCCGACCGATGCTGCTGCAGGCTGCGAACGAAGGGAAGGGGAGCGAGGCGTGAGGCGGCGGACGTGCGGCGATACATGTACCTGTACGGGGCGGACCCAGCGGAGCGGCCACAACATGGTCCCCGACAGATGGATCTGTTCACGGGTCCCTGGCTCGGCTCCAAAACGAGACGCTGACAGGGAGCGGCATCGTGGTGATAACAGCGGTACAGGTTCCGGGAGGCTCGCTAGCTATGGCAACGCTCGCCCTGCGAAAGGGGATGACGAGCTGGCGCGGAGGGGCGCTGGAACCTGGCGTTGGGCTGACACGCTGGTACGAGGCGTCTCACGACAATGAAGTGTGAGTTTTTGCGTCTACTCGCGCCAGAAGGGGAGGTCTGGGTGGAGCATTGATCGCCATTTAAGCCAGTCGCGGGCGTAACACGCGAAGATGTGGTCCATGCGGCATGGGTGGCCCAGGTACGTACAGAGCGAGGTCAGACCGCCTTCCAGAACGCGGCTGCCATGTCGACCTCGCTTCGGGAAACCTGGGCGTGTGAGCGAGACCAGGTTGGTGGACTGTGTACTCACTTCCGGCGACTTGTCTGCTTGAAAACGACATATCTTGCACGCCAACTGACCGCAGTACCGAAAGAAGGTGATTTCCAACAGTCGCGCTGCGGGCAGCGTGCATGATGGTGGGATGGTTCAAGCTTCAAGATGGGAGACCATGCGCTGGCCACGCGAAACGCGTTGAGCAGATTAGATTAGATCGTCGCATGCGCGCTCCGAGATGACCATGAGGAAGACACCGGTGCCCGGCAGTGGGACCCACTCGACCACTCCCAGCCTGGTCCATCAAACCCGAGCGGAAGGAAGGGAATCTCATTCCCATGCATTACTTAATGGTCAGCGACAAGTACGGTACCGAGACATAACTCCGGATCTGAAGAATGGCGTGCGTCCGACCCACTCCCGTTGGACAGCTCATTCCTGCGGGGCATCGCGACGAAGACGACGACCCGAACAGGCTTGGCCGCTAGCGATCCCGACTGAAGCCGAACTGAACCCGCCGAGCAGTGAGAGGAAAGGCGGCCGCCGGCACGGTGGCGGTGTCGACCGCCGTGTTCCTGGGACGGACTGAGAGCAACTGCCGACGTTCCCTCCCGCTCCGAGGCACCGCGAAGCACCTCATCTTCCCCTCCCCACGAGCGACCCTTCGGCAAGGACGTAAAATCGACAGAGACGGGCTGCAACATCGGGACGTTGTCAGCAGAGCCAACACGGCGCGCGAGCCCGGCCGCCTGCCAGACCCGCATCCACTGCGCTGGCATGTCGTTCTCCCCCGGGTCGGAGATCGACGCCACGAGCAGCGATGCGCGTGGGTCCAGGTCCGTGCAGCAGAACAGCAAATAGGAAGACACTCACCAACATGTCCGCCCAGTGTGCGTGCAGCACAGGCCGCGCGCTCCGCTGCACTTCACACATGCGCGGCTTTTCTTCGTCGAGTCCGCCGACCCCCCATCTCCACGCCCCTCCGGGCCCCGACCTGCTTCGCTGCAGGCGCCGCAACATCCACCGACCGACCAACACCGAGAGAACGACGACGATGCCGACAAAAACGACCGAGACCAATGTGGAAATGCGCAGGCTAGGTTGGTGAGGGCCGCTTCCATCGGACGGTGAACCGGTTGTGCCAGTGCCGTCCGAGTGGCCTGCGGCCGAGCGTCCTATGATACGTGACCACATGTGACGTTTTCGTGAGAGAAACTGCCGCGACAGAGGTCAACTTCGGCGGCCCCAGCGGAGAGATGTACGGCGTACCTGCTACATTCTGTTCTGAATACAACTCAAACTTCTTCCAGCCGTGCTTGGTAACACATCTTCATGACATTATGAGAGCGATTTGGCAGAGCCCATTGTATCGATTTGACATCTTGCTTTCTTGGAGGTATGTGAATACCACGTCTGTGAGGAGGAGAATGGGCCATCTTCAACGACGAAGCTCATGCGCGACTGGCTTACAGGCTGGTAGGATGTGGGCTGATGATTGAGTTGAGGAGTAGGAAGGAGGATGTGTTGTCACCGCGGCTCACTCGAAGGTTAAAAGTGCCGCGTCGGCGTTTGTTGCGTGACTCACAGGCGTCTATTTGTTGACTCATGACCGGACATTACAGGCATTTGAAACCAATATTCAAACACTTTTGGCGTTCAATGAACTTTCAAATATCTCCTTCGTGATCACCGCCTCCGACTGACTCGAAAGTAAGTTCAGTTCCTCCCAAAGAAGCCCCGGCGATCGGTCGGCAAGTACTCGCGTATCGTACACATTCACAACATAAGCAGCGCATCCACATCATACCCACATCAGACCCACGGGCACCTCATCAACTCCCCCGATCCTCCGCTCCAGGTGGTGCTCGAGGACGTCGAGGCGCTCCCCACACACAGTCGAGGACGGGCTGCCCGGCGTCTCGCTCGTCTCGTCGATCTCGACTTCAGCCTCCTCGTCCCCGACGGACGTGATCGAGTCGACGTCCCGGCTCGTGCTGCGAGTGTGCGTGACGAGGATGCATATGCGGTCCTCCTCGGGAGGCGAGTCGTCGGCTTCCATCCCGACGCTGGCGGCCATCGAGGTGAGGAGGGTGGAAGAAAAGCGACCCGAGGGGTAGGTGGAGACGGCTTTGGAGGACCTGTTGGTGGAGCTCGCACGCCAAGCCGAGTTGAAGGTCATTGATGGCGTGGTGAAAGCGGTGGACGCGGGGCGAGAGTCGATCTGTGCGCCTTCGGAGCGGAGGTTCAAGAGGAAGCGCGTCATGAGGATAGAGCTGAATGAGACGATCATGTCGTTCAGAAGGTTCTCGTTCTGTAAGGTTACCCGATAAGGAGCTGGTTGCACATATACTACGGTGCCGATGACTTACGAATTCCATGAGGTACACAACCGCGAGTGCGTTGAGAGCGCAAACGGCAAGGAAGTAGAGGGTCCCTAGTAAACAGGGGGGGGTCAGGATCAAAGAGTGCCAACTCCGGAGTCAAGCAGAGACTTGCCATCTCGCAATATGAGACCGGATACATTGGAAGGCAATCGAGTCTTGTGTGTGAGTAGGTACACTCGGTATGTCTTGAGCCAGGTGAGGACAACGACCAATCCGTCAGAAAGAATGGAGATGATTCGAATCGCGAGGGACACTGTGTGGAGTGTGAGTTTGCATCATTACACAGCCGTATCATTAAACTCACGTCTCATGTAGACTGCTGCTGCGTCTTGATTGGGTAGTGAATGGCACGTATATAAGGTTGCCTCGATCAAGAAAGGGGTCGACGCGCTGCGGAAGTACTGCGATCCGCTTCAGCTCAGCGTTGGAGACAACGCACAAGAGCATTGGCACTTACAATGTTCATAAATGCTGGAAAAGATCCAGTGACCATCACAAGAATCAAGAGTAGAAGATGCTTATTCCACAGGGCATATAGTCTCACGGCACCAATGGCTGCGCGCGCGGGATGAGGGGAGATCGGAGCTGAGGACTGCTGCTGCTCACCAGACATGACCACGATCAGAACCGAAGTGGTTATGGCTTGAAGCCACAGTACCGAGCTGCAGCTGAGCATAGATATGCGCGTGTTAGCACTGCGCAAATTTGCCCACAGCAGTCCGACGAACCCCTGTGTGCGTCTGTCAGTATATGAGTAGCACATGAGAGGCACAATACTCGCATACATTGTAAGAGTGCAGCTGCCAAAGTCCAACCACGGAGAAGACACGGTTGAGAAGTGTGATGTATCGGGTTAGAAGGAAGAGAAGCGTGGCACCGGAGATGTCGCGCTTCCAGACTTGCTGCACTTCCGCGCCAAATGTTATCGCGTGCTCATACAACACGAGAGCTGGAAGAGCTCAAGCGATCAACTAGGGTTCTCTTGAGTGCAACGTTGGAAGCAAGAACGTACCCGTTGCAGCCACTGAGAGGAAGAACGCTCTAAAGGGATATGGCGACGCGCTTTTAATGCACAGAATCGCATGATTAAAAGGAAGAACCACTCACACATCCGCATTTTGCAAACTTGAAGCGACACGTTCGGCAGGAGCGGACAGGGACATGGACGGCGTCCCGGGAGTGTCGAGTCGCAGATTGGGTAGCGCAGGACGAGACTCGTGTTTTCCGCAGTGAACCTGACGGATATACGGTCGCTGGCCTTGGCTTAATGGGGATCTTATACGGGTGATGCGTTCGGGGCCATTCGGGGACGAGACACGACCAAGCAAACCACTCACCTCAGTCTCTGCGCAACGCGTAAGATGAACTATATGTCCGCGAGTAGGAATGGGACGATTTCTCGTGCTTGAAGTCTGTACGCGCGGAGATGGAGCTTGCAAAGTCGGGCGTGCCAGCACAGCGAAACGGGGACCAGCCAGGAAGAAGGGAAAGGACGACCAGCTCGTTGCGCAGATGCCAGCCGCAGGAAGAAGGCAAGATGGAGGGCGAGGCCGCTGGCTGCGCTCCAACGGACGAAGGGCGGCGACGGTGAAGGCTGTTCGACAGAACCTAGACGTCTCCCTGTTCAGTGATGAGCGTCATAGGGGATTCTTTTGATAGGCCTCCGGAGATGGGCCGGCGAGAGATGATCAGCATCTCGCATACGTCACCAGGGCTGTCCGAGAACTGCCATCTGGTGGGAGGTCAATTCGAGTGATCTTAAGTCTCGACGCGCTTCTCAGTTTCTCTGTCTTCGTATCCTCGGACACCTTTGGCCTGAAAACAAGGGGTGGGCGTGCTTGTCCAGACTACGCCATGAATGAATGGATACATGCTCTGGGAGGTCGGTGTTCAAGGCGGAGACGCCCAACCACATCGCATTCACGCATTCTCACCCACTTGACCAAATTCAAATTCAAATCGCCGACTGCTTGTCAAGATAGCAAAACATACAGGATGAATACAAGTACAACATAAACGATGATTTCCGTACGCATGAACTCGTCCGTGAGACACGGTTTCTTTGCTCCTACGTACCGTCCTAGCCCTTCCATTCCACATCTGCGATGCCCAACACGAAGGGAGGTATACGCGAGCTTGAATTGGACGGCAGTGTTATTGCAATCGCTACGCCGAGCTCGACGGACTCCGTAGTAGATGTCGAAGACACGTTGGAAGTCGTGGGATGGGTATCCACTGACGGTGGGTGCGGGGAAGCGTGCGGCGATCGGAGAGCATGAAAGGCCTGGGCTGTGTCTTGCAAGCCCACACGGAACGGGTGGAGAGCTGAAGACGACAGGTGAAGGGTGTACGGAGCGTAGGTGGATGACGAGGTGTGAGTGTCGGAGGTACTGGGTGGGGGAGGATGGCATTCGCCCGCGAGGAATGGCTTGAACGCAGATATGGGCTTCGTTCCAAGGTGTAATATGTCAACAAACAAATAGCATTGGATCGAGGTAGATGCGCACCATGAGGTCTTGCCACTGCACTCCCAGTGACTTCGCGACGTGAAGATCCCACAGCTCCGGCTTCTTCCCAAAGCCCCGCGGAGGGTGTCGTGCACTGTTGAGACCCATCGCGATGAGGAGACCAGGTTGGGGTGCCCATGCCGCGGTCTGCTCGTTCCACATCCACGGATGAGCAGCAATGTCCCTCTCCCACTGCGCCGTGGCTGTTCTTCTGCCCCTGAGATACCGCCGCATGGTGAACATAATCAACAACCCTCCAATGAAGAGCCCAAGCGCGAGGCACGCGAGGATGAGCGTGGTGCCTCCTGCGGCGAGGAGACTACCTCCGGACGCGCTGCTGGTGTCCGTGCTTGTGGCGGCGGATGTGGTTGTGGAAGGCATCGTTGTTGAAACAGAGGCTAAACGGTAGACACACCGAGGGCACCCCGCACGCTCGCTGGAGGGAGCATGGAAGTGTGCGCAGCCTGTATAGCGGTCGTGCGCGCCGTTTTATATGTAGGTGGGATGTGGTGGGATGTAGAAGAGGCTCGCCCGGAGACGCCTGTCTTCAACTGCTTTGAAGTCTGATCAGTGCATTTGTAAGGCGGTCAATACGGTCTTCAAAGGAGCGTCGTATTTTCAGTCCAGCATCCGGCTTTGCGTCATTCCTCCCTGTCCCTCTGCGCGTCCGTGCATCAACGTCAACCATGTCACGGCCAGGAGGCCGCCGCGACGACCAACTACGCAAGATTTCCATCACGTACGAGGGTCTTGACCGCGTCGACGGTTCTGCGCGATTCAGCTTCGGTGCGCGTGCATTCATCACCCTCGCTCGAGCGTCCCCTCACCCCTCCTCCGCAGGCCAGACCTCCGCGCTCGCCTCCGTGTCTGGCCCCATCGAAGTCCGGCCAGCACAGGAGAACCCGGCGCAGGCGACCCTCGACGTGCAGGTGCGGCCCGTCGCCGCGCTCCCGGGCACGGACGCGAAGGCTCTCGCGACGACGCTGAAGGGGATCCTCGCGCACTCGCTCTTCCTCGCGCGCAGCCCGCGCACCCTCGTGCAGATCGTCGGCCAGGCCCTGTCCGGCGCGGAGACTGGTAGCGGCAGCGGCAGCGCTGGGCGAGGGTGGCCGGCGAGCCTCACTGCCGCATTGGTGAACGCGGCCGCTGCGGCACTGATCAACGCGGGCTCGGTACCGATGAAAGGGGTCGTGTGCGCGGTCGCGGTGGGGAGGATGACGGGTGGGGCTGTCCTGGTGCTGGACCCGGAGGAGAGCGAGCTGCCTCGACTGGCCGGTGGTGGGTGCTTTGCGTTCCTCTTTTCGTCGACGCTCGGGGACGGGAAGGAGTCTCCGGCGGTGGACGTCCCTCCGTGCTCGATGCTATGGACCAACTTCACGACGTCGGCTCCATTCGATGTGGACGAGCTGTCCCGTGCACGTCAACTGGCGGCGAAGGGGGCGGTCGAAGTCTGGCTGGCGATGAAGGGGACTATGGGGTCGGGCGCGGGCACTTTGAATGATTCTACGAGTACACAAGTCAAGGAGGAGAATCTGTCCCAAAACGTACCCAGTGGTGCAATGGAAGTGGACGATGACGAGGTCGAGATATGATCTTTCCTCGTGAGTGCTTACCATGCCGCCCTGTTGACCCGAACTTAACGTGACTCAAGTGTTTGCAGTGTTCTTGTTCTCATAAACACGCTCGTGATCATCGAGGTGAGCGTTCTTCTTGTGCTACGCACCCTTTCAATCACCTCGTAGCCTAGCATTTTCGCACAAAATGCTGCCGATGTCTTCCCTCTGGTATCCTCTGGAGCCTGGGCTCTCGACATTCCGGTCGGCATACAATGGGTGCTTTGGTCGTCATTAACCCTGGATCAAGACGTGGTGGCGTGGCGCGAGGTGTATGTGCCTGTAAAGTACATGTTCGGTCGGATTTGACCCTTTCGTCCTAATATACTTAGTTCAGCGCACTAACACTGCACGATTGAGCCACCCTCAAATACTCACCAATCTCCAGAGACGCGGTAAGATGCAAAGCAAGCTGCTTCGATTGCAACCTCGTGAGTCCCTCAACTCTCCATGGGGATAGTCTTCGCTCACTGCGCCTGCCTCAAGCTCATAATCTGTATCGGAACCGGATTGAGCGAAAGAAATCTATCATCGATGGAGCAGCTAGCTTCAGGGTCCTCGCCTCCAGCATAGACAACGTCATCGCCACACGTTTCATACATCCGCACTGGTGACCGACACAGTGCTCCAGTCCCTCAGCGCGAGTACTATATACTCTCTTCTACATGACGGGGTACTTGCCATCACTCCATACCGAGCTTGTGAAGTAGGAGTCTCACGTCACCGTGCTTAATTTCAGCAATTCTGGATAACTCCATCCGTACCGCGCACCTAAACACAGGGTTTCAGACGGGCGCGTCGACAAGACCAACCTTACTATGGCAGACTCCTCCCGCAATGCCTACTCCAACGATGTCTCTGAGTATTCCATCAGCTGTGTCTACTACACGAAAGCGGTGGCCTCCTCCTGGCCCACGCGTGCGTTCCTCCCGCTCCTCCGGAAATGGAAGGGCGGCCGGGGAGGGGCAAAGTCCGCGCCCCAATTATCATCACCTCCAGCACGAACGACTGGACGAACGTGCATACACTGCCCTGTCTATCAAACCATCCGTACTCACTGTTGCCCTTCGTTCCGCAGGATCGGGGCGACCTGCTCAACTCGTTGTAACTTACTCTTGTTGTTGGAGTCTGCCGGTGTCCCGACCCGGCTCTGGTTCATGCTTCCATTTCAGTCTATTCAGTCCTTTGGTCTTCCACACTGTGAGTCGATTTGTTCACCCTATCCCTGCCTTGGAACAAAACATTGAAATCTGATCCGAGCACAACAGTCCGGTTGCCGGTCAGTCGACGCACGTGTCGTTTTTGATGCCGCCATGGGACTCCATCCGGTACTCTCAACTCGAAGTCATTGCCTTCTGCGAAGCCCTCAAGAAAGAAGCAGTATTTTTCTTTTCTGCGTCGGGAAATCCAAATCTGGCTCGCGAGGCTTTGCAAGAACCCCGCGTCATGCGATACGGCCACTCTGTCGGCCTGCCTCTCGCGTCGGTTTCCGATTATCCGCTTGCGCACTCCTCATCATCCATATAACCCATTACAACCATTCTGTTGTCTAGGATACATACAGTACAGCGTGGCCTCGCAAAGCCTCGCAAGGGCCTGCGGTCTATTTAAAATCCGCTTTCGAGATCTGCAACTCGCAAGGCTAATATGGATCTTCCGACCAAAAGCTGCCCATGCTCGACGCTGTCTAGATAAGCCCGCCTCCACTTGCGCTCTCCAGCAACAATGGCCGACGCCGCACTCCACAACCTCAGCTCAAGCACGCTGTTCGGGTCGTCGCCGTCGTCACCGGGGGCGGGACGGTAGGTTCGAGACCGGCCGTGTGCGTGCTGTCGCTCATCGGTTTCTGCATTCCACAGGGCATCGGACTGATGATCGTGGGAACGCTGGTGGCGAACGGGGCGAGGGTGTACATTATCGGCCTGGAACGAGCAGAGCTGGACAAGTGAGCACAGTCGGGCGTCGAGCTTCCGCCCGAGCTCACTGGTTTCCGCAGAATCACGTCGGTGTACAACGACGCTGCGGAGAGGAGCGGAAAGTCGGGTCGCATGTATGCGATCGAAGGAGACGTGAGCAAGAAGGTAAGCCGATGGTCGACGAGCACCGGCCGCAATCTACAGGCGGCACCTGACGGGTGCTGCTGCAGTCTGAAGCCAAGCGGCTGGCCGAGGAGCTCGCGAAGAGGGAGCCCCACATCACCGTGCTCTTCAGCAACGCCGGGTGAGTGCACACACAGCAGAATCGGTATCACAACCGTGCATCCGATCCGCCATCTCAGCATCACCGCCGGGCACGTCGACACGACCAACCTGACTACAGCCGACTCCTTCCGCAAGGCGTACTTCGACGACATCCCCGAAGAGTCCTTCGCCCGCGTCTTCAGCACGAACGCGGTCGCGACCTACTGGCTCACCTTCGCCTTCCTCCCCCTCCTCGAGAGATGGAAGGCGAGCCCGGGAGGCGCCGATTTCGCGCCGCAGATCATCGTCACCTCCAGCATGGTGGGCTGGGCGAAGGTCCGTAGGCGCTCTCCCAAACGCCCCCCAACTCTCGGTGCTCACCCCGCGCCGTGCAGGATCCGGCGACGTGCGCGACCTCGTTCCCGTACATGTTCTCCAAGTCCGCCGTCGGCCACGCGGTCGCGACGCTCGCGCACGCGCTCCTCCCGCTCGGCGTGCGCGTGAACGGGATCGCGCCCGGGCTGTTCGCGACCGCGCTCACCGCGCCCGGCGGCGGCCCCGGCGCACGCGACGCCGCGGGCAACGCGCACTTCGCGCCGGGCGCGCCGCTCGCGTTCGACGTGCCGCTCGCGTGGGGACGAACGTGGACCTCGGCGCGCTCGTGCTCTGCCTGGTCGCGAACTGGTTCGTCGACGGGGAGACGGTGCTCATCGACGGAGGGGTGCGTGACACGTGCGGTGCTTGCTCGATGCGAGATGTGGGCTGACGGCGCTCTTGCGCGCGCGCGACAGAGTCTCCTCAAGTACGCGTCGTCGTATTGATGCAATTCCAAGGGTGGCCGCAGAACCAAGTTGGTCCGCGGTAACCGGTCTCCGCTCGGAGGGTTGTTCCGGGACGAAGACGGCGTTTGGGAATGCAGGGCAGAGGGAAGGGCTGCGTTCAAGGGTTGTATTCGTAGATGTGCTCACCTTTATGCATGCGCTCGTCGTGTTTGACATGACGTCGAGGTGCGTTGCGTCACACGCTTCCACGCTGTGGCCAGGATTAACCTTCCCGCGAAGAGGTACGGCCGTCGTGCAGATTGGCTGCGTGCACGGACGATCTGTCCTTGATCCCGATCGTGAAGCAGCAAGCTCGTTCGCGAGCTCTCGTCGGTTGTCACTGCTTCTATCCACCTCTAACTAAGACAGACTTCACCGCGGCCCTGCTTGGCACCGAATTCGAAGCCCCGGTACCAGCCCGACCACCGCGCGACGCACTTGGCCCGCTATCTCCGTGTTCTTCGATCCACTTCGACCCTGCGCATCTTGTCTGCAGGGATCGGAAGCTGTGTCGTTGTTTAAGCATTACCGCTCTCGCCTCGAATGCCATATTGCTGTGCCGGCCCTGGCAGCGTCGACGCTTCGCTCGCTTCTCCCCTCCCCTGCCCTCGTCCGCTCCCAAGCCAGGTGAGCGCCGGATGCTATCTACGGGGATGTCTCTGACGAGAACCCCACCTCTTGCACCGCGTTGACCAGTAGCTTTTATACGTCCGGGGCTTGGCGCCCCACCCCTCGCCCACGAGCCAACCGGGCTCGTCCAACCCCCACCCTCGGGGGTCCAGCACCCCCTTTTTCCTTTGCCAGTGCTGATCCGGGCGGGGCCAGACCTCCGCGGACCACCCCAACGACTTCACCGACGTTCCACGACGGGCCTTCCAGCGCGCGCGAGATCCAGACGCGAATCTGGTCCCCCCGATGCGCGGTGCGCGCCCGTCCCCGATGTTCTCGAAGACGCGGACGCCGCACGCACAGCCAATCGGGCCCCGTCGCCTCCGTCGGTCCTCGCTCTCGCGTCAGGCCGGCAGGGGTGGGCAGGGGTGGGAGTGCCGCAGGGCGCGCGGCGAGATCGCGGGGCCCGGAGGGCGGAAGGAGAAGGACAGCCCAGCGCTCCGAACTTTGCCTTCCGTCCGCTGTGGAGCTCCGAGCGGCGTCGAGTCTCGACTCCGAGCCCTGTCCGCGCCATCCGCTGCCAATCAGAGCGGGATCTCGACGCGCCGCACCGCACGCCCTCGCGAGGCAGGTGCATGGGGCCCCGCTTTTCATTGGCTTTCGTGGACCCACATGACCGCCGCGCAGGACGGGGGCTCCACCCTACCGCCGTCCACTCAGACGACGCGGCGCGGTCGGGGCTCGGGGGACATCGCGAGCCGACGGCTTCTTGGAGGCCTCGACCCGTCATACCTGCTCTTCTTCTACTTACTTACTACCGAGAGGGGCGAGAAGTCTAACTTCTGAGACGCCGGGGTGGGGCCCGGGAGCTCAACCACACCCTGGTTCCTAGTAGTAGATCTGAGAAGTTAGAATCCAACGTGTTTTTTGCGTGGGACTGCCTACGCTTGCATCCGGGCGGACGCAGGACGGAGATGATTGCGGCTTCTCTAGCCAGTCACCGATGAGACAGACTCGAAATCGCAGACGTCTGCCAGGCCTTTGTTATCGAGGACAGTACCCGAGCTTGCGCCTTCTGAAGAGCCGTCATACAACAGCCAGACTGCGACCGAGTGCATGCAGGATGTCCAGCTTTTACGTGTGCGCCGGTCCACGCTTTCGCCCCGGATGGCTGCTGCTTCAGCCGCTGTGGCCAGTATTGCGCCCGCCTCGTTTTCCCGCGACCCCGGATGTAGCCATGTCAGACTCATTGTCAGGCGGCGCGCCACAGAGAGCTGACACTCAGACGGGTGATCTCCATGAATCCCCACCCCGCGCGCCCTCACCTGCGCAAACGGTGACCCAGCCTCTGCAAGTCGTCGTCGCACCACCATCATCTACCGCGCCCAGACGACGGGGAGGACGTCAGCAAGCCCAAAGGCCGTGCGAAGCCCCGTCGGGGCGCGCAGGCGCTCACAGGGGCGGTGAGCACCGACGTCTGTCCCGTCCTCCCCGCGCGCGGGATCCGGACCCGCCGAGCCTCGTCAGTCGTCCGACCCCTCTCAGCCCTCTCAGCGCGTTCTCATGCGCCCCACCACCACCACTCGCACCCTCTTCCCCGTCCCCGCCCTCTCCCCCTCCCCCACCCTCTCCCAAACGCAAGCACCCCTCCTCACCCCCCCTGATCCCACGCGCACGCCCGCACGATGCCGACCCCGACGACGAACCAGTCCGGGCTCATCTTCGGTTTCCTGGTCGCCTTCCTCGGCCTCTTCGCCGTCGGCGTCTCCGCCGGCGTCGTCTGGCCCGCCATCCGCCGCGTGCTCGCCACCTGGGGGCTCGTCCCGCCCGACCCGCGCGGCGTCGGCGGCGGCGCTGTGGGTGTGGACGCGGACGCGGGGGGCGCGGGAGGGGGGGTCCCGCCGGAGCCGCCAAGGATGGTCGACGTGCGGCTCGGGGGGTCGCACGGATGCGACGACGATGACGGAGGGGGGAGACAAGAAGACGGAGAGAAAGACAGTTCGGCGGGCGGCGGGAAGGGCAAGGAGCGGGCGGCGTGCTGCAGCGGCGGAGGCGGATGCGAATGCGAATGGAGACACCTGCGCGCAAGTACCCTCTTTCCCCCCTCTCGCGCTGAGGACGTCCGAAAATCACATCTGCTTGCTTTCTTTCTCTCTCTTCCCGCCCCGCCGGCGTGCGCGCGCAGCCGCTCGCCCTCACACTCACAAGTCCCCCGTCCCGGCCTCTGAGTCCTGCTGCGTCGGACGCGCCAGAGCGGCGGCCGGCGCTGCTGAGGCGGCCGTCCTCATGGCTCTGGCGACGCTGGAGGTGCGTCTGCGCGTCCTCTGCCGCCCTCGACGCCTGCTTACCCGCCTCGCACCCGGCTCTCCGTGCGCCCCCGATCGCGCACGCCCGCCACCTCCCACGCACGCTCACACGCTCACACTCCGCCCCTCCCCCCACCGCACCCTCGACGGAGAAGACGACGGCGCGGGTCGACGCACGCCGCGCCGGAGGACGACAAGAGCCGCAACCCGCCGAGTGCGGCGGACGACGCGGACGTGCTCGACGAGCGCGCGGGCCGCGTCGCGGTCATCGTGCTCATGCCGACCCCACGACCTTTTTCTTTTCATCTTCCTCCTCCTCCTCCTTTCCCCTCTTCCCCGGGCGACGAGGGGCGGCCGCTGCATGACTTTGCGCTGGGCGTCGTGGACGTCCGGTGCGCGCGAGACGCGCGGTGACGATGTTTCCCCCGTATATGCATCCGCTTGCGCTTTGCACGGTTCGCTGTACTATACTGTACTACCACCATTTCCTTCAACGGCTGTTAGATTCTCTGGACCAGGCTCGCGTGCGGCGTGCTCGTTTTCTCGCCGTCTTGACTCCTGCCAGTTCTCCCAAGCGTGTTTCGCCTCTCGAGTCTCCGGCTGCTAGACGTGGAGCTCCAAGCTGAGCCTGAACTCCCCCAATTCGACCTTGCGCAGCGACACGCGTACGTTCCTGACCTCCTCGCCGAGTCGTCTCTCTCACAGTGCGCCCCGAGGCATCTCCACCCACTCGACTTTCTGGGTATCGCTCGCGCACGCCAGCCACACGATCGTCCTCATCCGGGTACGCGTCTCCCTTCCTCGCATCTCAGACTCCGAGCCTCGTGGAACGGCTGACGCGAGGCCGCTCCCTCCCCGCGGCACATGTACAGAGAGCTCCGCTCTCGGTCGGACGTCTGGCATGCAGCGTGCGTGGCCATGGGGAGGTGTGGCCCAGCTGCCATTCGCCGATGCCGCGTTGCATCGCGCCAGACTGAATGCGTAATATTAATGTTCACGGCGCGCTGCGCAAGCTCAAGCTCAAGCTCTCGGGCTCGTGCGGCGTGCACGCCCCTGATGACGGGATCCCCGCGCACGGGCCACACGCTTCACGCCCCACACGCCCCCTCGTCGGCGGACCGTGGACGATCGCACGCGCATCGCCTCGGTATCGCCGCGCGCGCCTGCGTCGTGCGAAGTCGACAGGATGCGATCGCGCGCGAGGGGATCTTCTCTTCCCTTGTGGGGCTTAGACTCTTAGCGCAGCTTGGCCCTGTGGCCGGCGCGCGCGGCGTGGCGCACCTGCCTTGCGGGGCTAGGACGCGGAGTTTTTTGGACTGGAGGTGGAGCTCGAGCGCGGGCGTGGAGGATCGCAGGACGCGCGTCGTGGGCTCAGCGCTGAGCTGAAGCTCGTTTGCCCGCTGCTGCCTGCGTACGTCGTGGATCCGGCCGCGCAGACCTCCACCCCACTCCCCCGCATAGGGCCGCCTCGTCTCCAGAGCAGAGCGGTGGCACCTAGCGCAAGGGGGTCGTGAGGCTCGAGCTTGCGCTGTCCCCGCGCGCGGTATCGGATATCCGAGTCGACGGCCCAAGGCTCTGGGACGACCTAGCGACGCCGGCTTCTGTGGCCAGCAGCGGGGGGCTGCATCCGACTTCTCGCCGCGCACGCGACCTCGAGCTCACCCACCCGCCGTACGGCCGCTCGACGGGGCTCCTGATTCAGGACCCCGTTCGCGGTCGGCCGTGGCTCGGATCCTGAGCGACGCGAGAAGCACGGGCCGCATGATCAGACGGGCCCTCGCGCGCGGCCGGCCTGCGTCCACCATGTCGACGGACTTTTTGCCAGGACGGCGCAGAATCTGCCGGTCGTGCCCAACGTACGCTGGCTACGTACGTCCACACGAACTCCCGCACTCCGCACAGACTCGCCTCCGCCCGTCCCACAGGTCCCGCCGCCCGCCTCCCGCTCCCGGATGCCCTAGCACGGTACCAACCGTCGGGGCGCCCAACACCGCTGTGGCCGGCTGGCGTTGAGTAGAGCTCGGGGGGGGGATCGCCCTCGCGTTCTCCCGCACCGAGTCACGCACCAGAGTCTATAGACGAGCCTTTACGCTCGCGGTGCGCGACCTCCCCCCACCCGGGGCCTCGCTCCTCTCTCGGTCCTTTCTGCGCGACCGGGCGTGCGCAGGCTGCCCCCAGATCCCCCCGTTCGATCGCGCGCGGCGAGCGGCAGTCTGCAGCAGCTCGGGGACCCGAGCCTGGCCTCGTGCGCGTTCCACGCTTGTCCCCCAGCCACGGCTGCGCGCGCGGCCATTGGCTGGTACCGGCGAGCGAGACGGAAACAAAAACGGAAACGTTCGCTGGGCTGGAACATTCGGAGCGGGGACGTCCAGGCCCCGCGCGCGCGAGCGCAGTGTGGCCGACCTTCCCGATCCGCCGCGCGTTGCTCCCGATGGGTGGAAAGAGAATCGGAATCGCGCACTGCCCGCTTCCCCTGTGTTCGCTCGGGTGCACCGATTGGTCCCCGAGCGGGCGGCCAGAGCCCCGGGCGCCGCGTTCTCGCGAAGGGCGGGTCACGCGAGCCCCGCGGGCTCGACGCGCGCAGGGCCGGCGGGCGCACGTACGCCCCCAAATCTCCGCGCATCTGCCATTATGACGGCGTCGATCGCCAGATCCAATCCGATTCTTTTGGACGCGCGGGAGGCGGAGGGAGCTGCGGGGGACTCGAGGCGGTGCGGGGCGTGCGTCGGATTCGGACGGGCGAGGGGGCGAGTGTGGCCTGCCTGCCTGTTTAGGCAGCTGTGCTCGTTGCGGCTTGTTGGCCGTCCGGTCGGCCGCGTCGGCCTTTCTCAGCGACTCTCCGCGCGCGGCGGGCCTATGCACCGACTGATCGCGCGCGGTGATCGATCTTGATAGCGCGGATAGGTCGCTGCGCGCGCGGGGCACCGGTGTTTGAACGTTTGAACTCTGGCGAGCACTCGCGGGGTCTGCATTTCGAGCTCAAGCGCGAGTTCGGCCCCCGCAGGGCGATGTGGGCATCTGAATCGTCGGGAAATCCTCGCGCGCGCCCCGCGCCCTTTGGTCCTCCACCACCACTACCGCCACCAGCACCACGGTGCAGACGAGACGGCCGTTTCAGCTCCAGCACGGACTCCCGCTCTCCGGTAAATTCGACGGTCGCGCCAGCCTTACTCCACGCTACACCCGCCGGCCAGCCAGCGACGCACGTAGGCTCGCGGCGCCCGTCCTCTCCAGCCCATGCAGCCCTGCGCCCAGTAGGTCCCAGTGGTGCCCGACCCGACCGGTCGACCCCACCCCGCCGACCCTTGCGGTGCGCGGCGCTATAGCCCGGATATTGATCGCAGGTGACCGCGCCCCGCACGCCGCGCGCCGCTTCTTCGTCCGGGGTACGGGGCGGGTGAACGGTTGGCCAGAGACAGGCACACGCCGCGACTAGCGCGCGATCCGAACCACCCGGCGGGGATTTGTGCTGGCAACGCACAAGCGCACGCGCCGTTCGCGATCGAGCCTGGTGAGCTGCACGTCCGTAAGTACGTGTGCGTGTGTGCAGTACATGAGCGCTTGAGCCGTCGCGTCTCTTTCTCCGCACCCGTGCACGCTCGCCGCGCGCCACGCTCTTTCCGCGCGAGTACGGCAGGCTCGCCGCATCATGACATGTATCATCCTCCGAGGATCCCGCAGATTATCACCAAGTCCAGAGTGGGCCACTGGCCACAGGCCGAGCTAGGCAGGAAGAGGCGCGAGAGCAGCTTACCCGGCCTGTGTCGGGACTCGGGAGCCCGGCACGGGGCAACTGCGCCTGGACCGACGCCCCGCCGCCTCCCGACCTGTGGCCGCGGTCTACGAAACGCTGGCCCGGCTCTGGCGTCACGTCGCCGCGACAGCGAGGCCGGGAGGTAAGCCGACGCGCTCTCGCCCGCGCAAGACGACGTGTGCTAATGCGGCCGGCAGCCCGCGCGCCGCGCGATTCCCGAGGCGCGGCGCGCGCGGGGATCTACGCGCGCCATAAGCAAGTGGGCACGCAGCAGGTAACTCGGTCGACCGCGCTGCGCGGGCGCGGGCACGCTCTTCGCGCACTAGAGCCCAACGTAACGGCATTCGCCTCGAGCCCCCCCCCCTCGGCCGCCGCGCACGGCACCGCCGTCTTCGCGCAAGTCATCTGCTCGACTTCGACTCAGGAACGCCGCGCGCAACATATCCGTATGTTCTCCGCCCTGGCATCCACACGCTGAGGCCGCCAACGTTCCCGAGCCACCGGTCCCCCGGCGCGAACCTCCGAACTCGCGCGGCCCGCCCGCGCCGCGCTCTCCGGCCTCGGAGGCGAGTGCACTGTGTGGTGCGCCCCCTGTCCGGCGGGAGAGGGGTTGTTGCGTGTGCGCGCAGAGAGAAGGGGGGGCGCGCTCCTATTTTTTTTTGGTATGATGGCGGCGGGGATTCCGCGCTCGGAGGGCTCGGTCCGAAGCAGGTCGTCGCAATGCAGAGCGGCGCGGAGATCCACCGTTTCCTGCCTCGCCTGTGTAGGCGGGGCGCAGGTACGGGCTGGGTTGGTACTGCTCGCACGTACGAGTGAGCGCGGGCGGGAGTGGTGACGATCTGACTGAAGTACGCCTTTTCCCCCCGTTTGTCGCAGGAGAGATCCTCTGGAGTCTGGACGCGTCGGTGATCGTACGCGCCGTGCATGCGCGGCGGCAGCGCTCGTGCGTCTCAAATGCGTCGACCGACGTCCAAGCACGCACGTCGCGTTCGTTTCTCGAGGTGCGGGACGCTCGACGCTCGATCGCGCACCGACACCCCCCAAGACCACCGGCACATGTACAAGCGGTGAGCGAGTGATGCACATCGTCGGGGGACCGGACCGCACAGCCCGCACGACATCTGACACTAAGGTCGCCGCGCGATCGACGTCGCGCGTCGCGTCGCGGCCAGGGCTCGCAGCTACTAGTCGCTCTAATGAACGCGAGAGCGGGCCATCGACGTCGGGCCCACCGCCGCCGCCCTTGTGACACTCCTGCCCGAGCCCTCTCTCTCTCTCGACTGATTTACGTCTGAAATCCAACTCTGCGTGCAGCACCCGCGGGGACGTCATGACCAGCACCTTAAGCGGTTCACGCCTTCAGTTCAGGCCTTCACGCTGCCCCGCCCGACGGCCGTTCGTCATCACCGCAGTGGTTCTCGATTCTTGCACCGTCACGAACCGCCCGGACCCCGGGCCCGAGCTCCGGAGCCACACTGTACAGTACCGTGTACGCCCCGCCGGCACGAGGCGCGGGGCGGGCCTGAAGCTCTGTGTCGTCGAAGCTTGAGCGTGCCGAGGTGAAGAGAGCCAGGGGGCAGCCTAAGGAGGACGGTGAGAGGCGGACGGTGGAGCCCGCGCGGGCCATGTGGCCTGGCCGTGCTAAAGAGGACTACTGTCGCGGGCGGACGGGCACACGCAGGCACAGGGCGGATCCCCTGTGCTTCACATCATCGACAGGCCTCAGGCTCGCTCGGTGCTCAGCGCTCGCGCTCGGGGCGTGCCGCGCGCGCACGGACGAGGAGGATGGCACGGACGGTTCGGCGTGCGCGTGCGCGTGTGCGCGTATTATGTTCCGCGCGGCGGTGACATCTTCCTTACGTCGCGAAGCCCCGCGCAGCGCGCCACGCACGGGCACGCACCCCGCGGGCTTCTCAGGCCCCAGCGCACCGCGCTAGCGCGAGAGCGGCAGGAGGGGGGTGTTGACGCAGCGTCAGGACGGGGCGTTCTGGATTCGGGCAAATGCCCTGGGGGGTTGGATTGGGTTGTACAAACAAGCTGTTCACGTTCTTCCTTTTCGGCCGCCCGCCTTTCCGAGGCGGCCTTCTCGCCCTGGCCTTCCGACGCCGTTTCCGACGACGGTCTTGAGCTCCGACTTATCGCGCCCGCGCCCGCGCTAGAACGACGGACGCAGAGGCCAAGCCGACGTCGCTTACCGGCCCATCCACCCCTGAAGAAGCGAAGACGGTGTTCAGCGACGGTGCTCCTCATCAGGAAGGAGAAAGGCGAAGTGAAGGAAGAAGACGATGACGACGAAGCACGAAAATGGCGAGACGGCCACACCGCATGGAGACGCGCGCGAGCTCGGTCCGCCAGGGCGCGCCACTCCAAGTCCCCGCCCCACCGGCGCAGACACGACCCAGGGTCGGGCGCGGCGCAGAAACCGTGGGTGAGAAGAAGGTGCGGGGTGTGCGGACATACGGTGCGAGGTGTCGGGGGACAAGGTTGTTGGGGGAGTAGAAGGGAAGGTAGGCGAACCGGAGGGCCCTCGGACGCGGATACGCGAGAGGGGACGAGATAAGGATGGAGAGAAATGGACAGAAAGGACGCACCCCATCGACGACGAGGATCTCGCCGCACACGTACTGGCTGGCAGCGCTGGCGAGGAAGACGACGGGGCCGGCAAAGTCGCGTGGCTCGCCCCAGCGCCCGGCGGGGATGCGCTCTGAGATCTGGCGGAGGCGCGTGGGGTCTGCGAGCAGCTTCTCGTTCCTGCGAGGGCGAACCGTCGATCGCGAATGTCGCACGACGCGAGCGGGGGCGACGCGCGAGTGTGGGGAAGCGTCGGGTGAGTCGGTGCGGGGCGGGGCAGGTTGGAGGGAGTTGGGAGGGCAGGGAGTGGCGAGGTGAGGAGCGGCAGCGGCAGAGGAGGGGGCAAAGTTTGGTCAGCGTTCGTCCCTCGGTCGCGCGCGATCGAGACATCCTGGTGTGGGAAAACGCAGTCCACGAGAGGAAGGCCCCCCGCCGGAGCATCGAAAGCGCAGCGCACGCGGCAGAGTGGAGTGCTAGAGAACCACCATGCGCGCGGGGTGAGCGACCGAGCGGTATGGGGGAGGGCGTCCGACGGCCGTGCGTATCACACGTGTCGCAGTAAACTAGATGCGATAACAGGAATGATGGAACGACACGGAGCTTGCCCGTCCACACGACGGGGACGGAGAACCACCGCGTCACTTCGCAAACAAGGACGGAGCACGGAGAGCAGTGAACGGCTGGCGTTCTAGGTCCGCGGAGGGCGGTGCAGAAAAGGACGATCGACATCGACATCGCCCGCCGCCCGACAAAAAAGCTGATGGCTAGACCCGGCCTGGTCCGCACGGAGGTGGAGCTCCGCAGAATGCACAGAAATTCCTCAGGAGAGTGAGTCTTCTTGCTGTGACCGCACCTAGAACCCAACTGGGGATGCAGGTGCGGGGGCGCGGTGGGACCTAAAAGCGCTGCGCAGCCCGCGTTTCATGACATACGGCCCCAGCCCGGCAGTTCAAGGCTAAAGGCAACCGCCCATGCGGAGGTGCTGCGAAAAGGGCAAAAGGCAAAATCGAGCGCCGGTGGCGGCCCGCCATATCCGCCGCCACAGAAATACGAGAGGGAGACTCACATGTCGGTGGCAATGTACCCTGGAGCGATGCCGTTGACCTGGACGTTATCCTTGGACCATTCATTGCTGAGGGCCTTGGTCAACTGGCCCAGAGCGCCTTTGGCTGAAGCGTACGCCGGGACGGTGAAACCGCCCTAGACGTCGAGGATGCACATGACAGATACAAACAAAAGGATATAAGGGGGATGGAAGACCGGCGATGAACACAAAAATCATTGTGAGCGGTTGTGAGGTAGCGACGGTGGACAGAATAAGGTACGTACCTGGAAGGTGAGCAGCGAGCAGAAGTTGATGATCTTCCCGCGGCGGAGAGGAACCATATGGTTTCCAGCAGCTTGGGAGAGCAACCAGACCGATTTCAGGTTGACATTGAGAACCTGCCGGCGTCAATGCAGCAACGAACGCAGAAACATGAGGTGCGGGCATAGCGGGGACATGGGCAATGTGAAACAACGGTAAATGAAGGACGCGAGGCGCGAAGGCAAGTGTGGCAAATAGAGGACGCGCGAGGTACACGCCCGGCGAGATAGGAGTTGAAAGATGGGCATCGAGATGAATGCGGCCGCGACACGGATTTAATTCGGATGCGGGCGCGGTCGGCCACACATTGTCCGTAACGGCGAAAGTACGTACGAAGCGAGGGAGTACGGTAGCGACGATCCAGGACAACCGCCATGAAAGTAAAAGGGGTGTGAAGACAGGAGGGCAGGTGACCCAACGCGCGACCGAGAGCGAAGTGCGAGGGCCACGAAGAGTACACGGCGATCCGTGATCGGTGATCGGCGACATATGTGCGCGCACGACCGGGATGGGAACGTCGCGGTATGACGCACATGCCGAGCGCGAGGAAGATGTGCAGGACCGGAAAGGGAAGGTGCGTGGTAGCGCAGCGGCGCGAGGCAAAGACGCGTCGCGGGCGGCGAATGGGTTTGGAAAGAGCGCGAGATCCGAGCGCGTTCGCAGCGAGGAGATGTGTCGAGATAGGAAACGACGAGCATTGAATGGCGATTCGCGCGCAATGGGAGGACCGCAAGAGGGCCGTATGAATACCAGGCCGCCGTTGAGAGCCGCCCAGGGCGCGCGCAATTAGTGTCGGGAGCGAAAGATAAGACGAGGGCGAACGCAGACGGCGCGTAGGCGCAGAGGACGTGTGCAGGTGACGTACCGAACGAGGTTCACATGAACGCGTATGTTCCCAGCGAGGTGAGGTAGAAGGACACGTGAAGTGGCAATCACCATGGACAGCGGGTTCGCAGGAGCGGCGGGCGCAGGGGGGGAGAAGAGAGTAGCCGATAGGCCGGGGTGTACCAGAGTGTCGGGCAGAGAGGGGCGCAGATGTGGAGACGAGGGCGGGTGATGCGCGGTGTCGGAATAGGAAGGGGGAGGAATCGTGGAAAAACAGAAGTCAGCGCAGGGCGGGGGAAAAGGTGAGAAAAGGCGGGGGACGCTTGTGCGGGAAAGGCAGGCGGGGGAAAGGGACGAGACACGCACGTCGTCCCAGTCGGATTCAGAGAATTGGACGGCCGGGGATCTCCGCTGGATGCCCGCGCAGTTGACGAGGATGTGGATTTGGCCGCCCATGGCGTCGAGGGCAGCCTGGAAGACGCGCTTGACGCCTTCGAGGTCGGAGAGGTCGCACTCGACGGTCTTGACGGTGCGGCCGGTGGCGGCGATGGTGTCGACCGCGGCGCACTGGGTCGTTCCAGGGCGGACGACGAGGCAGATGTCGGCGCCAGCCTCGGCAAGGGCAATAGCACACGCGGCACCAATGCCTGGATAGGCGCATACAGGGAGGGTAGGACATGAGGCGTGCGCAGGCGGCAGAAGGAGGAGATGGGGACGCACCACGCGTGGCGCCGGTTATGAGTGCGGTTTGGCCGGCGAGGGAGAAGAGGCTGGGGGCGGCGACTGCGGGCGTAGGGTCCATGGCGAGAGCTGGGGCGGCGAGGACGGTGCCGGTGCTGGCTGTGGCCGGGCGCACATGGCGGGGAGGACTTTATGGTGCTTGGAGGGAGGAGGAGGAGGAGAACACCCCGATCGGGCAGGTGCGCTGGCCCCGGCTGTTTCCCCAGATCGGAGGCCGGGACGGTGGGCCGGGGACGAAACGAGGAGGTAAATTGCGGGTCCGGGGGGAAACGGAGCGTGCGGCGGACGGGCGGGCGGGCGCGGGGACGCAGCTGGGGGCTTCACCGGGGCGGAGGAGCGAGAGGGGGCAGAGGCGATAAGCTGCGAGGTGGTGAGTGCAGCGGGGGAAAGGGAGGGACTGGCGGGAAAGGGCAGGCAGGCAGGGTCCTGCTTAGTCAGCGGGGGATCAGCCGCTCCCCGCGTGCGGGCGGTCGGACCGGGGAGGAGGGAGAGGGCCACGGTCGAGTTGAGAACGCGGCGCTCACGAGACACTCTCCTCCTTCGCTATAAAGCTCCCCGCCCGTCGCTCCCAGCTTTTCCGTAAGCCGCCCTCCACCGCCCGCCTCCCCCGCCACACCGACATGTCTCCCTCTGCTCTCCCCACCCACCACGCAGCCGTCCTCCGTGGCGCCAAGGATCTCGTCTACGAGGAGCGCACCCTCTGGCCCCCACAACAGGGTCAGGCTCAAGTTGCCGTAATGGCCACCGGTCTTTGCGGCAGCGATTGTGAGCATCCCGCCCCCTTCTATCCGCTACTTCCCCCCTCACTCATTTCTTTCCCCCCATCCAGTGCACTACTACGCCCATGGCCGCAACGGCGACTTCGTCGTCCAGTCGCCCCTCGTCCTCGGTCATGAAGCCGCCGGTATCATCACCGCCGTTGGCCCCGGTGTCAAGAACCTCGTCATCGGCCAGCGCGTCGCCATCGAGGCCGGTATCATGTGCAACAACTGCTCATACTGCTCAAAGGGGCGCTACAACCTCTGCAAGAACATGCGCTTCTGCAGCTCGGCCAAGACCTTCCCCCACAACGACGGTACCCTCCAGGAGCGAATGAACCACCCCGCACACGTCCTTCACCCGTAAGTCATCCGCTGATCATCTTCCCTCCCACCCCCACAATCTCTCCCAACTTTTTCGCCCTATCACCCCTCTCGCCCCGCCCCGCCACGTGCCTGAACGTATCGCTCATCTCGGCCTCTCCCGCAGACTACCGGACAGCTGCTCCTTCGAGCAGGCCGCTCTCGCCGAGCCGCTCTCCGTCCTCCTCCACGCCGGCCGCCGCGCCGAGCTCACCCCCTCATCAAACTCGACCGTCCTCGTCTTCGGCGTCGGGTCGATCGGCCTCCTCGCCTGCGCGCTCGCCAAGTCGTACGGCGCGACCCGCGTCTGCGCGATCGACATCAACCAGACCCGCCTCAACTTCGCGCTCGAGCACGGTTTCGCGCAGCAGGTCCACTGCCTGCCGATGGGCGACAAGGCCAAGACGCCCGATGACGCGCTCCGGCGCGCCAAGGAGAACATCACCGACGCCCTCGCCGAGTTCAACATGCCCGACGGGTTCGACATCGTGTTCGAGTGCACCGGCGCAGAGCCGTGCATCCAGATGTCCATTCACGCCGCCGTCACCGGCGGCAAGGTCATGCTCGTCGGCATGGGCACGCGCAACATCACCCTCCCGCTCTCCGCCGCCGCGCTGCGCGAGGTCGACATCCACGGCTCCTTCCGCTACGCGCACACGTACCCGACCGCGCTCGCGCTCCTCGCCGAGGGCAAGCTGCCGAACGTCGAGAAGCTGATCTCGCACCGCTTCGGGCTCGAGGACACCGCGAAGGCGTTCGAGCTCCTCATGAAGGGCAAGGACGACGACGGCAACATGGTCCTCAAGGTCATGGTCGGCTCCTCCGAGTCGCTATGATCGTGATGCCCCGCCATAGACCTCCTCGCCGCGGACCGCGCCCTCCCTCCTCTCTTCGCCGGGTCTCCTTACCGTCACGCGCTTCCCAGTGCTTCCGTTCTCGGTGCCCCCTGCTCCTCCCGCGCATGCACGCCTCTCCTGCTCGCGCCCGCCCTGCGCTCCCATGCCCGCTACGAATCCCACCCGTGTACTAAGTATCCGTCCGTTCAACTGTATCTTTACCCCCGTTCGCGCACCTTACGCCTAGAGCCGCCCTACGGCGCTCGCTCCTCTATTGCCAGACACCCCCTCCCCTCCCCCTCCCCGCCCCGCCCCGCCTTCGCGCGCGCTCGCGCTCTGTCTAGCATGTCTTCGCCCGCCCCCTCCACACCCTCCCCGCCCCCCCACACCTATCTCCTCACCTTCGCGCTCCTGCCCCCTCGCTGTCTGTTTACATCGTATCTATCCCGCATCCGCATAGTAGCTACCACCTCCAATATACCGCCGACCGCTCTGGAAACCCCCGCTTCGTGCGCGTGTGACCCTAACGAACTTAAGAACTGCCCCTAAGCCCGAGATCATCACGAGTAGGCGGGCGGGCAGGCAGGCGACCTGAAGCAGGTCTTCCTCGCGCGCGCGCGCGCCGCTTCATCGCGATGCTTCAGGCTCTCAAGATCTAGCCTTTTGGCGTCGCGGTCGCGACAACAGGACGCGTCTGCTCTAACGTACGCGTGCATTTTTCTTCCGGTTTCTCAGAACACGCGCACTTGGCGAGAGCTCCCGGCTGCTGCGAATATTTTCCGCGCACGTACGAAGCAATTAATTAAGCACGCAGCACCCACAGGCGCATATGTACGTACGTACCTGCATCAGGCCTCAGTCTCACTGTTCACAGCTTGCTGATGCGCGTGCCCCGCGTCGCCGCCGGGCGCGCCGTGATCAGGGCTACCCCATGGCACAGGAACTACTTAGTGCACTTGCCGGCGGCCGCGCGCGCGCGACCCTGGCGTATTGTACAGAAATTGTACAGTCGTTCCGGTCTGTGCCCTCACGTGGGGCGAGAATTGCGACTTGGACAATCGAGATTCGATTCTACAAACGTCCGAGACTCCGAGGTGACTGAAGCGCGTAGGGATGTCCCGCGTGCACGCACTGAGCCGGGCTTCCGTCTCCTAGCTTGTAGCTGCAATTATTTGATCTGCTCAACACGTACTTATGTCCATTGTAAGTACTTAGTCCGACGTCTGACTCGAAAGTCCAAACATACAGCAACGGCGGCGACCACGTCAGCCTGGCCGTTCCAACCTCTAGATCTGATCCACGCGCCTTGCGTCATGCAGTGTGCACAGACCACCCCGCGCGACGCGCCCTGCAGACTCCCGAGCCTCAATCTTCCTCGTCTCCCGGTGTCTCCGCCTCTAGCGTATCCGAGCTGACAGAAACTCTCGGTGATTCGCGCGCAGCCGGAACCTCCGGAGCGCTCTCTGACGTACTCGTATCGGAGACGGAGGGCAGAGTCGGAGCCTCGGAGACGTGAGCGCGCCGCTCCAGCCGAGAACGTCTTCTACATACGTACCGCGACCGCTGTCGGCTTCGAGCCTCGCGGCGCACGCACGCGTCGACATCACCGCATCAAGAACGAGCAGCCCGCGGCTACCTGCGCGTCCTCCGGAATGCGCGACCGGTGACGCGAAGAGGGGAGTTTGCGTTTTTGTAAGCGCGTGTCACGAATTGCGTACTCGCCTCGTCCTCCTCCTCCCCGTCCTCCTCCGAACGCGACGCACGGCAGCGACGCACCGAGCCACGGCGACCCAACCCGCTCCGCACGCCCCGCCCGCCTTCTCGCGGGCTGCCTTCGCGCACGTCCATCGCGCGACAACCGCGACGCGCGAGTACGTAGCGTCCTGCCTTCCCCCTCCCGCGCCGCGCTATCGTCGCCCGCACCCCGGGCCTTCGCACGCACGCGGGCGCAGTCCGTCCCGAGTCCCGCGCGCGGCGAGCGATAGACGAAGAGGCGCGGCCCTGCCCTGCCCTGCCCTCGCCATCGCTCTCTCTGTAGGTCTGAGATCTGAGCAGTCCCGCACCGGAGTTCCGCACGACGGGTTGCAGGGGATGAGATGGGCCCCCTGGTTCGCGCCCTTCGCCAGACGCGTCCCCGCCCAGCCCCCGGGTCCGAGCCCTCGAGCTTGAGTCAAGCCTGCGACGGGCGAGCTCGAGAGTCTCGACAAGGCCGTGCGCAGACTCGGAAAACTTACCGCCCGGCGCTCCACTGGTGCCGGTCTGCGTCGTTCCCACGGGCCACGCGGCACGCGGCACGGGCCCGGCCCTGGGCTCCCGCGGCGCGCGCCGCCGGGACCGAGCCTCCTCCGCGGCGCGAGCGCATGTACGGGACTTGCTCGCGGTACCTGCGGTCGTCGTCGTTTGCACGCCTCTGGGTGCTCCTGGATGCACCAACGCGTCGCAGAACATCGGCCTGCAGGGGCTGCAGGCTGGACCCGTCTTCGTCCGCATTTCCACCACATTCACCTCCACCGTTCGTTGAACGTTCATGCCCGAAGACGGCCTCGCGCTCGAGATGATCGAGTCGCACAGGGGATGTCCACCTCGGGGCGCCCGACGCGGCACACTTACAGGCACGGACGCGGTGCGCGCGGTGGGGCTCCTGTGGGTCCCCGCGGCGTCGCGAACTTTGAAGGCTGCGCACGAGCGGGACTCGCACCGGAGGCCTGAAGCGCTATCGAGCGTGCTGTCTCCCGGCATGTACGCCTTCGTCGCCTCACAGCCGAGTGAAACCGCCAGGCACAGCTGGGCGCGGCTCGCATCGCCGACGACGGCTTCGCGGTGGGGCGGAAGCGGGCTCGGGGAGCACGGCAGGAGGGGTAGGAGGCTCGAGAGGCGGAAGGCGCGCAGGCGGCAGCGCGATGGGGCGAGGGGACGATGACGATCTCGGTCGGGAGATTCGCTGTGTTCGTCGGCGTGGGCCGGTCGTTCCGAGGTGCGCCCGGGGGCGCGCAACGGCACTCAATGACAACCAACGGCATGGGTTTCGTATCGCGAGCGCGGGCTTGAGAGGCGGCGGGTCGAAAGCGAGCGTCCGTGTCGCTTCGTTCGGCACAAAGAGCTCCACCGTCCGCCGTTCGACGTGGAGACGGAGAACGGTCTGTGTCCCCGGCGCGGCTGCGAACACGGACGGACGGCGCGCACAAGCCACTGGGTAAGCCGTGCGGGCGCACGTCCCGGGCGCGCTTCGCCGGGACGGAAAACGATCGAGAGATAGCACGGCGGGCTCGCGATACAGGCTAGGTTCAGGTGTGGTGCGCGCCCTCCGCACCCTCGTACCACCACAGCCGCGATTCGCTCGAAGGCGCGCTCTGCTTCCCGCTATGAGCACCCGCGGACACAGCCCCGCCCAATCCAGGTAGATCCCACCTCTCCGTCCGCCCTCCCGCGCCCGACTCCGAGCTCGCCGTAGGGCCGCCTGGGGAACCCCGCGGCACTGGAAGGCCTTCCATAAGAATTTAGCGACGCTCGGTGTCGCTAAACTTTATTGCGAGTTCAGAGTCCGCCCTGCCATTCATAAGCGCCCCATCCATAAGCCCAGTTGTGCACGTCGCCGGTCGCAGCGTCGCTAAGTTCCTGGCAGGCCTGTGAGATCCAATCGCTGAGACGCCCGTCCGGCCCGACCCGCGTCGAGCACATCTCGCCCACGATGAGCACTCCATGCCCGTGTTGAGCATGCCGTCGCCGTGTCCGCGCCCATCTCTTGCACACATCCATGCCAGTAAATGTAAAGCAATCTAATTTCTCGCTACTTGATGCAAACACTCGTGAGCAACCCCGTGGGGGGAAAATAAAATATATCGTGATCTAACTACACTATGAGCTCCTACGGCAAGCGTCCGCCGACACGGGCGATGCGGGTGACGCGGGAGATGCGAGCGACACAGACAGGGCTATGCAAGAGGGAGACGTGGTGACGCACGTGATGCAAACGATGTGGTCGTTGGTGACACAGACGCGGACGACGTGGGCGGCGCGGATGCGGGTGAGGAGGCGACGCCCACTCCTCACTCGTGGTCGTGGTCGTCATCGTCATCATCGAGTGCCGATCAGGGTCCACGACGAGCAGTGCGCTGAGCACGCCCGACCCTCGGCTCGGCCTCCGGAACGTCGATGGCGGTACGGCGGGCATGGGGATCACCGGAAGGGAGAGCGAAAGCCGCGTGAGGTCTTCAATCATCGGCGCCTGGAACGGGGGCGGGAACTGCTGTAGTTCTGACACGGGGAGCCAGAAGAGGTATGACAGCGGGAGGGTCGACATCGCGTCGTCGCAGCCCGTGTACACCGAGTCGGTGAGGGGACGCCGCGGGCGTCGGGCGCGCGCCGTACTGGCATGGGCATGCTGTTCCGAGTTCTTCGTCGACCGCGGCCACGCCGTCTTTGAGGCTGTCGCCCTCGTCGCCGAACTTGTGGAGCGGCGCCTTCCCGCGCGTCGGACTCGGGGATCCGTGCGCATCTGCGCTGCCGTCTCAGTCGAGCCCACAGCTAGACAAGTTCAGGCGGGAGCGCGTGAGCACCTGCGGCGGGATTCGCGGCGGGCGCGAGTTCGAGTCCAACGCGGGAGGCGCGGGAGTTAGGATGGTATGTGGCATGGATGGCTTGTCTCGAGTGGTAGATCTCAAGGCGGTGTTCAGCATCTACATGGTCATGCTGTATGAGGTCACAGTCATCAGCACCAGTAGTTGGGCATCAAGAGAAAGGCAACATACCAGGGAGAGGCAGGCAGCGTGTGTTGAGGTAAGTAGCGGAGGAGGGAGAGGCGCGAAAGCAACGTAAGAGGCGCGCACGAGGCAGCGGAGCTCAAAAAGGTTGCCTTTTTGGGCGGGATTGTGCAGCCAGCGCATCTACGGAGGGGGGTATACCCCCTCCGTAGATTCTTGATGTGCAGGGTATCTACGGTGACCCTCTCGACCGTCGGAGTTCAAAAATCGACATTTTTTGACAGGAGCGCCCAGGAAAGCTAAGGTTTAGCGACACCCAGCGTCGCTAAATTCTTATGGAAGGCCTTCCACTCTCAAATGCAGGACCTCTGAACTCTCGCCGCGCGGGCGCGGGCGCGGGGGCACCCGCTCGGTCAAGGTTCAAGCCACGTTAAAGTCGGCTCACTGGCCGCGTCGGGGACACGACCCGCAGGCTCCGCCCGCCTCGACACGTCGACGCGTCGGGCCCGCGCGCGTCCGAGGCGTACGTGCGGGTGCTCGGCCAGCGTCCGGGTCGACCTTGCTGCGCCCGCGCCCGCATACGGGCGTGCGCGGACATGCAGTGCGGTGGAGTCGCTGGATGCTTCCCTCTGCTTCGCGATCGTCACGTCGGGACGGACGCCCCAGCCCCGAGACCAGTTTGTCGGTGCGGCTTTCCGTCCCGCGTTCTCGTCTGGCAACCCTGGCGGGGGCGGGGCGCGGGTGGGGAGGACGCCCAGGACAGGCCTGGGGCCCTCCGCGAGGCGCGGAAATAGACTCGGGGTCGGTGCGCGATAGCGGACGCGCCGCGCTTTCCTTGGGGCTGAGGCGGTGGGAGGATCCTGGCCGTAGCGAGCTACGATCGCGACCACGGTCGCACGCCCCGCGCGGAGGCGAGTCTGCTTGAACCGTGGCGGCGCGCCCGGGCGCGAGGGCAGGGTGCGCGTCTGGACGCGCAGGGTTCTAGCCCGTGAGCGGTATTGGGTGCCTGTGAAGGTGTGCAGTCGATGAAGGAGCCGCGGCCACGGCAGCCGTGATAGCGTCCAGCTGCACGGGTCGTAAGACGTGTACGGGCTTTCAGCGAGGTGCCAGTCGACATACGAGACGCTCACCTCCTGCCACCGTACCCGCATCCCGATCCTAGGAAACCAAACTTCCAGCAAACGGTGTTCTCACAAACATGATGACCGACCCCGGAGGCCGAGGTCCACAGTGACGAAATGCGAACGCGCGTCTATCCCTTCTGATCGCTCGTCTCTCCCCTCTCCCGCTGCAGTACAGTACGTACCCCACATGGGAGTAGCAGGCTCCCACCCCCGCGACGCCCGCGCCCACCTCAGCGAGCGTTCAGAGCGGTCGAGAAGCACCACACGTGGTGGGACAGAAGCTGAAGATCCGGCACGCCTCCCCCCTCGCGCCAGCGGTCACGGCGCGCACTCACAAGCGCGTATGGAGCCCATGACGGACATAACGCGCGCAGAGTGGGGCCGCTCGCTCGCAGCCGCGCCGGGCGTTGAGTAGCGAGTGGAGCGGGAACGCCGGAGGGCAGTACTTGGAGGCCAGGCTCGCGCCGCGTCCCAGCCGAAACTGCTGAGAGTCGAACGTCTGAACTCTCGCGCGCCGAAGCGGCCCCGGCGCCCGGGGACGCGGGGGACGCGCAGCGTGAGCCTCGAGGCAGGCACTGGCGTACGCGAGCCACCCGCGCGCGCGCGCGCATGAACGAGAGATAAAGCAGAAGCAGGCTCGCCCCGCCGCGAGGGCCCGCTAACGTTAACGCTAATTCATTATGGGCCCCGCCACCGCGCCGGAGCTCCGCACCCCGCGCGGCGGCGCGCTCTGCTCTGATGATCGAACGCGTAGAGGGCGTGAAGACGGCCGTAGTCGTGGTCGTGGTCGTGGTCGTGGCGGCGACGGGGCGATGTCCGTGTCCAACCGTTCATGTCCGTGCGCGGGTGGCGAGGCGGGTCGTCCGGGTGCCTGTTGGACGAGTGGACGTACAGGTGGTCGGTGCTGGGGTCCGATGCGCGTCGGATGGAGGGGAGATGCGTTTGGCAGCGCGGTCCCCGTGGGGGGGAGGCGGCCGCGGGAACGAGTGGCCGCGTGCCGGATGGGTGTCATTCGACGCGCCCTCGGCTCGCGCGATGGACTTTGGAAGGCTAGAAGGCGCGAGTCAGCAGACCGGCGTGGTAGACTGCTATTCACAATCTCGGGATGTTTCGGCTTGGGGGTGCGAAAGCGAGCCTTCGTCCAGACGCATTTTGGGCGCAGATTGTCAGCCAGCGCCGCAACAGTAAGCAGATGATATGGCTTACCGAGGTCAGAGAGCACCTGGGGAGACCGGCACGGGTAGCGCCAAGTTCGCGTGTGGTCGGGAGCGGGCTGTCGTGATGACAGTACTTCTGGCCTCGCCGTTTGGCGGCGGTCTGCGAGGCGAGATCGACAGCGAATGCATTCGCCGGACCGGACAGTCGATCACGAACGCGCGCGAACGCTCTGCGAGACGGCAGGCGACATGGGTCGTCGGCCCTGGCGGAGTTTCGAGTTGCGTGATCCATGCTGGACGCGGGCTGCCGCCATCCGGACAAGCCCCGAGGTGAGGAGGTTTTGCCCAAACATGGACTCGATCACGAGCCTGCACGATCACTGGCACATGCAGCGCGGGGAAACGTTCACCACACGTTCTAGCACCCGGGCCTTGCAGACTGAAGTGTTGAATACACGAGTGACGTATCGGTATTACGGGGAGACGCACCGCTGTTGTCCGCGTCGGCGCGGAAATCGCGGGACGCGTGGGGCGTGCCCGAAGCCGTAGCCAGCCTTCCGGTTGGGGTTCCGTCGGGGATTGGGATCGTTGGAACGTCTATCGACCGTGTTTGAACGTTGAACCTTCGTGGAGTGTTCAACGACGCGATGAACTCAGCAAATCGTGATTGTACGATGACGTCTGAACAGCGCGGTCCGGAAGACGGTGGTAGTGAGATTATAGCATGTGGGAGAAAGACGACATTCCCGGGCTACCTTAGAGGGCACGACGATGCGGATACTTGCCCGCAAAGCCCCGTACGATAAGAAGGCGCCCGGTTTCTGGACGCCGGGGCACACGGTCAGTCAAGTCGCCGTCGCTGAAAGCAGACACTCGCCTTCTCAGCTTCTGCGGCAGCAGTAGGACCGGGTAGGGAACTCGGTGGGATTAGGGTTTACGGCCGGGACGTTGCGGGTAACGGGATGTCGAAGGTCCCAACGTCCCTGGAAACCGGAGCTCGGAGCGGGAAGTGTTCAGAACATCGGACCGACACTGCGAGTCGTGCCTTTAGAAGCACAAGGCGCTGTAGGAGTTTAGGTGTAGTGTAGACGGCAGGATGGCGCGGGTGAGGGGACGAATGTAGAAGGCCAGTCGTTAGGACCACACGCGAAAAGAGTATGAGGCTGCGCACGCATGGGAGAAGTACTCCATTTTCCCGAACGGCAAAAAACTGAAAAGTCGCTGTACATATGAGTGAAGGTCTGTGAAGGTCAAATGCGAGAGAGCCATATACCTGCGTGTTCACCAGACACCCTTGTCTTTGCTGCGCCAAGGAAGTATTTCCATGTGCCTCATCGTGACACGCTAGAGTTGCACAGTCTTCAAAAGGGGCATGAATTGAACGACGACATGGCCTTGGAAAGAGACCATAATCATCGCAGGCGGGAACAGTTGGATGGTGGTAAGAGATTAGAGTCAAGCTGAACTGATAGACGCCTGCGTGTCGTGTGCACGTCCACGTGGCTTACATTGTATGAGCCCTTCAAAGGGCCGTCCGTGAAATCACGACGGCGGAAAGTACAGAGTTATCAGATGGGGTGGTACATGCGAACTGATCTTCTCTCAAATGGTTACATCGGCAATATTTCGACTCGGGCCCCAAATGCTTCAAGCAACATCCAGTCCCGGCTTTCAGCTCCTCAGTATGAGCTCGGATGTTTCAACAGGGTCTGTTAAAACGTGAGCCGCTGGATTATATTTAACGTGAAAAGGAAACCTACCCCTCCGTCAATCAAGACGGTCTCCCCATCGACGAACCAGTTCGCGACCAGGAAGAGCACAAGCGCGCCCATGTCCTTCGTCGTCCCGTACGCGACCGGCCCATGGTCCCCACGCATCGTCACGGGCACGTCGAAGTCGTGCGCCTTGTCGGGCGGGAAGTAAGACGCCCCCGTCGCGTCCGTCGCGTCCGGGCCTGCGGTCATCCGGGTCGCGAACATGCCGGGCGCGATGCCGTTGACGCGGATGCCGAGCGGAAGGAGCTGGTGTGCGAGCGAGGACGTCGCGTGTCCGATCGCGGACTTGGACATGAGGTAGGGGAACGAGAAGCCTCCCGTGGCAGGGTCCTATCGAACATGAGGAAGTCGTTTAGAGGGTCTGGAAGACGGTGACGCGCACCTTAGTCCAGCCGTTCATGCTTGAAGTCATCACGATCTGAGGCGCGAATCGGCCTCCGAGAGGGCTGCCCTTCCACTTCTCGAGCAGTGGCAGGAACGCGAAAGTCATCCAGTACGGCCCGATGGCGTTCGTCTGCAGGTTGTAGTCGAACGCATCTTCTGTCACGGTGTCAAAGACTTTGTTGCGGTATTCTACCGCGCTTGCGATAGGAGGCATTGGGCAAGTGGCAGAGTGAACCCTAGGAGTGACAGTTAGCAGCTTCGACACCGAGTTATATGGAAAGACCATACATACCCGGCATTGTTGAAGAGCACTGTTACATGCTGTTCTTTTTTCGCGACCTCTCCCGCAAGGCGAACGGCTTCGGACTGAACGAACGGCGTGAGGACTCTGTTGTGGTGGCAATCAAGAGTTTCGGACCAACCTTCTGCCTGATGTCGCCTTCGATCCCGTACATCCGGCCTGGTTTGTTTAGTCTCTCGCATTGATCGTTGTAGATGTTGCAGATCCTAAGATGCGAATAGCACTGAAAAGACATCGAGATGTCTCCCCATACTCGTACTTACTTGTCAAGATCCTCCTGACCCGGTCCGATAATGTACACCGTAGCACCATTTGCAACAAGCGTAGAGCTCATCATGAGCCCAATCCCCTGTTCGGTACGCCTCTCAGTACCATATTTCGCACAGATGAGAAATCTGGATGCGCACCGTGCCTCCCCCTGTGACCACCGCTACCACCCCTGTGAGATCGAAGAGATTGCTCGCGGTGAGCTCTGTCAGTACCGTATCTGCCATGTGTGGACGCCTTTAGGTGTGAGAGCGAACGCCTGCTTCCAGGCAGGGGTACTTATAAGCTACTTGGATGACGTAACTTGCGCTCACATGATTGAACTGGATGGGAGGAGCACTGTTACAGAATGCTTGGCCGCGTGAGACTACAGACGGGATCGCGGAGTCGCGCCCTTCCGTTCCGTATATAGTATACATGGTGCGAGTGTACATGATGCGACTTGGCTGGTGCCCGACGAGATCAAGGTTAGCAGTGGACATCACCCAGAGGCATAGATATCTGGTTACTCACAGCTAGTTATACACGGCCATGGAAGACATCTTGACCTAGATGGAAGTGGCGTGAGTGGGCGAGAGCCACCACAGAATATTTCCAGACGACTATATGTTATGCTTATGTAAGTACGAGTCGTGTCTCCACCATCACGGAACCCAGGCGAACACAAGAAGTAGGGTTGGTTTACACCCGGATTTCTTGTAAGTGTGTCTGAAACAGAACGAATTAACATCAGCGTCGGCATCGAACCACAAGGCCAGAAAGAGCACGCTGGTGGCACCGTCTCCAATCCCGAAAACAACCACCGACAACACACACTATAGACCGAGATGTAAAAAGATCGTGACATTAGTGCTCGTGGGGACGATGGCTAGGGGCTACAGGGGTGGAGGAGGAGTGAACCAGAGAAACATCCGAAAACATCATATCCGTACTCCGCACCAAGGAAGCAGGGTTCGTCAAATGCACTGGGGCAGGACTTCTCCAGCTCCAATGTTGAGATGCACCCTCGACCGCGGGGCGTTACGCCGGCGCAGCGCCTACCAGAACTTGCCAAACACGCTTGCCCGCCCGGGATTTCCGAGGAGCATCCCCACCCCTTCTTGAATGGCGACGCTCACAGGACGCATCGGGGCCGAGTCGAAGACGTGGGGACATGGCTGGGGCAGGGGTGGTGGGCCCGGCCGAGGTTGTTCGAGCTCCCGTTCGTAGATCGAGGGTTGCCGCGGGCCTTTGCCGAGCTCGGTGTACTGTGGCTCGTCGAACGCTTTCCGTGCTGTGCGAAGGCGCGCAAGGATCTGCCATGATGTTGGCATGCGGTGGATTGAAAATAGGGTGGTGGGGCCGCACCTGCTCATACAAAGCGATCTCCCCGTCAAGGTGCTCTTTAGTCAGCTCTTGGAAGTCTTCCAGCTTCTGGGTGTGATAAGTATCCATCTCGGCCATGGTGGTGTTTAGCACAGTCTCGCAACGAGCTGCCATCTCTTCGTCTTCCTGTTAAAGCGAGTTAGCGTACCACATCACGAGTCGACATGAGTGGAAGACGCACTCGTCCTTGTTGTATGGAATCATGGTATCTAGATAGCGTTGATCTGTGGGTATCTACGACCGGCTATGCAACAAGGCGTCACGAGATAGTCGAATTGTGGATGGTGGTAGATCAACTCACCGCATACAGCGTGGCCGGGTGCGCGGCGTTCTTGAACGCTTCGTGTGTCATAAGCTGTGTCCTTCGAGCCTGTGATCGCGAACAGGCAGTGCTCAGCAGAGAAAAAGGGTAGGACAAGGACTGGCGCTTACGTGGTCGTCATACAGATCCGCAACAATTTGAAGTGTTTCCGAGGTCTTCTGCATCGCTTTTGTGAGCTTCAGACAGCCTACGCAATGCCGCGGAGGATTATGTCATTGAATGTTTTCGAACCAAGGAAAACCACATACTCTCGCATCCCTCCCTCCAACACCATGCGCCCTCTTCGTTCACATGGCCATGCGACGTGGTATTGTGGTCCGCTCCTTCCTCTTCCTCATCTTCGTCTTCGTTGATTCCGGTTGTTGGCGCTGACGCGAGGGACTTCGCCGTGATCATCGAGAGCACCGAGCATGAGAGCAGCCGCTCCGCCTTCGACATCTCTGTATGTCCGTCGGTACCCGCACATGTATCACAACAACTCAAAGACTCACCTATCCGCGCTTCTCGGACCTGCCCAAAGATGTTACGAAGCCCTTGTACACCCTTTCCAACCGCCTTGGTGTGACTGACGAAACGACTGATGGCTTCCTCGGCCTCGTCCGCATCGATGTTGAAAGCAGGGTGGTATACATTTGCAAAGAAGGTGGGGCCCTTCGTCGGCAAGGAGAGATAGAACGGCAACTGTTTCTTCCACTCCTGCGAACGTGTCTGGTTGGCGGAAATGCGTAGCGGAGGATGGCTCGGCACTTACCAGGTCGCTCTCGCAACTCAAGAAGAACGTCAAAATCTCGGCGTACCTGGCGACCGGATGCCGCGCGACCTTGTTGATGTACCGCTCGAGATCCCCCTCCGGGCTTCAACAAAGTCGTCGTGGAATCGCCCCGCGTACTGTTTCTCCGGAAGTGGCGGCAATGCAATGGCGGGGAGGTGCCTCGAGAGCGCAGTGTGTAGCGCGACGAAATGAGAGAAGCGTCGTTGTACGGTGATGCGCATGGGAGACGGCGGTTCGGCGTATGGGTCGTAGTTCGGATCTGAGTCGTCCGAGGTGGTCCGCGAGTGAGCCATGACGGCGAAGGCGGTAGTGACGGTGTACACGGTATACGCCCCGGAAAGTGTGGAGGCCCGCTTGGACGGGGAGTGGACAAGGACACGGAATGGAGGCACCTTGGTTTTCCATGATGGCCCTGCTTCGACGTAGTGCTGCTCCGCCTCCGCGATCGTGCCCAGCACGCTCTCCCGCCGGTGGTCGTCTTCATCGTAACTGGGGTCGCGAAGCTGGTGTCCTGGATTGGGTTCTTCAGCAGCACCCTTGAGAACGAAGTCCTCCGCTCCGCTGGTGACGAAGCTTGAAAACCTGTTCAGGCTCTTCCCGCCCAGCAAGCTGCGTCTGAAGCTGGGGAACCACTCTCCGGTGGTTTGGGGTATCACTGGACGTATTTCCGTCTCGCGCGGGGCGAACCTCGGGGTGTGATGGAACCACCAGAGGCTTCGCGACGGCTCCTCTGGCGGAAGTGGCCCGGCGGCACCTCGAGTCCCTCGGTGTGCTTGAAGTCCGCCGTGAACTGCGCACATAGTCAGCAAATCGCTCACAGAGGATTAGGTCGCGACGCACGATGTAGTAAGAGCGCGGTATCAGCCCAATCTCGCTACCGCCCTGCACCATATCCCGCGCCCCCTTCGCCAGCCGCGCCAGACTCCACCCTTCCCGACGTCCTCCCGCACGACTTCCAGCTCGTCCCCAGCATCTACCTGGGGAAGCTCGCGGAACTCTGCCTTGCCGTGGAAGGCGTACAGCGCGCGCGCGGGACGCAGCGGCTCGTCGTCGTCGAGGGAGTCGTGGTCCACGCTCTCCGTCGCATCCGCATCGGGTTCCTTTTCCGCCTTTTCCCCCGCGGGTTTGCCTGGGCTCCTGCTCCGCGACCGTTCGGTCAAGCTGGCGCGCGGATCGCCGTCGTTGAGCGAGACGGTCCACGCGGCGGAGGTGTTCACACCTGAGTCGAAGTCGAGATCGCCGGAGCGCGGGAGGGAGGCTGCGTTGGGCACCTGGAGGAGGCCTTTGCCCGGAGACCCAACGAAGTCGACCATGGTGAAGATGAAGGAGGGTGGGTATCGTGTAGAGTGTCGCACTTGTGTCAGGGCAGAGAGACCAGAATGGGGGCACCGGGCAGATCGGTCGAGATATAGGGGCTGCTTAGAGCATGCCCTCACGCGAACTGGCGTGGATGTGGGGGGAACGTTCAACAAGAAGGAGAGTGCATAGGCCAGAGAACAGGCTAGAAGCAGAAGTTTTCCAGAGCCTGCACGCAAGAAGAGGAGACAGAGGCGGGATCAAGGTGGAATAGCCGTCGTCGGCGCCCCGACTGCTGCATTCGACCGGTCCGGCGCCGTCGCTTGCGAAGGGCTCGACCCCATGCATACAGTCATGCTCTACTTACTACATACCCCCGTCGCCATCCACGTCTTTTGCCCTCCTCGTTTCATGTCTACAGTTTCACGGGTCTCCTTCGGTCTCTATGATACACGCATCCAGTCAACTTCGTGCAAACTCGTGCACTCCAGTGCTACGGCCGCTTACTCAAGGTCCGGGAAACCAATGTTACCCCAACCCGTCCAGTAAGGCTTGCATACGCGGAGGTGCTTCTCCTTCTCGATGGCCGTCAGCTCCTTCACATCCTCCTCAGACAAGTCCACAATCTTCATGTTCTCGTCGATGCGGCTCAGAGTCACCGACTTGGGGATGACTGGAAGAACGGACATGCGGTCAACGCGAGCATGCGGAAGAAAGGCGCGAGGCATCGTACCGACGACACCTGGACGGTTCGCTTGAAGTGAAACGAGGATGTTCGACTCCGCAACCCCGTACTGTGCGGCCAGCTTCTGCACGACCGGATCCTCTCGCAGCGGCGCACCATCCGACCCAAGCGGCGAGTACGCAGTGACCACAATCCCATGCTTCCGGCACTCCTCCACGATATCTTCCTGCATGCACGACCTATCCATCCCCGTCGGCCCACTTGCGTATGTAAAGGCGACTGAAGACTCACGGGTGGGCCTCGATCTGGTTCACCGCCGGGACGACGGTCGCGAACTTGAGGAGCTCCCGCAGGTACTGCACCGAAAAGTTCGACACCCCAATCGCCTTCACCTTCCCCTCGTTCGCCTTGAACGCAGCCTCCATGTCGCGCCAGGTGTCGCGCCAGTCGCGCGAGCGGTCCGGGCCGCCGTCCTTCATCGGCGCCGGCCAGTGCATGAGCCAGAGGTCGAGGTACGGGGTGTCGAGCTGGGCGAGCGAGTACTGGAGCGCGGCCGCGACGCGGGTGTGGTCCGGGTTATTCAGCTTCGTGGTGAGGAAGATCTCTTCGCGCGGGACCCCCGAAGCCTTAATGCCGAGCCCGACCTCCTTCTCATTCGCTGTTGGGAGGTCAGCATGGCGTGGCGGGCGAGGCGAGGCTACACGCACCGTATCCAGTCGCAGTGTCGATATGGCGGTACCCCCTCTTGAGCGCGTGCTCCACTGCCCTCTCGACCTCGCCTGGCTTTGACCTCCACGTACCTACACGCGTAGTTAGTACTAGCAATAAGCCATATAGATGTTGTAGGCACTTCACCCAATCCTAGAGTGGGCATCTCAGCCCCCGTGCTCAACTTCACGCTCTTGGATGCGGGCATGCTTGCAATACTCCTCGTGAACACGGATGGGGCGCGAGACGGACGTCTGGTTGCGCGCGTGCCCAGCTGTCTGGTATATATGCATGCGGGGTCGCCAGTGGAGACTAGGTCCGGCCGGTGTACCACATGCAGCAGCAGACCTGCTACCGGTGCGGCCGCTGTGCCACGATGATGGAGAGATACGGATGGGAGGCGCGATAACGAGCGAGCTGTGGGTTTGGTCGGGCTATGTAAGCGGTCGGGCTGTTCTGGATAGAGGTTCTATAGATTATACCTGCGCGAGAGAACAATGTCATTGCTGCGGCTGTTGTGAGCGTTGTGTAGAACTCTGAACGCAGATCGGCTTCACCGTGAACTCTTAAAACACCTCTTCGCGGAACTGAAGCCGGCCTGGGAGGTTCCAATGTACCTTACCCACCTCCTGGGAACTACCCACGACGGGCTTAGAAATAAAATGGATGGGAGTGTCCCATGATATAGTGACGTCAGGTTGCACAACAAGCGGGCCGAATGATAAGCAGACCGAGGAAGATGTCGTTCCCTCCGAAGAATAGCATTACTGTGATTACAGTGATGTACAAGTACCACTAGGCAGATGTCCAACAGGTTCACCAACTGTGAGCCTAAAAGCAAAAGAGCGACGACTGTTTGCGTCTAAAGGACAGACTTCGCGACCGCCTTCCAGATCGCGACGGGGTTGTTGACGCTGTGGAATCATCGCATCAGCGCGAGAACAAGGACTGGAGGCAGATACGCACATGTCCAGCGTGAGCGGGAGGACGACGTCCGCGGCGTGGTTCTGCCACTCCTCCGGCTGCTCGGTGTTGTCGATGCCAAAGCCGAGGCGCCAGGTGATGCCCTGGACGCTGTTCGTGAGGCTGCAAACACGTGAGCCGCCGGGGCAGGGGCGCATCATTACAGAGTCAGATTTCAATTAGCGAATGCAGAGATCAGAATTTAACAAGGCACGCACAAGTCGGGCGGGGCAAGCGAACTGTTCTTCAGGCTCGCAGTCTTGATCTCCGAGTCCATGGTCGAGAAGTCGGTCGATTGGCCGCCGACGGTGCCGCAGTACTGCTGCGTGAGGCCCTTGCGGCCGCCGTAGACGACGGTCTTGGAGCCCTCGAGCTTTGACATCGTGATCTGCAGCGTGCGCCGTGAGCCCCGTGCAATGCATCAACAACGGCGGAAGCAGTGGCACTCACGCTGAACAGGGAGCACGAGCTGGCGCAGCGGCCGTTGCTGACGATCGCGACGCTGGCGGGGTCGAAGAGCGCCTCGCTCGGCGGGTCCTGGTCGAACGGCTGGCACTCCTGCCCGAGACGCTGGCTGAACGCGTCAGGCACGCCGTTCACGGTGATCTGGACGGGGGGCTCAAGCCAGTCGTAGTTCACGGGCATCGCAGTGTTGTTCGCGAACTTCCAGCTCGCGGAGGAGTAGAGTGCGAGGTTGTCCGGGTCACCGCCAGAATTGAGCACCTTCGTAACCTGGCGCGCGAGAGGGCCGGCACGGGCCTTGGTGTCGAGCCCGGCTTGGGGAACCGAGGTTGACTTGGGACCAACAATCTGCAACGTGATCAAAATCATGGATTCGCTGTGCGGGAGTATGGTACTCACGATACGGTGAAGCCACTGTGGAACGTCTTCATATGTCAGCGAGTGAAAGGAGCGGACACAAACAACAAGTACGCACGTGAGCGATGCAAATGTACCCACCACCGTTGTTCGACACATCAACAACGAGCTGCGTCGCGCCCTGGCTCTTCAGGTTCTGCAGACCCGAGAGCAGGTTGGTCATCAGGTTCGAGAACGTGTCACCCGAGAAGCTGCCGAGCGCGAGCACGCCGGTCTTCCCGTCGTCGAGCATGAAGAACTGCACGACGGACCCGCTGCCTGGGAGGGGGTTCGTGGGCTGGAGCTTGGGCGGAAGCGTGACGTCGACCTGCGGCTGAACGTCGAGAGCGACGTTCATCGCGTGCGTGCGCTCCACGGCGGGGTCTGGCATCGGCGCCTGGCGGAATTTGTTGGCCGGGAGCGCAGATGGGTCGACGTCGTCGCGCTTGGTGGCCGCGGAAGTGTCATAGTACGAAGCGCCGTTCGTGCCGTCGACCGCGAGACAATTACCGGAAAGGAACGACGCTTTGTCCGTGAACGAGACGGAGGACGATCCGAAACGGGAGCGGTAAGGAAGCTGGGTCCAGCGGGATCAGCGGTGAACAAGATAGGCGTGGGGGAAAGACGCACAGTCACCGTCTCGATCTTCGTGCTGTTCACACGCTGGATTGTGAACTTGACGGAGTCCTTGAGCGGAAGCGACATCTGGGCAAATTGGCCCAGGCTGTAAACCCATCCCGAAGAACCCGACTGGTAGCTCGAGAAGAACCTGCCCATGAGGTAGTGTCAGCGAGCACATGGCTCAGAACTCAATGCTATGGTTCTTACGCATTCTGACGCGTGCCAAGACCCTGGAAGCTACCAGCAATCGCCGCGTTAGCATCGACGGCCTTCAAGGGGTCCTGTCCATCTATTGCAATGACTTTGGCACCGGACAGCTATCAAACGAGCACAAACATGAGCGTCTGAAAACACCGCAGAACTAACACAGGTCTCACCGAGTCAAGTTTGCCCTTGAGGGCTCCGGGGAGCGCGTTCTGCCAGACCGAGATTTCGTCGCTAAACTCCGCAGTGGCCACACTGAACGCCTCAGGGGCAATATGCACGCTTTGGCGGCCCTTGGCGTCGGTAATGAAGGTAAGGGGGGTCGGGAGATAGGACACGAAGAGCGCTGCGTCCTCCTGGTTCAGGATTTGTATGTAATAAGATGGCAGAAATGACTCACAGTCGTAGCAATAGTTGATGTATACACAGTGACCGTCATTGAGGCGCTTGAGGGTGTACGAGAGGTCCTTGTGCAGCTCGAAATCGTTGGGGTACTTCCGGCTGCTGATGCGGGCGAGATCCTGGAGGAGGTTCTCGTGGACGTCAGAGGCGAAGGGCGCGGGGGCCTGCTTCTGGTAGTTGACGGAAGTGTGGAACGCGAGGGTCTTGTTCACGACCTCGATGATCTACGCGCGGATATGCGTCTTATAACTCGGGCGTCCGCATACAAGAGGAGACACTCACGTTCGCCTTCTGTGTCGCGTTCACGGGGATTGAGGAAAAGCACGCACGCACGTCCGAGGGCGCGACCCACTTCTGGCCGCCGATCGCAGCGCAGGGGTCCCCGGCTTGAGAGAAGCGTACCGCCGCGAGGACGGTGGTGAGGAGAGGAAGGAAGTTACGCGAAACCATGGCGGGAGGGGAGTGACCAGGACAGAGGACCAAGGAAGGGGGGCGTCGAACGAGACGGCGCGCACTCAACTGGCTGTCGTCGGGTATAAGTACGGGGCTGGCTGAGGGGGAAAGTCGGAGATCCTTCAGAAGTTCAGAATGCAGATCCATCGGTAACGCCAGGGGACACGCACGTCGGGCTGATGGCTCGTCCCACGCGGTGCATCATCTTGGATCTTCCCAGAGCGGACAAGGGTCGTCGTCCGGACAGCGCGGTCGCCTTCTTCGTGCGTTTCTTTGTACATGCCGCGGGCACATGGCTAGTCATAGAAATGAGAGCTTGTGTGGGCGTCGGGACGCTGATGGGGTCGAGTCACGGATTGGGAGAGGCCGCGGAGCACTGCGGAACGTGAACATGGCCGTCAAGATGATGGGATGAGCGTCAGGCCCGCGCGCCTTGAAATTTGATGGAACAATCTCGCAGCGCTGATATGTGGCCCTTAAGTCCACCCGGAATGCTCGTCCGTGTAAGTAGATCGAACAAACGCCAGAGTTCGGATTTGAATCTGCCTTACGGTTTGAAATGCTTCATTGCTTGGCAGATGATGCCTAGTCGTAACTTGCGGGCAACGATAATCCTTTCGCCGACCTTGGACGCGGTCGAAGTCATACAACCACGTGAAGAACCGATGATTTACAGTGGGACATATAAAGAACCGATAGAAATACGCAACGAGGACATAAGTACAAAGCAGCTAGCAAACAAGTGACATCACCACGACATATCTAGCCACAACGGATCAGTCGCTGAGAAACATATTTGCCACGATTCAACTCACCCATCTGCTGTTTCACTTTTCTTGTCTCCTCCATGAGACCCAGCACATGCTGGTCGAGCATGTCCACATACTTCTTGAGCGACGTTCTCTCCCAATCCGAGTGGTGTTCTCCGCTGGAAGCTTCGCTCGCTTGAGGAACAACGTTCTGGTCGAGCTCGCGTAGAAGTTGATGCACGGTCGGTACGTCTTCTAGCCTGAATCTGTCCACTTTCCGCGGGTCGACCGGCACGCAAACGCGTCCTGTCTTCGGGTGTATACAAAACGGCGCCTTTAGCAAGTGGTTCCGATGTTTTGAGACCTCAGCGTCGAGTCGAGGATACGTGTATTGCAGCACGATGTCCTCCATCGCTGCTGTCATGATGCCCTATCGACGAGTATCTCAGTATGGCCGCACGCGCGAGTGGGACATGAGCACTGACCGCCATTCCCTTGGCGTTGTACTTCTTTGCCCGCGCGGGCGCCGCACTGTCCTTGACATCTTGCCATTTGTCTTCCGAGGATCGTGGTTCTTCGTCCGCCTCGTCCGGACCATCTGAGGGCGACTTCTGCCATACCATCTCAAGCTCCGCCGCAACCTCTGAAGGTAGCAAAGTCAGGAGGTCTTTCCAGCCCTTCTCCGAGTCGAATACTTTCTGATCCCTGAGAATCAACTCTTCGAACACCGGTGTGAGAACCTTGCAAGCTTGCCTGTGCTCGGCCACGACATCGTCAGCGCTTCGGTTCTCACCTCACCTCCGCAAAACTCATGGTGAGGAAAGAACGACACTTACGCGATCGATTGTGGTAGCGGCTTCCCCGGCGGGCGCACGTTCACCTTCTTGCTCATCATGTCTCCGCCCGCAATGACCGTCATCCACCCGACCAGCGCCTTCCGTTGGTCGTCCGTGAGCTCCATCGCCTCCCGATCACTGATCCACAGATGGATGCCGCGCCGACCGGAGTACACCCACAGCAGATGTTTGTACCCGAACTGGTCGCGGATGCCGCTGTCGAGCACGCGCACCGCGGCGGCGATGAAGCCCCAGCAACGTCGGCAGATGTCCGCGCCCTTGCAGCACGTCCGGATGGAGTCGTAGTCGGTCATATCGATGTCGACGACGAGCTCGCGGAGCTGGGGGAAGAAGAGGGCCGGGCGGACCGTCTTCTTGTCGCGCGGCTACCAAGGTGGTTCAATATGCGTACGCATGAGGGAGTTGCGCAGGCGGACATGGTGGGCGTGTGGCTTTACGCGGGGAGGGGGAACAGCAAATGGCACTCACCCTTGCGCTATACACTGGGCCAATCTCGAATCGCGCCGGGACTTGCGCGCACACCTGCTTCTTCATCTCCTCCGCGTTCGCAAACGACTGATACCTGAGATATGCCTCGTTATGGAGGGTGAACGCGAACTCGCGGTTTGTGAACATCTTCGTCGGCGCGTGCTCGTGATTGAGCCAGGCGAAGAGCGATTTGAATGGGTAAAGGCGTCGATAGAACGCCAGCATAATGTCTTCAGTCACTGAGTCGGCTTGAGGCTTTGACATATTGTCAGCAAGGACGAGGGGTGAAGGGGGCGAGCAGATCGGAGAGTGTAGCCGAGAGAGAAAGGGAGAGAGCGGGATTCCTGTCTTCCAGCGATGGGACTGTGGCACGGGCGTGATCACGCGTCAAACGCGCGCAGTCACGCTTATGTCAGATGTGACCACACGCGTTGATCACAGGTCTTGTTGGAACTTGGAACGTACCCATTTCCTTAGATTCTGCCTAATGACCGCTGTTTAGGACCATCTGCCGAAAACTTGTGGATGAGTCCCGGCAGTGTACCGATGAACCCTTGCAGGGAGATCTCTGGTTCTCGGCCCCTCTCACCAGTGCACGTGCCAGAACGGTAGGAGGCTCACATGGATCGCTCATATACCGCGTTTTAGCCGGCAGCGAAGGCGAGGTCCCTACCTGATTCCAGGCCGCGAAGCCATAAATACGATATGGCACAGATTCGGTGAGAACGGCTGGGGAAAATCCATACATCGTCGTTCACAGTCTATTCTAGAGGAGGATTGGGAAAGCATGAGATCACGGCACGGCTAACTGACAATGTTCGACAACTCGAAAGCAAAAAATCTATCGTGGTCCTTGGATCCCTCTCCGCAGATTAAGGTATCAACGATGCTTCTCCTGCCAGCTAGACGTGCGCTGAATACTATAGGCATAAGTCAGCATATGATGTCGAGTATTTATTGTATTCGTCCTCACCTAGTTCTGCTGACCTGAATGCATGCCGTAGGGATTGTACGCCGACGGATCATTGTAGAATACCCCGTCCGAATATCCGTTTGCGTACCCTCCGATGTTGCCACCCTGAAACCCGCGCTCCCAGCCACCTCCGTCATGGCTGCTGTACGCGATGGGCTGGTCGTGATAACCAGATCCGGGGATGTACGGCACGTAAGACTCGGTAGCGAGCATGTTGTTCGTCTCGCCGAAGCTGTATGTGGCCGAAGGAAAGCACTGGAACACGTCGACAGCAGAGCCGTAGTAAGTGACGGTTGTTCTTCGGACTGTCGACTAGCTGAACGTTCACCATAGATGAAGTTTGCATGTAGCAAGTGTTATTCATATTGCTGGTGGAGTGCTGACCGAAGGGGTGCAACGTATCGTCGACCTGCAGCTTCGGTGTGCCTGGCATCTGTCCGAGTTCTTCATGGTTGGTGTTAATCGTCTGGATGTATTCGGAGAAAGCGAGACCAGCGTTTGTAAAAGACGGATCGGCAGAGGGCCCCGAGGCGGTCTGGTGAGTGGCTATTCCATGGGTCACGGAGTTCGTCAGGGGTACAACACCATGTCCTAACACAGCTTTGATGAACATGCAACGCCAACATAGTTCGCAAAGGGAAACACACCGTAGCAGGTTGTGCACGGAATCGTCCTGGCGTAAAGCGGCCAGTAGTGGCAGTCGTCCGCCCGATCACCACGAACACAATTACCACAAGGAGAACCTCTATTACACTTGCGCTTTTGGAGACGGCAGTGGTTGCAAGGCTAATGAACGCAGTGAATGTCAGCTACATAGGGCGTCGAAGCCAAAATATATGCTGTACTGGACCGCCCAAACGCCACTGCGTATGTCCTCGGCTCGTATTGGTAAAACCGCCGTGACCATCGTTGGAGGACAATAGTGCTGCTAAGAATCGCTGATGTCAGCGTGTATATATGGGTTTCAGGAGAGCTAGAGCCAAACGTACGAGCGCCTGCGGCGGAATAACCCGCGTAGTTCATGTTTGCACGCAAGAGTTGAGACTGCTTATATTATGTACGGACAGGGTCGAGGCAGTGGAAGGGATATGCAAGGGAATAACAGACTTGGGTTGGGGAGGGGAACACTGCGTTTCAAGCCTTATATAGAGTGGGGATCCAGGGCAAGCGCCGTGCGGTGCAGGCAGCCTGAGCGAACGTCCATGCGCCGTAGGCCCGTAGTACGGCGTAGGCTGGCTAGGACTGGCTAGGATGGCTGCTCATGAGATGGCCATGTGGCATGGGCCGGCCGGGCTGTACATTCTGGCGCTCCGGGTTGTTTGCGTGAACTAGCGCTCATCTCGAGTCGGGACTGCCCCAGACGTCGGTATACGGCCGACAGTTGGCCCCCGCGGTCAGTACCGGGAATGGAAACCGCTGATTTTTTGTAGAGAGCTATACACTGAGCCATACTCGATATATCCAGTCATGTAGAAGGTTTGTATTGCAATCATGCCCCCTTACATGTGCATCTCCGCCTGGGCCGGATCTCGGGTGCAGGCCATACATGATTCCGTATGGACACCAACAGCGTTTTTTTGCGAGAGCATGGACAAGGCCAGCTTCCACGAGCCCGTACCCTTTTATTTCGCATTTCCTGCGGGGAGGTACACTACCGCCGCTGCGCGCACAGATACTCTAGTACCACACGCGAGGTGAGGCCACAAATTCATGTTCAACCTGCTTCGTCATTCATGAGCCCGCGCTCACTCACGCGGGTGTGGTGTATTGCACACGCATATATTGCGCATGGGTGTGCAATCCCAACGCCTTTCGCACGCAAAGGGGGAGGGCGGAACTTAAGCACCCCAAACTTGAGTGATCCGCAGCGGTATACAGGCCCTCTGAGCGCACAGCCGAGGGAGGTCACGAGCCACCACCCGTCTTGCTCACGATGTCGTGACATGAGCAAAGTATTTCACCAGCAGATGCAAACACTCGGGGATTTCGGATACTTTTCTGTCAAATGCGAGCAAAACATATCTACCTGATGCGTTCCCAGGGAGTGGGAATCGTATTAGATGAGTGTGCGAGCCAAGAGGTAGTTTATACGGGGTCGGTGAGATCAAGAAGGAGCAACAAAACGAAACATAGTTGGTGTTAGAGACCTGGTCGCTCCTGCAACAAATCATTGGAGAGTACAACGCCCAAAATGTGCCCGAGGACGATATATTGTTTACTCTCTACATTGTACGGGTGTACATCAACGCCGAAGAAAGGCCAATGCCTTCAAATTCACATGTAAATCACATAGCTACTACACACCGTGTAAAGCCTGCATTGAAAGAATCATCGTCTAGCGCACTCGTCGATGGTGCAACGAAGACGGCAGCAGCAGGTCATGTCGGACCGTGTGGCTGGCCCCATAAGTACTACGAATACCTCTAGGACCGCAGTCAGCATGTTGGCCAAGCGCGTGCCATTGCGCCGCTCGTCCGCGTACTGTGTGCCGAGCTGCACCCGGATACATAAGTGGGGATCTCGTTGCGCATTGGTTCATCACCAGCCACAAAATGACTCATATTGTGCGCCACACGTCACCTCCCGCGAGTTCTATGATTGTATCTGCCACACCGACAGCAAGCGCGGCATGAAAAACTCAGTGAGGGCGAGATGTTGTCGGGCTAATCGTTGCATATTCAAGGGAGTGGTCGGACAAAAGATTGCGCGGCGGGAAATGTGTGCAGTTTGGCATCTTGGCGTCCTGCGGCGGCGGCGACCACATCGCGGCGGGCGGCGCCGCAGTCTCGTGCGGCCCCGTGCGGCGCACTTCCCCGCTTCCCAGAATCTGTTTCCAGCTTACAGCGTTTGTCCCGAGCGCCGTGCGCCACGCACCTCGCACCGTCAAGGAACCCACAACCCCCATAGCCCGTGTAGCGATGAGGCCAGATGTCCCTCCGTATCGTAGCGGCGCGGTTTGCTTCCCTCTGCCGCCCCCACACAACAAAGATTCTTGCCTGCATTCAAAGAGCCATTCGCCTACGCCGGAACGATACAGCTCACAACGTGGCTATACAACGCGGTGAGCTGTCTCGTGTCGTCGTACAGGTCGTGTGGATAGGTGCTCGAGAGACGTCGGCGCGGGGAAACACCGATATCCTGATCGGATGTCCCTCCTTCCCCAGGCCTCTCCCCTCTCGATGCAAAGCATCCGAGGCCCGTCTGTCCTGTGCTGCGCCCATCTCAGGTTCATGCGGCGCATGTTCTGGCATCGCGTTCCACGGCTCGGCGACGGGAAGTCGGGCTCGACCGTACCGGCTGCATCACGGGCTCAAGGAGCACACGGCGATCTCGACGCCGTACGAAAGAAACACTCGGAAGAAACCCCAGATGAATACTGCGCTGGGCGCGCGGGTTCGATGAACACGGGCCTTCCTCATTACTGTACGTGCGCGCTGTCCGCTGCATGGACTACGACGTGGTCCGTGATGTGCGCAGCTTCGTGCGGCACACTCCCTCGCTGCGCGGCATCTCTGTGGAGCGGTAATGTCCTAGCGTTGAAGAGATGAGGTGACGGACCTGGAGAAAGATGACGCCGACCGTTATCGGGATCCACGAGAGGATGTGGAGGCGGTGGGATGCAGCGAGTACAAGGATGCCAACGTTGAACGCTTTGAAGGTCGAATTTATTGGTTCCGGCGAGCGCAAATGGGGTAGGGGGGCGCATGATCATGGAGAGACTTCGACGCACCTTCCCATCCGCGTCGAAGTCGTGTAGCTTGAGCGGACTCCCCGTCGTTCAACGCACATTTCTTGAGGATTAACAGAAAAAGGGCAGAGGGCGGAGCAAAAGCGGGGCGGCAGAAGCAAACGAAGCGACGCAAGCCGGAGCCGGTCCAACGCTGCCGTCGGGCCCGGCCGGAACATCCGATCCGGTCACGGCCGTTCAAGCTGGCAAGTGCTAGCGCTCATCGCTCCTTTCAACCGCTCCTCCCGCATGACCGAGTACCCACTTCCTCGATTATTCTGCACAGAATATAAACTCTGAAACCATGGGCGGTGATCGAATCGCGACCGCATGGCGGAGTCTTCACTTCACACGCAGTTCCCCAAGGCTCCGCTGGGTATTCCCTCTCGCGACGTCGAATACAGATATTGGGTCGAGGCGACGGCTCCGGCGCGCATGGCGATCGAAAAGTTGGGCGGAGAAATGCCATGTCGTGGTACAGTACAGTCCAACATACTTTGGAATTATCCGAACCAATCATGACAAGAGTACAACTGTACGTGTTCTCGCGGCCGGACCATCTGAGAGCGATATTCAAGGTGACGTGGGTATTAGAATGCCCCAATGGCTTCAAAGAAACTGGCGTGGGGAGGCAATGTGCGTTAGAGCCAACCCATAGTAGGCTTCGCGCTCGTACTCACCGCGCTAGAGAAAGAACGCCGACGGATCGGTATAGGCTTCCCCGCCGGGATACCGGGCCTCGTCGTGATCTCCGTCGCGGAGGCTGCCTCCCGGAATCCAACCGTCGTAGCCGCTACCGGGCTGGCTGGTGGCGACCGCGCTGTACGCGATGGGCTGGCAGTCGTACTCCTGCTGGGCGACCAATGGTATGTGAAAGGCGGTCGAGGCTGTTCTGCCCGTTCCGCCGAAGCCGTGCACGTCTGAAGCTGGGTACTGCCCCGCGTTGACGTCTTCAATCCTCACACTTCCCGAAGGCTGAATTGTTTCCAGGTTGGGGTTTGCATATAGACGGCCTGTCGCTCGCACTTGGCATGGTATGCCCGGAGACGAGTAAAGATCTTGCGGGAAGGGCGGCGATATTTGTTGGTGTCCTTCGGGGTTGGCGGTGCCGTCCGAGACGGAGTACTGAGTGTTATCCCCTTGTTGCACAGGAAAACACCATGGCCTAGCGGTATTTCTTCGTGAGCTTATTTCAAGACATGACAGAGATACATACCATGCACGTGCCACAAGCCATCATCTTGCCCTCGGACCGGTAGTGACAGGTTTCTTGATGATTTCCGCGGACGCAGTGGTCGCAGGGTAAGCGGCGATTGCACTTGCGGTGGGAACGGCGACAGTTGTTGCACTGTTAACTCACAGTGAGCTAAGCGTAACGCTGAATGTGAGCTCTCCTGGATTGACGCACCGCCCCCGGGCCGAGACGCACTTGCGCTACACCCTGGTGACCTCCCTATCAGTGTCTCCGGACCACGATCAGTGTGCAATAGAGCTGACAGAGTATATGCGAAGCTTACCAGTTGACGTCGCTCGGTGGTTCATGGTTGTGCGGTACGTGCGACTTGGTATGAAATGCTGAAGAGAAGGAACGGAAAGAGATGGGCGAAAGGAAGAGTCGCCTCAGAGCACACCGAATGGAGCAGACGGCCACTCATTATATAGTCCTTTCAAAACAGAATGATTGGGCGGCGGATGTATGATCTCCCAAGGTGGAAGCGAGGACGAGCGAAGGAGACAGGCACAGTCTACGCACGGCGGAAACGGAAACTAAGCGTCATGTAAGCCCTGCAGGCACAGATGGAAAGTTCATAATGCATAGCGTCGGTCATAGCCTCAGCTCATGCAGTATGAACATATATGCGGTATGAACTTATCATTATGAAATTTCCATGTAGTTTGCGTGAATGAAAGGAAGCGCCAGTCTGCCGTGTATGGTGGGAAAGAAGGCAACTGCCTCTACGTACGCTCCTCCGGGCGCGCCGTCCGCCTCACTCACGCCTCTCTCCGCCTTGTCGTTCCAACCTTTCTCCGATCCCGCACATCAGGCGTGCACGTCCAGAGCTAGACGCCGTAGACAGACTTGCTGCACACAGACCGAGTCCGGTTTTCAAGTTCGTATTCGGAAGTCCAGACCTGCCCCACATATTGTTGGCACAAGCCTATGAGCTGCGGCGCTGACGACCAGGCTGCATGAGTTCACGACGCGCGCGCGGGGTTTGCTCAAGTGGTTCCTACTTGGCGTTAGCACGTGTCGCCGAGTCTAGCCAGGCCCCAGGATCCTTTCGCCGCCCCTATCGGGATCGGGATCCTCTCACTCCACGACAGCACTGATCCACGTCCGCTTCCAGAGTCCGCCGCCCGCCGCCCATCTGCGCCCGCCTCGCGGACCTCGAGCGGATCGCACCAGCAGGCCAGCGGCCGTAAACGTATTGGAGCTGAGGCCCGAGGCCTCGAGGCTCGGCGATTGCACTCCGGTAAGCTTGTGGCTCTCCTGCCTGCGGGCCCTCATAGCAGGGGCCTGTGCCCCCCCTCCTCCCCGGAGCCGCGTCTTCCCAGCCACTCTGAAAACCCTGTTGATCATGAGACTGCGCCGCAAATCTCTGCGGAATGCCGCACCGGTGCTTTGTCCATTCTTGCAGGAGCGTCTGGACTCCGGCCGGGTGCCGCGTAGTACCACTAAGCGGTCGAGGAATCACGGTAGGGAAGTAGTAGCAAGCACGACCCAAGTATCGACATGCGGTCCGTGCGTACCGTCGTCGATTGCACCGTGCCGGAGGGTCGCCGTCACTGCCGCAAGCCCCGTGAACCCATCGCCGGAATTGTCGGCGTCGCTGTGGGTCGGAGTATTGGTGTAGTAGCACCGCCATGTACGTAGGTCGCCATCGGATGCAGCAGCCGTGGAGGCCGGGCGCGGGTGTTTGAAGCCCAATGCCCGTCGGTGATCCGATTCGGGCTCAGTTGGTCCCACTGACGCCGACACGCCTCGTGTCTCGAGCTGCGCGACGGCCTAGATCGTGTGTTTTTCATCGTCTGGGACATCATAAGTGCTTGACAGTTATGATATGACGTGGAGGTACGGGGCGCAATTGCGAACTCACGGTTCGTGAGAAGCCTCAGCGGGGCACCGTCGTCGAAGACTGTCTTGGCCATCTCGGGATGTCCGTCTTTGTGGGTAATGGATCCATGGAATCCACTGAATGTGTCGAGAGCTCCGGAGAAAAGGGGGTGGTCGTCGGCGTTCTGAACGCGCCAATTGTGGAACCACACCGCGTAAGTACTTGGCGCCAGGCGCGTACTAGAGTCGGACGGGAGGAGAAATAATGATTACTGCGTGCCTCACCATAGGTTCTCCATCGAGACAATCAAGTAAGCATGGTGGACGTACGGTTTGACAGTCGACTTACGGGTATCGATCGGTGGTGATTACGCAGCGCAAGTAGTAGATGGACTGTCCCGATGGTTGATGAGAAAATCAGTAAATGCGATGCGTCGAGTCGAAGGTGAAGCGGAGATGCACATGATAATTCTTGCGATGCACCCATGGGCGTCATCAGACGTGCTCCGTTCGCGCTGCACGCTTCAAATGCGACGAGCGAGAGGTGGCAAGCCGCAAGTCCGGCCAGGGTTGCGTCTGACGCGCTCACGTGTCGGACAATCTGCGACACCAAAGATGCAAAAGGCGGACACGCATCCGTTCGCGCGCACATCGGACGGTCCACCTAAAGGCGGACAGCGAGCTGCGGACAGAACTGGCGGGAGTGTAGTGCACATACATAGAACGGCGTCGCGAGCTACGCACACGCTGCGCGCCGCCAGGCCAGGCACATCTATGGTACAGAGTAGGGCAGTCGTGAAGTCGGGGCTCATGTGCTAGGCGCAGGGAGGGCGCGAACGGGACTGGGGGCGGAGGGGGGACGTCCACGTCGGCGGGGTCGAGGTGGTACGTGACGACGAGCGTGCCGATGCAGCAGTCCGGCATCGGGTCCTCGTCTGCCCCCGTCGTAGTAGAACGTGGGTCGTGGATCGGAGGCGCGGAGTCGGGGGAAGCGGGAGAGAGAGCGGGTCGTGTTTTGGGGATCGCGTGCGTGCCTAGAATCATCATCGTGTGCTCTGCCTCCGTCTCCGCCTCTGCTTGTCGACGGAGCCAGCGCCGCGCACGTCGGCGCGCGCGGCGACGGCATCGACACCGCGACCGCGAGCTGCACCTTGCGCACCGTCGGGTTCTCCGCCGCCGTCGCCGCCACCTCTGGGTCCCGCGGCGCACGCCCTATGCGGGGCAGTGCTTTGCGCAGCGAGAAACTGTTTGAGGACGCCGGCGGGGGCAGTACCGGCGCCGCGGCGCGCGCGCGCTCCTGGGCGTCCGCGTCGGTGGGGAGGAAGAGGCCCGCGAAGGGCTGGTTCCGGGCGGAGGGCGATCGGCGGAGGTGGATTCACATGGAAAGGAAGCGGACGCGCGGGGTAAGCGATCGGGTGGTCGCGGGGGGTGGAGAGGAGGGGGCCCTTTCCCCGTGGGGTGCGGGCCGTGGCGCAGGAACCGGGGCAAAGGGGGTGCACTCACCGAAAGGCTGGCCCAGGACGCGGGGCTGCTGCTGCTGGCCTTTCCTGACCGAACGTTCGGCGCGGCGGCGGGGAGGAGGTGCATGTCGAGCAGCTTGGGCTTGTCGCCGAAGCCGGGGCCGCGCTTGGAGTCGTTGGCGACGCGGTGGATGATGAGGTCGGGGCGGAAGCGGCGCATGATGACTGTGCCGCAGAACGCGCCGAGGAAGAGGCCGCCGGCGATGCAGACGAGGATGAGCGGGGGGCCGGCGGGGGACTGCAGGATGGAGGTGAAGCCAGTGACCTGGTCGGAGTCCGACATCTTGTGGAGGACTCGCGGAGGGGTAGGCGGGGGGAAGGTGTGCGTGGGTGCTCTGTACTGCGCGAAGCGGTTGGCGTCAGACGGAGTTGAGCCTGAGGGAGGGCGGGGGCTGGAAATACAAGACGTACCGGACAAGAACGGGGTGAAGAGGGGAGGCGGTCGTTTAGCAGGGCGAGAAGGCATGGTAGGACGAGAGACGGGAGTTGGCCGTCGTCGGGGAGGGAGAGAGAGATGTTACACAATTAGCGCACCGCTGACAGAGCACGGGGCGGGGGCGTGGGGGACGAACAGGCATGGACGGCCTGGGAGCACAGCTGGGGCCGTGCGAGGCGGGCGTGGGTGAGTGCGGGGACGAAGAGCGTGCGGTCGAAGCCAATCGAACAAGGACGATGAGGCTGCGCGAGTCCGAAAAGGCTGCCGACGGAACGAACGACAACATATCACTCGATCTCCGTGTTTCCTCGGGTCTAATGCCGACGATGCGTATTTAGCCTGATTGGGTGGTGCAGCCTGGTGGGGGGCCGTAGATGGAGCTTTAAGCACGTCGAGTGTCGCTCTGTGCCTGTACGGCACTCAAGACGGCGGGAGCAAGCGTCGTGGCTCAATCTCCGTCAGGCACGGCATCGGTACAGCGTCGCACAGGCTGCCCGTTCCGCCAGCCACAGCGGACTGATCTGCATCCGCATCTGACGGAGGCGTTCCTGCTTGTGCCACCTTGCGCCCTCTTGCGCCCTGCCACGCCCGGCCCGGACTGGATCCGGGATTGGCCTATCCGCTCCGGACCTCGGCGTCTTCTTCGAGTTCTCCTCCTCGTCCGTCGGCGGGCAGAACCCCATCCGCCTCCTTCGCCCGTGCTGAAACATATGTTGTCGCACCACCGCCCCTGTCGGCCCATGGTGGAGTCATGTTGGCGTGGATGTATATAGCGACCGCCCTCTTCTTCTCCCCTCCGCATTCACCCGACTCCCACTGCTCCTCGCCGGTCGCAACAGCCGTCGCCGTCCGCCGTCCCCGAATGAACGCGGTTAGGGCCCGAGGTGAGCGCGCCCACTACAAATTCCCTCCGCGCCTTCGATCGCGCCAACATACGCGGCGGTCACGAGCAGATCCTCCGCCCCCATCGCTTGTCACAGACGGGCGAAACTGATCTCGACTGCACTCCGCTGGCCCGGCCTCCCCGCCTTCGCGGTCCAGTGCCTGTCACGACCGCTTTTTTTGCCCTTCATCCACTGCGCGTTGCCGTCCCCGGCGCCGGGACACGGGCAGACCCTGGCGAGCCCGTTCGCCGTTCGCCTCGGTGATTCGCCCGTGCTCATCACTCTTCCGGTCGTCTGTCGTGATAGAGATCCATCTCGCCCAACTTCTTTCCCCGCCCGCTATAAGACGGCCTCCGCCCACCCTGCGCTCCCCCAAACTCCTCGTACCACCCCTTTTCCCTCTCATTTCTTCTTCTTCGTCTATTTGTACCCCATATAATACCCCTTCTCCCTATACCTTCTCCTCCCACCTCGTCTCTGACCCCACCCTCTCGCCAAAATGACCATAGTCCTCACCCCCGTCTGGCACAACGGTGTCCAGAAGCTCAAGGTCACCTCCCGCCGTCAGTCTCGTCCCGCCTTCCCCGGCCGCCCCATCCCTGCCGTACTTGTGCTCACCCGCTGTCTTTTTCTAGCGCCCCCCGCCCGCCCCGCCAAGGGCCTCCTTCCCGTCGCCTTCAACGAGGATGTTCACTATGCCCGCTGCATGGCCCAGCTCCGGTCCAAGGACAAGGACATCGAGAAGAACATCTACCTCACCCAGCTCAAGGATGCCGACCTCAACACGTTCTACCGCATCTGCCTCAACAACATGGCGGTGAGTAGCCTGCCTGCTTCTTTCGTCCGCTTCCTCCGCTGCGCCCGCCACCAGCCAAGACCCTTGGCGCGCACCTCCCGCTTCCCGATCCTCTCTTCCCGCGTCGCGCTCCACCCGCGGTTATCTGTCCGAGCTTCGCGGGAGGCGTGGCTCGTGTAGATCTCTATTTCCCGCACACCTCTCGGTCCCGAGATCATCGCCCGCGTACTGATCACTGTCGCCGTCCAGGAAATCACTCCCCTCATCTACACTCCCACCGTCGGCGACGCGTGTCTCCAGTTTCGCACAACTTCCGTCGCCCGAGGGCCTGGTATGTCACTCTCGCCATGATTTGTCGCGCTGTTCCCTGAACCCTCCGAGTTCATCTCGTTGAAGGACAAGGGCAACATCGGCAAGATCCTCCGCAACTGGCCCCGCGTCGACGAGGCTCGTATCTCGGTCGTCACCGATGGTGAGTTATTGCGCCTGGTCCACTGCTTGTCCGATGTTCATCGCTGCCTTCTAGGCTCTCGTATCCTCGGTCTTGGTGACCTGGGTGTCAACGGCATGCCCATTTCCATCGGCAAGCTCTCCCTTTACGTCGCCGGTGCTGGTATCCGTCCCGAGTCGACGGTTCCCATCTGCCTCGACATGGGCACCGACACCCAACGCTACCTCGACGACCCTCTCTACCTCGGCCTCCGCCAGCGTCGCCCGTCTCTCGATGAGGCTATCGAGTTCATGGATGAGTTCATGCACGAGATGTCTGTTGTCTTCCCCAAGCTTCTCATCCAGCACGAGGACTTCTCTAGCGCCAAGGCCTTCGCGTTCATCGATCGCTACCGCGATCAGTACCCGCTCTTCAACGATGACATTCAGGGCACGGGCGCCGTCGTCCTCTCTGGTTTCTTAAACGCCGCGAAGCTCTCCTCTGCCGCGTCTGGCCGCCCGCTCACGGACCACAAGATCCTTTTCCTCGGCGCCGGCTCTGCAGGTGTGGGTGTTGCGATGCAACTCATGAGTTTCTTCAAGCTCCAGGGCCTGTCGGACGAGGAGGCACGCAGCCGCATCTACCTTTGCGACTCGCAGGGTCTAATCTACGATGCACGTGGACCGATGGCGGAGCACAAGAAGTTCTTCTCGCGCAAGGACTACGAGGGCCCGCCGATGAAGGATCTGACCAACATCGTCAACTACGTCCAGCCGACGGCGCTCCTCGGGCTCTCGACCACGAAGGGCGCGTTCAGTGAGTCCGTCATCCGCGCGATGTCGGCGCTCAACGCGCGCCCGATCGTTTTCCCGCTCTCGAACCCGGTGCGCCTCTCCGAGTGCGAGTTCCACGAGGCGGTGGAGTGGTCGAACGGCAACGTCCTCTTCGCCTCCGGCTCGCCGTTCCCAGAGGAGGCGTTCGACGGCCACATGCTCTACCCCGGCCAGGGCAACAACATGTACATCTTCCCCGGCCTCGGTCTGGGCGCGATCATCGCGCGCGCCTGCAAGGTCACGGACTCGATGGTGGAGGCGTCGTCGCTCGGGCTCGCGAACTCGCTTACGGCGGCGGAGCGCGATGACGACCTGCTCTACCCGCGCGTTGAGCGGATCCGCGAGATCTCGGGCCAGATCGCGCTCGCGGTGATCCGCGCGGCGCAGAAGGCGGGCGTCGACCGCTCGTCCGAGCTCCGCTCGATGGGCGACCGGGAGCTGCTCGCGTTCGTGCAGGAGCGCATGTGGCACCCGTGAGGTGTAGGTTCGTGCTCTCTACTACTACTGTGCTGGAGGGGACCGGGATGGAGGGGCGTTGTTATGATCGGTCTATGACTTGCTGCTTGCTTTCGAATTATGGGCGCCCTACGCGGGGCGCGACGCACACATACATACGCACACTTACTGGATAGATAGATGGGTACCGGTGCCTGCCACGAGCAGATAGAAGACACTACGGAGAAGTTAATGACACCGACTCGGCTTGCTGTACACATCCTTGTCTGCGTCGCGTGTGCATCTTTCAGGGATGAAGTGCTTCAACCGCGCTGATTCGGATTGCCCGACTTGTCACCCTCCTCTCGTGCGCACTGCGCCTGGCCTCGGATCTCGAGCTGCAAACGCATGGCAGCGGCGCCCGCTTCCCCTCCCAGCCGTTGTTGTTGTTGTAGATATGGCGTTTAAGCACGGGGAGCGTCTGGCAGACTTTACCCGGTCAGTGTCCCGCGCGCAGTTGGATGGTTGCGCGCCCGGCTCGCAGCAGCGTCGAACTCGGGGAGCCGCCAGTTTGGTGGCGTCGGTTGCCGACCCCAGCGTCTCCGTGCGGCGCGCTGGCTGAGAACAGACGAAAACAAACGAACAGACCGAACCCACAAACCGGCACCGGGTCGCGTCTACTGCAGCTCGTTCCAGTCAAACTGATGCCCTCGGGGGCCCCGCCGGCCAATCTCCGCGGGGCCTTACACATCATTTCGTCGCCGCAAGTTTCGCAGGGAGGTGAGGACGTAGGGATTCGAGCCACAGACACACTAGACGCCTTCGATGCCAGGGTCCAGGTGCACTGATACATTAAGACATCAGAGGGCGAGTCTGTTCATATAATGGGTGACTTTCCGTAAGGAAATACGGAACTACGGACGCTCCGTAGTTCTAGACCGCTCGAAAAGGCAGTTCCGCCGAGATGCCGACGGGAAAGTCCCGAGGATCTCACTGTGGCTGCTGGCATAACAAGCGCCCAAAAGTCTGTGGAGGGGTCGGCACCCCCCTCGCAGAGCAAACAAGCCTCCCGAAAAGCTGTAGAGGTCTCCTGAAGGCCTATTTCGGACGGGAGGTAGTGATGTGGACCATTATTGGCGCTGACAAATCGACGACTGGGCCTCAACAGACCTCCATGGGGTCTGGCTAAGGTCTCCGCGCAGTGGAGGCATTCCGTTGACGCTGGCTTGACGCTGGCAGAGATCCCTCTCGTCGCTTAGCCTCGCTTACAGCAGATTGCAAAAATGATGAGAATCGGCGCTTTTTTTTGGGCTGTCGCGACGTCGAAAGTTCGCGCCCAAAGTTCCGACGCATCTTCCGAGGCTCAGGCGCCGGTGTCCGCCTATATCGGGAAGCTGGTTCCCGCGCCGCGCCGGCGCTGCTGCGACGCGAGGTCGAGCTGCCGCGACGCGTCTGCGCACAAGTTGTTCCTTCACTGCTGTAATTCAGTAATCATGTCTTACATCTGTCCTGCCGCACCCTTTCACCTATGTTCTACCACGAAATCAGCGAAGGTCTCAAACAAATCGTGCTCGATCTCTGGGATCCTGGCTGGACCACCGACGACCTCTGCAAAACCTGCGAGGCCGACTTGTACCGATGGCACGAACGGTGTTAATCCCGTTCCACGGGTGGCACTGGTACCTTGCACATCACCTATGCATAAAATCCTCAGCCTCTCGAGGGCTATACGTATGAGCAAAGTGAGAAACCCACGAGAGGCTGCCCCTTTTGCACGTGAAGACGATCGTGTAGCTCGCGCAGCGGCAGGTGAAGGCTGTTTGTTTGTTTGTTTGTTTATCTCCTGTTTAACGCCCTGGAGGGCCGAGCCCTATGGTAGGCGCTACGTACAGTAGTCTAACTAGCGGTAGAGGAAATGCGTATACGGGACGGATGACGTGTTGGCACGGGGGCCGGAGTAGCCAGAGGAATCTAGCCGTTGCACAATCGAAACGGGGTGAGTGGGTAACGAAGGGGGCAGTGAGTGCGGATGCTAGAGTGGGGTGAGTGCCGGAGGGTACCGTACATGACCTCCGCTCCGCCTGCCCGAGTTCGTCAACTTCCGCCGCGGCCTTTGAGCGCCGGGGGAGTGCCTACTCCGAGTCGTGTGTTCTGGCCTCTGGAGCGAGGTAGTCGCGGCCTCGCGGGTGAGAGTGGTGGGTGTGTGGGGAGGGGATGGGAGCGGGGTGAGAGGGGTGTCGACTTAGGCGGGTGCGGGAGTAGAGTGCGGGAAGGGGCGGGTGGGGGCGAGACGATCAGGACGGGTGCGCGGGACAGGCGGGATGAGTCTATCTAGTGTGGGGGTGTCAGGGTGGTATCGTACTATGTAGTCTGAGGTAGCGGGTGGGAGTAGTGCTCATTTCGTGCGCCACACAGCTTGCTGAGTGGGGGGTCCTTCGACTCCGGTCGCCGGACGGCTCGCCCGCCACCTATTTACTTTCGCGTGCGTTGCCCAGGCGCTGCGGGTGGTCGTGCAAGCCCGGACGGACTCCGTCACGGGATTCCCGCCTTCGTGCGGGTGTGCCTCTGTGTGTATGTCCTCCTCTGCTATATACTAATTAGCGTGGTCGATAGCAGAACGTGTGGGTCATGGGGGCGAGGGGGAGCTATGGGGGGTTCGAGGGAGAGGGTTGGGGCGGGGAAGCGGTCTGCCTAACGGGCTCGTACGTATGGCGTCTAGTGTGTTCCGTTGCGCGGTGGTTAGGTTGTGCGCGTGGCAGAGGTGGTGCGCGCGGCGGTGGTGGTGCGTACGGCGGAGGAGGTGCGCTGCTCTCGGCGTGTTGGCGCAGGGGGCTGTCGTGGTGGTGGTCTGGGTGGTGCTGCTCGCTGGCGCGCTTGAGAGCTTGCAGAGGCCGCTGGTCGCGGGGCGGAGGTGGTGCCCTCGGGTTTGGCGAGGGCTCCGAACGTCTGTCGGAGGCGTTCCGTCGCGTCGATGTAGGCGAAGAGCTGTGGGAGCGCATCTGCGAGGTGAAGGCTGAGTTTGCTTCAGGCCCGTCCTCTGAGCCTGATTCCAACTCGTCAACCTCAGGCGAGCTTCAGCCCTCTTGTAATATATCATCTTCATCGTCTTCAATCGTAGTGAAGAGGGTGTAATGAACACAGTGTACTAGAACAAAGACGTTGCATGCCAAAGGACGCGTCGCAGCAGCGCCGGCGCGGCGCGGGAACCAGCTTCCCGATATAGGCGGACACCGGCGCCTGAGCCTCGGAAGATGCGTCGGAACTTTGGGCGCGAACTTTCGACGTCGCGACAGCCCAAAAAAAAAGCGCCGATTCTCATCATTTTTGCAATCTGCTGTAAAGCTCCGGAATTGCATTTCCGGGTCTAATCTGCCAGCTGCCGGTACTCTGGATGGAGTGACGTGGCGTGGAGTGACAGCGTCTATCACTCTGGAGTACTCAAGTTCCCCGTGAGAATCGCGGCGACGCTGGTCCTGTCCGTTGAGAGGAGTCCGCCGCGCTCTTCCGTCATGTGTCTGGCGCGCAGGCGGGTGGACGCCAATATCGGTACTCTGCTCGAGCATAAATACCCCCAATCTTTCTGGGAGATCTCTACAGTTCTCTCCTCCATTCTTCGCACACCTTGGTCTTTCGGTCTCCCTCGGTCTCCCTTCACTTCCCCTTCTCCGATAGTGACGTCAGGACGCTCGCCAACCCGAGTCCACTATCCATGAACATCTCTCGCAGTAAGGCTCAGTGCTCATAGCTATTGGGCTCTTTGATCTCGGTCCATACTGGATTATCTGACTCTATTTTTACCTAGATGTATTGGCCTCAAGCGACAGTGCTTTTCGTGGGCCTACCGAGTCTAGTACTAACGGCAGGCGCCCCCGAGCGGCGGCGGACCGGTATGTACAACATGGACATCATACAGTGTCCACACGAACCCAAAATTCCTCTCCACATTTACACAGTGCAGCAACTGTCGCCGCTTCAAGCGGAAGTGCAATCGAGGCTCTCCTTGTGACCGGTGCATTCACGGAAACCGCAAAGGCTCCTGTCACTACTTGCCTCTCGACCGCAAGACGACGGTATGCACAGCCTGTGATGGTACGTTCCCATCACTCTCGACTTGCAAGGAACCCACCTTCGAACCTCGCCAGGCCACGGCGTCGTCCCCCTCGCACCCCAAGAGAGTACCCAGGGAGCCATCATGAACGGGGTCGCAGCGTCCGTGAACGCCGCTGTCATCGGAGACAGCAGCCTCGTGGCGCCCGTGGACGTCCAGGGTGCATCGCGATCCGTCTCTCAGAACACGACGACCGACACGATTTTCACTCGCTACGAGCCGGTTCCGGTCCTGGGAAACGGTCAGCAAGAGGTAAGCTTCCTGGCGGAACAGTCGTCATCGAACGCCTACAACATCGGAGCCGGGATGTATGTCCCGCACGGGTTCAATACACCCAGCTTCTCCCCGCTATTTGCCGATCCACGGTACAACCTCCAGCACATCGCTACTGGCAGCTACAGCAGCGGTTACAGCGGCGGCGGCTACGGCGAGGGCTTGGGGATAATTTCGGCAGGGATTGGTACACCAGGCAGACCTACGACAGTATGTCAGTGTACGGCAGGGAGCCGGACCACACGAACCAGGTGAGTGCGAGCAGCCTCTATCCACACCGAGTGAGAGACTGACGCATGTTCTCTCCGCTTGAAAGCGTCAGTGAACGGCAAACGCCACTTGAACCGGAGATGTCGCACGAGCCCTCATGTTGTCTTGGATTTTTCTGCTGTCGAGCTGTCATAATATGCTGTCAACGTGTTTCTCTGTTATCAGGATGTTTTGAGACGTACGATGAAATAGAAGCTATGTCGAAGTCTTACTCTCACTCTCGCGATCCCGGTGCGCCGCCAAGGTGCGTGTGTTAGCAGATTGAGTTCGACGAGCGGTATCGATGGTCACATGAGGGTCGAGTGACGGAGGCAACTTGTGGGAAGCAGGAGCGAATCTGGCGGCTTCGGTGAATCAGAAGCGCGCAGGATGATGGCGAGTGCAGAGATAT